AAAGGATACAGAAAAACTACTCTATCTAACAACTGTGTTGAACTGCTTAAGTATACCGTTAGAAGGACAATTGGACCCGGAGCGGTAGACTAGCTTATCGTGCATGCAGGTGCCAACAGGGGCTCAGATAGTACAGCAGCGCGATGCCTGCCGACATGTATGCAGATAAGGAACGACTCGGAACCGTACCGGTGGTCATTCGGTTGCGGTTGTTACAGTGTGGGTTCGTTCGGTTACCGGTTAATAATTGGAACTGAGTTGGATAGGTATCGGGGTTGCAAGTCCCGGAGCAGGGCTTGCAGAATCCTAATACTCCCGCTTCGGAGGTTGCAGGCCCGCTCCGGAGGTGGCCGGAGGTTGTACGTCCGCTTCGGAGGCGTGTAAGGACGCTGGGGATTTGGTGCGTACGGTCAGGGACAGTACGGAGCGGATCCGGATATTGTCAGGGGATCTGGAGAGGATACCGTGACACTTGGCTGCTCTTGTCTTGTTGCATAGTCCTGTTTGTTCAGTGTTGTTTTGCGAGTTGTTCATGGATCGTAACAAAAGCTTTTGAGAAAGAGATGGTGAACCTGTACAACATCAAGGCTATGGGAGACCTTACCTGGTTTCTCGGTGCCCAAATTGTCCGTGATCAAACACTGCATAAGACATGGCTAGTCTAAGATGCCTTCATCAACAAGGTGTGCGCTTGATACAACATTGAGGCTGACCTTCCCCCAGGTCCCCATGTTTGGTTGGTGGTTACTTGTTGCTCTGCTGTCCTATTGCAGGACATAGGATTGTAACAAGGCCTTCAGGAATCTCTTACACATAAGAAGAAGCTGTAATGGGCTAGACCCATGTGGACCCACCTATGGGTGTGGGCTAGGCTTAGAACCTAGGAGCAGTGCAGTCATGCTTTTCTACCTGTATAAATATCAACTATGCAAGATGAATCCTGTTGATTCAACTTGCGCATGCCTTTTGGCATAGGTTGGTGCATATAGTTGTGCATATTGTCTTTTGGACTCCACCCCTTACAAGGCACGCTATTGTTGAAGGATTAATGAGCAAGAACATGAGGAGCAACACCTTGAGAATCTACATCAGAAGCAAGAGCAATGTAACGCCTTGGACTGAAAGCGCTCCAATAACGTGTGGTCCCGCAGGGACTCAGCACACCGCTCTCTTTCCTGTCGCTAGCTACTTCCGTGTCACCTAGACATGGGTAGTTCCAATTCCCCTCCAAACTGTGTACTTAATCAGTTTGGCACAGTCGTTAGATAGAGTAGTTTTTCTGTATCCTTTTGTACAAGACCTATAGGTGTAGGGAATTCAATCCTAGTGTTCTCAACGTCCCAGCACTCCCATATGCCTCGTAGCGGACTCACACTTACTTCGGACATCTTCCCTACTGGCCTGCGTCGTTACAAGCAAGCAGCAATTAGGCTTTAGAGAGCAAGAGAGACTCAGGAGAAGTGTGAGGAGCGTGAGAGAGCTAAGGGGTTAAGGGTGCAGGAGAAGGCTAAGAAGGCAGAAGAAGGCGGCTGAACTGCAGCGTCAAAGCGTGAGAGGAGGCCAGCTGGGGAAACCTGTCAGGATGACATCAACGCAAGGCTGAGAAAGAGCATCAAAAACAAGCTTGTGATGCTCAAAAAGCTATACAACTGCCTCAAAGAGGCAAGCACAAGGCTTCAAGTCAATTGCAGTCAAAAACAACTAAGAAGTGTGGTGTTGCTGCTGCATGTAGCCGCCCAGCCCCCCCCAGCCCACCCCGGGAGGCTCCCACAACAACCACCCGCTGCGGCCAAACATCAACTCTGCCTGCATGGTTTATATGAGAGGATTTTGTTGCATAGGTCTATAGAGTACTCCATCAAAATTTCTTGCAATAATAACTATTGTATGTGGTTGTACAGCCTCATTTTTGACGTGCCTGTGAAAGTGGTGAGGCGCGCGTTGCGTGCCCGTGCGCGTTGCGAGCACGGGCACGGTACGAGCTGTGCCGCCTACGCCACACAGTCACCGTCACGCAATGTAAGGACGCCGAAGTATACGCACAGATTAAAACTGCCCGAGTGATGTGCGCAGGGTTCCAGTCAGTTCTGGTCCCACCAGGTTGGGCTGCTACCTTTGTTTTTCCGCGCCCTCAGATTACCGAAAGAAGCAGTCAAATACTACGTTCCGGAACTATTGGCCAGGAGCTACTATTCATTCGCTTCGAGCCTATCGAGACATCCGCTTCATCACTCGCCAGTCTTCATAAACTGGAGAATTTGAAAAGCGAACGAAGGATCGCAAGCGCGCCTGGTGCAGGCGACCGGACAACCCCGGTCCTGTCCACGAGTTATCGAGACAGCACGCAATATCTAGATCTGAAGGACGATTAGAGCAAACCCTTGAGATATATCTATGACAAAGACTAGAATCGTATCAGCCCTAAGTCGTGTATCAAGGATGTATTTGTAACGTGCTACTCTTTCAGCACCTCGGCATCCTTACGATGTAGTTGAAAGCCAAGGTGCTGTGAATGCTCATGCGAGCAGTGAGCAATTGCCATGCAAAAGCGATATCCAGATGGGTCGCACATAACGTCGATAGATAGGAAATCAGTAAAATACCTGCTGTATGCGTATGCAGCTGTCAGCTCAATTCGGCTGACAGAGCAAGGCTGACACCTGGTTGCCGTCGATTCGTCCACTGACACGAACACACGGCGGAGCAGAGGGGCCAAAAGAGGCAGCAGTTCTATGAATGGTTGACACTGCCGCTCTGAACCCGAGTTCTGGGAAGGGAACTCTAGGTTCCTTTTGTTAGACATGGAGCCCTACCCGTCGATTCTTTCCTCCTACTCTTTGCGATACCGGATTTGAAAGTAGCCTCCGCGATGCTTCCCCATGCACATATACTAGTGGTTCCGCTTGCCACCGAGCATCATGATTTATACTGAAGTGCTGCTAGCCATTGCCACTTTCGAGCCGTCCCTGAAAAGCAAAGAACGAAAAGCATAGCATCGAACACTGGAAGTTCTGTGATCCTGTCGCCTTGAGTGATATTGGGATTTGCTCCCCAAAAGTAGGCTTGCTCATTTTTTTGTGGGTGATATGGAAGCTAATGGTGTAGGCGGAAACCATCCTCCTATTGGAAGCCATCATCGGTTTCGCTACGTGTAGCTCGATTCGGACCTGCGCAGAGCTGAATTCGACAAACTATGCAGTCGTTCAGCTCGTATGGCTATTCTGCCCATGTGCTCGCCGGAGGAGACATAAAAGCCGTATGGCAACCCAGTCCTATCACACAACAGCACACTGGCAAGAAACCTTGTAGAACAGCTTGTTGGTCATCAGATATCACGATCATGCCGTTCTCCCCGTTCCCACAGCCGACATCCTGGAGACGAGATGGGACAGTTCTGAGGGAAGAGGAGCGACTGGCGTATAACAGACGGATAGAAATCATGAGACAGACAGAGTACTCCATGCTAAGAGGTATGTTCGTTCTTCCACTCTGGGCTTAACCAGTATTAATGTCAAGGCAGGTATCACTTACCTTGACCATGGTGGGACAACATTAGCGAGCAAGTCATTGATGGACTCGTTCTGCACGCAGATGAAGGCTTCCATCCTTTCCAACCCACACTCGGACGCATCAAGACCGAGCTTCTCTGCTTTGATGGTGGAGCAGACCCGGCAGAAGGTGTTGAGACTCTTCAATGCGGACCCAAAGCACTGGGACGTGGTATTCACAGCAAATGCCACGGCTGCCGTCAAGCTGGTAATGGAGTGCTTCGCTGGCCACAAACAGGGTTTCGACTATCTCTACCACTGCAATGCTCACACCAGTTTAGTCGGAGTGCGAGAGCAAGCGCAGAACAGCCGCTGCCTTGCAACAGCTGAAGAGATGAAGTACTGGCTAAATGGTGGAAAACTTTTGCCGAATGAGGAGTCATGGAATCGTCCCGTCCTGTTTGCATACCCCGCCCAGTCGAACATGAACGGCGAACGTCTCCCTCTGAGTTGGCCTGCCCGAATCCGCGGGTCTACACAACACGAGAACACGTACACGCTCTTAGACGCCGCCGCTCTAGTCTCGACCAGCCCACTGGATCTTAGCAACCACGCCGCAGCACCGGACTTCGTGTCGATGTCTTTCTACAAAATCTTTGGCTTTCCCGACCTTGGCGCTCTGATAGTTCGCAAAGCATCTGCTCACGTGTTGCAGCGCCGGAAGTACTTCGGTGGTGGCACTACTGATATGATAGGATGTATCGGCACACCGTGGGTAGAACGAAAAGAGAGCAGTGTGCATGCTCGCTTAGAGGACGGTACGATCGCGATACGCAGCATACTTGCTTTGAGCTGCGCTATCGACACACATATGAATCTTTTCGACGGTCTGGCCCAAGTCTCGAAGCATACAGGATGGCTGGCAAAGACGCTACATGACCGACTGGCCGGTCTGAAGCATGCCAGTGGCATTCCTGTTTGTCACATGTACAAGGCTCCAACGTCCACATACGGTGATTCGAAGTCCCAGGGCGCAACAGTCACTTTCAACGTCAGAAAGAGTAACGGGTCCTGGAAGAGTGGATTCGATGTAGGCGCTATGCTCAGAGCTAACGAGATCCACGTCCGTACAGGCTCGCTTTGCAACCCAGCAGGTATGGCCTCTGCACTAGGCTTGTCCGCAAACGAGCTCAGAGCGGCATTCGATTCAGGCTTCCGTTGCAACCAACCGGGCGACGACGTTCGAGGCGATGTCCCCTTCGGAATGATTAGAGCCACTTTGGGCGCCATGAGCACACTTGAAGACGTGGAGAACTTGGTGCGCTTTGTCGAGAAGCATCTAGTTGAGCATTTACATCGAACGCCACGTGTATCAGATGGAACTCAATCAGGCGTGCCCGAGGACAGCAACTTCGCAACCAGTTCTTTCGAAGAGAAGTCCGGGAAGATGACGGATCGACCGATAGCCAGTAAAACGCAGGAAAGCGTAAGGCCCGGCCCGCGGCGTAGTGTTTGGAAGGCGCTGTTTAGCTGCTACTCGAGACGGACGTAGACCGGGCTAACGGGTGGCTAGAAGAAGAAGACGGCTTGTACATAGAAGTCCGCTTCGCTGCACATATTTCGGAAGTACATACAATGCACATTCAGGCAGTATCTGCCCCTGTTTAACGCCTCCTGATCTGCACTGAACGTGTTGCGTAGGTACAGTGCATCCTGTGTCGTTCCATCGTAGGTTATGTGAGGCGTCTGCGAGGCGCGTAGATCCTCCACATTTCCTCAGTAAGCACCGGCGTGTGATTATGCATGAGACTCGGGATCAATCGGTGGCTGCTAATGACTCGCGCCATGATCCTGCAAAAGGTGTCGAATGAGGTAATGTTTAGCGCAACCTGGCATTGCACAAAACCGGCGTTGAAGGAAAAGCAAAAACGCGTCGCACAACGACACCAATCGAGAGCTTGATGATGCTTCTGGCGATGTCCTGATGTGGTGGTGTGGAGTCCAGAGGGTGATGAGCATGGCGCAGCGCCTTGGAAAGCTAGCGCGTCAGCTAGTCCGAATGGGGTAACACTGCTGATGTGAGTCGGGACGATATCCTCCCGAGCGACTCACTCAGCCTTCCCATAATCTCCCCGCTGACTACAACATCGCAGTATCTTGGCCACGAATTCATCCAAGTTGAGCCGTTGCTCGTGAAGATCTCTACGAAGATGTCCCAGCAGCTGAAGACTGCCCATATGCCGAATAGCATCTGTCCATGTACTGAATGGGTCTGCAAGTATAAGGATAGCTGCAAGTACAAGGATAGGTTCTGTAACAGGGCAAAGGTGCTCACAATCAACACAACATATCAAGTCACATAATCGAGTCCATTCAGTTCAACTTCAGCAATCTCAGCTGCATTTCGAACTCTCTTATCAATCACAATATTGATCTCAAAATCAATTGATCATCGCCCTCCGTACCACCATTCACCCCATAGAACTCCCAACATGCCGACTACGACGATTCGTAAATCCTTAATCGAAAGCTTCGGCGACCCCTCGCACGTCTCTATCGTCACAACTGAGATCGGACCTCCGGCAGCCAACGAAGTCCAACTCAAAGTCCTCTACTCAGGCTTCGGCGGCTCAGACATCGCCATGCGCCTGGGCAGCTACCCCAACCAGAAGTCCGCACCGCTCACCACCGGCTACAGCTGCATCGGTCTCGTGACCCTCAACGGCTCCAAGAGCACTAAGTTCCCCATTAGTAGCCTCGTAGGCTGTCTCTCAGTCTATGAAGGGCAATCCGAGCGCGTCAATCTACCAGAAAAGTATCTGATTCCAATCCCAGAAGGCGTTGATCTGAAGCAAGCCGTTGCTCTGATCCTAGATTGGACGACTGCATACGGCATGGTATACCGCACCAGCAAAGTCACCAAAGGCCAACGTGTCTTCATCCACGGTCTTAGTGGCTCAGTAGGCTTCTCCCTGCTCACGCTGTGCAAGCTGCAAGGTGCAGAAGTCTACGGCACGGCATCGGAGTACAATCACGCCGCTGTACGCGCAGCCGGCGCCCATCCGTTCGTGTACACCAACAAAGACTGGATGATGGCCATGAACGCCATCGGTGGTGCACATGTAGTGTTCGACCCGCTGGGCTTCGAATCCTACGACGAGAGCTGGGATATTCTCGCGCGCGGAGGCGGTATGCTAGTTGGGTACGGTGGGAACTACAATGTTTTGAATGGCGGGAAGACGAGGAGTCAGTGGCCGCAGATTGCGAAGTTGCTGTCGAAGAACTTGAATGTGTTCTGTCCCAACAGCACGGCGTTCTTTTACGTTAACAGGGACCAGAGCACGTTTGAGCCGGAACTGAAGGCTTTATTGGAGATGCTAAGGAAGGGCGAGATTAGGGTGCCGATTCGGAAGTTGTGGACGCTAGAAGAGGTGCCGGAGGCGCACCGTATGTTCAATAAGGGACCTGGTGTCGGTGCGGTGGTGATCAAGGTGGCCAATAATGTTAACCTTTGAGTAGGAATGGCGCTTCTTTTACACACAATCGTGCTAGGCGGTGCTCGATGCTGGACGTTTGTTTTTACATTGTCAGTGTTAGACCTATCATGGCTAATAGAATGTATTTTGATAAATTCTTTCTTCACGTTGCTCCCAAAAAGAAGGTTTGGGGATACCTTTAGTGAAATCGAGAAAGCTCGACCCGAGCTTCGTGGCTGTAGTTGCCTTCACCGCAACCTGCTAGCGCGGTGGGAACCGAAAGCAAACGCACAAACGCTCCTGCTCAACGGATAGATCAACTCTTTGACGCCGCCCGTGTGAAATCAAGTCGAAACAACACTTTGTCATTCCAAGGTGAGCTCTCATGCTAGGAGGAGGTCCAGATCTAACGAAGATTTGGCAGTACAGTCCACAATGGCAGAGCCCCCAGTTCTGTCCCCAGGTCGAACTGCAGAAGTCAAGACAGGCACGTGCCGTAGGGAGCTCATAATACGGTCGATCTTCTCAAACCTATCACGGCCTTCTTGATCACTGTGCGGGTTCAAGGAGAAGCCGTCTTGACCGCCACATACGATGATGCCACAAGTTGTGGTGTGCACGAGCAGCTTAGTCATTGACGATTCGTAGAACGTTAACAAGCTCCCTCCCGAGCCATGGTTCGAAATAATAGCCACTCTCTAATGGCAGCCCGTGGACAAGGGTGCGAATCTCATGGACTTCGAGCTGGCTTACAGTCTCCTGCGGCCACTGGTGCCTGCAGAGGCGACCTTGATGTAGAGCCACGACCGCCTTACGCGCTAGGCCACCGCTGAGGCTCACCGCTACGATCACGATGAAGGAGACGCTGCAAGCCTTGAAGCTGAGCAGGGAGATATAAATATTGTCCTCGAGACCATCAAATTGGAGTTGGCTAGTGCATTAGAGCCTACAAATGCTCAGCTCAATAGCGCTGTGACAGCCTGGCGCAAAAAGAAAGAGCGCATCGAGATAGACTATCTGCGCAGGTACCAGCATGGTGATGTGCAGGCCAAGAGTGGTGTTCTTCGAGATATATTGACAGTTTTCATGAATTGGAGGCACGACTTGAGGATGCTGGAAGTCTCTTGTTACGAAACGAAGATTGGCCAGATCAAGGCGCTGCAGCTGATGGAAACCGTTGCGAAGCTGGAGGTGCGCGCGTCAAAAATCTAGAGCGAGCGGTCACTCAACTTAAGACTCGTCTTGAAGTACGAAAAGGCATCAGCTGGAGTCGAGGTAGAAGACGAGGCAGCTTAGCACGTCGACCTAGCCGAGCTTGGGTGTCGATTACATGCTATGGCTGTTATTCTTTGACAGCCACCTGGCAAAGCGACGAGGTTTAGCATATTATAGTCGGGTAGAGTTTATAAATGCAACACCCATGCTCGTTTGCTCACGTCGGCCCCTCGAAAGTCCTACTGTTGCCGACATTCTGTTTTCGATCCCGCAAATTGGCCCAGGAACTTGATGTAGATCAGTATATCCGCCAGTCCGGGTGTACAGCAGAGGTCGATCCGTCGACCGGCCACGGGTTTTTTGGTCTCGTTTCAGGACCACTGGTCATCTTGCTCCTTTTTTTGTGGAATGTCGGATCCCTACCGTCCATGATCCAACCAAAGGAAGCTTGGAGTATCTCAGGCTGATCGAGAGACGGAACCCAACGCCAAGGTGACACGCCACTATCGTACAAGAAAGCATCTAGCTCGTCGTCAAGCACAGCCCATTGCTTAGAAGTGTGCCACATCCGGTCTGCAGGGTGTTCAATCCACGTAAATCTTGGCCCTCGGCGAAATGTGCCATCGTAGTGGTTCCTGAGGCGGGTGAAGAACTGTTCTCGAGGCGCGAATGTGTTCGGTCCGATAATAGCTAATTCAATCTTGTCGAGTACAACGATCTCCAAGTTCTCCGAGTTCGTGACAAAGTTGTACAACCAAGCACTCGCGATTTTAGCATGTCGTAATGCAACGTGTTTGAGTCTGGGGCAATTCTGCTCAAGAAAGCCATCGGCGAAAGGACTGTTCGTTTGGTGCGGAAGTGTGTTCCACTTGAGATCCAGATGTTCGAGGTATGGCGCAGCACTTATTACATACATAAGGAGATCGATGTCAGCCGAGGCCGGACCAGAATATCCGGAAGTGACATGCTCGATGAAAGAGAGCTGAAGTTTCTTGAGGGGCGTGGTGCTAAGCACCCGTATGGTGTTGGTGTAGTCGATGTTCGGCAAAGCGAAGAGCTCGTGAGGCAAGCCAATGGTCTCGTTCCCTACATCTAAGACAAACTCTTGTAAATGTGTGGCCGGAGATGCTACCAATGAAGACATGATGATGCTGTAACCTCTCCATTTTGCTGGCAGATGATGTTCGGATACGTCTTGTTTCGACCGGTCCAAATAAAAAGGCTGAGGCGAATCTAGATGACTACGATCGACCCAAGGCCACACTGAAGGTTTCCGGAAGCCCGGTGGCAGAGCACGATAGAAAGGAGAGTTGTAAGACGGTATGGGGTTCCATGGTCTCCAGACCTCGCTTGTGATAGTAATGCGTCTCAAGTTCGGTAACTGCGTAAATGCACGCTGCAGACCGGCCACATCCCACCCACGTTTGATGATCTCCTTCTCATCTTGATAGAGTTTCTGGTAGAGGACGTAGCTGTCCTCGACGCTCATTAATGCGGCATGAGTCGCAATGATATCTCTGGATTTCTTGTCGTCGGCACTGAGGAGGATGGCTTTGCCGATATGGGTCAAGATTCCGTCTTCTTGTATGCAATCCTCAACACTGATCGACTCATACTCTGAATCGTTGCCATCACCGCTTTGGAAGAATGTGGAGAAATGATCTTCGAGGGCGGCCCTTGCCTTTTCCTGATCAGATTGGAGTGCTTCTCGGAACTTCTCAAATGTTGGGTAGTCTTCAAGCTGCGCATCATCCCAAACTAGTTCTTCCACCCGCAGATGATACCGAGGATGATTGAGAATAGTGTTCAAGCATTCCAGATTCGCACGATTCGGAGAGATGTAAACCCGCTCAATGCGCAACTCCACCATCTCAGCCAGCCCTCTACTTGTAAGTCTAAGCCGCATGATGTCCAATTTCGAAAGGCTTTGGCAGACGATTTCCAATATCTCGGCCGGCAGATCAAGCAACGTTTTCCTGCTCTTGCAGCTGCGGCCATCGCCATTCGCAAAAGCGTCAGGGAAATCGTCTCCAAACATTGCTTCGAAGAAACTCATTGACGGCGCATTGAAAGTCGTCACAACATTGCCTCGACGTTTAACAACCCCAGCACGCGTGGCTAGACTTGGTCTTCGTCGAGGGGATTCAGGTGGTGGTTGGAGTGTTTTGGTGGTCTTTGAAGCTTTAGGCGTACTTGGAGCTCTTGCGGACTTCGAAGGGCGTATGGGGAGTACGAAATTCATGTTGTTTGTATCATTGACTGTTTGGATTTCATGTTGTTATACGAGAGGGGAGAGGAAAACAGACGTTGACTGATGTAGCTAGGTAGCCGCTGACTCGCCAGGCCGCCCCGCCTATGGCGCCCAAATGGGCTTGTTTGGACGAGCACCCGGGCAACCGTAGCGAGCGACCACACCACGCGTGAACATGCTCTAAAGCAGGTTTGAATGTTGTCACATGATGCGCCGAACGCTGTGAATCGTGCTTCAGGCTCTGTTGAGAGGGCTGAGGTGAAGGGAAGGGAAAGGGTTGGATGCAGGTTGCAGTCGCTTAGCACCTGCCAACCGCACGTTGGACGGGAAAGAGTGCCCATAGTGGGTTCTTGCCCACAGGGTCGACGACATCACTGCAAAACAGTTTCATGATACAAGGTCTTCTCATTCCATCAGGCGCTGTCCAGCCGCCTGAACAAGTGCCTATAACGTACATATCTAGGTGCTGAAGCAACCATGAACTGTCCCACGAGCAGATCTACCGCACGACAACTAGCACACCGCTTGCCTTGAACGGCTCACGATACGCTAGCTGTCACTCGCAGCAGTGCACTTGCTCTTCCCATATCGATGCGAAGATTGACCAACCTCCGAACGTATTCGCCGTACCCGCCGTCAGCCGATGTATAAGCACGAAGATAAAATCGAGGCCGTGTGTAGAGTCGAGGTCAGGGAAGGGGCGAGTAATTCATTTACTCCTCAGTCTCCTCAGCCTTCTTCTTCTTCTTCTTGGAAGACTGGTCCTTAGTGAATGATGAGGTGGGGGTGTTCGTCTGGTGGACGATGAATCGTGTGTAGTCCTCCTCGGGATCCCACTCAAAACCCGCTAGGTAGGGTTTCTCGAACTCGTCATCTTGCTGTAACTGCGAGTCAGCTATGTTACGGCAGGAGATTGTGCATCTTTGGATCAGATGCGGGGTAAAGTGGACATGTCGACGTAAGATTCACGTGGGCAAGAATGCGAGAGGATCGACAACGTACCCTCTTCTTGAACTGCTTGTGGATGGCATCTAGTGCATCCTTGATGGTGACGCCCTTCATGTTCCGTGCATGAACTTCAAGGCCAAGTGGAAAGTGCAGGGTGATCTTCTTGACCTTGGGTATGCACAATGGCAAGCTCAGGAATGATGGGTCTTCGACTGTTGATGGTGATTTGTTCAGCTTCCTGTAATGCCGATCAGTCAGATCAGGTAGCCAAGATTGCATTGCAGCGCCTCGGTGGACAGCAAGGTGTACACTGAACAAAGCTGGCAATGCACGTCTGCAGGGCGAGGAATCGAACTTACCACCCTAGCCTCTGTGTCTCGGGCGCAATGTTGATCTGCTTGCCCTCTTTCTCTGCTATCTTGTCAGCCCCGCTTCCCCTCACTTGCTGCCCCTCATCAGGGCCGATGCCACCAGGAAGCTACTTACGGAGGTCTAAGATGTCATAGCAGTCAGCTGCCATAGAACTTGGCCTGCGCTTGGCCTTGACTTCAGGCTGCTGGGTAGCAGAGTCGACCTTGAAGAGGGTTGCCTCGGTTTCTGCCATCGTTGAAGTGTTAAGGAGTGGTAGGCAAGAGCTTAATTAGGTGGCTTGTAAGCAGGAAGTTGGTGGGGCTGTCAAAGAGCTTTGGCGAGCTGGAAGACTGGCACTTGAGGATGAGCGTGAAGTGAGAAGGAAGTTGAGGCACAGGTGAGTGTGTGAAGAACAGAAGAAGGGGCTGAGACGCTTTTGAATGAGGGGTTAATCAATCGGCGGACGCACAGAAGGCAGTCACCTGTTCACCACACCATCGTCCCATCCAATCGGCGCCGGATCTGGCAGAATGGAGCTTGGGCCACCTGTATCTGGGGTAGAGAATGCGGGGAAACGGCGACGCCAACAACGCGCCCTGACATAATCAAGAGGGGCCGGCGGCACCGTAGAGATGCTCAGAAGCTAGCAATTGAGCCTCTGTTGCGTTTTCGATATGTTCTTGAGCCTCAATCTTATGCTCTTTGTTGTGTTCGCAGCTCGAGATTGTGGTGTGATGACCATCACGCGACAGCGATCTACGTCATACGACCAACTGAGAATCTCGCACATCGTTTCAGTTCGGCCCATAACGCGGCGGATGGCTGGAGGGGCTATTGCAGGCTCCACTTGGTACCTGCAAGGACCATCGTTCCAAGCGGAGACTGCTTCGCCGAGCGCAATTGGACCTTGACGGTCATGCTGATGGTGCAAGATAGCGACATGTCCCATATAATTGGCTTTTCCCGGTGGTTCCGCGTTGGGTCTGATCATCTGATGAGGTCTTTGTTGCTGCGTGCCTCGCTCTCTCTGTGGAAGCTTTGACGAGGCTGTACCTTTAGACTTCAAGAATGGCATGAACACTACTTGAGTTGCACAGATCATCACCCCACCTTCTCAGAAGTCTCGAGACACAATGAGGCTACCACCATGTATCAAATAAGGAACTAAACAGCCTCTGCAACGAGGTGTTTGATCTGTAATCATCACTTCAGCATTTCGAACCCAGTAGCTCATCCTTTGTGGCAGATCGACCGAGCGACTCTAGGTGGACTTAAAAGCAACGTTGCGACATATGCAGAAAGAAGCCCCAAGACCGTCAGATATAGACAGAGCCTTGAAGAGAAAACATTCCAAATTCATGTTATCCCATCGAAAACTAACAGTATAGATTCACGATCAAGACCAAGGACCGACTCAACCTCCCTGCAGGATGCAAGAATTCCAAAAGAACATCAAATAAGCGAACTGGATTTGCTCTGGATAGTAGTACTATACTCAAGGGACCTCTCTGCAGACACCCGAAAAGCCCTGTCCGTTCTGAGCGTCTAAGAGTGACCCTGTACCTTTCGATCAACATACAACTCCTCCAAATACGCTTCCTCCTCCTCGTTCAACACCTTCCCCCTCGCCTCCAGCGCCTCATCCATCCTCTCCACGCTCGAGAACCCAATGATCGGACTCGCAACCCTCTTATTGATCCACGCAAGCGCGACATGGCTCATCTTCCAACCATGCTTCTTCGCAAGCTCCTCGACCCGCTCGACGATTTTGTGGTCTGCCTCAGTGTGCCCTGAGAGCGACGTGCCGGTGATCTTCTCGCCTTCTGAGCGTGTAGTAGACCCGAAGGCGGAAGCGGGGCGCGCGAGGTGGCCGCGGCAAAGAGGCGCCCACTGGTGTGTGTTAGCATTGCGAAGTGATGGGGTGTGATGTGAAAGGAAGGGGCGTACAGGGATGAGGCCAACGCCGGTGGCATTACAGAAGCGGTTCATCTCGCGCTCTTCTTCGCGGTACAGGAGGTTATAGTGGTTCTGCATCGACACGAACTTGGTCCATCCGTTCTTCTCAGCCACGAACTGCATCTGCGCAAATTGCACCGCCCACATACTGCTCGCACCAATATATCGCACCTTTCCACTCTTCACAAGATCATGAAGCGCCTCCATCGTCTCTTCGATTGGCACATTCTCATCGAACCTATGGATCTGCAAGAGATCGATGTAATCGAGGTCCAGACGTTTGAGCGATGCATTGACGGCGTTGAAGATCGCCTGACGTGAGAGACCCATGTGGTTTGTGTAATCCTTCAGCTGCGGTAGCTCTTTGGAGAAATTTATGCTGCGCAGACCGGGATCTTCACCGACGGTGCCGAAGCATTTTGTCAGGATGGTCAGTTTCTCGCGGGGGAGAGAGTATTTTTTGATGGCTTTGCCGATGATCTCTTCAGAGACGCCGTTGGAGTAGACATTCGCTGGAGTGGTGCGTCAGCTGTCAACTTCTAGTTTCGGTGGTTTTGGCTTACCTGTATCCCAAGTGGTGAGCCCTCGGTCCCATGCAGCCTTGAGTAGGGGAAGCGCTTCTTCCTCTTCGATTACCCAGGGCTGCCACTTGCTTGAGCCAATGGACATGGCACCGAGAATGGGTACTGAGACACGCAGGCCGCTCTTGCCCAGCTGTCTGTACTCGGCCTTGGACTCCTTAAGGAGGCCTTCGATATCTAGCTTATCTAGCATTATTGCGGTATAACAAGGCTTCCGGAAAGATGAATTGGGGAAGTGTGCTGCGACCGCTCGGCCTTACCGCCGACTCAATCATCTTATACATATGAGGATGGGTAATCATGTTTCTTGATTAGGCAGTTGGCAACGGCTGAATTGCTTGCATGCCGCTATGCAATCCGGGTTTTACGGTGATAGGAGGCAATTCCGGTGATCGGTGATAGTGGTGTAGCGGGGTGAGAGCTGCAGCAGTCGGACCGCGCCAAGCACGCGTCATGTAAAATATGAGCCCCTGATGTATCCGCAGCTTCGCGAACTCACGTCTACAAAGTTGCTCGGCCAAGACGGAGGATGTTCTATCAACTTCATGTAGTGTGATTGGCCTACATCATACGAGATTAGTGAGATGGCTCGATGCGTTAGAAGGTTATCACAGCTGCAAACATCACGAATCAAGAAGCGATTGTGGTCGAGGTGGGTTTCCGTCTTTTCGACGGTATGATGGTATTGAACATCAGTTTTGAAGTTTATCCCCCAAGGCGCCGACCGCAGTCCGTAATGCAAAGACACTCGTAGTCGTTCATATGCCCGTGAAAGAATCAATCCGTACTCCCGCGAATCGCTTAAGCGTCCTCCTCGATGTTGCCGCGCTCCGAGACATAGAGACCGTCCAAGAACTTTCGGATATCCTTGTTGCGGACCTTGCAGATCTGCTGAATGTCGGCGGCCGACTGGGAAACATCCTCGAGGGACTAGACGTCCGTTAGCAGGCTGAACCATAGTAAGCTCCAAGAGCACGCTTACGTTTCCGGTGAGCTGAAGCTCATCCTTCTGGTTCTTCGATGCCTCGACGTTGACACCGGGCCTCATGACCACCCTGCGCACAAGCTTCTCGCCAATGAAGTTCCTGATCTCAACCTCGAACTGGTCGGTCTCCTTGTTCTTCTCGATGTTGACGTTGATGGGGAAATGGGCGTAGACGTAGCGCATCTTGTACTTGTAGCCCTTGGTGACACCGATGATCAAGTTGTTGATGAGGGTGCGGACGGTGCGGAGGGTAGCGACGCTCTTGCGCGAGCCGTGGTGGAGCTCGATCTTGATGAGGTTACTCTTGGGGTGGGAGAACGAGACAGCCAAGTGACCGAGGGACTTCTCGAGCTTGCCACGGGGGCCTGTGAGGGATTGTCAGTGCTGGTTCTGCGCATATGCGGCGATTGTGCACCCACCCTCAACGACAACGTTCCTGGTCTTGATGGTGACCTTGACCCCCTCGGGGATCTCGAGCAGTTCCTCAGAGTGGCTGTTGCGCAATTGTCAGTCCTGTTCATGCATTTTCAATGTTTCCCAGTGCGCGCTGCCGTGGTTTGCTGGGATTGCGGCCAGACGTCGAATTTCAAGGTTGCAAAAAGTGCGCCACGCAGCGATTCGGCAGCGGTGACCGGGTGGTAGACGTACATGTACTTCATCTTGGAGGTTGCTGTGGGTTAGCGATGTCGACGGAGGTTGCGAATGAATTCGGGCTCGAAGTTCCAATGTGTGCAGGACAGGCTCGCTTATGATTTTGCACGCTAGCACTGATTTGTAGCACTAGCAGCCCTCGCCCCACCTCAGTGGCCTCACCTTCGGGCAACACCATCATCTCGGCCTCTTCTCTTGTCATCACGAACATCAAAGGTTCGTATGCGAAAAGATGTCGTTGCTGTTGCAAAGTCTTGCAGTTGCCGTGCTCCAGCTTGGTCATCTGCAATCGCCTTGGCTATGAATTGTCATCCTGCATGTTACTGCTGCTTGTAGAACACCCTTGACGATGCGCATCCACGCTCCATGAACGAACTCTGGAAACTTAGGTAAGGCACGTCACTGCGTTTTGGTGGACAAATGTGCAAGATACAGTTGTTCTGATTTGGGTTTTGTGAATCTTACTATCAGACTGACCTCACAGAGTGCTGTTGCCTCAGAAGCGAGGAACGTGGACAGCAGACGCAACGATGGAAGAGTTGCTGCATCTTCTTGAGACCTTTCATCTAACCACCAACTCAATGTCTTCCCCCACCAAGCCTCGTCTCAGCGTCATTGTCGCTGAGCGGCCTGTTCGCCCTCATCCAGAGAACCGGCAGTCAAGAGCACTCGCTGCGTACTACAGACAATGCAGATTACACTCGGCCGAAAAGCGAAAGCTCCATGTCATGTATTGACACATCGATGACCGTGTGCTGGCCCTCTCGGTGACGCTCACATTAGCGTTTTTGATTGTGATTGGCGTGCCGCTTGTCGCTGTGATAGCGCAGAGTCCATTGTGCAATTGCCAGTCAACGTACTTGTACCGTCGTATGCGTTTCCGGATGCTGGGTCATGGAATCGGTTGTATGATGCGTAAGTCTCCTTGTCTAAGCGTTGGTTAAGGGGAGGGTTGCTGACGTTTCATAGCATTGTGCAACATCAAGATGTGAAGTTTACCGTCATCAACCCCGACAATGGGCCAGGAAATGGCACGCGGCCATGCACGGAGTACATTGACGTTCTCAACGCCTTGGAAGTCTACCCTCACGTACAGACTCGGCTATATCCGCACCAATCGCGGAACCGGCGACAATGCCACCGTTCGTGCTGAGATAGCGACCTACAGCGGCTGGTCGAAGTTCAGGATCTCAGACTTAACGGTATCTTATTTGACCAGACACCACACAAGGACGAGGGAAATGCGAGCGAGTATCTCAGGAACATCAGTGCTACGGTGCGGCACTCCGATGGGTTCTTGGAGCCGAAGTTGGTGGTGCACAATCCAGGTCGTGTGCCAGACGTCGGACTGGTGCGTTACAGGACCGACAGATAGTCGTGTTTGAAGGTACATATGCGGATTTGCCAGGCTGCGAGCACCTGAAGATTAGCGTAAAGGAGCTGGAGCTGCACAGTCTGCACAGGCAGAACTTTGGGATGCTGGTACATTCGACGCTCTCAAACACTGGCAATGTACGCCTGCGGAAGGTCGTTGACGATGTGAGGCGAAGCGTCGAGTGGCTGTACGTTACTGACCTTTCGGAGGACGTGTATGGCGGGTACGGTTCGCTGTGGGAACAGTGGCTGAACTTGATCTGGTAGTGTGGAGCTGGAAAATGCCTCAAGAGTAATGCCCAAGATCTTCCATGATCTCCTCCACTTGCCAATCGAAGACTGGCTCGCGGCGCTTGCGCTCTTCAAGAGCACTGGCATTGCGGTCCCTGGTCAAAGTTTTGGAGATGTCACGTCGGTAAGCCTCTTCGACGATGCTCCATATTCTTCGACGATTCCAGAGGCCATTCGGCAAATCCACTATCCGTGGGTCCAAACTCTTCAGTGGGAAGTGTCTCGTCGCTAGCAGGTGTCCAACCACTTCCCAGTCCCAAGCAGCGTCTGGGTCAGCTGAAGCTGTTAGGTGCTCTTGACGTCGTTTGTCAAGCTCATCTGTATCAATGTCCCACAGATATGGGAGAGCATTTCCACTCATGATGCTTTTCCGCCAGAAATTGTTGTCTAGCGGCACTTTCATAGCTAGCGTCCTGGACGTTCGATGCAATGAGAGAGCCGTATGAGCCGAAAAATGAGTGCTGATCTGATCTAATAATTCAATTGGTAGCCGTTCCAGTGCGCCAAGGGCTCGAGATGGTGGTGGGAAAGATTGCCGGCAAGCCTTAGGGGCGGTGGTGTTTTGGAGCAAGTCAAGCACGCAGGTCGTGATGTTTGGTACGTTTACTGGATCCGTGTAGAATTTCTGTTTATGTATCAGCCTAGAAGCGTACACGAGATACTGCTGCGCACCTCGTAACCACCAGCCCACCATTCCAGAAGAGACAGCCCTACTACACTTCGGGGTCCGTTCGTGTCCGTCGCGGTGCACAGATCGAACAAGTCATTCTTCGCAATCAGATCATCATGTTTGGTGCGCTTCGAGCTCTTCCGGTACCGTGATTGTAACATCGTGTTTAGAATTGACAGACTCGAGGGTTCGTGACTACCCAGTGCGACTGGTCTAAGGTGATCAATAGCGCAGCGGCTGATTTGCAGACAAGTCTCATGCAAAGGGAAGATCGAGTCGTGGTTGTTGATCTGCTGCATAGCGTTGAACGTGATAGTGTATGGAATGTTGGTATCCGGGTAAAGCCCATCAATGTGGAACAGCTGGTCGTTCGTCTCGTTCCAGGTTGCTCTTGCAGAGAGGAAGACATCGGTACTGTCCGAGGTGTTATAGCAGGCGGAGCTGCGTAAAGATCATTATAAGTAAGCTCATTGTAACTAAAGATGTACATACTGGAAATCTTCCTTTGACAGGCCTTCTAGATTGTGATAGTGAACAGCGTGGCTGCTAGCAATGAGGCGATGGTTTCGCATCCACTGAGCGCCGTAAGCCAGCGAAATCGAAGTACAAAGACGTCGTGTTCACCTTGTAGCGGGTAGCTCCTGCATCCAGGTTGTACACTTCACCCTCAAGATCGAACGGCGACCCGCAGATGACGCAGAAACAAGAGAATTCCATCGCAAACTGCGCTTCTGGCTTCCACTCCGGGTCCGGCTGTGGCGTGGACAGAAGGCTGCCCATAGTGTCAGGACATGATGGTGAATGAAGCTCGGGGAAGCTTACACTTAAATCGTGGTAGCGGTCAGGAACGTTCAGCACGCATCAATGGTCAGGCGTGCGGTTCGGACGGAAAGTGCTGCTGAGCGGGTCCTGATGTCATGATTGGCTGGAGCTCCCAGGTGCGCCCCACTATGGCACCCAGCTCCTGCGGTGAGCGATCAACAATCAACTCGCGAGCAGAGATACTCTTTGGTCATTCAAATGCGAGACTAAATGTGAGCACTCACGTTCATAGTATAGGGGATGGAGTCGATCTCCAGTGCCGCGTTCAATGCCGCAGTGAACCCCGGACCACGTTGTTTGCCAACACGCTAACAGCAGGGCCCATGCGTTCTACCAGTGTTGGATAGCCTTCATTGTTGGAACATTCACGTTACTACAAAACCTCCATATTCCATCAGCGCAGATACGAGAATAATAAGACTCTTACAGTCATACTCTAGGTCTCGAACACGAAAATTCGGCACCTCAGTCCGGAACTCATACTCTGTGTCGCGTCTTCCCTCGAACAAGTTGATTGCTGGAATGTTTCGCTTACCTGTAAGCATCTTAAAGAGCTGACAGAGACCGAGCTATATCGTGAGTATAGCAACCCACATCTGCATAATTGTGCTGTGGCCAAGTTCGTGCGCCGATTAGTCCAAAACCCGGAGTTAGCGAAATATGCCAAACAAATCAACGTGAAGGGCTGGGAAACTCTCGATGGTCCGCAAACAGGCAATTACGAGGCTTCGACAGCTCTGAGTGGGATCGCAACAACCAGGGAGGAGAAGATTGCCGAGTTCGATCGGTGGCCTGCCCAAAAGCCTATGGAAGCTGAACATTACCGCCTCACCAAAGCTGCGAAGAATACTGGCATTATCAAAGGAGTGTTTTCTTACGAGGCAGTGAGTACAATTATCAGCCAAGTCAGGTCGATGATATCAGCTGATATCCCCAATGACTTGCTTTGGTTCGACGATGCTCTCGGGGACGATGTTGCCTCACAGACTATATCGTACGATCGCAAGTTCTACTAGCTGCTTCGTGCTGGTATCGACGATGCATACGTGGTTCTTCTCATGGCACTGCTTCCTAGTTTGCGCGATATATTTCTTGGAGGCGTGGACAATGGTTAGGCTGCGTTGGAATTGCATCGGCCTGTCCATGCATTCAAGGCTCTTCGAATTCTGAGAGTTGGCTGCATGGATATGCAAGATGCCTGGGCATCGACTAACTTCATAGCACATTGGCACAAGCCCCTCTGAAGGCGTTACGTCTGCATAACGCCAGCTCCTGGTGTCAGCAAGATCTAGACAATCCGAATCGACCTGTTACACTGAGATTACCACCGGCAGTACTTCACCTGACGACGTTGGGAAGGGACAACTGCTCTTTACGGATGTCTGGTATGCAAACTCTTTTAAATGTGACAACCTTATCGCGATCGCCCTTCTACTGGACTGGCAACGAAGACACAGGTCTCCACAACTTCACCAGCCTCGAACTTATTGAAATGTTGGAACCCTCCAAAGATACGCTGGAGGAGCTGTATCTGGAGATTGTATACTACTGGACAGACTTCGAGGAAGAAGGCCGTCTGACCACAATGTTCCAGTTCACTGCACTCAAGGTGCTCCACACGATCCCGGAAATGTGGGGATGTCTCATGGACGAAGAGCATGACTACCAGCACGATCTGTCTTGGATGACATCCTGCCTACATACAAGCTTCCCGAGACGAAGTGGGATGGAGCCAAATACACCATCATTGGTGCAGAAAATACTCACGGGTTTCGAACGAACTTTTCCAATAGGTCTGCAGAAGATGTCGAGGCAGAAGAGAACGATGACCCTGAGCTACGGGAACTGGAGTCCGACATTGAAAGCTTACTGCGTACGAGGCGGAGGTACCGCATCAGCACTGAAACCTTCTCGCATTCTCCGACTGTCCTACCTTCACGTATCGAAAGCGTCAGCATGACGTGTCGTCCTTTCTAGGCGCAATACCTCGACTGCTGAATCCGAGCACCGAGCTCATACTCTGTATCGCATCTTTTCTCGATGCAGTGGACCTAGTCAATGTCTCTCACATGTAAGCACATTATTGAAACCACGGAATGCGAGCTATTCTGGCAGTATAACAATCTGAAACTCAAAGGGCTCCCTTTAGCTGAGTTCGTGATCCGGATCCTGAGGAAGCCGAAGCTTGCAAAGAACATCAAGCGGCTGGAGGTCAAAGACTGGGATACACTTTCGAGCCTAGGTCCTGACAACTTTGAGCGAAGGGAAAGTCCGGAGAACTATGATCATTCAGGCATGAGCGTGATGGATGATAAGGTGACTGGGTTCGACGACCAACGAACTCGGAACCGGGTCTCAGAACCCACCGAAGAGGAGTACATCTTATGTGCTAAAGCAGCAAGACCAGCAGGGATCATCAAGGATAAATCGTCTCACGAAGCCAAGAGCTTTATCATAAGAAAGTCTGATCAATGTTGTCAACCAATTTCGCAGTAAGGGAACAGTGGTACATGCACCTTTTTGACGGTTCGATTGCTACACATGATGTAAGGTACGACCGCAAGTTCTGTCAGCTACTCCAAGCCGGTATGGAAGATGCATATGCAGTCTTGCTTTTGGCCCTGTCTCCCAACGATCATCTTGGGAGGATCGAGTACGATCCGAATCACACGCTGGGCTGGCCACGTTCTTTCCATGGGTATAGAACGGTGTGGTGATTTATAATTGGAACCATGGATCACCAGGCCACTTGGAGCATCAGTCACGCTAACACTATGCTCGAACTTGCATCGCTTGAAGCGCTTCATTTGCAAGGCGCTAGTTCTTAGTTTCAGGATATCTATGGAGACTTGAGCGAGCAACAGAGACTTTGTCCGTTGTCGTGCAGCCCAAATCGCTACGATTAACCAAGCTAGAATTGGATCATTGCGTCATTACAAAGACAGAAACGAAGGCTCCCCTATTGGTGTGCCCTCAACTTCAATCTCTACTTTACTGGACCGGAACTGAGAATACAGGCCCATACAACTTTACTGTTGCCGAGCTTGTCAAGCTCCTCGAGCCAGAGAAAGCAACGACGAAGGCACTAACAACTCCAGAGTCCAGGTCCGTAGACCAAGGGCAACCGCACCACTCGAGGCTGAGAAGGATATCTTGAGGGTATTGAAACACCATGTTGATGAGCATGGGCGATTTCCGGATCGAGCAGCAGTTGAAGCCTTCATCCTCAACAAAGCCCACGACTTTTCTCAAAGCAACTTGGAGCTCTCCTTGCAGTTCATCAGACTATATGCGAAATCTAAAAGGCGCCTTAGAGATGCTCCAAGTGTCGCATGGCATCTTCAGAGCTATTTGTGGTCGTGCATTACAGAAGGTCTAGTAGCCCGCAACCTATGTAATACAAGAACCGCTCTTGGGCATTCTCATCCGCAACTGCGTCCGCTTACATGGAAGGATAGTTCTTTTCGGACTTTGGTATCGGGTTTGGATGCTTTGATATGCACCTACGAGTCTTCTCGACCTCAGATGAATTAGCAATTACTAGCCCTCGATTGGGTTCATATCGACGTACAATTCAGGTGGTCTAAGGTGTGATTAGGTCCGAAAATATTTATTCATGCGAGAATGGCGTCGACGTATCCCCCGGCACCGAGGTTGCATCGATCCATGATAACACAGGAGATGATGCATGTTCGAATGACGTAGATCTCGCTTGTAATGAAATGCGCTGAAGTCTGCGAAGTGAAGTACGCGGATACGGGATGAGAGAATCGACAAGCTGTCAAGGTGCGAGAGGCAACGGTGGAGCCTGCAAGCTCCAAGGATAAATAGCGCATTTCCTCCATCATTTGTTTCTGTTTCCCTTCTCCCCACAACAGCGAGACTCTACACCTTCTGCTCCGAAGGTCGATCCTTGACTGATACACTACGCTGTTGACTCTCCAAGGCCATGACACTTGCTAACCCTCCATAGGTACCATCTTCACGCTGCATTGCGACTCTTGTACTGATCGATAACAGGCTGAGCCAACCATGGGCGACAACAGATCCGACCTGAAGCGGAAGCGCAGCAAAGATGTCACCACGAGCCGCAAAGCCAGCAAGCCCAAATTGTCCAATATCATGTCCAGCTTGCAAAAGCATGTAGACGAGCATGGCTAATTCGCAACACTGGCAGACCTTGAAGCTGCAGCGCTCGTTCTCTTGTGTGAGCTCCATGCTATCGAAGAAACTAAAGACACCAACGGTCTGCTCAAGGCGGTAAAGTTCAAGCGCGAACCTTTTTCTTCGATTTATTTGTGCCAGTAATGGTTGTCTCCTTATATGAGCGACTATGAAAGTGCGCAGCCATACGTAGAGAGACTAAAGTTCGCTCGCGATTTTGCGGAGGTTGCGGTCTCATGCTCGATTGTCAATCTCAAACTCGATAACCGTTCTCCAGCAGACTACCGAGGAATGTCAAGCTGACAAGGAGCCGTTACTACACTCTCTCGACCACCTCCGTTTCGACAGCTTCAAATCCACCATCAAGTCCGGCTGCCTCCAGCATCTTCTCTCGGAAGCGCACAAGGCTCTTATCAAACCGTTCGGAGGGAATCGCGAAAATGTGCAATCCAGGAAGTCTCGTCCACCTTGGGCCACATTGGAGGCTCTCACAGAGGCGGCTGCAAAGTTTCCACGCCAAGCGGCTTTGCCACAAAGATCAAAGTGATTAGACATATGACTCAAGATCTCTGGGCTGAACACATCGAAGATGTCTTAAGAAGCATCGAACATGCGAGAGCAAAGCTTGAGCAGATTTAGCTCGGTAAGTGAAGGCTCGTATACCAACATTCCCACAACGCGATTAAGGCTGACTCGACACAGTAGTCATCATGGGCAGCTGCTCAATGAAAGACTTCCTTGATCCCCCTTTAAAAGAGTTGTGTGGCGGTTGGGAATACGCATGAACCACGGATTGAGCTTCCAGGTGGTTTTCGGATATGTACGGATACATGCACATCGTAATACACCCCAAGATGGGCGCGAGACAAAGCTTCACAAGAAATGGAAATAGAAGCTTTACCCTTTAAAACGTCCCAGCTGTCAGATTAGTAATGCTTCGAAAGATGCTCCAGCTCCAAAGTTGAAGACATCCGCCATCAACGTATCCCAGTCCTCCAAAAAGCCCGCTGACTGCTGGAAGTCCATGTTCAAAAAAGGATCAGCTTCATCTTCAGTCTGCTTGTACCCCGCCAACTCCTCAAGCAATGGCATGCAACGATCACTTGCATCCTCTGCTGCCTTGACAAGGATTGGCGGCATATCATCCTTACTGACGTTCCGTTCGAGCGCGTCAATCTGCGCAGACAATATGCTGAGTAGCATGTATCCTTTGATGCCCGTCTCACCAGCTCTGATGCAATGAAGGTACCAGTCTGCGGCATCTTCGACTATGTTGACAAGATCAGGCCGTACGTTGACTTCGCTGATGCTGTCCTCTCGATGCAAAGCGCGTAGCTCGACACTTAATAGAGAGGCTGATTGAAAGGCGAAAGCGCGGAAGAACCCAGAGCCGCACCTGCAAAGTCGCGGAAGATCTCCTTCCGTATATGGAAACGATGGATTGCTGGTGATGGCACGAGATGAGCCCGCTAGTGACCAAAGCTTTAGCGACGATTCGACCACACGTTTCCTTGTATATGCGTATGTAGCTTCATGCAATGATGCCGAGAAAAACGGTACGTGGAGAGACGACGTATAGCGATGTAAGACGAAATCGACTGCTTGCAGCTCAAACTGCGTAGGCGTTGGCCCTGCATTAGTAGAGTATGATTGAAACTTGTGCCGTAGGTCTTTGTAGGCCGAACGGAGATCGCGATCTAGTCTAAGCGTTTCGTCATAGGTTCCACCAGAGAAGAGATCGTTGAGAAACTTCACCACGGTGAGGCGAGCTGGCAATGTTTGTCTGAGAGCTATTGCAATGGAACTTTGGGTGTAGTAATTTGATGCCATGGCTGTGGGTATTGATGCGTCCAGATCAACATCATTGAAATTTCCAGGCGGCTGCGTGTCGAACTCCTTCAGCGAGATGAAGCAAGGCCCACCAGAAACGAGACTGGATTGTAGTGAGATTTCAAGGATGGTGTTCCAGATCCGTCGTCTCATCTCAGCATCGAGAGTCGACATGTTTTGTAGCTGAGCTGGATCTTTGTGCAAGCCCATGTATACTGCAGATCGCACCACAGCGCCAGCAGAGATCCAGATTAGCTCGCCACCAACGTCGACGAGCTCGCGGGCGAGCAGTATGAGAATGTTGTTCTGCAAGAAACATATACCAAGCTTGGACTTAAAGGCTGGTGACATGAGCCAAGATTGCGCCTCGTAGACCCAGCGGGTGGCTTTGATGCGCATGGAAAACGTTGAGTCGTATAGCGTTGCACCAATGGCCAGTATCAGCTTCAACTGCACCATGAAGCCGGTGCTGGGCTGTGAGCCAGTCTCCCAGATAGCTTCGTATTCCTTGCGGAATGTGGGTATGTGTACGATGCGATACAGTGTCTCGATCGTGCGAAGGTAGCCGTCCACAAGCACGTCACAGACATTTTGGGGAGGTATGTCCTTTGTGGGTGCTGTCGGCCACTGCGGTGCGCGCTGTGCTTTGATTGTTCGCGCCAACATTTTCGCTCGCTGTACGTCAGAAAGTAACTTCGAGGATTTACTCCTCATGTGGGGTTCGATCATCTCGATGATATCCCGGAAGAGTGTAAAGCTTGAGATCCAGTGGCTCTGCCCAAATACCCGGTTCTTGTGGGCAACACTGCGGACGACAGCCTGAGCCTGGCCAAAGAGTCGACTTTCTTGGATCACGTCGAATGTTCCTCCAAGCGTAGATTTTATCTGATCTGTACTGTGCGAAGGTAACCAACTCACAAATTTTGGTGTAACCGATGGTGCTGAGGAGGCTGGTGTGCTGACTTGAGAAAGTTGTTCCTCTAGCTCCTGTATTCTTAGCTTCATAGACTCCAGCTCTATCGATGTTTGATCGTTCGATATCGAGGCGGTGTCAGAGCTCAGCGAAGGTAGTGAGGTAGCATGTTGGGCGCCCGGTGCAGGCGCAATCGCAATGTGGTGGCCAGGCACTGGGTGTGGATTGGTCTCGTACACACATAGTGCATTTCTTGAGCGAACACAATTACTGCAAGGCGATTCCTTGTTGCAACGTATCTTGCGGCGTCTGCACAGGGTGCACGAACTAATGGAGCGTTTAGCTTTGACCATCGTAGCCTTGTAGGTGACTGTCCGTTGAACTCACATTGCAGGCCGCCTCCGTCTTCGAGGGGTCTCCGTCATGATGGTCTTGGAGCTTGAAGAGATGAGACAAGCAGGAGAGGAGCTGCATAGAACAACAGGAAAGCGTTGACATTGGAAAAGCCATAGGCGTGCGAGCATCCAGTCGTGACTGCCTTATGTCCAATCGCTGTGATTGGCCCGTTCACCGATATCTCCGATTGGCTAAGGTATCCCCGAGTGCGGGACGCCTGAAGTATGCAGCTCATCATCACCAGCACCAGCCTGCTTTTGTCAGCGCCAGTTTGAGTTGAACCTATCGTGCCGTGAGTAGCTTCGAGCTATTCGACTCCGTTTGCCGGTAGGTAATGTGCTTATTGGTGCGCTGCAAGAGCAATAGGAGGTGACGCATGTATGGTTTGTACTAATTCATATTGACTAGAGTTGAACTTCATCCGTATAGAATTGAGACCAAATGGTTATCGACAGCGCCGAACGAACATCCAAGGGTGTGACCAACCTCCAAGTCCATTCGTTACCACGCATGTTGGGCGCACATTTGCAGGGCAAGCCTGGCAAGCTCATCTTCTTTCACAACTTCGATCGACTGCGTGTGTGAGATCCTCCCTCCGTCACCATACATGCAGTGGAGTCGTTCGTGCAGGTCGCGTGACCATGCTCACTTCACGCGCTGATAGGCTCATAGGTGTTGTGAGCTTGGCGGTTGGAGAAGAGGTAGTAGATGATCATGCCGACGACGGGGAAGAGGAAGACAACGAGGGCCCAGATGACCTTGCTAGAAACAGGGCGGTTCGACTTGAAGATTTCAACTGTGGCACACATGTCAGCTCAGACGCAGGGGAGACTGGTAGTCAAACTACACAAGAGAACTTACTCCATGCAATGATGTCGAGGACGAGGACAATGAAACCGACGATACCGCCACCTGTGTCAGCTTTAGCAATGTATCTCTTTTGTTCGATAGATAACCCCACCTGTGCCAGCTTGCCACGGTTTGGCGCTCTGAACGGTAACTGGTGCAGCCTCGACGAGGAGGAACATCGACAGCTGGAGAAGAGCAGCGAGAACGTAGTTGAACATTTTGACGGTGATTTAGAAGTTGAGACCGGTGTCTGTAAGGTGTTCGGCTTGAGTGCTACTGTCGTGATAGAAGATGTTGGTGTTGTGACTGCCCGGTTTTGGGAAGCGGGGGCTTGATTTTGCGCTCGTGCACGGTCCAATTACGTCATCCCATCACGCTGTTCCTTCATGCATCAGCAGCCTGTTTCCTATCTGAGCTTTACGCTCATCCAAGACAATGCATTCATCCACCAATACATCCACCACATTAAAACCAGCGTCACCTACCGTTGCCTTCACGCTGCCAGTGAAGGAATAATGTTGATGCATCGATCGCCGAACGCTCTCTGGATCTGATATCAAGCTTCTGGAGTGCATCTGCTTGCAGTACTTTCCTGCAATTTCTCGCGCCGGGGCCAGGACTCCAGCACTTAACAAAATATCATTCAAGATCCGCAAGAGGCTGACTTGAGGGCGCTGGGAGGTGACCTTTCATGAACCTCGCACTATGGGTTGAGAGCATGACTCGCCCTCAGATCCTACACGAGAAGACCAGTAACGCGATGGCAGCTCATCGAGCTTTTTGTGTACTGCAAGGGTCGCAGACATGATACATCGTCTTCCAGAAGAAGCAATCGTATGGCCTAATGTCGTCTGATAATGCAACAGGCAGTTGTTGCCTCCAGAAACGTCGAAATGGGTTTCCCTTTGGATCATGCCAGGCCGTCACCAACACTTATATCTGACAAAGGAGGTTCAAGGTGCAAGAAGATGTGAAAACTACCACGAAATCCGAGAGAACAGTTGTCAGCTTACAGAGCAGAGTATTCATAGATTGCTGTATCAGCTGTATGCTAGCTGTATGCTGTCGAACAAGGGAAGGATCTACTGAGATTGAGCCAGTGAGTAGAGTAAGAACCATCGCGTGGGTTGCCAGACTGACAGTGAGTTCCTTGACAAGTTTTAGCCCAGGCCCCGTCAAGTCACCGGTCGCAGCGCCTGCGATGCACTATCCTGCACCTCGTCCCTTACTGGCTGTTACCACTCGTAGAATTGGCAGTCACCAAACGCTCGTCTCGACCTTCATTAGCACTAATTGCACGTCTCGACCCCAGCAAGTGGATCACAGCTCAGGCAGAAGGCACAAGCCACGGATCACACTGAAGGAATACTGCTGTCGCGCTTGCAGAGCATGTCGGTGGACGCAGTTTCCAAAAGCAGAGGGCGAAGGCGGAGAAACAAGGCGGCTGCGCATATCTCATATAAGCGGAGCAAAGCATGGCTTACATCACAAAGCACGCAGGACCAAAAGCACCGTTCGTTGTTGAAGCATCGATACCTGAGATGGCGCAAACGCGGACCTACCGGATACACTACGCTTGTACTCTGCTGCTGGCGTTCCTCACTGACTGCTGGATGGAGCGATTACGAGCTTGACTTCGCCAGCGCATCAGTTCAATTCGATATTGTCATCCATTCTTCATGACTACTGGCGGGTCCCATCCGAGCAACCCCCCGGTCATCCATCCCATCTTCTCCGCACTCAGCCACTTGAGATCCCGTCTACTTTATGGGGTTGTCATAAAGATGGGGAAGGTGTATCGTGCTCTCAGCTGTCTGCCTTGTTTGTCCGTTAAAATAGGGTTGGTCCCGAGAACGGCGCGAATGGCTGAGCTACGAATGGTTAATGACCCATGGTAACTTCCCGCCGTTAAGAGCTTAGTCTAAGGTGCAAAGCCTAGGCAGGGTGAAGCTTTTCATGGCGTACCTGTTGACCGGTAAGCGGAATGTCTTGGCAGATGGAGCGACTCGACGGGTGCAAGCTACCGTACTGGTAATGTCAAGGAAATGAGCTCCTTAATCGGAGAGGAGCAACATTGGCCCCTGTCTAGCAGACAAGCACTATCTGGAGATGAACACCAAGCTTTCATTTCGGGTTCATATCCGGAAAATGTGCGACACAGCAAACGACAACCACCAATGGCATGAGCTGTGCATGACTGACAACCCTCTCAGCTCCTGCCGTACGATGGCGTTCGAGTTGATAACGAGATATCACCAATTGAGTCTGGGTTTCTCGTAAAGGAGCACGTCTGAAGCCGCACGAAAGGCGACGTCGATCGCGATGCTCTCAGTGGCAGTGAGGTCTTGCGCTTGGAGATGTGATCCATCAAAAATCAATAGCTTCACTCGGTTCGAGAGCCTGACTCGACTGGCGAGCAAAGAACTGGGCTGCAGCTGAGCGAGCATTCCCTCCTTGGCATACTAGTACTAATGACCAACAGAAAAAAGGCGTGCCGAATAATCTCGTCATGATGCCAATGATGCAAGTCGTATTTTTAGATGGCCTGACACTACTGTACAGAGATGCGGGAAGTAGTGTACCTCGAGACAGGTCGAGTATGCAGGTCTACAGCTACTGTAAGCATGTTACTGCAGTGCCAGTCCCGACTGTTGCAAGGCGGAGAAGGTCCATCTGATATCACGAGCTAGTAAAGGCGCTGAAATTTGTCTAGGTACTTCATATCCACTCGAAGAGACGGAGATTAAATCGCAATCCCCCCGATCACCCTAGAGCAGATGTTGGGTGAAAGCATCGTGCACGTGACAAGCACTATCACCAATGATCCGGGAATTTACGAAGATCATCTTGCTGGATATAACTGAGCCGATATACTGCACAGACTAAGCCTTGCAAACCATACGCGTTTTGGCTTCGCGAAGTTTCGAGTTGCCGTCCAGGTTTGGATGTGTCATGTTAGGCAAGAGCTGCCCAAGCGCTATCCCGTCTCACGTCTGGGGAAGTACCTTGCTGACCTCTCAGCGACTGTTCACTTTGTTAGATTGGATATATTTCGCCCATAGTGGCTCGAGGCGTGAGACTACCCGACCTGGAGATGGTCGAGGTAAATGCTAGGCTGAGCTTAGCTACATACACATTGGTCTGATGGCCTTTGTACTCACCGAATCCCCTCCTTAATAGCAGTACAATACTGTTTTCCTATGACCGCAAACGCAACCCTTGCAACAAGTATCTTCAGGTGATCCCTAATATTCAGTCCCCGCAGCGGATAGTTTCGAGCAGTATGCAGGGTGCATCAGCCCTGCCCGGCAACATGCTAATCATTCACCTATATCCATGTGCAGACTGCTGGATGTATGGCGTATCCATCGATGCCAGCAGCTGATCTTACACAAATGTAAAAGAACGACGGTTAAGGCTGACTGTCAAACTCAGATTCACGCTCCTGTCGAAACGTTCCGGACAACCACGGTTTTTCGTCTCGTCAGCTCTGCTGGTTCTACCATTTGTGTAGCTAGCGTATCTCAATTATACATGACGTTTTCCAGAACTAAGGGAGGTAGTAAGGCTGAATTTGCCTGAGCCTCAAAAGCTTACAAGTACTTATAGAACTATAACGCAGTTTTGCTAGTTCAGACGATTGCTCACGAGATGTTGAAGAGATCCGGAGCTCAAATTTCGGATTAGATACTGGCAAACTCCTCTGTTTTGCGAACATTGTAGCCATCAAGAGACATCATGACAGTAGCTTTTGTCTTGCTATTATCGCTGTGGGACATCGGTATGTTTAAATTTTTGCTGAGATTGGTAGGCGCCTGGAAGCTTGCGAAGGAACGCGCAGTAGGTCAGTAAGGCAAGTTTTTCTCCTGTACCGATGTGCAGGGCGACATCTGGAGGTCCGAATAGATGCGTGTACACCGCGCTGAGACTGTAAATGTTGTTGGCGGGGCGCTGCTTTAGAAGGTGCTTGGCCAGCTCGTGAATTTTTGCAGGCTGCAGTCTTCTTTACGACTTCTTTCTAGCACCCTTGTTGCTGATAGCCACCCTATGTAAAAACTCTGGCTTGTTGTTGCTTGTGACAATCTTCAGAAGGATCTGTAGATCAACGGTCGTCTGGTAAGAGGTGAAGTCCTCTCCCACAGCCAAATAACCCTCCACTCCGTACTTCTTGTGGAAAGCCGATCGTGCGCTATACTTGCTTAGCAGACTATTGGTACTCCGGAATTATCGGGTCTTACTTTTGTTCATCCAACGGCGTGAATGGAGTTTCGGCGCATTCGTTGTAGGTTTTGGTCATCGTATCGACCGTATGACCGTTGTACTTCACGAAGTTCTCGAGGATAGGCTCTCCGTCCTCGTAATTGCGAATCAAGACTTTATACACAACTGGAAGGACGCCTCGGAAGGAGGTGATGTGCTTCGTGTCTATGGTGCACGAGACAGCCCTCTGTTCCGGTATGAGATCCTCGAGCCACTTCAGCTGTTCGAGCCAGATCTTGTTCGTCGGTACCTGCAGCTTGCTTACACATCGCTTGAGGTCGCGCCCAGTGTCTGCTTGAACTCATCAATCCAGTCGCCGAATTCTGTCTGGAGAGGTTTTCCAGCCTCCGTAGTCGCTGGGTCCTGCTTCAAGATCTCGACTTCCGGCTTGAGTAACGTGAAGACCATATCAATATTCTCCATGGTCACTTTGCCGACATCGAACATGTCGTGGCAGTGCTCGCGGAGGAAGGGAACGATATGTCCGTTCGATCGTCTTCGGTGTCATAGGTATTTGACACGCGCTCGAAGAATTGTTGCGCGTTAGCAACGTGGTGCATGGCGCTGGCAATCGTGAGTGAGGTGGAAACGCTGTGCGGCTGCGAGGATGGCATGCTCAAGGGTTGATGGGCGATGTCGATTCTTGTGAGATGTGTTGCGAGTTACATTTCGCCGGTCGGTGAGCGTTTTGGCGGTGTGAAGGTCAAGATAAGCCTTAGTTTGTAGTTAGCTTCGCTCCGAAGCTAGAGCTCCTCATCCTTGCAAGATTGGATTTAGTTCTTTTACTGCCTACGAATTAATAAACGCGCTGCATATCTACCTTGGACACCTCCTAAATTGCTGGTAGTAGACATACGCGTTAGGCTTGTAACGCTGGTTCTTAGGGAGCTTGTTCCCAAGACACATACCATACAAGATGAGCGAGTGTCAAACAAGGGCAAGTATAGCTTGGAATATAGGTAGTGTTTGGAGACTACAATATATGCTGGGCATCATTCGCCGATACAATAGACCCAGTATACGCTGTTGAATGCCTCGTCCTGTGAGCTCGGGTGCACGTATGAACTGTTGGATATTTCACTCGTTTCGTATAAGTGTATGCATAGTCAAGGAAACCTACTCTTCCGCCTCCCCTCATCCAATCACCAACGCCCACCTACCTCTTCAAAACCTTCCCCGGCAACAGCGCCGTCGTAACCACACATCCCAGCGTCACGCCACCCGCAAGATACAATACACTATTGACATCCCCCTTATCATCCCTGCTCCTCGCATACAAATGCTGCGCAATCAGCGGACTTACAATACCAAACAATCTTCCCCAAAAACTCGCCACACCACACGCTGTCCCGCGAATCGGCGCCGGAAAAGCCTCAGGCGTCCACCCGTACAGCACAGCGTTGAACATAGACTGGAAGAAATACTCCATAGCGTTCAAGCCAGTGTTGGAGGCTGGGCTGTTGACCGTGCTGAACACGAAGATGCTGACGGACATGAGGAGAGACGAGACGATCATGGTGTACTTCCGCCCGATGTTGGGGGTCCGGTAGAGCAGGGAGCCGAGGAGGACGCCGACTGTGCCGGGGAGGTAAATCAGGATGTAGGAGCGGTAGGTATAGTCGAGGGAGAGGTGAAGTGCGCCGTTCTTGAGTGCGATGATGCGAGGGAGGTAGGAGCCGGCGACGGTGAAGCCGGTGAAGTCGCAGATATATGTCAGCCAAACGAGGGTGGTGAGGCGGATCATCTGTGGTGAGGAGAAGAGGATCTTGAAGCGTGCAAGCTCGAGCTTAATGCTGTCTGACCAGGTAGGCAGCTCATCCTTCGAACTGTCGCCGCTTAGGGTGGAACTGTGCTCCCGCTCCACAGCTTGAAGCTGTTCGAGTACCAGACTGCACGTTGTCCCGTTGTATAGCGCGATGCTTTCTAGCACTTCGATTGCCTGTGCATCTTTGCCACGATAGAGCAGGAATTTTGGCGACTCCTGGAAACGGAAGATCACTGATCGTAGGACGAAGACTAGCAATGTGAGAGCGCCGAGGATGTACCTATCACGTATCAGTATCTGTGGTGATAAGGTGGAAAAACTGGTTTACACACAGTAGATACCTCCACCCCATGTTGGCATCCTTCCTGCAGCAGGCCACGTCTACATCAACGTTCTTGCATGAAGGCAGTGGGCCTGCTTCCGAGAAGTTCGGCGAGCAACTGTGGACGGGTATGAAACCATAGGCCATGACACTGCAGATGACGACGCCGAGAGGCTGAAAGATGGAGAGGAGCGGGAGAAGGTAGCGCCTGCTCTCCGGAGTGAACTCGAGCGTGATTGTCGTATCAATCGGGATGTTGCCGCCAACGCCGAAGCCGGTCAGAGCAGTGAGAACAAGAATGGTGTTATAGTCGTCGGGTGTGCCCAGACACATTCCAAATATGCAGGCAATCAAGACTGTAAGGTTAAAGGCCCAACGTCTGCCGATGACATCGACTAGAATGCCCCAGACGAATGCACCAGCTGTGAGCCCCACAGAGAAGGCCGTGGACAGCTTTCCAGTCTCGTTGTTCCCAAAACCCAGCTCTTGTTGAAGTGGAGACAGGATGAGGCCAAAGGCTTGCGCCCACATCAGGTCGATGAGATACCCAAGACCGCACAGTGACCAGATCATCCACTGATAGGAGCCCATGCCGAATGCATCCATCTGCTTGTCCACAAGCAGACACTTCTTTTCGTAAAGTGTAGCATTGTCCCCAAACTCATCTTTCGACGACTGAGAGTTATCAGTGTGGCTCTTGTTGTCAAGTTCGCTGACTTCCTTCTCAATCTTGTCCAGTATTGCGGCCATCGATGGTGGAAACGTTGCATTGTCAATGGTGCGCGATGAGGAGCCAGAAGCCTCTGGTGGAAGGAGAGGCTCATTCTCACTCATTTGTTGCGACGATGGACTGAAGTTTTGCTTTCCCAAAATTGACAATGAACCACTCCTCGCTGGGTTCATCACTGCCGGGTCCACCACAGTATGCTGTACCCAAACGTCAACGACGCAGCTAGCTCGCTTTCGGCAGGAGCTTAGCGGGATGCAGTAAGACAGCCGCTGATTTGGTGAAAGCTTCCGCTGTCAGAGATCTGCGTTTGAGTAACTCCAAGCGCAGCGGGCATCAGTCAATCCAGTGTGTAATGGCAGACCCTTTAGTTGTCGCAGTTGCGATAGAGACGTGCCGGTAAATCGAGGAGGTCACTGTAGAGTATCAAGGAAACCAAGATTGCTGACGTCGTACGGAACGGAATTGCGACAAGTCCAAAACGTAGGTAATTGGGATAGAGGTACTGAGATAAAATACCTGGGAAACAGAGAAGAACGAGCAAAGCTGCAGCAGTGACAACTATCAACACGGCCCAAGGCTTACCTCTTATACCTGTTCACCCGTATCTGTTGCGGCAAGGGCTACCCTCAACACAGGAATGCACCCCGCGATAAGGCATCGCCCGCGAATCCTACCTGAAGGAAGACGCTCTCCAAGCACTAAGACGGCCCTGAGCGGGTCAGACAGACGTTGAGCAATCCACAACTGCATGGGACTTGCATGCGCTGGGTCGAAATAATGGCATTCTATGGTTGTAACGCTTCAAACAATGTGCGAGGCTGCAAGCTAGGCCCACGTGAAGATGCGCAACATGCAAGGCTGCCGTCATCCCGTGTGTGAAGGATGCCTCAGGATGCAGAGGGGTGCAGTTGTGATGGGTGACGGGCCAATGGCCGGGAGGGCCCCTCTTTTTGCGCGCTAGCGCCGGAGCGGCAGAGAAAGGCGCCGCAAATCTCAGAACTTTTTCTGGACTTGGGCGAAGCAGGCAAGAGCGACTCGAAATTCAACAAATATACCTATCCAGATGGCACCCCGTAGAAAGAAGCAGCGTCTCTCGGAGGAAGGCGCTAAGGCCGTCACCGCCACTGTCGACGTCGAACAAGCCGCCAGTGCACCAACAAATGACCGCAAGTCGAATGCCCGCAGACAGCTCTTCGTTCGCAGTCTCGCGAAGGAAGTCACGACCGAGGCACTCACCGAATTCTTTTCTGACTCTTACCCAATCAAGAACGCGCTCGTTGTTCTCGACAAGGATACCAAGGAATCGAAAGGTTACGGTTTTGTCACATTCGCCGATGTCGAAGATGCACAGCGCGCACTCGAAGAGCTTGATGGCGCAAAGCTGCAGGGCAAGAAGATCCGTCTCGAGAGCGCCGAGGCAAGGCATCGCGAGGATGGAGTTGAGGGCAAGGGCCAGAGGTTGAAGGCGGAGCGCGAGGCGCAAAAGAAGGAGAATCAGACGCCCAAGCTGATTGTTCGCAACCTGCCGTGGAGCATCAAGAAGCCCGAGGATCTTGAGAAGCACTTCCGTAGTTTCGGCAAGACGCACTTCATAAACCTGCCCAAAAAGCCTAACGGCGAGCTGCGAGGTTTTGCCTTCGTTGCTATGCGTGGCAAGAAGAATGCCGAGAAGGCATTAGCGGAGCTCAACGGCAAGGAGATTGACGGCCGGCCGATTGCCGTGGATTGGGCTGTGGACAAGGATGCATGGCAGACACTGCAGAAGACCGAGCAGGAGGGTGAGGAGGCAGAGGATAAGAAGGATTTGGATATGGAGGATGCTAATTCTGACGCCGAGTCGAGCGAAGAGCCGTCAGACGACGAATCCGAAGAGGACGGTAGCGAGGACGACAAAGACGACAGCAACACTGACTATGACGACGAAGACATTTCAGACGACGAAGAGGGCGGTGTCGAGCTTGAAGAGCCCAAGCCACAGCGACCAAACCACGTCCTTTTCATCCGTAATTTGCCCTTCACCGTTGACGACGACAGCCTCAAGGAGCATTTTCAGCAGTTCGGCGCCATCCGCTACGCCCGTGTTGTCGTCGACCGTGACACCGAACGACCCAAGGGCACAGGCTTCGTAGCTTTCTTCAATGAGGAGGAGATGATCAACTGCCTGAAGGGCGTACCAAAAGTCACACTGCACACCAAGAACGTTGAGCGCAAAGACGGCGCAACCATCACAACGACGCACTCCGTCCTCGAAGACGCCGACGCCGATCCCACAGGCAAATACACCATGGACGGGCGCATCCTCTCGCTCAGCCGCGCCGTCGACAAGAACGAAGCCACCCGCCTGACTGCTGAAGGCGCCGCGAACCGCTTTAACCGCGACAAAGACAAGCGGCGCCTCTACCTCCTCAACGAAGGCACCATCGCCTCGAACTCGCCGCTATACTCGCAACTCGCGCCCTCGGAAGTTAAGATGCGCGAAGACAGCGCGACGCTTCGTAGAAAGCAGATCCAAGAAAACCCCTCCCTCCACCTCTCTCTCACCCGTCTCTCCGTCCGCAATATCCCCCGCTCCATCACCTCGAAGGACCTCAAACAACTAGCCCGCAAAGCCGTCGTCGGGTTCGCCGAGGACGTAAACAACGGCAAGCGGCAACGACTCAGTAAAGCCGAAATAGCGCGCGGCGGCGAAGAAATGGTCATCGCGGAGAAGATCCGTAAGAAGCGTGGAAAAGGTATCGTCCGGCAAGCCAAGGTTGTCTTCGAGACCGAAAAGGGTTCGAAAGTTGGAGAGGAGACAGGTGCGGGAAGGAGTAGAGGGTACGGGTTCATCGAGTACTACACGCACCGCAACGCGCTCATGGGTCTGCGCTGGCTGAACGGGCACGCCGTCGATTACAAAGTCAAAGGCGACGCGCCGAAGAGCAAGAAAGCGCAAAATGAGGCGCTGGAAGACAAGCGGAAACGTCTGATCGTTGAATTCGCAATCGAGAACGCAAACGTCGTTTCGCGCCGGTCAGCCGCAGAAGAGAAGTCCCGCGAGCCGAAGCCGGACAAGGTCGAGGTTGAGTCCGCCGCCGAGGACGACACAAAGACTGGCAAGGATAAGGGCCAGAAGCGGAGGCGCGACTCAAGCTCCGGTGCAGGTCGTGACGCGAAGAAGGCCAAGGGCAGGGATGGCGGCAGCAAGGCGCTAGGGTCGGGCGCGGAAGGGAATAAGCGGCCCGCTGCTGCAGAGGGCGACATGGATAAGGCGAAGTTGGCGCAGCGGACGCGGATTATTGCGCAGAAGAGGATGAAGAGGAAGGCGAACCGGGCGAAGTAGTCTCACATTCTGTATGGATGAGGGGAGGCGCATAGCGATGGCGTTAGTTCAAAGGTTGCTATGATACCGAAAAGAATTGTTTTGGACGTTGAACGTCCTGAGGTCTGTGTACACTGTTTCATGATACTCGTGAGTAGAGCGTGTGGCGTGTCAACCGTGTCGACACAACGTGGACAGACGTTGAAAGTGTGTCTGACGAGAACGGCGTCGATCTGCCCCACTCGACTGCTTCTTCAGGATGTTGAAGTCGTATCGCTAAGCGCTGTTTGCCGTGTGGGAATATCTGCTGTGTAACATGCATGGCCACACTGAGGTCGAGTCCCGTCAGATTGAATTTGCCTCAGGCTGTGAGGGCTGTGCTGTTATGCGGTAACGAGGTCTCTCGTTTAGAGCTTGAGATGCTGTGTAAATTTGCAGCCTGCAACCAGTGCTCAAGTCCAGTTGAGCTTTGCTTGAAATTTTCCCATCATTCACATCATTAATTAGCTTGCCTGCTGGAGTCGATCGTTTTGGTACATACATGGAGCTGATATTTGCTGTGTGCAGACAATCCTTGCATGGTATGGCATATTCATGCCAGTGCTTGACGTTTGATGCTTTCAAAATAAGCTATGGCAAAAGACTTTCAGGACCGGATCTAGTCTAGTCTTCAACGTGTAATGACGAGCAGCTCACAATAGCGCTGCAGCTTCTTCGTTGCAGTATTTCGCGGTGAGTGAAGACCAAAAATTGGCGTATGATTCGGTCTTGCCGTGGGGATGAGACTTGTTCCGGTTGTGGTACCCGTCACTCGAAGACTTCGAGCGTTGTTGATTGCACAACCCATCATTGTGTAGCACTCGCTTGCTCAACGTCTCTGTGACGCTCATTGCAACGAAAATATGGTACCATCTATGCTCGTCAGTCAGCGGAGGGCATGTAAACGCTTGTCATGATGGTTCTGTACGTGTATGCGTGTAATTAGTGTGTACACAACGCGTGTGACTAGTGTGTATACCACAGCCCATGCAGACTCATACCGGGTGACAGGGACAAGCTTCCCCGATGCCCCATGCTGCGAGCAGGCAGAGGCGTTGCTCGTGCGCAATTCAGTACGACCTGTGAGACCACTCGCTTTAGTGCACCGACCTTTCCATGTCACATTGTCGAGTCTAAGATCCTACACTGGTGGATGGAAGCGGAGGTTGCTGCTTTTTTAACTCCCTAATGAGGCCCCCTGGAACATCTCTTTGGCTATATTGGATCGAGTCGGTTCTGCCATGCTGTGCCAGTATCGGACTGTTAGCCGAACCCCCGAGTAAGCTTCGAGACAGGCTGAAAGTTCAACAAGTTGTTGTCGAATGTTCAGCGTCCATGACTGTACAGTCAAATCGAGCAAGCTTTCTGGCCGATCAGTAGATCCTTGAGTTGACTTTCGCATCAAGAGCCTTTCCTGAGTCGATAATCGTGGACTGATTAGCGAACCACTAAACATAGTGCAGGAAGGGACTTGCGCTGTAGCAGGAATTTCGTCACAATTGTGTAAGCGGCTCTGCGGTGTCTTGCCAACGGTCGGCCGTGTACAGCGTAGTACACTGCAGCTTAGTGCTCGTCAAAGGAACGTTCGAGTATTCATCAAAGGTCGTACACAGGCGATCTCCGGCCAAGTGCTGGAGAGCGGACAATATGTGGATAAGATCCATGCCATAACGAGTACTGCATGCGCGGGTCTTTCCTGACAGCGGACGGAAAGGCGGCCACGGCTAGCGAGCCGATGCATGACTGCGTCCATCTTGCTCAAGCCGCCCGTACTAGTGGGCTCACAACAGCCAGATGCAAATTTTGAGGCAGCTGAAGTTGTACGTAATGTCCTGTAAGTTGTCATTGGCCTGAGTGCAGACATAGATGTCATACAGCATCAGACCTCTTAAGATTGGCATGGCCCCGATAGTATTTTTGATGCAAAAGCAGGACTCCATCTGCTGGTAGTGTGTCTCAAGTTTGCAAAACTCGATTTGTAAACGCGACCCAACGTAGCCGCAAACTGGTTGATTGATTGATCGATTGTGTTTAGTCGAGATATGCTCAGCAAACGGTTGTAGCGACGGTGGCGGCTCGCCTCGGTAACAACTCGGAGGCTGTTTGACTAGGATTGGACTGCATGAAGCCATGCAGCAAGTTTGCTGGAGGTCGACTCTCATTCGCAAGCAAGCACGCGCTGAGCTCCACTCGAGCAGGGGAATTCGACGCATGTGACTGGTGGCTGAGGTGACACACACATTGCAGGGGTGTGCACGAGTGCAGAGAAGCGTTCAACGAAATTGACAAGTCTTCTCTGTGTCTCGCTTGAAGCCCACTCAGCCGATGCCATGAGGTAGATCAGACGTCTGGCGAGACCATCGTTGGTGTGGAGAAGAATAAGGCGAAGGCCAGTGTGGGGGTGCATGGAGCTAGACGTGAAAAAGAGCTCCGCAATCGCACTGTAAGATCGCTTGCATTCCGATTGATCTCGACCAGATTCCGGGATGGTGGACGATACATGCGCCGCCAATGATGTGTCCGTGCGTTTGAGGTGTTGTGATCCAACGCGATCGTACTGCAGTGCCTCGACGTCCCTTTGAAGGATACACTGCAGAAGAGTGGGGGCTGAGCCAAAGTCGAGATTCGAACAGCTATCGAGTAGCTTGGGTAGCACTCGAAGCCAAGGCTGTACACCTGTGCAGCCACGAAGAAGTCCTAGGTAGATCGGTGCTAGTGGAAGACGTAACAATGGTGGTAGGCCTCGCTAATCAGCCAAGCAGGAGAGGTTTGTGGGTCTCTCAGGAACCTGGAGATGCGGGGAGGCGATTCGTTTGTGACGGTCGAGGATGCCGGGGTGAAGGCAATTCAGGTAGTGTGCAACCTTACATGTCGCCGCGTGCTGCAAGGTCGTCGAAAAAGAAGTCATTACGACGAGTATGTCAAGCATAGCGCGGTTGCCAACGAGGGCTACAGGCCGCGGACGTCCATATGGAGCGGCAACATATAAAGTGGGCGATACTGCTCGATAAACAGTCTTTCACCATCAAGTTCCATCAGAAACGACTTTCAAACTCAGGTTTGTGTTGCTGTAGGCCCTCGAACTGCTTTCGGATCAGCCACAGTAGCAATAACGCGACGTTGTCGACATCTGTGCTCTAAGCCGCCACCGATCACACACCACCGTATGTTGAAGTGTCCACACGATGATTCAAAGCTGACGATGCTGTAGCTCTAAACCCACCCCAATTCTGACACGCAACCGCCATGTGCTACTACGAGGAGATCTACTTCGTTTCCTGCGGTCACAAGGAGAAGCGCCTCCAACAGTATTGTCATTTTGCACGCAATGACCCCGGCCATCAGTGCTTCGGTGCTTGGAACATCAGACGCCAGTGGGAGCAACACGAGACCGAGTGTGAGAACTGCGCCAAACATCGACAATACTTGAAGGCCAATGGTCTGGCTCGCGGTGTGCAGTCGATTTACGCAGGAGGGAGATGACCTTCGTATGAGGATTGACTCTGACAGGAAGATCCAAAGGTCCAGTGACTTGATGAGCTGTTGGACCGGTTTGATTGGCAGGTGTTTGCGGCAGCATGTATATTGCTCTTCTGTTTTGCTTTCTGATGAATCGCGGGCACGGCCGGTATGGCTTCGAAATACGAGGGCGTTCTGGTCTTCAGCGACGAGGCAGGCTTTGGCCTTGATGTATCACTTTCGGCACATGGTGAACGTTCTTTTCAGCTACTTCACATTAGCAAATGTGTACATAGATACCCCGTATTAGGTAAACAACTGGCCTTTTGAGCCATAATCGATAGTGTTACGAAGTACAACACATGCTCAAAATTTCCTGCAGTATGTTTGCTCGCATAAATCGTTAGTTGGCAGGTCGAGAATAGGTCTCTTTGCCGATCGTCTTGCCCCGCCGTCTTATGAAGCTGACTGCAGTCGAAAACATGAGTAGCGGCACAATGTCGGGTCTTGCGAAGTAGGAGAGAAATTGTGACTCAGAAAGATAGACAACGTGACTGATTCTCTTTTGTTCAAGGCTTCGAAGCCGTTGCTGGTATCTAGTTGAGCAGTATACTCATGTACGGTCATGTAGTCGCCGGTGTCAAGATATAGATTGAAAGACTCATTGTCATTGGCGATGCGTCCGAAGATGATCAGATTCTTGATTCGTTCTCAGGCTGAAGATGTCCGACGATGTTGTATCGTTTGCTGAAGAAGGTGTGCCAGTCATTGAGGGTTTTGGTCTCAGTCTCGGAAAGCGTGGAGTAGTCTGATACACAATCTTCTGGTTTCAAAGATGACATGCCGAGCGCACGGTTGGGCTCCTTGCCAGCAAAGACTATGTCGAGTAAGCAGGCAAGTAGAAAGGTGCGTACTCGACCTTACCATGATAACCCTTTCCGGGTGCGTATGTCTCCTTTCCACTCACGTCAAACACATCACCCTGAACACTTTGTGAGTTACTTGCTCCATCATTCGCGTTCAGTATTGACCACCTACCTTGATGCCGACTAGCGTAGGGTAGCCTTCGTTTGTGCCTAGCATATCGGTCTCAGTACTGTCGCCGCCACTACATTGCGCGGGGTAGCTCACCATCACACTTGGCAAGGTGTTCGCGCGAGATCAGGTCGTTCTTGGGCGGGTTCAATGCCACTGGCTCCTTTGGTGCGAATCTCTCCTTCTTTGGCTCTTCTGTACCGGACATGTTGCGTTCGTATTGTTTTGAGTGTCGTCTACATGTTCAACAACTGGAAGCTGCAATCCACCTCGGCAAGATTCGACGCTAGCACTAGCTCACAAATGGCTCCTCCACGATTGGTTCTTTCATGATGCAGAGGAAGTGGGCTATAACACCCGGACCACCCACCAAAATCAGCAATACAACAGTACAGAACAACAATTAGCACAATACTATTGTAAACTTCCAGTGCAATTCATCACACCATAGCACATCCTTCCAGTGTTTGCTGCGCAGCCAAGCCTTTAACTGGATGTCAGACCACTCTCTCCTCTCTGCTTGTTGCTTGGGAGGATGCTCATCCTGCTGGGATGCAACATGCTCAGTAATGGGAGCAATCTCATTCACATGGCGCCATATTGCGGTGCGGTGATAGGCCTCTTTCCCATGTTTAGCTACTACCCTAGCAGCAATCTGTATGTCCTGCCATGTTTCTGCTTTCTTGTCAAAGGAGCAGTGGTACAAATAATCCACTGTAAGGTGTTTGTAGGCCTGCTCTTTGACCTGTATAATGGGTGGCGGGGTCTCAAAATGACGCCTGAAGCGCTTCTGAACCTTGGTAGGTTCATCTGACATCTTCAGCAGAAAATTCAGGAACAAAAGCTCAATATTTGGGCTGCAAATGGGGGTGTTGATTCATTCCATCTGATCTTGACGATGCTGGGTGACCCGGGCGTTATAGCCCACTTCCTCTGCATCATGAAAGTGGTTATGCTGACGAATGCGCCTTTACTATCTGATACATCAATATGCATTAACATTCATCTCCGGGGTCGACGTGTTGCTACATAGCCAACTATCGTCTTCACATTCGCGATCCGGTACCTACTCATCAGCATGCACAGGCTTGTTCACCATCAACGTGAGCAGCGACAGAGCGACTTCTACAGCAGCCAGTACCGTCGTCTCACCCGGATTATCGTAGATCGGTGCAACTTCGACTGTTGTTGCCAACTCATTAGCACATTGCAACTGACAGCCTTGGCTCCCAAACTTACCAACATCAGCTCCTACAACCTCCAGTCCTTCGAGACCGTCAAGAATGGACAGAAGCTCGCGAGTAGTCCAGCCTCCAACCTCAGCTGTACCAGTAGCTGGTGCAAAGGCCGGGTCCAAAACGTCTATATCTACGCTGATGTAGACCTTTGTTCCGGCGACTCGCTTCTTTAGGGCCTTAATGACACCAGACACGCCCAGTCGATCAATGTCCCGTGCTCGCACGATCTCGAAGCCGCACCTGACATCGTTACGCACATCGCCCTTCGAACGAGTAACTGGTGCTCGGATGCCAGCGTGGATGGATGTATTACGGATCAGACCTTCTTCATGGGCAATATGCAAGAACGTCCCATGATTGACGCCTCTGTAGATGCATCAGCATGTTTGGGTTTCCTACACACGCTTACAATACTCACGCATAGTGTGAGATGCCTCCACCTAAGACTTTTGGATCCCAAGTATCTGAACTTTGCTGTCAGTCGCGTCCAGAATGTGCAGGCTCGGCTTACCTATGTGGGAATCGAAATGAATTACACTGACTGGACCCCAATGGTCTTTGGTGGATCGTAGAGCTGACAGTGTGGTGGTGTGGTCTCCACCAAGTGTTACGATGCGTGGAACAGTGAAGGCGCTTGAATTGGTCTTTCTTGCCGAAGTCACCTCACCATCATTGTTAGTGGACATGCTATCCGTCAGAGGGTGTTACTCACTTTGTGCGCTTTATCGAGCTGCTTCAAGGCGATAGTGTTGTCCTGGAGAAAGCTTAGTTGAGGAGTCTTTCCTTCATCTTCATTGACTCACCAGGAAAGTCAACGGTGCATCTCCACAGTCTACAATCTTCGCCCAGTCGACGAATATATTCTGTCCTGAACGCTGTCAGCTGTCATCATGGGCTCTCCACTGATGTTTTCTATCTTGGGTTTACAGCACAAAGCACAATCATGATGCACATGTCCGCCGTGCTCGCTAAACCCATGCAGCGCAACATGTTGATCATGTTGTCCTCAGCGCTCAACACCGCTCCAATTATAGGCTTTTGTATCACAACACCCCAGAAGACTGGATACGACTTCATGACAAACATACCTGTGTATATGCTCCAACCCGCACCGGCTTTGATCCGTTGTGAGCCACGCCGAATACCACTCGGCCCGAACCGTGCACCGGGTCGTGCTGTCACTCCCTGCCAGCATGTCAGTGACCATACCGAGACCGTGGGTCAGACGCCCAGTGCTACAAGTTTGTGGGCATATATAATGGCTCAAGTCTTCTATCGGCCCTCCTTTCCAACGTTACAGGTTGAAAGCGTCGTGGGGAATGATCGATAACTTACAGTGTCGAAAGGAGCTCCCAGAATCGCAATGTCAAACTTCTCAATTCCTTCACCTTCTGGGGCCAAACAATGCACATATGGTAGATTCGCATATGTCGTCAACCCTTCAAACTTGGCTTGAGTGATGTCTGGTGTGATGATGTCCATCACCGCTTGGTCCGAGGAAAATCCGGAGATGGACGGGAAGCTGATCTCGCGTGCATCTACGGCTGCGAACGCCGCAATCAAAGCGGACAATGCCAACTTGCTCAACATCTTCAATGGCACAAGATCCGATTGTGTCGTTCAAAAGGAGAGTGTGATGGGAGCCCCAGAAGTTTGGCGCTCAGGTACTTCTGGTGGTACATCCATGTCTGCGGCTAGGTATCCGCGGGCGCTCTTCGGCCCAAAGCGGCAGGTACAGCCGCATGCATCTTATGTCGAACTGTTTCCGGTCCTGGACAACAGTAAACAAAACTACATCGTTATCAAATTTCTATCTGACATTGGTCATGGTAACGACAAGATCACAATCAACTGTGACAAAGCAAGACCCGGCGTCCAGCCCTCTACTCACCCCTTCCAAACCCGCCACCAAGAGGAAACGACAAGAACGCGTCTCGCACCACTTCACTCCCCAACGCAAAGCGAATCGCCCAGTAACCATCCCACAACCCGAGAACCTGCCCTTTCAGCTCCGTCCCGCAGGATACGGTCTGATCCAAGAGCGTATACAAGATAGCTTATACGCCCTCGTAGTCCAAGTCATCCTCTGGAACCAAACCCACGGCAGCGCAGCTCGCCCTGTACTCTTCCAGACCCTGACATTATATCCCACACCCTTCCACCTATCCCAGGCGAAGCTCGGTGAGCTGACTGAGATACTGCAACCCCTCGGTCTGCATAATGTTCGTGCCAAACGTCTGATCGCGCTAGCTGAGGCATGGATCGCGGCACCGCCGTGTAAAGAACGGAGGTATAGAAGATTGCACTACCCGGATAGAGGGTGTGGTGCAGATGTTAAGCGTGATGAGATATTGGGGATGGGAGATGAGAGGCAAGGGTGGGAGATTGCGCATTTGCCGGGTATGGGACCGTATGCGCTGGATAGTTATAGGATCTTTTATCGGGATAGGTTGAGGGAGGTTGAGGGGGGTGAACCGGAGTGGAAAAGAGTGCTGCCACTTGATAAGGATTTAAAGCCGTATTTAAAGTGGAGATGGGCGAATGATGGTTGGGATTGGAATGAGTTGACTGGCAAGCGCAGAAAGCTCAGTACTGGTGAGACAGACAGATTCAAAGCGGAAGCCGCTATGCGGAGCATAGCTGATGCAGGATCTGTTAAGGAAGAACCCGTCGATGTACGGGAAGTAGACGTCAAGGACGAAGAGCCAGACCCTCAAGATGAAGATCTTGTCACCCGCAACAAGAACGCGGCGGCATGAAGAGAGGCGTCTGAGCAACTGTCGTCCACACTTTCACATCTTTTGAGCATCGTACGATCTTATGGATTATGCTGAGTTGGGTTTTGCTAAGCAGGACAACCAAAAAGAATCCATCAATTCAACCATGACGGAGGCACCAAACGCCTGCAAGTACGGCAATCGGCCAAGCATTCCACATCATATGTTCACCTGCACCAGCTGTACGGCAATCGGCTAAGCATTCCACATCATATGCTCACCAGCACCAGCCTAGTGCAGCGTCCTCAATGTCTGCTCAATGGCAATACCTAGTCCACCAATACCCAGAACCGTCCACAGCCACTTGTTGCTAAGCTCCTCCATGCTCGGCCAGAAAGCATTCTTGTCCGCGCGGAACTTCTGAAGCTCGGCGAACTTGTCGGGCTGAGAAGCAGAGTAACGGCGCACTTGGTGCTGCTCTTTCTCCTTGTCACCACCGAAAAAGCGGAGGAAGCAGTAGTTTGCAATTGGACCGAGGAGTTCGATTGGTGCGAGCATGTCACTGCCGTATAGCATGACAATAAAGGAGATGTGGACTAGGGCGTCGCCGAGGTAGCTATAATACGTTAGCGACGCTTTGACGGAGGGAACTGAAGAATTTACTTGGGGTTGCGGACGATGCTCCATACGCCTTCGCGGAGAATGCCTCGGCCACCCTCAGCCTTGTACTGGTCGAGTTGGTAGTCTGCAAGAGTCTCCAGAGCCAGACCAGAAGAGAAGAGACCAACAGCCGCCATCTGAATATAAGGGTGGTAGCCCATCATCGCGGCACCTTCATGCCTGAACGGCGCTGTGAACGGCAAGCTGATGAGCATCTGGAAAAAAGCTTCAGGAATGAAGACTTTAAACAAAGCTGTGTTCCAGAAACCATCCTCTTTCTTGACTTCAGCGTAGCGCGGATCATCTTCTCCGCGCTGGATTGACCGACGGGCAATGCGATAGAAGAGTCGGCCTCCCCAAAGCGTCACACCGGTCAACACGACCCGTTCATGCCAAGAGAGACGGTGGAAAGCTTGTGTGAGTGTCAATCCTGCAGCAAGACGTCGGCCGATGGCAGACCACCAGGCATTGGCGACCTGTCCGCTGGGCCAGAGCCAGTCCTTGACTTCGACGCGTTGGGTGTATCGTGATATGCCGTACGCAATGACTGCAAGACCAGAGTGAAGAGTAAGGGAGGGGGCGAGGGTGTCCTTCAAGATACCAACGTCGAATAATGAGGCACTGTGGACGTGTGTCTTTGAGTGTGTGTTGTCAACATAGCTGTAAGCATGCTGAGCAGCTGGAGGCGTTCCATTCAGGTAGATGTCATGTGGTCGCTGTTCACCAACTTGGATGCGAGCATCTGGAACACTCGTAGGTTGATTGGACCTGGAGAATAGTCCGGACGCCATCTCAAGTTGAGAAGTGTCGAAGAGGAGTGACAGAAGATTCGCAACCTGTGCGACAATCTTAATTAAAGCTCATCCATAGCTTCCCCGCAAAAGCACATGCCATCGCATGATGTAACGCTAGTAACGGGCGTCGCGGATATAGAGGTGTTGGTTTTGATTCGCTCGGCTGACGCCTGTCGTGCTTCCGTGAATGTACAAGGAACTGACGATCCAATGAACCCCGCTCAGTTATTCAGCCGCGATTGTTCATGCTGCACTGTGTCATTCGCTATGCGCATTCTTTTGTCGAAGTGCAGTGTTTACAGTGGGTTTGCAGAGTGGAGCAAGAACGATGGAACAACGTGTGACGTCGATGATAGCTCACTTGCTGGTCAAGGCGCTGATGGCTCAGACTTCAGCATGTGTACCGCGGCAAGTTTACGCGAGCTACACCAAATGTACCCCTCAAATACCAAGACATTGATCCATAAGCAAACGCCTTGGACGTTGATTCGAAAGCAGCTCCGAATCGTTGATATTTAAGTCTTGCAGCAGTTTCGATTCTATTCAATTGATTTCAGTCACCATGTCAAACGACAACAAACCCCAAGCCTTCAATCCTCCCGGGGTCCACGAACCACCACCCTCTTACAAGCATGTCTGCATAACACCAATTCTACCAACTTCCAAATTCATAACTCTTGCCGGACAGACAGGCGATTACAAAGCCTCTTGGATCGAGCAAGTAAAGGGAGCATACGAGAACGTCAAGAAGTGCTTGGAAGCAGCTGGTGCAAGCCCACGAGATATCGTCCATGTACGGCACTACATTGTCAATGATTCCGGCGACGCAGACTTGAACAAGGAGCATGTTGTTGAACGAGGATGGGCGCCGCTTTGGATCGAGTTTATGGATCAGCACGGAAATGGTCACAAGCCACCTGACACGGTTTTGGGGGTTGCAAGTCTGGCTCTGAAGGGGTTATTGTACGAGGTGGAAGTCTGGGCAATTGTGCATGGATAGTCTGAGTGCAAAGCTCATTTGGTATCATGCAAGGAGCCAGTGTCGACTACTAAACCTCAATCAGTCCATAAGTGGACAACTATTTGGCATCTTTCAGCAGTGCTTCGGCGGCTGCATCCTTCTGGCCAACACTTCCGCTCCGTGTCGCAGGCTTCAGCTCAGCTGCTGTCGACTCCTTGACCTTAGCCTCTGCAGCCTTCTTGAGCCTCTCGGTATCTTCAGGGTTGGTGTCCTTAGTCTTGTTGTCCTCGTCGTCGCTATCCCCGAGGCTGAATGGGTCGTGATCGTCGGTCTCGGGGTGTGGTGCAACTGACGTGAGAGGCTGCCACTTCTTACCGCCAGACTTTCCACCCTGGTTGTTCGGGGAAGGGTTTCGGTACAGAGCGTCTACCTCATCGACTGGGCCGCTCTGAGGTGGCGAAACAGGGGTAGGCTTGAACAGGCCAGGGTTTGCCGATGGACGACTGCTCGACCTCTGCTGCGGGTCGTTGTCCCTCATCTCGAGCTGGGCGAAGTCGTCACCCAGCACCCTGTTGTCCGCATCGTAGCGGTTGTGGTCCGCAGAGCGGCGCATATCAGCAGAACGGCGCTGCTCGGCTGACTTGCGGATGCCGTAAAGCTGATCCGACTGTGAGGCACCAAAGTTCTGTCGACCCTGCGATGACTGCCCGTGTTCTCGGTCGTGGTGTACAGAATTGCCGTATTGGTCATAGTCGTCGGGTTCGCCGTCGAGCTTCTTCTTGAAGCTAGTGATCCACTTATTGACCGTCTTCTGTGTTTCCTGGAAGCCTTGCTCGATGTTCTTGCGGATTTCGGGAAGGTCATCTACCAGCAATAAGTATGCGCAACTCTTATATGCAGTCAGGCGACCGTACCTTCGAAGAAGCTGTACTCGCGCTCATCCTTGTTCTGGTTATTCGACCTTGCGTAGGGCTGCGACCGCCGTTCTCCAGCGCCCTGGGTCCGTGACCCATAGCCACCCTGGCCCTGCTGGCCGCCTTGACTTTGGTAGTGCTCGGCCAGCTGGCGAGCATACATTTCATCCTGTTCGAGCTGACTACGGGGCTGGGGTCGCGGAGGCTGTGGGGGCGGCGCCTCTTCGCTCTTGAAGTTGGGGTCGGACATGCCTTTCTATAGTGTTAGCAGCCCCTCTATGGTCATATCAGGCAACCACATACTCAACAGTGCATTGAATGCAGGTTCAACCTTCCCACCGCTGGCAACGAGGACCGCCTTAACTACATTTGTATCGATGTCAGGGAACGCCTCAATGAGTGTGTTCTGCGCCTGCACATTTGGGTCCACAGGCCGCGGGGGCTTCTGTGGAGGAATCTCTTCTGCCTGCTCGGAGAACCTCACACCTGGCTTGGGCGATTTTGAAACTGGCGGTGGCGAGGCAGCCTTCTCTGGTGCGGAGGACGTAGGCGCATCGTTGTCATCGTCGAAGTCGAGCTCACGCGCCGTTGTGGGGCTCTCTGGGGGCTGTTGGTGTTACTTCAAGCTTCATTCGAAATTGGGAAGTATACGAACCTTGTCGGTTCCTGCTTTCTCGGACATTGTGTATGTTGTGTTGTAACGATGTGCAAGGGCGTTGTGTTGTGTAAAGAGTTGTTTTTGGCGCAAACTTGAAGCTTGCTCTGTCGCCATTGCCGCGCACGAGCTGTGGCTGTGACTGCATCGTCATAGCGCCAAGACCCATATGCCTGCGCCTCTCCTGCAGCCTCATTGCTCCTTCCTTCTCATTCGTCGTCTGTTGATGAATTTCACTTCGTCCTTCTGCCCAGCGTTTGTGCACGGCAATCCAACGACAATGAGATATCCTTGATCTTTCTGACAACCTCCAGCCGCATCGACACTTGCAAGTTCGACCTATGCTAATTGAACATGTTGCTACGCTATTTCAACTATGATATACACATCGCTCGATCCTTCTGAGCGGCAGATTCGGTTGCTGAATCTCGCACCTGGAAACTATACCGAAGATATCAATTGCTTCTTCAGTATTATCATCTCGCTCCATAGGCGGATGCAGATCCTCAATCAGAAGAAGACATCATTGCCCTCCCTGTACGCGAGCACCGAAGTCAGTCAGAACATGCATGGCAGTATTCGAGGCTAACAATACATCAGTACTAAGCATTCTCATATGTATGAGGCAACCCGCGGAACAAAAGATCAATCACCATCGAAGGCGAAGTGATTGATATAACTGTCAACTTGCACTCAGCACTGACCAGCTTTCGACAAGATGATTGTGAGCGTATACTGTGGATCGATGCACTATAAATCAACTAGAATGATGTCGCTGAGTGAAGCGGCCAGGCCATGATGATAGCACAGATCTATAGCCAGGCAATTTGTGTTCTAGCGTAGCTCGGCGACTACTTTCCGGGTTGCGAAGTTGCAGTTGAGGTCATCAAGAAGTTGGTGTTGAAGAGGAGCTCTGCCTGTACAGTCACATGTCTCCTGGTCTGAAATTGACTGGCGGAGGTGCCACAGGCAAGTGCTTTGAAAACCACGAGGCACCAACAGTATTGTGCAGGTTCCTCAGCAGCTATTGGATAACTCGAGTCTGAACTGTGCAAGAGTTCCTGATGGCGAGCAACGTGGTCTTCAAGTACGGTCATGTTAAAGTTTCAAGCGAGATGCTGTTTGTAGCAATGATCCGGTTCCCCGCCACGATACCAGCTGCGGCTTCCAGCTTCACCTGCCCGAGTCAGAGGCACGATCGTCTCAACTTGCAATTGTGAGACATGGTCTTGCAAGTCTGAAACTGGAATGGGACATGCTTTACAGGCAGTGAACCGGAAAGCTCAAATTACGACATGTATCTTCGGTGGTGGATCTGTGGAGGGTGTCTTTAACATCCGTCAAAACCTGTACGACTTCCTTTGTGAAGCGCGCAGGGAGGAAGACGACCCGTGGCTCTGGATAGACCAGATCTGTACCAACCAGGATGATGCGCAAGAGAAAGCGCACCAAGTCTGCCGAATTCAGAACTGTACTCCAAAGCAAGACAAGTGTTGATATGGCTGGGACCATCCTTCGAAGGAAGTGATGACCTGATGGATCTTGTCAATGTCTTCGACGACCTGGGACGCCTGTCTTCTAAGACTTGGTCGACGATTGTGTTCAAGCCTACGTCGAGGGCCCAGAGAGTGACTGAGGTGAGAATGTTGAGGAAGATGAGAACTTACATGACGAGGAAGACGAAGTCAATAAAGACGACCATGAGCATATTGCGCTGATAAACAGCTGGCGGGCAAAAAGATCTGACAGGTCTATTCTCGGACCGATCGACGCCTCGTTCGACGAAAAGTCAAAAGGGAGTTTAGGAATTTTGCTGAGACATGTCGACGGCTGGTATGTCTCAGCTATTGGAAAAGACTCTGAATCATTCAAGAAGTCTTACTAGCCTCAGACCGTGCCATCCGACTCGGATCCAAAACTGTGTCTTGGGAAAACTTCGAAACGCTAACAGGGTTTTTGCTTGCTCCTCGCCGACGTTTACTGATTCCCTCGTCATTCGGCTCCTTCGAACTTCTAAACTTTTCAGCATGGCGCACGAGGACTTCGAATTGTTCGATTTTTGGGGCGAGCGCAATTGGTACTCCTTGTCGCCTTCCAGTGCAACATCTCAATGTACCGACATCAGGGATAAAGTGTATGGGATACAAGGTCTTCTTCCAGAGCGGCTCCGTTTTTACCCAAATTACGAAGTAGAATGTCATGAAGTTGTTTTTGAATTGGTCCGAAAGCAGGTCGCAGACAGACTTGCGATTCTAGACCGCCAATGTTCGGAAGACGGCTACACACAGAAGGTTGCTGAGAACTGGAGGCTGTAAGGAAGTCACGATGGAGAACATAGGAGAAGTGATTATGGCAGGTTTTTTCACCTTTGGATTATATTGGGCAATGCATCAAGGGACTAATAAGAAGTACGATGCGCAAACACTGCGTTCGTTCATTCGCAAAGAAGTTCTTCCATCATTCCGTGCTCAAAGAATGGCATATGAAATTGAATGGGTATCACACCCACGGGCGGAAAAGGTCTTTGTGAGATTTCTTGCCCCTAGAAAATATAGTCTCGTATATTAGAATTATCGCATCCAACTCTCTATCTAGTTCAAGTTATTAGCTACTAAGGAGCGTTACTAAAGACACTGATCTCTATTGAGCATATCGTTGACCTTCGACAATTTGAATGAAGGTGAGTTGCAACTGAGTGGATGCAAAATGCTACAGGTTTTGTGCCACCGGTCTGCCTATCACGGTGGTTGTTGCCATATATCTCTTTTAGGCTGGCGCGTGTGTCTCATGAAGCAGATACTGGATTAAACCTCTTCAGCCAATGTTCCACCAGATCTGGTGATAACCTTCTCGTCCACTACTCTTCAGAGCATTGAACGCAAATATGACGGGTTGTACCTGGACGTTACATAGCAGGCTGGCGATTAGGAGGCCGTGTTGTGCACAGTTTCAGTACCTTAAGATCTCAGCGAGATATTCGGGTTGAAAGAAGAATACACACATCAGGAAGGTTGAATCCACAGTCTGATAGAAGATGAAATGTTGAAAAAGAGCTTATGACGAGACAAAAGGAAGTAAACATCATATGGCCCGGACTCTATCTCTGTATATGTAGTCTACACGACTTTTTTTTTACCCTGTCTGTTGCATCTTCTCCAGGAATGCTGCAGCTTCCGCAGCGAACTTGCAACGCGATCGAATCGCAGCACCATACCTATAAAACAAGAAAGGAAAAGGTATACAAGCCAGCGCTAAGAACGCAGGAATCGAAGAGGCCCAGTGTATGCCCAGGTCGGCGTACATGTAGCTAGTGAACAGTGGAAATGCAGCACCGAACAGCGACCGCAGTACCGAGTTAGCAGCAAGGACAGACGCCGCATAGATAAGGTAGGCATCAATAAGGTAGTTCATGATGGACAGGAATACCAGAACCATACCAAAGCCGAAAGGAGCACCAGCCATAATACTGACGATCCAGTGGATACTCGGCGAGTTTGTCCAAGCAAACCAGAACAGTCCAATAGGCATAGCAACCGAGCCGACAAGAGCAGGCGGAAGTCGAGCTTCAGGCGCAGCGATGCCAGAAGGCGAGGCTTTGATGGCATTGTTGTATCGCTTATTGTCCCAGATCGAATATGTGACGGCGGCAATCATGCCAACAGCCACACCGATGAATGCGAGACCGCCGATTCCTTGCGACCATCCGCGGCTTTGCTGGTAGACAATGGGGAAGGCGCCAAACAGCATGTACAGTGTTCCGTAGATGACGGCCATGTAGATGGACAGCAGGAGCACGATGGGTTCGCGGAAGAGTAGGATCCAGGGGCGAGTGAGAGCAGTCTTGAAGGCTGTGCCGATGGACTTTGTGCCCTGTTCGACGTCGGACTTGTTTTTGTAGACCTGGCCAGTCTTCTTTGACAAGGCGGCGGCGCGTTTGCGGAGGAGAACTGGGGCGTAGGTCTCAGGAACGAGGAAGGTACAGGTGAGCCAGAGGACGCCGGTGAAGATTGCCATGACACCTTCAATCCAGCGCCAGCCAATGGATTGGCCGACGAAACCGCCAACTAATGGGGTGTTAGTACTCTTCTCCATAATGAAAGACGCGGGGAGGTACTTACCAATTGGACCGATAACGGGTCCCAGAAACGGAGCAGCGGCGAAGATACTAGTAGCTAAACCACGCTGACTGGCAGGGAACATATCGGCAATAACTCCGCCAGCGTTGGTCAATGGCGAAGAGCCAAATGCACCAGCCAAAAACCTTAGGATGATCAGAGTCTCGATGTTTTGGGAACCAGCTGCACCGGCATTGAAAACAGTGAGCAGCATGTAAGTACCAAAGAAGAGGTACTGGCGGCCGTACAGTTCTGTCCAGTATTAGTTACTTGTAGTTACTTGTCAGAGCCCTCCAGGTCAGAAGTAACTTACCACTCAAAGGAGCCCACAGCAAAGGTCCAATAGCAAACCCAAGAACGAACAACGAGATACCAAGTGTGCCGATGATCTGCGCTACACGGAACTCTTGCAGGACCTCAACAATACCGCCAGAGTATGCAGAAGAGACGAAAGCTACTGCCAGTGTTGCAACCGCGACGAGCATGGTGATGGTCCATTTCAGGGTCAGCGAGTAGTTCATTGGGTTGACAGGATCATTGTCTATCCATGTAACCAGGAATGGATCGTTCTCAGTTCCTGATCCTCTGTAGGGGTGGTTGATAATGTCATCATTGAGCGCTCCTTGATGAAGAACTCGTTGGAAGTGCGAGATGCGACCAAAGCGGCCGGACTCAGCATCCTTCTCCATTGTATGTATGGCGATCAGGTTCTTGTGTGCTTGTGGAGGTAGTCTGTGCTTGATGTCGTTCGGTAAGGAACCGAGAAGATGTGCTTCAAGGCTGCACGAGGGTAGTGATGTATCTTGATCTGCGAAATACCAAGAATGGTAGGTACCAGCAGACTGTTTTATTCATTCCCATCCTCCGGTCTTTTGGTCCGCGTCATTGCGCAATACTATGCATTGTTTAGCCGTCTAGAGTTCGCTGCTACATCTAAACGCGGACCATCCGCTCTCGCGGGGTTATGGAGGTAACGTAGACATAGGGCTGAGAGAATGCCCTGCAAGCCTCGATAGACGGTTTACAAAGTTAAAATATGCAATAACTTGGCTTGAAGTTCGCCTTGGATATCGTGTACTCGTGCAGACATATTGAGCGCGGTGCGTCGAGTAGAACATGTTGTGGGTGCTGCTGTTGTGACGTCGTGCTCATGTTATCTCCATGTGAGCGCCCAACACCGGGGCCTTCCAATATCCTCAGAGCCGCATTTGCTTGGCGGATCATCCGCTTTAGCCCACTACGCCACCCCTGACGCAGCAATCTCGGCCGAGGTACAGGAATGGATTTGTCGAAGATACGAAGGGATCGATCTGTAGTGTTGTTGCTTGAAAATCGCTTCCGTCCTGCTTGTCGAAGTTCGCCCGGAAGATTTAGAGCACTGAGGCAGCACGTCAGGCTCATGAACTGACCTGGACAAGATAACAGCTTCTTGAGATAGCATGACGCATTGCGACTCCCAACTCTAAACATTTACGTACGTTCGCTGATAAGAATAGGGTATCCGCTCGAAAACACAGAAGACCGGAGTCGATCCCACCCAAACACCGAAAGCCTCCTCATTAGCCATTGTCGTAACATGAAGTCACTTGGCCATCAAACAAAAGAAACACCACGGCCTGTCACTCGCCCTTAACTCCCACTCGGCTTCCCATTGAACTCTTCATGGACATCGGTCTTCATGGAGGTCGAACTAGCCGCCATTGCCTTGCGATAAGCCCAGGTCTGCGAGAACTGCTCCTCGTAGTGCTCTTTGAGCTTGCGCTGTCGCTGCTCTCGCTTCGACATCCAGCACACAACACCCATCAAGCCTACTACGGCTGCTCCAAGCATACCACCGACGGCGCCACCGACAACAGCTGTCTTGTGTCTCTCGCTCTTGCAGACATCCCCCTTGAATGTAAGGGTTGCTTCGAGATTGGACGAAGATTCTGTCGCAATTGCCGACGAAGAAGCCGCGGTCGAGGTGGATGACGATACGGCCGTGGCAGTCTGAAGTTGAAATGCACCGATGGAGCTTGTCGTGATCCTGGGTGCTGTCGAGTTGTTGCAGCAATTCCGTCGGTCGTTGATCGCCCTGCAGCAGTATGTGCCAAAGTCACATGTCTGGATGTTCCATGCAGACACTGGGTTCAGCCCATCGAAGTCGTTGTTCGCTACAACAACGTTAGGCTGATGTTACACTTTACGCGATTGAACTTATACGTGTACATACCACCAGGGCAAAGTTGTGGACATTCAGTAGCTTTGCCAGTCGAGTCTGTACATCCAGGTTGCCATATGGTGCCCATGTACTCGCTCTTCGTCGCCATGCACAAGCCGCTGTCCAGACAAATATCGGCAGAGCCAGCAGGTCGATTTGTGGCGCAGCAACCACTATGCTTAGCAGTTGAGTTGCATGGCGCAAAAGTGTCATCAAGTTCTGCGCCGGTAAGGCTATAGCATTTCTGACTCGCCGCCGCAACCAGCGACGTCGCGTAGAGAAACGAGAGGATGAATGAGCGCGACGGCATATTAGACAAAAGACAATAGGGTAAGAGAATGACTTGTAAGGAACGACGTTGAGATCGAGATCGGTACTCGACCAGAAGCGTGAAAATAGATGAGATCTTGAGACGAAGGAACGAATATCACAGGGCAGTCAGGGTGCAATGCAAACCCATATAAGGCTCCCGAAATAAGTCTCAGGCAGATAGGCTTTGCAATGTTATTATGCGTGGACAGCCCTGTGTGACCCTCTTGAGCTGGTAGCCAGCGTCCTCGACAGGCGTTCCTCGTCGCCAATTTGAAACATGTCATCAAACCCGGCAACGTCAGTGCAACATCCCCGTAGCAGTTCGCTGGGGTAACGCAGCTAACGTGTTAGTCGAGAAAGACAATCAGCCTCGATCTGAGGCCTGTGGCATGCAAAAGACGACTTCCGACATGGCGCGACGTTGTGTTAGGCAGAGGCGATGGGGATTGCAAGTCCGGGCCAATAAAGGCGCTTGCTGCTGCACTCTGGCGGTTGAGGAACCTGTCCGTTGATGCTGTTGGACGATTTAGCCACACAAGGGATTGAATAAAGCAGAGACAAGGCTTGTAATGGCTGCGAACGCTCTGCTCCTTCGGACTGAGGCATAATGCGCCAAGGAGTAAGGTGTCTGAGGTTCAGGCGCGTCGAAGGCCTCAGCGGGCAGCGATTGGAAGGCCGGTGCGCGCTAGTGCCACCTTCCGCCTCCGACCAGGTTGTGCCTGCCTTCAACATCATCTTCAAGGATTTGACATGTCACTGTAGAGTTCTCGGACTGCATCTGTGTCTTCGTTGATAAAGGTCTGGGTGAACTACCATATCCGGACGCTCCCGCAGAGCTGACGCTACGCCGCCTTGCTGACGCATCATTATTGACTGGAAAGTCTATCAGATATACAAAGATACCGGGTATCTCCATTTCCTACGATGCTTGGATCGTGTTGTTGCAGCGCCGTGGTCGTTCCGTGTAAGCTCGACACTGTATCGCCTTGCCAATGAACTCGGTTTGCTTCACGGTTGAAAGGAGAACTCACATCTAGAATTCGACCGAAAGCCAAACCGCACACGGGCTTCAGTGTGATCATCAGCCTTATCCTGCGTTCGCCACAGATTGATACCTTGACTCTCAAAAGGCCACATCGAGGGATTTACAGGGCCTCTATCATGCTTTGCTTTTGTACTAGATGCGGAGACGTTTTCCCATGCGATATGGACCAAATAATTCACGGCCAACATTGAACTCCAGGGTGCTTACAAGCACTGGGTCGGAGCGAAGTCGACACGGATAATTCTAAGATGTTCCCCAAAGCCAAGGCGATCACTCCACCCCGTGTAACGCAACTGAAACCAAACATCGGCAGCATGCATGAGCGACTCAACAATTGCTCTTTCTCCGGCGTCCAAACTCATCAACAATCCAGTCCATCAATCGATCAACACCTGCGATTCACCCCTTTTCCCAGCCCAACCAACTTTAGAACACCACACCCTTGAGCCAAAAGCAACCACTAACCGAGGCCATGGTAAAGCACCGCATTTACCCACACACTGCCGTACCCCAGCATCCCCAGCCTCACGTCAGCAACTTCTGTCAGCAATCTCCATGATACCCAGTCACACATTTCACGCCATCCCAGCAGTGGCGCCGGCAGTTTGGAACAGCTCATTAGCGAGCCACAGATCTGCGCGAATGCTAATGCATGTCGTACCGGGTGTGGAGAGTGGAGATGATGGTTTAGCGCTGGGCTGGCCATCGCTGGGTGAGCGTGATGTGTGACGCAGGGAGGGACATGGTGTTTGTTGTGAAATAGGGAAGCACTTTTGTTTTCTTTGGACTCCTCTGTGGGCGTTCGACCCGAGCGCTTGACCGTGAGCTTGGCATCAGACACAATGAGCAGTGGAGAGTTATGGACTTTCTCTTGCTGAACACATCTCGTCCAAAACTCAGCTCCTTCGAGAGTTGCAACTGTGTCTGCCATCATCAATGGACCTCGAGGGTCGGGAAAACCCATGTCTAGCTCTGACGCATACCACCCTCACACATGTACGCTGCTCAAAGCGCTGTCAGGAAGCTTGTCGGGAGACGCTCGGATGTGTGCAGTTCAACGCGCCGAAATGGGCAGTGACAGGTGACACGCTGGAATCCACGGGGAATGGCTTGCTTACTTAAAGGGGTAAGTTGAGCTCAGGGCCAGGAACACTGGACGTAAGTGGTGAGTAAGACGTCGAAGGCTGTATGGGGTTGAGACCGGTGATATTTGGGCTGCTGTGGCGCACAACAGACACTTCTCGGTTGACACTAGAAGGTACGATGAAGCAAACAAACGTGTGGTGACATGTCTCATACACTTGCTAGCAACTATGAGCAGCGGTAGACCAGATCAAAATACACTGCTCAACCCAACTTCCCCATCAACAGCGCGTCAACCCTCTCCCCCTTCTTCAAACTCCCCTTCCCCATCGGCATAGCCAGTAACGCATTCGCTCCCTTAAAACTCCCTATCCTACTACTCCTCTGCCCACCCGTCGAACTAGCATACATAGCTCCATCCCGCGCAACAACAAGCGCACGGTGATACTCCGGCCTGCCCTTATCCATCCTAACATCTTCATCAAGCAGTACACTCACCTTCGGCAGCCCCACAGGCGTGATGCCAGCCTGTTGGTGCAGCGCCGGCAAGACGAAGAGGTGGAAGCACACCACGGCCGATGCTGGGTTACCCGGTAACGAGAAGATGGCTTTGGAGATGCGCGTGCCATCGGGCGCTTTGGTGGGAACTGTGGCAAAGGTGGTCGGTTTGCCGGGCTTCATGTTCACGCGGCCGAAGTGGATTGTACCACCTAGGGAGCGCTCGATTGTGGGTTTGAGCAGGTCAAGTTCGCCCATGGAGACGCCACCTGAGGTTATGATTATGTCGCACTTCAAGAGAGCGGTGCGGAGGGTTTGCTCGAGCGTGCCGGGTCTGGTTGGGTTAGTGATCGGGACCGGAAGTGTAACTGGGCATGTGGACTTACTTGTCTGATGCGATACCGAGATCGACGACTTCGAAGCGATGGCTTCGCGCTGCTGTGATGAGGGTGGGGCGGTTCGTGTCTCGTACTTCGCCCAGGCGTAGCGGTCCTTCTCTGTCGTGGGGGATGATTTCGTCGCCTGTGCTCAATACACCGACTACGGGTCTTCTGTAGATAGAGACCTCCCTCGTGCCTACGGATGCAAGGAGCCCGAATTCACCACCAATGACTGTGACACCCTCACCCTTCTTCAATATCGTCTCGCCTTCTTTCACATCACTACCGATCTCGCGCACATTCTCACCAGCTTTGATCTCGTCTGTCAAAATCTCGACCTCCTTCTCTTCCTTGCCATCGTCTGTCTGGCTCTTCAATACTGTGTCTTCAACCATGACGACGGCATCGGCGCCAGGTGGGAGTGGTGCACCGGTAGTGATCCGAGCAATCTCTCCCTCCTTCAGCTCCTTCACGTCACCTGCTTGGGCATGCGATACGATTGCAACAGGGTACACGCCCTTCTCAAACTTGCCAGAGGAAGGGATCTTGACAGCGTATCCATCCACAATGCTAGCTCGGAAAGCTGGGACGGATTCTGTAGCTTTGACATCTTCTGCGAGCACGGAGCCGCCCAACTTCATGTCTACAGGGACCTTCTCGACAATGGGAGCAGGTGTGTGCTCTGCAATTAGCTTCAACGCATTGTCGACTGCAAGCATTGGATATGGAGAGGATCGATATCTGCGAGTTGGTCCGGCGTTAGGGTCATTTGACTGAGGTCGGTCTTCCGGCTTTGTGTGCGGCTGCACTGCGGCATGAGGTCCATGACCGTGGGAATGACCATGTCCATGATGGTGGTGGTGATGATGATGACCGCCGCTTGCACCTGACACTGTCAATTGAATTCGGCCCTTACTCGAGGGGTTATTATTACTTAATGACGCACCACCAGAAGAAACGCCTGCATCTTTCTCAAGTTTCTTTACACCACCTTCGTGGAGTGGTCTTGATTCTGCACCAGCAGCCTGGATGCACGCGTGCGGTAGCAACTTGATGACGGCCTCTAGATTCTCCTTGGCGCCCTTTGGCGATCCAGGTAGAGTGACGATGATAGACTGTTTTCGAGTGCCGGCCACTGGTCTTGCCATCAATGCGACTGGGTAAGGTCAGTAGTTGGATGCTTGGCGATAAAGTGAGGCTGCTTACAAGGTGTAACAGCATATGAAGCCGTAAGCATGCCATGGCTGAACTGACGTTAGTAGTACATCCCATTGTAAACACTGAGTGGTCACTTACACAAGTCCTGGGGCATGTCTGTCTATCAATGGTGTTATCGCCTGCCCCCACTGTCAGTCATCAATCCTTAAGCTCAGCACGAGGTGTCGTACTTCCGGAGTAACGTCTTTCGTAGCAAACCCGGTACCTCCACTGCTGATGATCAGATTGACGGGTTCAGCACCATCAGTCCAATTCTTAATGGTCTTCTGGATTGCGAGTACACTATCCGGCACGATCTCGGTCTCTGCAACATTCCATTGGTCATTACCGGAGTTGCCGAAGACATCTTTGAGAATTGGTATGCATTTGTCAGTTGAGGCGTCCTGAGACGCTGTCTCTGACACAATCAGGATCGCGGCCTTCAGTCTTGTGTTTGTGGTGCTCATGTTGGCAGAGTAGGTGATGTTGATGGTAGAGCTCTTGTCCCGCATCTATCTTTCGTATAGTCTGCGCATGGGCCACCTGGACTTTGGGTACTCGTAAGGATGCATAAGCAGCGTTCAACATATGTGATTTCTTGTAATGAACCCTGATCGAAACTTGATATCTAACGCCAATGCTCGCTCGTGATACATGCATTATACAAGCGCCTTCCCTATGTACATCGTACAACTTCGGCGAACCCTTCCAAAATTGCCTTCAGTTTTGAGGTGCTAAGTCTGAAATACCCTCTCTTCCTGCCGTATCCCCTCTTGTTTATCGACTTGATCGCTTCTTTGACTGAAATTGTTCGTTGTGCAAGTTTGTCAATGCGCTCAGTCAAAGTCCTTTGCGGCGCTCTGCATAAGCAGTCCAATAATGAGACCAAACAGACCAAGAATGGAACTGAAGATCTCAATAACGAGGATCTTGACGAAACTGCAGGTCTGTTAGTCACTGATTCTGGGCTCTGGGTAGATTGTACATACAGCGAAGGATCAGCAGCATCTGCCAACGCTGCGCTACTTCCGTTGATACCAACAGAGACACCGCAGATCAGGTTGCACATGCCGACTGTGAGTCCAGCCCAAAACAGCGCATAGCCGGTGAAGTAGTTGGACCCAGAGTAAAGCTTCTCAGTGTCCCCGACAGCCTGCATCTTCGAGGAGAAGATGATGGCCATAATGACGCCGTAGATGGCAACGACTTCGCAGAAGATAATCGAGATCAAGTTCTTGGTTCGTATCCTGGGAGCCTTAACACCACCACCGACGATGGACACACCGGTTGTAAAGATACCCCTGCCATGCAGTTAGAGCCTGCCCAAGTCCCTGCTGCTGTGGAAACGTACCACGCCGATCCTACGACGGAGAGACCAATGCATAGACTGATGCCCAAACTAGCCCAGGTGTATGGTGATATAGATTCGAGGAAGCGTCCGACGTTGAATGCTTCGCCCTCGCCGTTGAACAGCATGTCTGTCCGTCATTAGCTATTGCCTGCGCCCCCGTCGTCGCCGCACATACACAAGCCAACCACCGTCAAGGCGGCGGTCGCACCGCCCGTGCCGTATGTGAGAACCATCTTCGGAGATAGTCGTGAGAGCGGAGATGGATGGTGAGAGTGGCGGGACTGGAGCTTCCTTGGTGGAGGCAGCGTTGGAAGCTGCGATGATGATGGTTGGCGCTTGGACCTGCCGGCTTGGCGCTGTATCAGCCTCCACACCACAGGCAATCACCCCGTCACCAGAACACCAGCCAACCCACCTTGACGCAGTCAACATGGCCGCCGATCTCAAGTACTACGAGCTCTACCGTCGAAGCAGGTACTGCATGCGCACTCGTAAGAATGATATAGAGCACGCTGGCTGATAGCAGACAGTCTGGGCGGTGCCCTCACGGACACGCTGGACAATCTGATCACCGAGCGCCGCATCGAGCCCCAGCTGGCCATGAAGATCCTCACAAACTTTGACAAGGCGGTCGCCGACGTACTCGCAGATAAGGTGAAGGCGAGGCTGACGTTTAAGGTGGGTGCACAGTGGCTTTGTAGCAGCTCAAACGAAGACCGAGGGCAACAGCAGTGTACTGACATGCGCTCGTGCAGGGCCACCTCGATACCTACCGCTTCTGCGACGACGTTTGGACATTCATCATCAAGGACATCAACTTCAAGCTCGACAACACAAACCAGGTCCATGCCGACCGGGTCAAGATCGTCAGCTGTAACACGAAGCGTCCAGGCGAGGCCTAGAGCTGAGTCTCTGGCTTTGCTTGCACTTCATGGTTGCTGAATGTAATCCTAGGCAAATGGAAGGGTGGTGCCCAAGATGTTGAAGATGAACGTTGCGGGTCCAGGGTCTGGAAGTGGAAATTTGAACTGAAGAGGAAGCATGAGTAACGCGTCAATTGGAGACACTCGGAGCGATATCACACGGACTGCATTGGATTGCTTGAATTCTGGCGTTATGGAACAAGACAGGAATGGATACCACGGACATGGTCTGGAGTTGAGGTTATGACACTCGCATCACGCTTAACGTGAAGGCCTCCAGAGCTACATACGCACTATGTGAAAACAGAACAAAGATCGCAATACAATGTTTTGCGCGAAATACACAGTAGACTTTAAATCACCTCCCTTGTGTAGCAACATCGTTCATAGTCATGAGGGTTGACTAAGCTCTCGGGGGTACGCTCCGTGCAGCAGCTGCATCGACCTCACCTCCCCCACACATCCTCAAGCACATCGAGTTGCGCAGTAGCAACACACAATAGCTTGCCATGTCTTTACCACGCACAAAAACAGCGTGGCTCTTCTTCGCAATTACGAGCGGAGCATGTGCAGCTTTCAATGGTGTCTTTGCGAAGCTGTGAGTTTCCATAGCACCCTGAAGAGCCTCATGCTGATCTTAAGGCAGCACAACAACAGAGCTCACAAGCTCCTGGTCAAGCTCTCTTGCTGCAGCATTTGGCCTCGGCCCCTCAAACAAATTCTTCGAATATGCCCTCCGCGCCGTATTTACCTCCGTCCACCCCCGCGATCCTATCTCTGACAAACAGCAGGCCTTCTTCGGCATGAACCTCCTCTTCAACGCCATAATGTGGGGTCTCTTCACGCGCGCTCTCACCCTCGCTTCCTCCACTGTCCGCGTCTCCGTCATCAACACATCTGCAAACTTCATGATCACCGCGATCCTATCCGCTCTGGTCTTCTCCGAGAGCTTGCCGGGGCTGTGGTGGCTCGGCGCCGCAATGCTTGTAGCCGGCAGCGTGATTATTGGTATGAGGGAAGAGGGAGAGAAGAAAGAGATAGTCACTGGGACAGGGGAAGCGCCGTTGCTGAACGCTGAGGGCGAGGTGGGTGCTGAGTTCAGGGACAACGATGATGAGGGACAGTCGAGACATGAGCTTGATAGTTTTAGGCGTAGGAGTAGTAGTAGCGAGCGCAGTGATGAGGATGGGACGCTAAGATAGCTTGTGCTACTACGCAGCAATGCATTTTTATGAGGCCTATTCACATCCTTCGTCATTGGGTCTTACTTGTTGACCTTTCTAGTATCAGCACGTCTATGTGATGACACCTGACAGTAAGAGCCGACTGTCACATTCGTCCTCATCTAGATTGTCGTCGACTCATAACTCGAATCGTGCTTGAGCGTACGCAAGCACGCACACAACCCCAAGGAGCACAACGAAAGCATGCGCAGCTGTGATCATTTGCGGCGAGAGCAAGGGTTCGTTGAGGGCGATCATACCAAGCCTGTCATCTGATCCCACGGTCAGCGTAACTCTGAGGAGCTCATTAGGGCGAACCCGCTTGTTCTCTTTTGTTTGGGTGGGGGGGGGGGGGGGAGGTTGAGCTCACCGTAACCATAAAAGTAAGCACGCCACAAGAAGCGCAAGAACAAGAAGAACAAGGGCCCGGGGCCCAATACAGCACGGCTCGGAGCCGACTTGCACAGAATCAAACTCCTGGGACTCAACTCTCGTGAGCAGTACACCGACAAGGACAGACGCAAAGCCGTCATTCCAGAACCTCATCACTAAAGATGAAATCCTTAACGAGGACGAGGACTTCGAAGACTCCTACTCGGCAGAGATCGAGACCAAGAGAGAACGGCCCTGCAGGTACTACAGCATGAAAGAGCACCTCTGCGAGTACTACTTCCCCTACGCCAGCCCCGGATCCGGGAATAGGGCGCCGTTGATGTGCGAACGCCATGGCGTACGCTGCAAATCCTTCGCTGATCCGAACATGTTTCTGAGGGATATGCCGCTTAGACGGCCACGGTCAACGCCGCCGTTGTGGAGCATGGTCGCGGGGTGTGGGTGTGGGTGTGGGTGTGGGTGTGACAGGATGGGAGGTGGGTGGTTCCTGGGTGGAGGGAGGGAGATGGGATGCTGGGACGAGCGAGATAGAGTGTGGGGGCGGTGATGGATTAAGGGTGATGTGTTGCGGTGGTGAATTTTGGATTCTTCTTGTAGAAGTCAGGACTTTCAAATCATGTATTGGGATTGTTCGTGTGGCATGTGCCTCTTACTTCGTCTCAAACCCTCAGCCTTCTTTAATGTAGTCGTCTCAGTCCCTCGACCAACCCTCTTACCTCTTCAACATCTCGCCCCAGCCCTTTGCACGCCGTTGTCTGCTGCTCCTCGCTCAAGTCCAGAAACCTCGCCACCAGCTCACCGTCTACAAAGCGATACGGCTCTTCGCTTTCCCTGACTTGGTTCTTGAACGCGCGGTACCGCGCGAAGTCCATGTTGCCGGGCGCAGGTACGATTGTGCCGAGGTTGCTTTGTAGTGTGATGAGGAGATCGAGGTATGCGGGTTGGATGAGGCCGAAGAGGTAAATCGAGCCCTCGACCTATTTTACATTAGCAGGATGTCACAATCAACTGTTGATAGGGTGTGTAACTTACCGTGCCCATAAACGCCCGCGGTAGGACTACAGCATCCGGCTGCGCGACAATATCGATGCGCCGTATCCTATTCACCATCTCACCAAGCAGGATCTCAGATGTGGTTTGCAGCCGCTTCTTATCGTCGTCTGTCACGCCTTCGGGGTTGCGCACCAGCACTGCCAGATTCCCTTCCGCGTCGCTCTCGAGATATGTATTTGTATCTACTTCCGCCACCGCCGTGGCCCATATCGTCTGGTAGTGTCTCGCAACCTCAATCAATTTATCGCTGACTCCGTCCTCGCCGGGTTTGAACTCGACCACGACGAGGGATTTCATCAGGTCTGCTATCGCGATTAGGTTCCCGTTGACGGTGATGTCGATGGGTGCCGTTGAGCAGCGGAAGGTTGCGGCTTTGATGAGTTCGGGTTTTGATTGCGTGCGGAACTCGAGGTTGTAGACTACGATTGTCTTTATGAGGGCGGCGACTATTTTGCCGTCGCATATCGCGAGACAGCGACATCCGCCTTTGACGGCGAGGGAGGTGACGAGCTTGAGGGAGCGCTCCGGGGTGACTTCGAGGACGAGGATGCGACCGCGCTCTTCGGTGGCTTGCTGATCGTCGAGGTATGCGGTGCCGAGTATGAAGCGTTCAGCTATTCCACCTGAGCCGTCGGGGAAGGCGCAGCGGATGACACATTCGAGTAATTCATCTTCGTTGAGGGGGTAGGTGTCAAGTTCCTTAAATTGGATCTCGTCGACAAGCTTGAAATGGCTTATCATGAACTCTTCGCCACTCTTCAAAATGCGCTTTATTGTGCCGAGACCGAAGGCTTTGAGGCTTGGTGAATAAGCTATCCGGCGGACGGTCTCATCGACCTTGAGGGTCTGGATGTGTGTGGTACGCTCAGTGTCTACCAGTGCTATTCGAAGATCTTCTGATGTTGCGATGGCTACGGAGTCAGGGTAGGCTTCTGAATCGAACGGGCACACTGTTGTTGCCTTCTCTGCTGTGACAGCAGAGTACACAAGACGGCCTTCTGATGCGTAAATCAGCGAAGGGTGCTCACATGTTGCAAAGACATTGAAGAGGCCGTTGCCACGAGGCAAAGCACGGAACGTGGCCTCGCGTGTTCCCAGTACGATACTCTTGCGCCCGGATAGCTCGTTGGTCGATGGGTCGAACGAATAGGTCACAACATTACCATCTGCCAAAGCAGCGAACAGTGTGGGCGGCTGGTCGAGAAAAATCTGTGTGAGGAGCAACGAGCGCGGAACAGAGTCTTCCGAGATCTGCGCTGTCTTGACGGTGTCTAGTGTGTCCAGAGAGCAGATAGCCAGACCAGAGTCCTTCCAGAATCCGATAAAGCACACGGGACTGGAGCCAGCTGGTAGCGCCACACAAGCAACTTGACTCTCTGTCCCGAAGGTCTTCTCCTTAATGACTTGTAAGCCACCGTCCGCCATTGATGGCCCGACCCGGTATGGTGGAGCCAACAAAGTCAGAGACACGACTGTGACGCCTCCCAATGAGACCAAGACGTGACTGTCATTGACGGCGGCTGCAGTGATCTGTTGGCCGCCAAACGGCATCCATTCCGACACAACCATGCCGCCATCAAGATCGCATATGCGTGCTCGTCCATTCGTAACCTGCACGACGCGTCCTTGCGATATGTTGGCCGTAGCAAGTGTAGTTTCATCCAGTGCGAGCGAAGCGAATTCTTCGACTTCCTCGACTTCGCCCTGGGGATCGAATCTAAAGACACGCGACTCATTGACGAAAGTGACAAGGAGTGTGTCAGCGTAGTCTGAGGAAGGATTTGACTTCAGGCTGAAAAGGTTGGAGATGTGTTCCATCTCGCCAAGCAGACCAACGTCTTCCAGTCCTACACCGCTGCGAACGCTTCGGAGACTGCCATCTTGATATGCGCCGCTGCCAGTAACGATTCGAGCTTGGCCGGAAGAGTACTCGTTGGTTTGCCCCTCGCCGGACCTGTTGCCCATATCCATGACTGTGAAGTCGAGCACAGGAGCAATATTCGAGAACGTTTGTACGATTTCCATCGACTTCTCTGCGATCCTAATGACCTGGGAGTCACCTTGGTGTGAGCCGACGAAGACGTATCCAGCATCCAAGTATACCAGCACCGACGCTCGCGACGTCAGGCCAATGACGTCGAGCTTCCATGACTGAACTCGATGGTCATCGCCCAGAACGAGCATGAAAAGGTATACCCGTCCGTAGTCGTCTGCGAGCACAAAGCGCTGTGAGTCGATCTTCTCCCAAGCTACAAAGATCGTGGCTTCCTCCAAGGGCTCGACTTGCAGCTCGCCGGTCTCGCTGTTGTAGTATCCGATGGACGTCTCGCCGATCACTATCAGGCCATGTGAGGGCAGCTCCACCGGTATTAGATGGCTGGCACCTAGCTCTATATCTGCTTTGCACACCTCTCCCTCCTCTAGCTCAATCTCGTCTCCGATATGCTTGATTTCGCGGACCTTGAGCTTGACATGAGAGTGAGTGTCTTCGTAAAGTAAGGCAATTTTCGGATTATCATCGAACGATTCAGGCTTGATGAAGGTCGATGAGCGGACAAACATCTCTGATATCCGGACAGGCACGGGCTCTCCAAGATGGGCAACTTCTGACTGCCCAGCTGCCTTCCTCTTCTTGACTCTTTGTACGAGTGGTATGACTGTGATGATGCCTTCATACACTTCGACTGTCATGAGGCGCCCTGTGGGATCAACATGACATCTCTCGCCTGTTTGTGACTCTCTCGCAGCATTGTCGGCGACGCTTTCGAACGACTTCTCGGTATGTAGTTGCTTCTTGTCGGCATCCCAGGACAGGGTGAAGTATGTGAATCGGTCAGTTCCAACGAAGAGATGGTCGGTCTGTGATAGTGCTGGGCGCAGCTTCTGGAGCATGGTGACCTTGCCATAGATAGCTTTCTGGTGCTGCAGAGCCAGTCCATCGGTAGTCTGGGAGTAGAACTCGAGTCTGTTCGCTTTCCTACAGAACACTCAGTACCTCTATCAGTCTCGAACATGACATGCTTACGCGACTACTAAGCAGTCGTCTTCTGCACTCAAGAAGTTGAGCTTGAGTGCATGGCGGACGCTGCTCGGCTTATGTATAGGTGCAATGTACGCCATGATGGATCCCTAGCCAGTGTGCAGCTTCCCAGCGACCTTGAAGCTATAACGAGAGAGGCGAATGGTGTTGTTCCAGCGCCTCAAGCTCTCGGATGTATTCCGTCATTATCCCCGAAGCAACGCGCTAGCATTCGCGTTGCGGGGACTTTTGAACTTCGGACTTTGGAACTTTTTGGCCGAGTCACCTTCACAGTCGCAAACACTATTCTGCGACCACCATGGCTCGTAAGGCTAGCCTTTGATCACCGCGCACATTTTGGCCCCACTTGCTAACCATGAACGTAGATACAGCAGCAATGGACGTAGAAGACGACGACCCAGTGGTCGCCGAGTACGATGTCTACATTACTCCCGAGGTGGAGGAGCAGCAGCTCTACGTACTGCAGTACCTCAACAGACCGCCCGATCAGCCCTTCACAAAAGCCACCGGAAGCCAGCCTGCCGAACTGCGAGTCAAGAAAGAGTCTGGCTTTATCGAAGTCGACGTTCCAATCAACATCCGCCAGAACTACAACCGCGTGAATGGTGTACGATGGGGAGAGGCTATGCGCAAGACGAAGGGATTTGGGCAGAAGGCTTTCGGTATTGCCTCTGGCTTTGAGCGAACCATGCCACGCACCGGCAACAGGCCTGGCGCAGAAGGAGGTCCAGCAGCACCTGTGATCACAGCTGAGGACGACGACAACCTCGAGGAGTACATCACGCATTTCGAGGATGCGAATGAGAAGGGTCACGTGCTGAATGCGCAGACCTTTGGTGGACAGATGTTGAATGACGACGGCAAAGGACCGAGCTACATGTTGGGAACCTTCCGTGACGGTATACTTCTCTAGCAGCCTTGACCTCTATTGCCGCGCTGACGACTCGCAGACCAGCTCCACCTCACACGGCTCAACGGACTTGTGCAACTTCGAACGCAATTTCACCACATTGACGCCTCGGCGCAACTTGAAGCAGTCGCACGGCGGCGCGAGAAGGAGTCACAAGAAGGCGCAAAGCTGGCAGAGCCCAAGGCCTTCATCCCCACTGTGAAGAAGGTAGGTGGGGACACAGCAGCCGAGCTGACGCAACAATTCATGAAGGCGGCGAACCAGGAGCCATGGCACAAGCTGCAGTACTCTGACGAAGACGTAAGCTCGCCAGTCTCAACCAGTGTGGAACTTGCTAAGATGCCTAGTCCGAACTCGCATACGATTCTTACACCGAGCGCCTCTTCCTCCCGACCGCCATTGATGCACCAAAGCTACGATCGAACCTCAACAACGACCAGTTCCTCGACGTCATCAGCGCACCCTCGGCCGGCAAGGGTGCAAAGAGGAAGAACTCAACGAAAGAGAAGGAGCTGATCGAGATCTCCGACGAGTCAGATGAGGAAGACGAGACCGTGAGCTAGTAAAAGTGGATTCAGCATGCATCATCTCGGAGTTCACATCCCAAGCTATTCTTATGGAAGGCACAACAAGATACCCAGCAATACCATTGCACTGTCAAGACAACGCACTTCGGATTCGCCAGACTGTGGATTGATTGTGGAGGACCTCGAGGCACGCATGGACTACCACTGATACTTCTAGGCCAAAGATAGAAACATCTCTTTTCAGCCCGTACCGCGCAAGCTCACGAGGGTTTGCGAACTTACTCATCATAGATTTCGATGGGTCTGGGACATGTATGAACTCGATCAATATTTTCGGCGCTATACTCGAATGGGGCTTTGACTGGCACTGGTCCGACAGAAGAGTATCGAAATGACATGTTCACAAGAGAGAAATGACCGCAGGCTGCAGGGTCGCTAAGGACTCCAAGAGCAGTACGAATAAGTGTGTCTCAGTGGTCTTCATTTGTTGTAAACGGCAGTGCAACCGGAGCATCGAAGTAGGTCAGATCCATACATGGCGCATGGAGTGCATCAGTGTCTTCAAGAGTCTGTACCTTGAGCTGCGGAACATCCATGAACAGTGGAAATTACAGTAATATAGTAACGTGGTCGGCAACGAGCGACGCAGGTAAGCGAACGACGCAGTGTAAAACGCACCTAAAGTCTCTGTTCTAAAACCTTGATATCTCTATACTTCCAAAACAGAAATCTCTAAGATTTTAAACTTAAGCTTCTGGATAGACAATGTATATATACTACAGCTGACTGAGCTCACTTACAGAATTAAACATAGCTCTCTAGTAAACCTGATTTAACAAGGAGTGAGACTACTAGACCTCTAGAACTACTAGAGCTAGAGCTTAGATCTCTTAGAAAATCTAGTACAGAAATAGTAGAGATGTATAGAGAAAAGTAGATTCTTGGCAAAAATGCCTACCTGCATCGCTCGCTTGCCGGTCACGTTAGGTAGAAAACAATATCTTGCAAGTTTGCACATGTGAGCTCATATGTTCCTCAGGGCGATCATACGTATACAGTGATTTCAATGATGAATCTTAAACGCTGGCAACGTCCCCGCTATGTACAGAGCTCATGTCTGATCGGATTGATATCGCTAGCTCAGCACAGACCAAGTCGCAATAAAAATTCCCACAAATGTTCGGACATTCTCTTCACTCCAACATCTTCATCATGCCTTGATACATCGCCTCGACTGCAGCGCTTCGGCGCAGGCAAAATCTTGAAATCACGCCGACAATGGCCCCTCCTTTGTTGCAAGGTCTCGCGCATGCAGAGCCGCTCTTCCTTCAGGCAGTCGCACCTCGGCTCAGCGTACTAAGAGTGCGGAGACCGACACCAGCCGCATCCCGCTGCAGCTCAACTTGCAACGTCCGCCCACCAGTGTAGCCGACCGTAATATTCGACATCCACGATGCGGACGATCACAGCAGTGTCGACACCTTTGCAACGGATAGTACCATATGCGGCACGCCAGAGCTCACGGAGATGCTTCTCAAGCACCCGAGACCTGCAGGCCACATGGGGATTTATAGGTTTAGGACGAATGGGTAGGTGTTCTACAAGCGAGTTCACATGATTGCGCAATTCGCTAACATTATTGCCAGGCTACTCTATGGCTAAGAACCTCAGAGCAAAAGTCCCAGCTGAGGACACACTCTTCATCCACGATGTCAACACTGCCGCTACCCAGAAGTTCCTTGAGGAGAACCCTACCGGTGTGCGAGTAGCTGAGAACGTTCGGGAGATCGCCGAGAAAGCTGTACGTTCTGCCCCCCCCCCTGCTCTATACCTTGCATGATGATACCCTTCTTTTCCAAACTTTATGATCTAAGTTGGGGTCACTTGTGGCTCTTCCCCTGATTTTACATTTCATAGCCAATCCTCTGATGCAACCAATCATACACGTCTTTGCTCTACATGTCGATGAGTTCATGAGACTGACTGTAATCAGGAAGTAATCATCACGGCTCTACCAGAGCCTCAGCATGTCAAGGGCGTGTACAAGGCTATGCTGGAGCCGCCGACGCTGCTGACGGATGGCTTCGTGAACAAGGAACGTCTTTTCATTGACACATCTACCATCGACCCTGCGACCTCGACTGATGTCGCTGAAGCGGCGCATTCGACTAATCAAGGAAAGTTCATCGATGCTCCTATGTCTGGGGGTGTTGTTGGCGCAGCAGCCGGCACACTCACCTTCATGATTGGTGCTGCACCTGAGGTCGTCGATCGGGCAACTGAAGTGCTGTCTTTGATGGGCCGAAGGGTGCTTCATCTTGGTGAACAAAGTGCTGGGCTCAAGGGCAAGCTCGCAAACAACTATCTCTTGGCTCTCAACAACATCGCGACTGCAGAAGCCATGAACATGGGCATCCAGTGGGGTCTTGATCCGAAGGCTCTTGCGGGCATGATCAACATCAGCACTGGCAAGTGCTGGCCAAGTGAAGTCAACAACCCTGTGCCCGGTGTTATCGAGGGTTCGCCTGCAAGCAGAGGGTACGAAGGAGGCTTTGGGGTTGCTCTCGCCAACAAGGACTTGAAGCTCGCTCTCAAGGTCGCTGCTGAAGCAAATGTTAAGCTTGCGCTAGGAGAGTCGGCGAGACAGCTTTACGAAGCGGTGGAGAAGGCACCAGACTGCAAAGGCAAGGATTTCTCCGTCGTGTACCGCTATCTGGGTGGCAAAGAATAGACAATCAAATCAAGTCGAACACTACCACTTCAGGCTTCATCTCATTCTTTCCGCGATTGTGGCTTTGTTGTTCCAACATCTTCTCGCGTGGTTGGGTTCCACAGCCGCGGCCGCTCAGCTGTGGCGTTTATGGCTCAGCCACACACGTGTGCGTCATCGTTGGGAAGCTGCGACTGTCAGGCGACAATTGCAGCTTCTACATCTCCACTTCTGCACCGCAATCTACAATCGCTCGAACACCTCCGCACATCCACTTACCGTAACCTCGAAAACAACCGCAATCATGTGCGGCGCCGACTGCTTCCTGATGCTCCTCAGCGTCCTCTTCCCACCCATTGGAGGTACGTCCCTCAGCACAGGCAGCAACAGCCGCCTTCGCGCCTTCGCGCCTTCACCGCCCAGACATAGATATAGTAACTAACCAGTTCATAGTATGGGTGAAGCGAGGTATCTGCTCCGCTGACTCTCTCATCAACATCGCCCTCTGCTGTCTCGGCTTCCTCCCCGGCCTTCTCCACGCCTGGTACATCATCCTGCAAAACCCCGACCCCTACGACGGCTACGGCCCAGTCCCTGACCATGAGGGCGGGCGCCAGGGTACCACATACTATGTTGTGAGCCACACGGGGCCGGCGCGCCAGCAGGGCGGTATGAATTATGGCACTGTGCCGCAGCAGCCGCCCAGTGGTGGTCAGTTTCCGGGGCAGCAGAGTGGGGTTACGAACCAGAATGCGCCGAAGAAAAGTGGGAAGAGTGCTAGCGGTCCTGGGAATGCGCCACAGCATCTTCGTGGTGAGGGGAGCAGCTCGCAGCAGCCTGAGGTGCCGCCGCCGACTTATGCGGATGTGATCAAGGGGGATAATAAGGTGCAGAACCCGTAATTGAGGTTCACTCTCTAGGTGACAGTCGACCAGGCCACTGACGAATGGGACGATCTGATGGAATGCATGGGTATTGGCTTTTGATACGGTGTTCAGGCTAGGCTACGGTAGCGACGGCATTTGTGATTACAACCCTCACGTGGATTTGTATGTGATCGTCTGCGCAGTGTATACATCAAGATTTCTGAACTTGATATTCCTCATTGCGTCCCGTAGCTGGTGTGATGTCGTTATGCTGACCAAAGGAGTGATCTTTGCTTGCATGTCTTGAGGCGAAGGCGATCTATCGACAATACAAGTGACAATGCTTTGAATGAGGAACTTCAGAAAAGGCCGTTCCTCATGGAACGATTGAACCAGGCCGACGCGTCGGAGCCTCCTTTTAATGCAATTATTCGAATGGTCAGCGTACTTTCATGTTTTTTAAATCAATCATACGGAAGCTCTTCGAGAGATTGGTGTGACACCATTTCCATTGACTCACACCTCGCCGGATGGAAGTTATGATCCAATCTGAGAGCTGCTCCGGAAATACTTGACATCCCACGCGTTCTGGTTGCACGCGTTACATTTCTGCGAGGATACGTCATTTTGTGAACGCGTGGCTTGCGGATGCGCCTGCATGCACCCCAGCTGCTAGGCACAGATGCGTCCTGGAGGACTTCGAGTTCCTCCGCGGTCTGCCTTGAGATCTGACTTTGGTGTCGAACAGACAGCCGCGTATCCGCCTTGATGCCGCACTTCCGTGAAAGCCATTCTGGACCCCAATCTTGAGCAACATAAAGACAACCGTTGACCCCAGCTGTGCGCGCATACTTTCTTTCGACTTCATTCATTGTTACTTTGCACCATGCAGCCTCGATTGGGCCCAGAGACACGTCCACACGGCACACCGTCGGCCTCATTAGCCACACCTCACAGGCTGCGTAACAGCCGGCCAATAACACTTTCACAGCATGAGCCCCGAAGCGCAGCAACCGCTCTAAACTAACAACTACCTCTCATATCAGGGCAATAAATCAGGAATCTCATCAATATGCGACACAACGCTTCCGTTGATTCGAGGATGAATAGCTGTGGCTCGTGGGACGAAAGGACCAAACAAGCCTTTGTGCCGTATCGATGTTGTCACCGCCCAGACACTTGGGGCCCGGGTTTTCTTGCTTGACGTTCAGCCAAGACGCTTTCAAGCCTTTCAGCTTGCCCCTTGGTTTGCTTAACGACGGGTAAATCGTGACGTATGAGCATCGTACATCGCGAAGGCCGTGGAGCAACCGACCGTCTTTCCTCGCCGCCGACGCTGATTTGCTTTCTCGTCGCCCACACTAGACTGCACTGCCACAACCTTGCAATTTGAGTTTCTCCAGAGCTGTGGCTGAGGCCATGCTCGCCTTTCAATTCGTTCGTACAAGATGTCAGCCACAGTTACGTGGGATCTTGCGAGTCGCCCAAACACCTGTTTAATTACGTCGTTTGTGTCCCCTTTCCTGCCGTCTTTGTCTCAACCCTCTTTTATAACACAAGGCAATCAGGCAACAGAGTCCTTTGCCTTGCCATCCCACTTCCACTTGCGCCATCTACCCCAGATTTCACCGATTTCGAAAGCGCGCGCTCGTGTAGCCAAACACAGAGCGTCAATATTCCAGCTGTTTTCGCACCCAACACGACTGCTGAACACAAGCTTTCTTTTACGGAGCTCACGCAAGCATCTGCACGTCTGAGCTCCACTGTGGGAACATCGATCGAATACTTGTTCTGCAACTAGGATATCCACGTCGGCCGAGTGTCTTATCAGACCCATACCAATGCGTAAGTGGAGCTGCCATCTCCGGCTCATTGCCATCGATGTCAAAGTTCAACAACAACACGACGTCCTCTATGTAACAACATCTGACGACCATGATAGACGCAGTAAGAAGGCAGGCGCATCGCGCTGCGTCACAAGGCGGTAATGGAGCCATGAATTACAACCCCTTTGCTCGGACACGGTCAAGGGAGCAGCCCTACGAAGACGAGGAGAACATGTACCGCACACGATCAGAGACCGACCACATTCCAGCGATCCAAGAGCAAAGAGGGATCGAGAGCAGAGAAGCTACCAAAGAGTTCGGCGCACCTCATCACCACCCTACAGATCCTACCCAGGTTTCACCAACAACAACATACGATAACTCGAGTTTTCCAGAATCGTCGGCCAAGAGGGAAGCGGAAGCAGCACCGCAGATCAATGGAGACGTGAGAGACGGAAGCGACAGCACCGTTGTTGGCTCGACAGATGGTGTTACGAAGCGCGGCAAGTTCAAGAAGTTTCTTCGGAAAGAGCACGGCAACGAACACGACGATACACTGGCAAATCAGGAATCTGACGACCTTTCATTGGAAGAACGCAAGCGCAAGGCATTCAAAAGGAAGATTCCTGTCGGCCAGCAGTTCCGATTTGTCCTATTCGGGGCCTGGATCAATGTCCTTCTTGTCTTTGTTCCTGTCGGATTTGCTGTCTTCTATGCTGGCCTCGACCCTGTTCCAGTCTTCATCATCAACTTTATCGCTATCATTCCGCTCGCAGCCATGCTGAGTAATGCAACCGAGGAGCTAGCGATCAGAGTCGGTGAGACCATGGGTGGGCTGTTGAACGCTACATTCGGCAACGCTGTCGAGTTGATCGTGTCGATTCAGGCTTTGGTCAAGAACGAAATCACCATCGTCAAGACCTCGCTCATTGGCAGTATGCTTTCGAATTTGCTTCTCGTTCTGGGCATGTCCTTCTTCCTTGGAGGTATCAACCGACCCGAGCAGTACTTCAACGTCACGGTTGCGCAGACAGCTGCATCGCTGCTTGCTCTCTGTATCGCCTCGCTTATCATTCCTACTGTGTTCCACAACACCATTGCCGAGGACAACAACGACGATGGCGACGCTCTGAGGAACCAAGAACTTTCGCACGGAACTGCGGTCATCCTTCTGATCGTCTACGCCTGCTACCTGTTCTTCCAGCTTAAGACTCACGTCGAGATGTACAACGCCCCCAGCCAGAAAGTCCCCAAACGCAAGTCTTCCAAGCTCGAAGAAGGCGCAGCAGAACACGGCATAGCTGCGATCGGTGCTGGCACTGCCGCGGCATCTGGAGGAGGCGTCAACGTGAAGAGTCTTTTGAGTAAGAAGAAGGATGATGAGGAGGAGGAGGAAGAGGAGTTCGAGTCACCATCTCTGTCCGTCATCGGCGCTCTTGTTACACTCGCCATCTCCACCACTCTTGTTGCCTTCTGCTCCGAGTTCATGGTTGACAGTATCGATGGTCTCACCGCTACCGGCCACGTCTCGACTACATTCGTTGGCCTGATCCTTCTGCCCATCGTCGGTAACGCTGCAGAGCACGCAACTGCTGTCACTGTCGCTATTAAGGACAAGATGGACCTTGCCATCGGTGTTGCGGTCGGCTCGAGCATGCAGATCGCTCTGCTCGTCTTCCCTTTCATCATCCTCCTTGGCTGGATCATGGGTAAAGCTTGTATGACATTGTACTTCGACACCTTCCAGATCGCTACACTATTCGTCTCTGTACTTCTGGTCAACTACCTCATCCAGGATGGAAAGTCACGTAAGTATCTCTTCTTCCAAATCTGGCACAACAACAAGCTAACGCGCGCACAGATTGGCTCGAAGGTATCTTGCTCATGGCAAGTTATATCATTATAGCAGTCGCTGCGTGGTTTTACCCTGAGATCGCCGAGAACCAGTGCTAAGCGTTCACAATCCTTTTATTTCCTTCAGTCACATTGTACGTTGTTAGTATATCCTCAGACTGCTATGGCGTTGGAGGCACAGGGCTTTGGGCAAAGCACATGAAGCAGTGTGCGAGCAGAATAGTTTCCTTTTCCTTGCCACTTGCTCGATACCCCAGTACATTAAGTAATGTCTTTCTAAAAACAATGCAAACAATCGGCAACCGTCCTTGCGTGTTGGTGACGTTCGCTAGTAATCAGGGAAGGTGTGACGCCACTGTCACTACGTCTTCTTTACTTCAAGATCTTTTGCTAACTTCAACACATTAGAAACATCATTTGGCAACCACAACCATCACTCTGGCGGCTACAATGAAATTGGCGTTGCCTTCTTGCTGCCCTCGGGGAAGCCTTGAGTTCTCCAGTGTGCTCTACAACGACAATCTCTTGCCCGTCCACTACGCTCATCTCTCACTTCAACCACACATCATGTCATGTCGGCTGACTCGAAAGTCTCCACATTCGCACTTGTTCGCTGTCAGACACAAGACTGCTCACTCACCAAGCCCTCTCACTCCGCCTCTTCTGACCGCAGATCCTCAACCACACTTCTCACCAGTAGCATATAACGCAACCCATCTAGCCGCTGGTTCCTCTCTCCTACATCACACTCCTCGCGATACCTGTTCATCGTCAAACTCTACCAGAGAGGCCTCCGGCCTAACAAGACCAGCTCAAGCGTACAGCGCTCTCCACAACAACCACCAGCAATCCTGCCACAGCCGACAATCGCACCTCTTCACCTCCACGACTCAAATGCCCCTTCAAGTCTTCTTCACCTGTACTTGGAATAGTAGGGGGTAATAGCTTTCGTTTTCCTGAAGCTTTTGGAGGTGTGCATCAAGCGTCCGTCTGACTTCTGCTTCACTTCAGTTTCGATCAACAAGTCTGCAGGTACGGATAACCATTGTCTGGTCTTGTACTGCAACCTACCTCGACTCAGTCATCTGACACGACGACGCCAGCTTTGATTCAGCTTCAGGTACTAGGTTCCGCCTTCCTGTGATGCAATTACAGGTTTACATTACGCTCCCAAGAAACGTCACTGACAACCTCCAGGAGGCCCATTCAGCAAGATGAGCGACGACGTTCCCGACAACCAACTTATGCCAATGCAGACAGAGTCCACCGATATGAATGATTTGTTTGAGGACAACGATAAGTTCGACTCCCAGTTCGATAACCCGAATGCCTTCATGGATCCCATAGAGGATCAAGTCTCTGCCGACTACGGAATTGCTGCAGCGCGTGCGATTCTTCCGAATGGCGATGCTACCTTTGCACACAATATCCTTGGTGTCGAGGGCTACCGTGAGATGACTCCTGGTCACGAAGAGCAGCATGAGAACATCCACGAGTCTGTCGAAGACAACCTCCAGCCTGGGACACAGCCGCCCGACCATGCCGATGTGGTCATGCTCGACAAACCCGATACCAATCTCGAGCCTCAGCAGCAGACACAGCGAACCTCCCACGAGCCGATCAATCATGACGTTGCCATGGAAGATGTGCCAGGTGAGCTGCGTGGTACTGTACCGGCCACTGCTGCTGGAACGCAGTCCCACACAAGTGTCACCGCTGCCTCCCGCTCGGTCCAACACAATGTTGACATGAACGACTCCTCGTCTCTCTTTATTCCAGAACGCGATTCGTCATCACATTCTCTTCCGCCTCCACCACGACTCAATGCTGCGCCACCTCGTCAAGCATTCACACCTGCTCGTCAATCCGGAGCGCCTGGTAGGCTCTCGGTATTCGCCAAGGTCCGCAATATGCAGAAGTTAGCTCAGGCGCGAAAGAATGCCTTCAACAAACACGCAGCCGCATTCCAACTGAGTACCGATCTCGACCCTGAAGCATACTTAGAGGCCGTCACGTCTGGTATCACACCGCCAGCGGGTGCTTATCCTGTCGAGGTTGATGAAGACGAGATGGCCCACAGACAAGCTTTGGCCGAGTTTCAGAAGCAGAAGCGCCATTATGAGAAGATCAAGGAACAGCACAACGGTCGTCTTCCTTTCCGACAAGACGTCGAGTGGATGAGGATCAAAGGCGCCGAAGATGCTCGTTTGAAGAAGCGGCAACGCGATTTGGTGACGGCTCAAGAGGGTGACGAACAAAACCTGTTCCCACAAGTACACACTCAGGCCGATGAGCAAGAGGAGGAACCCGATGGCGGCTTTTATGGCGAGGGAAGGTCTCGCAAACGCCGGCGCGGTGACCAGCCTCGTAAGCAGTCCAAGCCAGTGTCAATTCAGGACGCTGAACTTCAGGCTATGCGTGTTGCTCTAGAAGCCAGCGAAGATCTGCCCAAGAAGAAGAAGAAGAAGAAGAAGAAAGAAGCTGCAGGCATTGAGGAGGCTCAGGATCCACAACCTTCTACAAAAAGCAGGGCGTCAAAGTTTAAGGCCGCACGACCCTCCCGGAGCAGAGGAGCAGCCAAATCGTCAACGAAAGGACCGCGCAAGACGGCCAAAAACAAACGCGAGCTTGAGCGCGCTACCAAGCAAGCTACCTCACTCTTCAACGCCAACGTCTTCGAGCAGCAGGCCGGTATTGGCGCCGCAGATCAGCCAACTTTCAGAACAAGGAACAAAGCAGAAGCTCTCAAGGAGCTCATTGCCAGTGTTCCGATTCAAGACAAGAAACAGGCAAGGAACGATATGAACATTCTGTTGCAAGCCTCGAAGGACTTTGACGGAGTTGGATCCTGCAAGATTGCACCTGGCGGTAACTGGATGGTTCGTGGCATGAAGACATCTCTCAAAGGCTATCAGGTACTGGGAAGTGCCTTCATGCGCCGTCGCGAGAACGATGCACAAGAGCCCAAGGGAGGACTGATGGCAGATCAAATGGGACTTGGTAAGACGCTGATGATGCTCGGTGAGTGTACTCCAATTTTGGTATTTATATGTGTACGCGCTTTACTGACATTGTTCAGCAAACATTGTGAACTCCCGCGACGCAATGATTAGAAACAGAGACCACACTGCTAAGACGACGCTTCTGGTCGCTAGCCCGGCTCTACTGAACCAGTGGGCAGCCGAAATTGAGCAGCACACCAACTGCGATATGAAGGTCATGCGTTACGGCGCCGGCAACCGTCTCGACTCAACTCACGCCATCCCAATCCTTGGTACTCACGACATTATCCTCACTACATACAGCGAGGTCATGAAGTCTTACCCGAAGAATGAGCCCCCAATCGAGTGTCAAACTGCTGAGCAGAAGATCGCTTGGTGGAAAGAGACGTACGATAAACACCGTGGAGTTCTACACCAGATGTACTTCAAGCGTGTTGTTCTCGATGAAGCTCAAGCGATCAAGAACCACCAAGGTCGAACCTCCATCGCCTGCCGCGCCCTCATGGCCTCCCACAAGTGGGCTCTGAGTGGTACACCCATCTTGAACGGTCTGGACGAACTTTACCCCTACTTTAAATTCCTGAACGTCCCGCACACTGGCAGCTTCAAAATCTTCAAGCACAACTACTGCAGCAGTAGTAACGGAGAGAACGCCGAACGCCTCCTCGTCCGCCTTTCGCAGTTTATGATCCGACGCACCCACGCCGACAGGATGTTCAACGCACCCATCTTGAAGCTTCCGCAGGCAAACCAGAGCACATACTGGTGCGACTTCAACTCCGTCGAGCGCAGCATCTACATCATCGTCCATCAGCGCTTCGCCAAGAACATCAACATGTGGTCTAAGAAGGGCACGCTGTCGAGGTCATACAGCAACGTACTAGTCATGCTGCTCCGTCTTCGACAGCTCACTGCCCATGTTCTCATGCTGCAGTTCGTCATGAGAGACCTGCTGGAGCGCGAAGACATTGAGCGCATCAAAGAGGTCGTTAAGGAGCAAGCCGCCCACAGTCACATTCACCAAGGCCGCACTATTCTCGCCATCCGAAAGCAGCTGGAAGCTCATGAGTTGAGAGAAAAGAGGAAGGCAGTTGCTAAAGCCGCCCGCAAGCTTGCTGCCGAAGAAGCTGCCAGAGAAGCTGCCAAGACGGCGAAGACTGAGTATGTCGAGCCCGAGGATGGTGGAGACGAGGACGACGAGGACGACGAGGACGGTGATGCTCCTGTCGAAGTTCCACTTGACGGTGAACTGAATGAGGAAGAGACGGGCACTCGCTGCGGCGCAGAACGCAACAAATCGGGCAAGGGCTTTGGTAAGAGCTACGACTTCAAGCCGTTTGTGAACAGCCTCACTGTCGGTGAATTCTGGGAGAAGAAGAAAGAGAAGGCGCAGTGTGGAGAGTGCGGCAGACGTCCCTTGAAGCCTTGGATGACAGCCTGTGGACACCTGATATGCGACCCTTGCTACGAGGATGTTATGAACGCTGCAGCCGAAGAAGGGAAGACCAACGGAACCTGCAAAGCCTGTGGGTCGACCTTTGGCGCCTGCGCTCCTTGTGAGGAAGAGCCGGATGATCTCCCAGGTCCTAGCCGTGGAACTCGGGGCAAGACTGCACAGAAGAAGAAGAAAGAGAAGGAGCGTTTCGATCGTGAAGATATTGCGGATGACTGGCTGAGCTTGGGTGGTGACGACGTTCTGCCATCCGCCAAGACCATTGCGATCAAAGCCCAGATCCTCAACTGGACCAGAGAGAACCCGAGTGTCAAAATCATCATCTACACGCAGTTCCTCGCGATGTAAGTCCTATCCTTGATTTTTGGATCTGGCTAACCCTGCTTAGGATTCGTATTCTGGCAAAGATCTGCCAACAGGAAGGCTGGGGGACAGAGCAGGCATGTTCTAAAATCTTGAAGCTTCGCATCCTTGCTGACCACAAGCACAGTACCACGGCAAGCTGAGCCTGGGAGCTCGCGACAAGGCCATCAAGGACTTCGCCACCAACCCGCGATCGAACATCTTGCTGGCGTCCCTTCGGTGCGGCGGCCTTGGTCTGAACCTGACCATGGCCTCGAAGGTCATCATCATCGACCCATGGTGGAACCAGGCTTCGGAGCAGCAGGCGTTCTGTCGAGTGTTCCGCATCGGTCAGCAGGACGAGACGTGCATGAGCAGAATGTGCGTCAAGAACACAGTCGACGAGCGTTTGATCGAGATGCAGAGGGAGAAGCAGAAAGAGATCGACGAGGTGATGGAGGATCGGGGCAAGAAGACGAAGAAGTAAGTCATCTCTCAACGCATCTCTCCTCGATTTCAGCTAACCGCACGTCTCCAGCTTGGACATTGCCGACCTCATGCGCCTCTTCGGCAACATTGAAGAGACCGATGACGGCAGACCTTTCATCGTGGTCGACAACCCTACTGCTGCTGGCGGCTTCTACGCTGACCGCGACCACGAGGGTTACGCTGACGAGTTCTGAGGTGTGGATGGATCTGGGGACGGTGTGATTTACCAGGCCTTGGATCGCCAGATTAGGGATTCTGATGGGGATGGTCTATGATTCTGGCTGAGTTTGACGGTAGCCTGGAGGCATTCGATGATTTCGATTCGAGGTCCTGATTACTATCGAGGATATCATTGGACGTTTCAGATTGCTTGCTTTTCCCACGACTAGCGCTGCGGACCTCCAGGGTGCTTTATCTTACTTATCTATGCTCGGAATTCGATTTGGGAGCCTTTCAGCACGTTCGTTAGGAGAATTCTACTGTGATGATGTTTGGTGGTGGAGCGATGGCACGATGTAGAGACGGGCCGATCAATGGCAGGCCCACCGTTGACGTCTCCGCAATGCGGACCATCGGTTTGGCGACTTGAAGATTGCCACACATCTGAAAGCCTCCCAGGTGCCAGTCGCATGTTCAGCTTGACCTGCAGCCATCGACAGCCACTCCCGCGCGATTCCTCGGTGTAGGACCTGGAGCAGATAAGACAGCACTGCGACCAATCACACGCGAGCAGGTAGCATTTACTCACGCGAACACTCCCCTCATGTACCGGCCTGCGTGAGCGTTGCTTGTCGCGCGAGATATCCCGGGCTAGCCATGTTGACAGCGACTCTCGCACTGAACCACGACCGCCAGTGCGACAGACAGTACTCGCCCGTCGCTGATTAATGTCGCGCTGAGAGCGCTCTGTCATCCGTCATAGCGCGCCCGCCATCGGAAACCCCACAGTCTGTGGACAACGACGATCCGCAGGGCCGCTGGACATGGAGGCCGCCGGGGCAGATGCGCATGCGAGCACGCCGACAAACACGACAAACACGACAAACACGACAAACACGACAAATGTGACAAATGTGACAAACACGACAAACACGACGAACACGACGCAGCCGCAGCCACCAAAGAAGGGCCGGCGAGGGAAGAAGAACGCCGAGGAGGACGAGGCCAGCAAGAAGCGGCGCTGCATCTCCAGCGCATGCGTGCCCTGCAGGAAGAGGAAGAGCAAGGTACGTGACCGCGTGGCTCCTTCCGCTACCCGTTTCTCCGCGGGTGCTCGCATACAATTGACCCAACACGAAGAAGAGCACTGACATCAGCAGTGTGACGGCACCACGCCTGCCTGCTCTGCCTGCGCCGCCGTCTACAACACCGAGTGCATCTACGACCCCAACTCGGACCACCGCCGCAAGGGCGTCTACAAGAAGGACATCGACAACCTCAAGACACGCAACTCGACCCTGCAGACCCTGATACAGGCTATTCTCAACTACCCCGAGGAAGATGTCGCTGGGCTCGTGCAGCAGATACGGACGTGCGAGAGCCTGGACTCGGTGGCCGAGGCTATCATAGCAAAGGAGAATGGCGAGGAAGAGGAAGATGAGCCCGTCAGCCCCTTCTCTACGCCTGCTGTTACGCCTGTCAAGCCGACGTTCGAGAGCCAGCTCAGCGGGAGGATGGGCGAGCTGAGGCTCGAGGATGGGTCGACGAGGTATATCGGGGGCACCTCGCACCTGATATATCTGGGCCAGCACAACGAGGCGGCAGATTCGCCGGATCCGTATGCACAGGAGCAGTACCAGCAGGTCGAGGACCCGTACTGTACGTGGACGACGGTCACGTCCGATCCGGAGCTCGTGCAGCACCTCATCAGCATGTACTTCTGCTGGCACTACAGCTTCTTCACCACCCTGTCCAAGAACGCGTTTCTGCACGAGTTCCAGGCGGGCAAGCCGCCGCCTGGCTCGGGCAGGAAGATGCAGTACTGCACGCCGTTGCTGGTCAACGCTATGCTGGCGCTGGGCTGCCACTTCACTTCTCTGCCCGGTGCACGAGCTGTGCGAGACGATTCTGCGACTGCGGGCGACCACTTCTTCCGCGAGGCCAAACGCCTAATCATGGAGGAAGACCTGCATGAAGTCCCTGCGTTACCAACCGTCCAGGCGCTTGCGCTGATGTCTGTACGCGAGGCTGGTTGTGGGCGAGAGGCAAAGGGATGGGTGTACAGCGGCATGTCCTTCCGCATGGCCTGTGACCTCGGTCTCAACCTCGGCATGCACAGCAAAGACGCCATCGACGAGACGGAAGAAGATGCGCGGCGCATCACCTTCTGGGGCTGCTTCTTGTTCGACAAGTGCTGGAGCAACTACCTCGGTCGCATGCCGCAGCTGGCGAACAACATCATCACAGTGCCCAAGTTCGACGTCTTTCCTGTCGAAGACGCAGAGACGTGGAGTGCGTATACGGACTCAGGTATCAGTCAGGCGCATTCGCAGCCTTCGCGGACGAGGGCTGTTGCGCTGCAGATCTCGAAGCTGTGCGAGATTTCGAGTGATCTGATGCAGTTCTTCTACAATCCCATCGACATGGATAAGGCGAAGGGGAAACAGGCGGAGCTGAAGAAGCTGAGTGAGATACATGTGCGTTTGGAGACGTGGAGAAGAGAGTTACCGAAGGAGCTGGAACCGAAAGAGGGTGGTCTGCCGCATATGCTTGTCATGCAGTAAGTTACATTGATCCATTCCTGTTTACCAGGCTAACTAGTCTCAGCATGTTCTTCCAGCTCCTCTACATCCACCTCTTCCGGCCCTTCCTCAAGTACAACCCCGACAACTCGCCCCTCCCGCCCAATGTCTCGCCTCGGAAACAATGCACACAAGCCGCAGCCATGATCTCTAAGCTTCTCCGCCTGTACAAGCGCTCACACGGGCTTCGCCAAGTATGCAACATTTGCGTCTACATCGCGCACTCAGCATGCACCATTCACCTACTCAACCTCCCCGAGAAGAACGCCAAACGCGACATCATCCACGGCATCAAGCACCTCGAAGAGATAGCTGAAGGCTGGCTCTGCGCACGGCGGACCTTGGGCATCCTTAGCGTCCTGGTCAAGCGATGGAAAGTCGATCTCCCCGAAGAAGCCGCGGCCGTCCTTGCACGAACAGACGAGAAGTTTGGGCCCTGGAACGAAGTCAGCACGCCCAAAGCAGTACGCGCCGAGCCGGTCATGATCACAGAAGGCCAGCAACCCACAAGCCCAACACAAAAGTTCTCTCCCAGCCTGCAACCCTACAGCATGAGCATCGCAGACGTCGCAACCCCCAACTTCCCCCCAGCATCAACAAGCAGCACCGCTGCAGCCGCATACGTAAGCCACCCCCAAACCACAACACCATACTCCGCACAACCCAACACATCCTTCACACGCGACCCCTCCTCCATGCCCCCAACCGACCTGACTCACACTCGCCTCCAGCGCCACCCCTCGGACCCGCTCAACCACACCACACCGAACCACGCACACACCCCCGTGACCCCCGCGTCAACGCAAGCCCGGCAGTCTCTCGACGGCATGAGCTCCGCTGGCGCGTCACCGTCTCGGCTCTTCGGCGGCGTCGACCAACTGATCCGCGAAGGGCAAGACTGGATTTTCAGAGACCAGACGCAGCTCGCCAGCGGTTTCGATAATTGGAGTAACCAAGAGTTCGGCGATATCGCGAGTTGGTTTGCGAGTACGGGGGCGAGTTCGGGGACTGCGGCGTTTGCCCAGCCTGCGAGTCAGAGTATGAATGGGGGCCCTGTGGGGGCAGTGACGAATGGGGGTGTGACGAGTGGGTATAACGTCAGTGGTGTGCCGTTGAGTGGTGGGATGAATGCGAGCGCGAATGCGAATGGGGGGATGAATGGGATGCAGGGGTTTACGTATGATGAGCGGAGTTGGTACGATTACCACTGAGTTCCTCATCCACCCACCACCCTGCGTATTGTATGTGTCTTGTTCATGAAAAGGAAAGGGATATACCAATCTTGGCCGGCGTTTGGCGCGTTGAATGGGAGCATGGGTCTAGGAGTTTTTTTTTTCAGTAATTGTTTGTTTATCAATCCAACATTCCATCCCAAAACCCTGACAACGCTCTCCAAAACCCTGACAACGCTCTCTCCCCCTCTCCCTCTCACGTTACAGACAAACCACGGATGCAGGCAGCCAACCCCTACAAAAGACGGGAGGAAAGCAAGTTGTGCTGGGCCTGTATTTGCCAGCTGATAAGCAGCCCAGGGACTACAAAGCAATTCTGCTGAGTTGAGACGTTGGCCGGCTTGTCTCCAAACAGGTCCAGGCATAGAGACTGAAAGCGAGGATTGGTAACTGCCGTGTCTGACTTTTCAGGAAGAGGAGAGGCATTTCTATTCGCCATGCCATGGCCATGGCCGAGGCCGGATCTTCTCCGCTCTTCTCCGCTCTTCTCCTATAGGCACGCGGAGCACAGCTCGAGGAAGATGCATACCCCCATGCCCGAAATAAAACAAGAAACAACAATGCGATGCAATGCGATGCAGTGCGATGCGAATGCACCCATGCCTGGATGCACTATCCAAGGCCCTCGTGCCTGAATCCTTAACGCCGGGAGTCGTAACGTCGTTCGTGCTCCGTGACCAGAAAACATGCTCGCTAAGTATAAATAAAGAACAAGAAAAGGCAGAAAGAAACGCTATGCAAAGTATATAAACATGCCGAGTATCATGCAGAGTGATGATATCAGCGCGGCGGCAGACACGTTCAAATCGACCGAAGTCCAAGTCGCGACCGAGGATCGCAATGATGCTGCAGAGCCCAAGATACCTGTTGATGGAGCTCGGATCAGAAGTCCACGCTCCACCTCAGCCGCGGATCCCTCTCCACCACGCCCTGGCTGTCGAACGGCGCAGGCATAGACCCCTCATTCTTTGCCTCGCTCCAACCTCTGCTGATGGCGAATCCACTGCCATTCCACTCATCCCGTGCGCCTGCAGCCAGATCGTCATTCGACGGCGGCAGACGAATCTTCGCTTCGACCAGCGGCGCAGAAACAAATCTTGAGCTGAGCAGCGCGCGCGGCGAGACGGTGTCTTGGAGGCAGTTGAGCGACGAGATGTCCGAGGAGTTGAGCGGAGCGCGTTCGCGGCGGGGCAGTGTGCGCGGTGCGAGGAGCGAGTCGGAGGACTGGGTTGCGAGGCGGTAGTGCACGGCTTCTGGCTGTGACGGGACCGCGTTCTCGTCGCTGCTCTGTGGGCCGGGGGGAGATAGGTTGACGGCGGAGCCGCTGGATACTACGGTTGAGAGGACGGGCCGGCTTTGGCGGACGGAGACGGTGCGGGAAGCTGTTGGCGTGGTTCTCCCCCGTATGATTGAGGTCTGCGATTCTGTCGTGTCGGTTCTGTTCAGTGTGATGGCGGTGTCGCGGCGCATCCTCGAGCTGGTAGAGGACGGCGGTCGCGCTTGAGGTGTTCTGCTCCTGTTGCGGCGTTGGCTGGAAAGCAGGTCGGTGTATGAGCCCTGCGGTGTTATTGACGGCAGCTCCTGCGTCTGCCCTCGCTCGAGTCTGTGCATCAGCTGCCGTGTGCTGACCTGTCGCTGAAGACTCAACTCCACGCGACTGCTTGCCCCGCTCCCACTGCGGCTCCGGTGGGTTGCTCGCTCTTTCCCAGCCATGACGCTAGCTTTGGGTGGGGGCTGGAGCATCCACCGATTGTCGGCAACATCTGGGGATGGCAGGCTGACGACGGGCGGGTGGAGGTCGTTGACGGGCGGTGCGCGCGCCGAGTAGTAGCTTCCTGACCGTGAAGTGCCTGGTCTGCTCATCTTGTACCCTAGTACACTGCCCAGTCCACTCGATGATGACCCTGATGTCGTCTGCTGCACGGGTATTGGCGCCTCGTCCAGTCCCCATAGATCTTCGTCCTCTCTCTGGTAGCGCTTCAGATTCCATGTGTCGTCGTCGTCAATGGTGTCGTCGCTTAGGCGCAGATCGTTGGCTCGCTCACCGTCCAAGCTGCTTCCGTTCTGGCTGACGACCGTGCTCTGCAACCCCACCTTTGCCGGTCCTCTTGTGCTGCCAGTGTTCGTCCTGCGCGCTCTTCGCGGAGGCGGCCCGGGGCCCAAGGCGATCTCCTCGCCCCAGTATGGATTGGTGCCGGTCGGTTCGGGGTGGTGGTATGTCTCCGGCTGCTCCAGCACCAGCTTCTCTCTCGCTTTCCTAGCTCGCTTTGCTTCTCTCCGTCGTTTTCGGCTGTCGTTGTAACCGGTGCACGGCGCACATGAAGCGTAATGGAAGACGGCGCTCTACCGAGGAACATTAGCCGCCGTTCTGCATGCAGGCAGCATGGTAAGACATACTTGGACTCCGCGCAAGAACCACGACATGCCGGTAGCAGGCGGAATAAATCTGGTGCGAGGTGCAGCACCGCTCTACACAACTATAGGAGGTCGCAATCTAAGATATCGCTCGCGTGCGCTGCGACGGAGGAGAAGAAGGGAGGTGCCGGTCGAGAAGGTGTACGGCAAAATCACACTGCGCGGTTTGGAAAGTCATTGCAGCCCTCGACAAAAGACAGCCAGGAGCGATTGCAGAATCATGGACAGAGTCAATCGCGGTGGGTGCGCAAAGGAGGGCGCACGAGTGTTTCGTGCAGGAGCGGCCACGGACCAGGTAATCCGATACCGTGGTGGAGAGCGCGCGGCCGTCGATGACGAGGAGTTGATAGTACAAGTGGACAAGCCACCGCCAGCTTCTAGTCGAGTTGGCAGAGGCCTCGGCCCTCGATAGTATCCCTCGTCGATGTCTCTCACGTGCAAAGGGTGGCAGAGGACCTGCTCTTGTTGCGCTGCTGCTCAGTGTGTCAGGGTGATGAGGCGGCAGACGCAACCAATATGAGATGGGAGCACGTCGAAAGAAGAAACATCTCCACCAATGCCTCTGCTTTTGGACCCTGCGGTTGCAGGGAGCCGATACACCGACCGAACAGCTGCACGCACACGTTTGGCAGCGAAACAGCGGGTTGATCTGCTGTTTCTCCCGTGGCTTCTAGCGCCGTAGGTCAAACGTCGAGGGCACACGTCGAAACATCCCTAAAAAGTCCTCCGCCATCTCACTCACAGCAGTCTACAATCGCCTCTCACCGTGGGTGCGTTCGTATGAGCAGCTTCCCCGTTTGCATCCGCAATCGCAAACAATGAGGCCCAGCCCCGCGGCACCCGCCTAGCCAGAGACGGCATTTCATGTGTTGGCTAGCGGGCTTCAAGACCCATCCGCAACACAGCTCCGTCCAACGAGTGTCTGCACAATGACCGGTTCCCGGGTCCTGGGAGACAGCAAGGCGAACGTGCTGACTACCCATGGGAGCAGCTCGACATTGAACATCTCAGCCGAACAATCGCTAGACGTTGTTCATGGCCTGCCAACACCCCAGCGCGGCTGATGCACGTCAAATCGCGCAAATGGCGCCTCACAGATGCAGCCATCGGCCCGTCTTCACCCCGTTGACAGTCCAGCCAGGGGGAAATCCACGCGGACGCTCGTCACGTGCACGGCAAAACGGTAGCAAGTGTGAAAGCCAAGTGCAACAGCTTCGACTTCGCTCTCGTGCAGGATGTTGGCAATACTCCGCGAGCATCCAGGAGCTTGGAACCCACAATTCGTCAGCGAAACCTGACTTCGCTCTCACCAATCTCAAGGAGTGCAAGAACAGTCGCCAGCCAGCGCAGTACAAGCTCAAGTAACGCGCGTTCCACTTCGGAGCGTCCAGCTTGCAGCAGACGGCGTTGTTTCTACGACAACGAAAACCTCCAGCATGTGCCAGCAAGCAACCCGCGAAGCCCGACGGTAGACGACGCGGCAGCATTTCATCGTTTGGCATCCAGCTAAGAGGACCTCCTCGCTTCTACGACTTCTACAATTGGCATGCTCGTGCATCTGGAGTGGCCGAAAGTTTGGTTCAGCTTCACCCAACATAGGCTTCACTAGCCCATTCCTAGCTAGTCTTCCGCCAGCCACGTGCGGGCCGGGGTATTGTTGCATGAGTAGCTTCAAGTTCTGAGCTGAAGGATATGCTTTCGATGCAAAGAGGGTGAACCCGTTCCAGTTCGCAAGGCTGAGGCTCTCTCATTGAATCCGTGGCTTGCTGAATTGACTCTGCCAAGCTATGTGATAGGTTAGCTTGTGCAGTGTGCTAGCTTCTTGCGCGATGCGTGGAGAAATCTCCGTATATCGAGGAGCGTCTCTACCGACACGGTAGTACCGTCTTCAAAGCTATCGTGCATGGACCGGGTTGATCGGTTTCGGATACAGCGAAGAGAACATGTACTCGAACCTAGGAGGGAGAGGTAGGATAAAAGGCAGACGACTTCCTGTGTAAATGGAAGCATCATCTCAGAGGAAACTGCAACTGCGATCAACATGATTCGAACACAACCTCAAAAGCCCCCAAAGGTCTCCACGCCTGACCAGTCTCTTGCAGAGACCCGCATCGTCGCTCAAGAGATCGTCCAGTTCCTCGAGACAATCTATCACTCTGCCTCCTGCCTCAAGACCGTCCCAACACATCTCGTCCATCTCCTCTCTCGCACACCGCAGAAGAGAACACCCCTCCTCACACAACGAATCGTTTCCACACTCGAGAGCCTCCACCACACCGGCTCCTTCCTCAAGACGCTCTACCTCTTCACAGCCTCCGACTTCCCCACCTTCGCCATCCCCACAGCCCTCTTCGGCCTCTTCGGCGCCCTGTCCGGCTCCGTCTTGACATCCAACCCCTCCCCATCGATCATACCGACACTACTACGCATCCCACAGGCACTGTTGTTGATATGGATAAACCTCCTCATCTTCAACATATCCAACCAACGCACACCCTCCGCGGTCTCCGAAGACGCTGTCAACAAACCGCACCGTCCGATACCCGCCGGTCGCATCACAATCGAACGCGCTCGCCAGGTCAACCTGATCCTCGTGCCTGTCGTCCTAGGCCTGAGCTGGTGGACGCATGTTTGGCACGAGACCTTGGTGTTGCTAGCCATGCAGTGGATGTACAATGACCTGCGCGGCTGCGACGAGTCGCTGCTGCTGCGCAATGGACTTATCGCTGTCGGATATGGATTGTACTCCGCCATCGCTTTATCCATCATGGTAGGAGGCACTCACGCTCTCAATGCAACGGGGTGCCAGTGGCTCGTCATCATCACGTCGGTGATGTTTACCACGCAGCACATCTGCGACATTAAAGACGCGCCTGGCGATAAGCTGAGAGGGAGGAGGAGCGCGCCGATTGTGCTGGGGGATGGGGCGTGCAGGTGGTCGGTGTCTGTTCCGATCATGGTTTGCTCAGCGCTTTGCCCGGCATTCTTCGGTCTCGATCTGGTATCATTTGTTTCCACCTGCTCTTTCGGTGCGCTGGTGGCGGGACGTACGCTCTTCCTGCGCTCGCTCGCGGCGGACAAGTTGACGTGGAAGCTGTGGGCGTTGTGGACGTGCAGTCTCTTCGTACTCCCGCTTATTGCCAGGCTCGAGGTCACTACTGTTGACCCGAGCGTGGTGTGGGAAGCGCTGATGCATTATGCTTGCCCTGGGCATGATTGTGTGGAGAAGTTGAATGTGTTGGCGGTTTCTGGGGTCGCGCTGGCTGTGAAGCAGAGTAGTATAGTTGGAAGGGTGGGTGTGGATGCTGAGCGGAATATGACGGCGGTGCCGAGTATCAATGTCAAGGTGGTTGCGTGAATTAGACGGGAGTAAAAACCATAAATCTTCGTAGTCTTATGCAACGCTATCATTCAGTTCTGTTCGATTCTCAATGTCTTTGAATCCGCCAATGCTGAAGGACCGCGCAACGCTTGTCGTGACAATAATGCATCTCCCATTTTGCACTTTGCCACACCAACACTTTGTAACCCAGCCTCCTAGACCCGGCTGTTGGCATTCAAATCCCAGATCCTCAACGTCTCGCCCTTGCCCCCTCTCTTCTTAGTCTCCTTCTTCTTGCCATCGAACTCATTGAGATTCAGCATGGCCTGGCTGACCTTTGCCAGTGTCTGCACCAACTCGCTCATCCGGCCTGTCTTCAGGAACAGATCTTGCAGCCACTCCGCGTCCGGATCAGCGACCAGATTTGCAATCTCCATGGCCTTGATGGCGGTCTCGCGGTGGAGGAGGAAGGACGCAGTTTGCAAAACGGAGAGGTATGTGATGATGATTTCGGGAACGTATGCGCGCTTCAGGCTGGTCGTCCAGTGGGTGTCCGCAGCGTAGGATTCGCCGAGGGAGGGAATGAGGTTATCGAATACAGTAGTGATGTTTTCAAGGAGCTCCTTGACCGGTTTGGTGTTTACTTTGGTAGGTTGCGTTCGGTTACTGCGGGACGTTAATATGTTACTCTGGAATACAGTGAGCAGGTGAACGTACTCGATGAGCTCCTGCTCTTTCTCACGCCAGTCGCGGAACATGGCGACGATGCGCACGATCTGCTGGAGGTCGTGATATGGTGCGCTGCGTACTCTCAAGTGGTTCACGATCTGCTCATGTTGCTCAGCATCGGGAAGTCGTGACACAGGCAGTCTGCTTCGAGCTTCGCGTGAGAGCGTTTCGCGATGAGCGTGTAATGCGCGCTCGTCTTGCTCTTCGGCACCGGGTTCATTGAAATCGAACGGATACCCGCAAAGAGCCTCAGTTCTAGACAGAGAGAGCGACTCAACATTGACCTCCTCTATCATCTTCTCAGCAGCGGCGAGGCGACCATTGACTGTCTTTGTTAGCGCAAGCAGTGGCCTTCAAAGACATTAGACTTACGAAGGAAGATTGTCAAGGCGTTTTTGAGGTGCTCGAACGTCTCGTCGGTTTCCTCATTGAGATAGTTGTACCAATAGACAGCATCAATGATACCCTCGTCCTTGGGCTCCACCTCGCTACCGTCGAACTGAGGCTTGATTCGCAGGCCAGGCCACAAAACCCTCTTGTTCTGATCCATCGACTCCGTCGACTCGAGGAGCTGGAAACGCTTGATCGGTTTGGTGATTACAGAGTTACCTTCCTCGTCGAAGTCAATGAACCCGCTATGATTGAACGCAAGGGTAAAGCTTTGCGAGACCACTTCAACCGTGTCAACTCTGTACAAGTCAAGCAGAGCGATGCAGTTCCTTTGCTCGTTGCGATTCTTGATATCAGGGAGCACACGCGCCAGGCAGTAGCCTTGCCGTGATTCCGGTAGTTGCGCTGCATACAAGGGGATCAACTGGATGCGCTTGCTGAGACGCAGGAATTCGATATAAGCAGCGATGACGTTGTCCATCGCCAAACGTCGTTGCGTGTCTTCTGTGTTCAGCATATCCAAGCCGCCCCTGAGCGCAATAAAGACGTGTACCAGGGTACGGAAGGCGTGTGGGTCGCTGGCGAGTGTCTGATAGTATCGATCTGCTGTGGCAGTGGGTTGTCCAGACGCGGCCTTTGGTCCTCGATCGTTTTCTGGTGAATCTGGGTGGACCATAAGATTTCCAGGTCGGTCATCATTCTGCAGCATTTCGGCCAGCGCGACCCCAACCATGTGAACGAGCTCCTCCAGTGATTGACCAATTAGAGCGCCCTGTATGAGCTTGATCGGTGCAGTTGCCAAGGCTGACGAGGCCTTGTGTTGCTTCAACGCGTTGATGACTATGCTAGGGGAGTTTGACCAGTCCCCAATATTGGCGACAGCATCATGGAAGACGAACCTTTGGCTGAGGCTCTGGGTTACTCGGCTCGAGTATTGTCGTTGCAGGTACGAATCGAATCGAGACAGTAGCAGTGCGTTGTAATGAGCGTATAGGTGGTCATCCCAGGTTCGAGCAACCTCCCGTACTTTGCCGAGATCTCCACTCAGTAGGCCATACACTGCGCCCTCATATTGTAGCCGAGTACCTTGGGCGGCATAGAAGCACATACGGCGGAATAAGTACCCAACTGTATCACCGGCGACATTGGGACTGCCCGGAGTATGTGACTCGTATGCTGCGCCTATGCTCACGCCGCGCCATGCTTCGTTCCTCTCCAGAGCCCATTCGCAGATCTCCTTCCAAGGTACTCCACGGCGCATCATCTCGTAGCACACCAACCAGAGAGCTTTCTCGTAAAATTCGTCCGACTTCTCAAGTACACGCTTCTGGCGCGAAGGCGCGTCGGGGTCTAGTTGCGTGACCAGTTGCTGTGATCGATCTGCAGTCTTCAAGTTCGTGTTTTCGGGCTTCAATGGTCGGTCTGAGCCTTCCATGCGCTTCGCCTGCTTAATTTTTGACTTCGTATCCAGCCACCCGCTGGTCCAGGTATTGGCGCCCTTGCCAGACTTCTCTTCCAGCACCGCAGTAATTGACTCGATGTCGCTCTCGCTGTCCTGTGCAGTTTGCTCCAGCCAGCGTAGAATCAGATCCTTCTCTTTTGCCTGATCATCTTCCAACAGGAAACGGTCCCAGATCTCGCTGTTCGGACTGTACCGCTTGTTTCCTCCGATCTTCTTCAGTCGGGCTTGTTTCTCTGCTTCAACATCTTTACCGGGTACGGGGTGGTAGTGATCGATGATGATGCGAAGGAGGTCCCAAGTTGCCAGTTCGGCCTGCCATTGTCGTAATTCCTGTACGCTTGTGGAGTCAAGCGCTGTGCTGGATTCGACAGATGGGACGATCGACTGGAAAGATTGTCCGAAGGAGCCTTGGCCACTTGGTTCTCCCATGTTCTGCACCCGACGTCGCGTGCTTTTGTTCAGCGCTCCTTGGTTCTCAGCACCGCTCGTGCGCTTCAACTCCTTTACCTGGGATTCCGCAACGTCCCTGAAATGGCCCACCATTTTAACCGTCGCCTGGTGCTTGACAGCAGAATTGTCTTTTCCGTGTGTGTGCCAGTGATCAACCCGTTCCGCGAACTTCTCCACCTCTTTTCCTACTCGGTCGGCCATTGCGCGCAAAGGCTGCAAAGGATCGCTAGAGGAAGAACCGTTCGTTGCACGTGTGTTACCGAAGAGTGATGGAGCTGCGCCATTTGCCTGGAAACATCTTTCTTAGCATGGAGATACAACGGGGTGTGCTCGGAGCTTTGGAGGTTTACCTGAGCGGAAGGTTGCGCCTGGCGCGCAAAAGAGAATGGAGCCATGTTGAAAGAAGAATGCTATACTGTCAGAGGCATTGACTGAAGCAACAGCTGTGAGAACAGATGCAAACTCAAGTTCAGGCGCTGCGAAGGCGCTGGTGGTGGTTGAAAGCTGCGGTCGAAGACAGCCCTGGAGACAAAACAGTCGCGTAGCTCCATGTTCAGGGAAGACACGCCCGAGCGCCGCGTTTCTGCTTGGCGCGCTAGCGCGACTACAAAAATCTCAAAATTCCCTGCCCCCTTCCTGTCCACCACAATATCTTAACCACTAGGTTCCCCACTGAGTCACTCGCGGTCTTATTCAATTATCCAGCGGGCGCTCGGGGAGCCTTAGAGAAACTATATTTCCCAGTGAACCCACCGAACTTCCTCGCGAAGTGGTGGATAAGAAAAGGGAGGTATGACATCCCATTGCATGTTCTGTCGATCTGCAGAAAGCACAAGTGCGCCCTAGCTGTTGCAAGCCCATATCGATGACTTGAGAGTTTGGTCGCGGTGGTTCTCTATTCTCAGATTCTTGCAAAAAGCATGGTCTTCAGCAGACCCTCTCGCGATGCAGAAAAAGCCGGTTGCAACGTCCTCGCAATGGCCCCTCTATCACTCAAGGAGTCCTTCATCGTCATTACAAGCAGTTTACACTACCTGAAAAAATTACTGTGGCCTTTTGATGCCTTTTTAGGTTGCAAGTAGTCTACAAACCTGCATTGAGTACCTCCCATAAGTTCAAGGTCCGCGGGCTTGTAATTGGCTTTTCCTGCTACCGAGATACCCCATACACTCGTCTCAGTCGAGCAGCAGAAAAAGCCGGTCGCGAGTCCAAATCCATGGGAGGGTGTTCAGTGTCAATCTGCAGACCATCTGCAATCTGATAGAATCTCTGAGGATTACAGTATTTCTGTCTGTTAGGCCTGTCGAATAGACAAAACACCCCCCCGCGTAGCGGTGCCCTTGAAAAGAACGCAGAGGTTTGCACAACTCTCCAATACCCGTCTCAAGTAGACGAGGCACTCTGCTGTATTTTGCTTCGCTTGTCAGATTGCAAGAGCTAAGTATTCATGTGCTATTTCCTTCTAGCATTCAGCATTGCACGCTCGCGTACTGGCTTTACACCAAAGCAAAAGCTTCTTTTCATGACAGACTTGCTCCGGACGAATATGCTTATCGATCATCTATTAGTATATTCGTACATCTGCTATGCTACATTGTTCTGGCACTAGTCTGTACATACAAAGCTAGAAAATCTTCTGTGATGCTGCAGTGCAGCTGATGACATGCTATGATATGCCTTGGGCGCGTTGCTTCACCTTGATTCTGTTCCCGTCAGCACGTTGCCGGACTAACCTTGCAAAGAACCTACCTGAGCAGATCGGGCTTCGGACATGTCACGCATCTTGCATCGTCCCCTCTCTCTTTGTAGAAGGCATTGCAGCACTCATACAGAGCATCGACCTTAACAACAATGGTCAGTACAACTCATGAGCCCACATTAGATACGTCGAACGCTGCGTTGAAAACCAACCCCTGAATCCCGCATCTATGGCGTTTGTTGAAAGGAATCAAGCTTCGACGCGTACCTCCTTTCGACATTTTCCTTCATCGAAGTTGTTCTTCTGTATGCAATCTGGGGTCCGGATCAGCTAATTTCGTACAGAGATGCTGTCAACGCACTCTGGATTGCGCATGCTCGCGAGTGGCATGGCGGATCTTGTTTCAAATCCTTCTCGATTTCTCCCTATTCCAATCGTGAGTCTCGGTGTAGACGTGATGATGAGTGACATCATAAGCATACCATAATGAATTGCTCGTATGTATGCTTTGGAAGGTTCCAGCACCTTAGATCGCGGCGTAAAATAGGTCGACAGCTTGCAATCTGACGTGCAATAAATGCGGTACAACACTGTTCTTGCGAGCAATGCTGAGAGTGAAGGTGAGGGCTCACTCGGTTGGTCAGGCTGGCTAGCGTCCGAGGAAAGAGCCCCACTGTTCGTTGCGCACCTCACTTCTTCGTGACAGCTGCTTGCTCCTTCCAATCCTTCTTATCGTTCAACTTTGCCACCGGTGCTCTGCAGTAACTCGACGCGTCTGCGCACATTCACCAAGCATTTCTATCACCTGACGCGATTTGCAACCCACTGTCGGTCATACGGTTACCTCCGTTACATATAAAACGTAGTTCCCCGCCGCTCAACGACCTCCCTCTCCACTTCCACCGCCTTCGAACGCCCACTGACGCGAGAAATAGCCTTGCGCCGCTGCAATCCCACCAACTAACGCACACTCGCACCTCGACCAGTCCACACCACACCCACGCACGACTATCATGTCTGACAACGGTTCGCCCGCACAGAAGCCTGAGGATGCCGGTCCCTCTGAGCACTTGAACATCAAGGTCACCGACAACAACAACGAGGTCTTCTTCAAGATCAAGCGCACAACCCAGCTTGGCAAGCTCATGAACGCCTTCTGCGACCGTCAGGGCAAGAACATTTCCAGCGTGCGATTCCTGTTCGAGGGTACGCGTGTTGGGCCTACCGACAACCCGGACACTGTACGTACATCAGCCGCAGCTGCCTGGTATAAGCCACAGGGGGCTGCACATCATCCATGGACCAATGTTGACATAGAGACAGCTCGACATGCAGGACGGCGACACTCTTGAGGTGCACCAGGAGCAGATTGGCGGCAGCTGGTAGTCGTTGACAGCATTCACGCAAGTCAGTGTGCACCGCACCACCGCATCTGCAGCCACTCACTTTTCCCGCCTGCCTGCTCGATATCACACATGACCCATATGGCTTGAAGACCTCAGTGAAGATCTATGCTTTTAGCGCCGGCGAAGGTGGTACAAAGATGGCTTCTCAGTTATGACCTGGACGATTCGGAATTTGGCGTTATGGAACCATTGGGCTCGCATGAAGCGACGCCGACCGTGCTTGCATATAGTCTTCAACAAACGTCATATGCCGCGATATCGATCTACTTGCGTTCGACTTCACTTCCCTCTGTGCTTTGTGGACGAGATGTCTGTACCCTTTCGAGCCCAACCAGTCTTGAGCCATGACCAAATATCACAACATGGTAACCGAGTAGCCGAGCAGCTAGCTCAGGGCATGATAGCAACATATTCGTTGGACTTCCAGTAACGAATTTGCAGGAGCTGGGAGGCAGGGACACGATGGATACACAAGAATTGTTGGGCTATTGGGTCACATCAATGTTTGTGTCGTCAGAAGCTTAGATAAATTGGGCACTGAAACTTACCAGAAAGCTTAGCCAGGAGGTCTTCAAACAAAAATGAGCACTCATCCAATGCAATCAATCTCGGATGGATATCTTTAGCTCTCATTAAGCTGACGATTGGCAGAAAGACAACCCGAGAACCCTCCGAGAACCCGAAGGGTGTGAAATCCGGGCTTCGCGTTACCGAGTCTTGCAATATGAAAGCCTTGTATTGGAAACGAAGAGTATATGCAAAAAAAATCCAAACGCCACAACATCTAAAAGATCGTCCCAACACCTACGAGCCTCAGCACCCCACCCTCACTTCCCACCATTAGCAAGCTCCCCAACCTTCTTAACCGCCTCCTCAAAATCGTTAATCGCAAAAATCGGTAGATTCGCCTTCGCCAGCACCTCCTGCCCCTTCTCCTCGTTCGTGCCCCTCAGCCTGACCACCACCGGCTTATTGACACCGACCTCCTTGAAAGCCAAGATGATGCCTCCTGCGATCATGTCGGCGAGTGTAAGTCCGCCGAAGATGTTGACGAAGACAACGGCTACGCGCGGGTCGGACAGAATGAGTTTGAAGCTCGTCTTAATGGTCTGGGAGGTTGCCTTGCCGCCGGTGTCGAGGAAATTAGCATTCGCGGTGCTGTAAGGCGGTTGCGAGAGCCGGAGGTGCAGGACGTCGTTTGTATTCATCGCCAATCCCGCTCCATTCACCAGTGTGCCAACTAGGTTCCGCGGCTCGCCGTCTGTCAGACTCGATGTCGAAGGCGGTGTCTGTGTACTGGCCTGAAGCCGGCCGTCGGGCTGCGGCGTGTCCAGTGGGATGTATACGATACCGGCTTCTTCGGCTTCTTGCTCCGTGGGCGAGAGCGTGTCGCGCAGGGCGTGCAGGTCGGCTTGGCGCTGGTTCGAGCGGTAGGCGGCATCGTCGAAGAAGAGGTAGGGGTTGTAGACTTGGATTTCATCTGCGTTGGGGTTGAGGGAGAGGGAGACGTGGGCGTCAATGGCTTCTTTTTCGGTGTAGAGCTTCCATAGGTTTTGGATGAGTTCGGCTGCCTGGGCCTTTGCTTTTGGTGGTGCGGCGTCGAGCTGGAGCCATGCCATTGCGTCGTTGACGGCTTCGGGAGATGGTCCTTCACGGTAGTCGAAGGGGAATCTTCGCACGCGCTGGTGTAGTTGGTCTGGGTTTGCTGTCGGGGCGGCGATGATAGATGGAGAGCGGTTCACGCGGTGTGGTGATATGCCAAGGTAGTGGCTTGATTGATGGTCTTCGGGTTTCGAGACTACATCGATGTTGTACTTCTTTAGTATGTTGGCGTTCTGCTCGGCTGACAGGTGCAATGAACGTCTCTGCTGTGGCGAGGTTGTTCGTGTTGCGTACAGAGCTGGTCGACGAGCTGATGTGTGGTATCCGCGACGCGCTTGAGCTGCTGATTGCTCCTGTTCTGTTGTTAGTACCACCGGGCTTACGATTGAAGCTACCACTTACGATCTTCTTTACATTGCGGCCAGACTTTGCAAGAATGTCTTTCATCACACCTCCGAACTTAGCTGGGTGATCAACCATAGTGACACCAGCAGCCTCAAGAGCCTTGTATTTGGCTTCTGACGTGCCCTCTCCAAGGCCAGTCCATGCTCCCGCATGGCCAGTGACTTTACCAGGTTTCGCCTGGAAGCCACCAATGCAAGCAGCAATCGGCTTGGGGTTAGACACACGCTTGTTGTAGTTCTTGATCCAATCCGCGGCCTCTTCTTCGTTGGTGCCACCAAGCTCACCGACTAGAATGATTGCTTCTGTGTCATCATCCGTCTCGAACACCTTCAACGCATCTACGAAATTGGTTCCGGCAATCACGTCACCACCCATACCAATGCACAGACTCTGTCCCACGCCAGCACTTGTGAGGGAGCCTACGGTCTCGTACGATAACGTACCTGACTTCGCTATGATACCGATGTATCCGGGCGAAAAAGTAGGCAAAGGCTGGAAACCGATTCTGCAGCGTCCGATGGCCGAGATGATACCCGGTGCGTTTGCGCCTACAAGACGCGATTTGGATTGTGACTTCAACATGGAGTGTATCTGGCTCGTTAGCACAAGTCTCAGGATAGCATATCCTCTCCTTACCCTCATAACATCGTGGATCGGGATGTGTTCGGCAACAGCGACAATCAGCGGTACTTCCGCTTCAATAGCTTCCTCAATGGCGGCCGCAGCTTGAGGCGCTGCGACATAGATACCAGTCGCGTCTGGTTTTAACTGCTCCATGGCTTTTCGTACAGAACCCACAACGGGAAGACCCAAGTGCTCCTGACCATCTTTCTTCGGGTTAGTCCCACCAACGACGTTTGTGCCCCAAGCAATAGACTCTTGCGCATTGGCTGTAGCGAGCTTGCCCGTGAAGCCTTGGAAGATGACGCGGGTGTGGGAGCCAATCTTGAGATTCTGAATGGTGTCATCGTAGCCATTGCGTCTTGAGGTCGTAGAAAAGGCGGCCTGGGGCATACGGCGGTTGAGACATTGAGATCTGAGTGCTTTGCTGCTCAGGCAGCTTGTGTGTCGAGAAACCATGAAGCAGTCTCAGGCTTCCAGCAACAGCTATGAAGAAGTGATCAGGAAGCGAAGAAGTAGACACGCGTCTCGTGGCAGCAGTACAGCTCTTGTGCACGTCGAAGACACCCAATTGAGCTTTCCAAGGCTTTGTTTCGACACTTCAAAGACTTTTGGGGAGAGCTGTAGTTTTGAGTGATGCGCTTCGGAGATAGAGCTCTGGGAATAACCGCCGGCTACTTGCGAGTAACCGGCAGCCTACCCCTCATAGTCGCCGGCACTCGGAGGAGCCTCAGGCTTCATATGCAGGTTCCCGAGCGCATGCTTGAGGCTGCTCGTGTGCTTCGAGTCGCGGTTGATTGATTGGTTTAACGTCCTATGTGAGTCTGAGACTATGGAGAACGGGCTTCGAGTCGCGATGTTGATGGTGATGAACCATGATGACCTCGTTCGAGAGGCAGCATTGTTGCACCCTCAGAACTGTTCTCGCACGTGCCGACGTTCATCGAGACGCTCTCTATGTATAGTGATTTGCTCCATCGCACACTCAATATCTTGCGCGGTTACGAACTTGGTCATTTCATCGTTGCTGAACTCGAGGATGTTGGAGCTGTGGTGGATTTCCTCCTAAGGCTCAGCCCCTAATAATGGATCTGAATGCACACCATCGACACTACAAACGTTCTCGAATCAGTCACCAACTGATCGCCCGCCAACGCATCCTTCCTCACCGACCCGGTCCACCCTGTTGAAATGCCCTGTTGAAATGCAGGAACGCGCAACATGCCCTTGTCTTCTGCCACATTTGCAATGCGCCTCACAAACGGCTTCCCAACACAGCAACTAGACTGCTCAGGTGTTCTAAATTCACTCGGAGCCACAGTCTAGAAGGCCGCGGAAAATGACGGAAACAGCGGGGCCCTGGCAGCAATTGGCATCGATCTGACGTTACTGGGATGACAAGGGCCGTGGGGTGCGCTTGCTGGCTGCTTCTGGCGTCGCTGGATGACGCGCACCTCTTCCCCACAATTTACGTTCAATGGGCAGGGACACGACCTCGTATGGGATGCTCCGCGGGAAATCGCCGTGGACGAGAGTTGTTTCACGTCAGGCTGCGAAATATAGAAGTGGCCTAGCGGATAGGCTTTTCCTTGATTCTATGGCAGAGATGCAAAAGACCTTTCTTCCCTCGCTACCAATTGTTGTTGGACATTGTGCTCCTGAGGCTGAATCATTTGACCGCACCGTTACGATCCCCAGATCGAAGGACCCCTACCCCGCAAAACCTCCCGCTCTCCCTCCTGCACACGACACTCAAAACAACACATTCACCACTTTACCAGCCATGTCAGCCGTAGATTCCATCCGCAAAACGCCCAGCGAAACAGGTACAACAACCTCATCCACCAATCTTAACATCACACCACTAATACAGCTCAGAAATCGCAACCACCCTCTCCCACCTCAAGCTCTCCACCACCGTCCCCCAAAAGCCCCTCCACAAGCCAAAATCCAAACCCGTCGCCGACAGCTGGGATCTCGAGTCCTCCGGCTCCGACACCGAAACCGAGTCCACCGCTCCAGCGTCCACAATCAGCACCACGACGCACGACGACTTACCTCCGCAGCCTCCACCACCGACACCCGCATCTCCCATTCCATTCGATTTCCCGGACAACACGCCGTATGGCGCTGGGCGGTTGAGAGGGGACAGCGGGGTGAGTGCCAGCGATGGAGGAAGAGGAGGGGGTTTGGACAAGAGGCCCGAGAAGACGACTGCGGTTGCAGGACGGATGATTGCGGGGGCGTTGGGGGTGCGGGCGCCGAAGCGGACGGAGGAGGAGAGGGAGTATGATCGTGCGATGCGGGAGAAGGAGAGGAAGAGGAGAGGAGAGGAGAGGGAGAGGGAGAGGAGGGAGGCTGAGGAGAGGGAGGCGAGGAAGAAGGCTGTTTGGGATGATTAAGTTACGTGTATGGAGATGATTGATGACTCTCCTCTCGTACATACTGTCTGTCTGCTATATGGTTTGTCTTGCGAGTGTGGCGCGCTTGCTTGACACTGTACATAATGTGCTCGAAGAATGTAAAATACGTGTTGATCATTCGCGAGTGCAAATGAAAAAGCGCAATACCGTAAGCCACTGGGGTCATGCCTGGCTTGCCTGTTTGCTTGAACGTCGCATGGGTGGCATGGTCCTCGTACCCTGATGTTGTGTTGTCCCAATTGAATGATGGCAAGGGCAACGATTTCCAGGGCGTTGCATGTTCCCATGATACACGGAGAGTTTATATGAGACAGGGCTGCTGAACATCGCTCCTGGATAGGTAGCGCAAGAAATTCGATTAAAGTACTCTACTACGCTGGAGGTAGTCGCCTACTCCAACCCTTGTACAGAACGAGTGTACACCGCCCAACCGCAAGGACATGCAAACGCCAAATGAGCAGAAGATCGAAAAGGTATCTGCAGTAACTAGATCGAGGGGTGGTCGAATAGTACAGAATGAGTTTCGAAATCCAACACTAGTAATGCAGACAGAAAGCCAACCGTCAAAAGAGGAAAGGAAACAAGCTGGTAGCGCGGCTATACTGTGAAGTACTGGATCGCCGTACTGGATCGCATTAGCTGGTATTCATCAATGGAGTTGGTGGGTGTGCTTACCCGAGCGCTGCCATTACTGTAAGCCCGACAAGTGCTCTCCTTGTAACCTTCTCCTTCGTGAGCTTCTGCTCGGTTGTGTACAGCTTCTTGGAGAGCTTGGCTGGTCGCTCGGCCTCGAGCTCTTCCTCGTCAAGGACCTCCTCAACCTTGCGCTTTGACGATATGAGAGTGCTCGATGCGCCGGCATCCAGCTCTCGTGCCTCCTCGACCATGCGCTTGGCTTCCTCGATCATCTTGGCGGGGTCTTCGGGTTCGCGCAGCTCGGGGTGGGAAGCCGGTACGTCGATCTGAACGTTTGTTGTCGTGACCTCAGAGTCTCCCTTCTGTTCGACAGTCTCCTTAACCTCGATGCGTACAGTTTCCGACTTGACTTCACCATCTTGCGCCTCCTTGACGTCGCCATCCACTGACGATGCGACTGACTCCGACTGCTTGATGCCGTTGGAAACCAGAGCGGAAGATGGCGACTCGGTCGCTGTGCTCTGAAAAATTTCCTCAGCCTTCATGGCCTCGGAGCGGCCGCGTGTCGCGCGCGACTTGCGTGGAGTAGCGATCTTGCGGCTCGGTGTGGCCATCTTGCTGGGCGAAACACTCCTGGTTGATCGTGCGCGGGTTGTACGAAGGGACGCTGTGTGGGGAGGGAGCTTGACGTTCTGGGCTTTGCTCAAGTCGAACTTGGGAGGTGCCTGAATGTGGACGTTGTGCTTGTCCTTCGCGCCCTTTTCAATTGGCTCATTGTCGAGCAGCGCTAGTACCCAGTGGCGCATAGAGTACTCGTCGGCAAGTGAAAGTGCTGCGAAGACTTTGGTCAGTTCTGCAATCATGGCGAAGACAGCTCTTTCACTCACCCTCCTCCGGAGCAATCCAAACGCTCCCAGCGACTTCATCGGGGCCCGCTGATGGGAAGGTCTTCTGGTATTTGCGCTCTGTCTCTTCTTCTGCCAATGTAGCCCATGGGAAGGCAGCCTTGAACATGCCGGTCGCGCTAATGTATCCATCGCTACTGCGTCGCTGTCCACCTCGTTAGCCCAACTGTTGCGCTTCGCCGGCGAATCATCCTCGTACCATCAAGAAGTAGGACACTGGGTATCCGTTGGTGCCAGGCATGAAAATCTCGGAGCCAGAGAGATCCTTAGGCAAGGGCACGCGCAAATGCGCGTAATCGAACATGCCACTGTTCTGCGGCTTGGTTGCGCTTGTCAGACCGGTGGCGCCATTCTTGGTTCCAAGGTTTGTTTGACCCAGGCGACGCCTCTCAATGAGAATCTCGACTGCAAAACGCTGTTAGATACCGTTGCGCGATGAATGCGATGCGCCGCTTGTACATACTAGCTGTGCTATCCGTCGGCTCGAGGAGCGGGTTCATGCGCTCGGGGAATGGACGCGTCGCCGACATTGTCGCGAGTATAAATGGTATTACAAGGGATGTAGTGGTGTGAGGCGCGCAGCGCGGTGTGGTTGCGGTGAGAGGTGTAGCGTAACGACGACGTAACGCGCGAACCGCGGGAGAAGAGCTTGTCGCGAATGCGAAGGGTCAAGACCAGAACACAATTAAATGCTGAAGGGTCGAAGGAACTTTGGCGCGACCTGGTGAGGGTGAAGTAAAGCTGTGCGCGCGTTGACGTTATTGCGTGAGCTTGAAGGTTTGTCCGACGCGGGTGGGAGAAAGAGGAGGAAGGAGCGAACGAGGTGTCCCTGCAATGTACGCTAGTCCACGGTGGCTGGATTCCCCAGACCATGCCTCATCGCGCTTGTAAAAATTTCCTGGCTGCCCGTTTCGAACATTCAATTGCTCTAGACATGCCGATTGGTCGTTTGAAGCTTGAAACTGAGTCCAGCGCCGGATCAGTGCTGTTGTCAATGACGCGGTGAACAGGCGTCGCCAATCAGGCAGGTCGCGCGTTTAGTTCTTCGGGCGCGTCGAATCGCAAAACAAACGGGCTTGCCCTGTAGCTGTTCTTACAAGGATGGGAGCTCATTGTAACGGCTCTCTGCCGAAAACTCTGACGCAGTAGGAAACTGCGAAGAGGCTCGCCAATCGGTTTCGGGCACTTCTGGCTTTCTGGAACTATCCCAGAAGCTCCAAGACACCGAGCTACCAATGTCAATAGAGCGCAACACACTAAGCTACGTAGACCACACCACCGGCAGTTCTCTGCGAGGGTCTGAAATATGTAGCAGAATTTGAAACTGGGAGCAAATTCTTGGACAGGAATACTTCGTGGTGTGGATCTGCCCAGTACCGCTCACCGGTGTTGCTGTGATGAGAACAAAGAACCCACCATTTTTAGGCCCAGGGCAGTTGGCGCTAGCCACTGTTCAATGTCCTGCAGCAACAGATGTTCAAATAGCAGGTGTACAACGTGAACATGCAAGGAGTTTTACATTGGGTGTTATTGCAGGGTTCTTCTAATTGACCACAGAAAACGCGGGGTCCTGGTCCAGAGCTTGGAATGTCACTGTGATAACAGCACGAGCAAGCTTACCACTGTAGACCCCAGGACTGCTCTTCACACGAATGTTGAGTTCTGCGAGCAGCAACGGGCAAAATCAGAAATGCCCCAAGAGCTGAAACGACAAAGGGTCCGCCCGCCAGGGGCTCGAGCCAATGGACCCTGGCGGACAGGAGCAATGCGTGGCACAGGCGGTGAAGTGAGCTGCATGCCCCGCTAAAGTCGAGCCTCGACGCTCGAGCAGCAGCGACACATTCGACTCTCTCCACAAATACAACGCCCTCCAGAAACACACCGTTATCTACTTGAAGCTTACCCACACATTATTACCCAGCAAACATGGCCGACAACCACGACGATCTCCACGCAGAGCAGACCGCAGGCTTCAAGGTCGGTGAGAAGAAGACGCTCGATGAGTACCAGAAGCTGGGTATGTGACTCTCGATTGGGCTTCCAGCACATCAACCACCGCAATTGCTGACACCATGTACGACAGACCAGGACGATGAGGCACTGAACAAGTGGAAAGCTTCCCTTGGTCTCGGCCAGGGCAAGGACATCTCAGACCCCAACGATCCCCGCAAATGCATCATCTATTCGCTCGGTCTCGAAGTTGAGGGCCGTCCCGACATCATCATCGACCTCAAGTCGCCTGGTGCTCTTGAGGCCCTTGAGAAGAAGCCATTTACAATCAAGGAGGGTGCTACATTCCGCATGAAGGCACAGTTCAAGGTCCAGCATGAGATTCTGGCAGGTCTGAAGTACCTGCAGAAGGTCACACGCATGGGTGTCAGCAACAAGATGCAGGAGATGATGGTAGGCAACAAGCTTATAGGACAAGTAGAGGAAGCTGACCATTTCAACAGGGCTCATATGGACCCAGCACAGAAGAGAAGCCGTTCTACGAGAAGAAGTGTAAGTACAACCCAGATGTCAGAGGCCTCTACATCGGCTAATACACCTCGCAGTCGAACCGGAGACCGCTCCCTCTGGTATGCTCGGCCGTGGCCACTACACCGCCGTCTCCAAGTTTGTCGACGATGACAACCATGTCCACCTGCAGTTTACGTGGTCCTTCGATATCAAGAAGGACTGGGCATGAGCGCTCAACGAACGCAATATCTGATTCGAAGTGGCTGGCCACTTAGCTGGCATTGGATCTGGACCAAGCGGTGGATGTGGATATCAAGGGTACTCAAAATGACGACTCCACGGCTGACGATGTCGATGATCCCCGGATTGATTTCTTGAGTTGGACATGAGACGGCAACTCATAGCATAGCGAAACCAAAACATTTACATATCCCGAATCTGCGGCGCCGTCGTCTCTCTGATGGTGATCAGCCGGGTTCTTCGTTCATGTGATGGCCAGCAAGATCCTGGAATCGAAACCATCTAGCTGCAATTCGTTTCGCTTTGACTGTCCGACCAGCCCATGCACGTTCACCAGCACCAGAGCCAAATCTTCGTGTAGAGACATTCAGGATCGAAACGTCCTGGTCCCATGGATCTTGCTCCTCCGCAGTGACATGGCCCTCCTCCTCTCTGTCAGGCATAGCCACATCGTCTCCACCATCCACCTCATGGCTATCCCGCCTGCCCTCGCATTCCACAAGATGCAGCGTAGCCCCCGTTCTCAACGCCGTTTCCACCGCAGCTGCGAACGTCCTCGACAGACCTTGCGCTGAGAAAGACGACGTCGGCTTGTGCAAAGCAAGTGGATTCACCAACACCAATCTCTCCTTGCCCTCACTCTCGTCCACGTGCACATAGCCAGGTCGATCATATGCCGTCAGGTAGGCCAGCAGCGCCTGCACAGATGCGCAGAAAGCTAGCTTGATATGTCGAGTAGTCGAGAGGTTGTGGAGAGTTGGGACGAGCAGTTGCTTTAGATTGTTGTTCTGACTCGTGTCTTGCTGCTGTTTCAGTGAATGTGCGACATCTCCAAGAAAGGTCCCCCGATCAGAGCAGATGATGAGAGTCGTAGGTGAGGAAGCAGACTGTGTTGAAAGAACGTGGCCGAGCAGCGCAGGCAGTGTCAGTGGGTAGAGAACGGTGGGCACGAAGGCCATGTTGATCACTTCTCAGCTCCAGCAGGCGTTCAGCGGGTGGATGCATGTTCATGCATGTAGCCGGGCAGTTCATGGGCAGCTGTGGCTTGTGGTCGGAGGTTCATAAGGTGACAGTCGAATAGGAACGCGGCGAGACTTCCCCGCGCCCCACTCTGAGCAACTTGGTGGTTGCATCACACCTCATTATGCAGGCCTGGCACAATCCAACCACTTCACGATTCTGTCCGCCACGGCGTTCCCTTGCCCAACTTCGCATAGTCCATTGCTGTTCTGGAGGTTGAGAGCGCGTGCCTCTTCACCAGGGCCCGTTAAGAGGCGGACTGAAGCGCTTTTGGGGCGTAGCTGGCTGCCATGGAGTCGATAAGTCGTATCTCGAGCTTGCTGGAGACTGGTATGTGCGGGTCCGCTACTTCTTCGTGCTCTGTCCCCAGCCTTGCAAATTTGCTCTACATGTAGCTGTGTAAGCACACTTGTACCCGGGTACACTCCTTTGCTGGCTGCCATGCACCCGTCGAACTTCGCTCACTGGTCCCTCTCAACAGCCCGCGACCTCACCCTCGAAGCCGCCCGCGACGCCAGCAATGCCCGCAAGACTTCGACACGACCGCTGCCCTCAGCGCAGCTCAAGAAGCTGCTCGACAGCCGCTCTGAGCGCGATGTGCTCGAGGGTCTGCGCAGGGTTATCACTGTATGAGCTACCCCGCCTTCATGTCGCATGCTCGACAGGAAGCACGCAAGGGACAGGATAATTGTCGCTGACCATGGCGCATCTAGATGTCCTACCGCCAACCTCCTTCGCAAACACTGCCGTTCTTCTCACACGTGATCAAGAATGTCGCATCGCCGTCACTCACAGTCAAGAAGCTCGTCTACATATGCCTGCTCCAGCATGCCGAACATGAGCCAGATACAGCGCTCCTCTCGATCAACACGATACAGAAGTCGCTCACGGACCAGAATCCTCAGCTGCGTGCGCTTGCTCTGCGCGTCATGTCCGGCATACGGGTGCCCGTCATCAGCCAGATTGTAAGCCTGGGCATCAAGCGCGGAGCTGGAGACATGTCGCCCAACGTACGGAGAGCTGCTGCTCTAGCGATACCGAAGTGCTATAGATTAGACCCGAATACCGAACCGCAGCTTCTCGAATATCTCTCGACGTTACTGGGCGACAAGCAGTACTTCGTCACAGGCGCAGCCGTCGCGGCTTTCTTGGAGATCTGTCCTGACAGGCTGGACTTGATACATCCGTACTACCGCTCGCTGGTGCGCAAGCTGGCGGATATGGACGAGTGGGGACAATTGGCTACGCTGCAGCTCATGATGGTGTATTCGCGCAAATGCTTCCCTAGGCGGACAAGGAAGGTCAAGAAGGCCTCGGCGAACTCGAACACGAACGCGAAGTCCACAAAACCTACGAAAGGGTTCTACGACAGCGAAAGTGAGGAAGAAGAGGACGAGGACGAAGAGGACGAGCAAGACTTCGAGGAGGTTGCTGTTCTCGATCCTGACCTTGAGCTTCTGCTGAAGAGCTGTCTCTCTCTTCTGCAGTCGCGGAACGCAGCAGTCGTGATAGCGGTTGCCAGAGCCTATCTGTACCTGGGCACTCCTGCCTACGTTTCCTTGGCCATTGGACCTCTAGTATCTCTTCTGCGATCAGCTGGAGATATTCAGCACATCGTCCTGTACAACATTGTGCAAGTCTGCTTGTCACATCCGGAGCCATTCGTCAAATACTACACGCATTTTTTGGTTCGCTCGATAGATGCCCCACACATCTGGCGACTCAAGCTGGAGCTGCTGACTTTGATTTTCCCCCACGCTCAACCCAGATTGCAGAGCTTGATCCTGGCCGAGCTCAGCCACTTCTCACACTCTGGCAGTCTCGATCCAGCACTGGTCAAAGAGTCCGTTCGCGCGATAGGCAGATGTTCACAAAGCCCTGCCACCAGCCCGCAGACATCAGCACGGTGCTTGAGACTGCTCCTCAAGCATATCGGCTCCGCAGACGCCCACCTCGTAGCTGAATCCCTCGAAGTCATTCGACACTTGATCCAGCGCAATCCAGATGCTCACCGTACAACTGTGGTGCGACTAGCAAAGCACCTTGACGCGGCAACCAGCCCACAAGCACGCGCAAGCATAATTTGGCTCGTTGGCGAATTCGCAGGCTTAGACCCAGAGAACAACATCGCCGCAGACGTCCTCCGCATCTTAGCAAAAGGTTTCGCCGACGAAGCCGAGCCCGCAAAGCTGCAAATCATGCTCCTAGCAGCAAAAGTCTACATCCACCACCTGCACGCTAATCCTCCACCCTCTCCTACAAAACAAGAGGAACCCCCCGAACCAAGTGCTTCGGTTCTAGACATGCCCGAAGAAGAAGGCGGCTTCCGCGACGCCCACCTCGAGAACCCTCCCCCAATCGAACCCTTACAAAAAGAGTCGCCACACCAGATCGAAGCACTATACAGCTACGTCCTCGCCCTGACGCGATACGACACATCCTACGACCTGCGCGACCGAGCCCGCGTATACAAGTCATTGCTCTCCTTACCATCATCAACTCAATTAGCCTCTTTACTTCTCCTCGCGCCAAAACCAGTCCCACACATCCCCTCCCCCTCCGAGACACGCAAGAACTACGTACTCGGCTCCGCATCCCTCGTAATTGGCGACGAAGGCGGCGTCGGCGGACTACGCGGGTACGAAGACCTGCCACCCTGGGTCAAAGATGGCAAGGAGCCCGATCCATCTCTGCGCGACGAAGCGCCGTCGTCGACCTACGTGTCCGCGCATGAGGTCGCGAAGAACATGTCTGCGAGCGAGAGGCTGGATGCAGCGGCGCAGGTTGACAGCGGGAGGCAGCGGATGCTGGAGACGATTCCGAGTTATAGGACCTCGAATGGGGTTGGGGGCGTGGAGAAGCCGGCGCAGAAGGAGAAGACGCTTGATGATTGGTTGGCGGAGAGTAGTGGAAGTGAGGAGACGGATGATGACGAGGAGGAGGAGGAGGAGGAGGAGGAAGATGAAGAAGAAGATGATGATGATGATGATGAGAGTGAGGAGGAGAGTGAGTATGAGACGGAGAGTGAGAGTGGAGACGAGAACGATAGACTCGTGAAGTAGATAACAAGAAACGCCATGAAAATGGTGCATGAGCTATGATGAGCATCCGTTTGTTCATTGTCTGTCCTAATGTGCCACCGAGATCGTGGCTAAGAAATCTCAATTTGCCAAGACAGTCGGCCACAAGCACACAGTGCCTAAAATCATGGGAGGCATTCGAGGTAGTTCGTCGTGTGTTTCGTCGGCCCATCATCACTTGAAAGACTACAGGGTCATTTGGTCGCACCATAAGTACCCGAAAGCAACCGAAGATCTCCAGGCTTCGCATCTCCAGGCTTCACTTTCGTGATTACCTAGAGCGCGCATCGGGAGCTACTACATTCGAGCTCTTCAGCAACATAGGGACGCACACAGTCGGGAAGCACACCAGCGGGCTTATACCTTCCCAAGGCATTCCACTCGTTTGGACATTACATAAAATCGCTGGAGGAGAGTCTCTCCTGGAGACGTCCGTGTCAGCATGGCGTCGATGGGCATCATACGACTTGTGCGCGGCAAGTATCTTTTTATAGCAGACCTCATGAAGAACTCACCCAAGCGTTTTGACGCCATAACATGCGCCCTTACTATCAGAACGTAAAACACGCGAACGAAGTAGACGAGAGCAAGACTGGGGCGTGAAATCGAAGATTGACCAGCGCATAGTTGGCGCGGAGAGATTAATAATAGATACCTGTGAAGAAGAAACGAAGAACTGAATACAACAACAGCTGCAAGTGCAGACGGAAATGATGAGCAACAAAGGCTCAAGAAGCAAGACACTTTTAGGCTGGATGGTCGTGAAAACATGAAAGATGTCCAACCAGTCTCTTGTGTTGATCAATTACGCCGCGCCACGCTCCATGCTGACAAGAAGAAAGTGTAGAGACAGCGGAAAAGAAAATGCGCAATGACTGGCAACATCTGTGGCGTTATGTGTTTCGATGCTCCCTTAGCAGGCGGCGAACGTACATCGTCCAGTTAGAGGAGAGTCGAAGTGGCGGGTGGGTAGGCGAAGCATCTGCGATGACATCGGAATCAGCGTGCCGACGAACCTAACGGCGGCTACCAGTCGTTAGTCACGTTCTTAAGGAACGAGGACCATGTCCTGTAAGATGTCTGACGAGGCCTTACCCGTATGCGCCATCAACTTGCGAGCGTCGCTTCCGCTTGGTGTGATCGTCATGCTGTCGTAGTCGGTCGTCGTCGGCGTCTGTATCACCATAGCTCCTCTTCCTGGACACAGAGCTGTCGCTTCGTTCGAACTTCGAATCCCGTATGATAGCTTGCTCGCTGGTCTCGGTAGGTTTCTCAGTCCCGAAGTCAGATCCAGCTGCTGTTCCATTGCTAGCCTCGGACCGTGCAGGGCTGCCTCGCCCGCCATTGAAGCCATTGGCATGGTACTGCTGCTGGCGGTTGCTAGGGTTCCATGGATCGTATCGGTCATGTTCTGGAGGGGGTGATGGAGGCGGAGGTCGACCGACAGTCGATGAGGACATCGAGCCATAAGGTCGTTGCGGTGCAGCGGGAGGATTGATGGCGCGAGGGCCACCCAACGAATGGCTCCTCTGCATCTCTGCCTGAGGTCGAGATGCCATACTGCAGTTTGTTAGCTTACCAAAACGAATGAGGAATTCTTTGACTTACGTGTACTGTAAAGACGTTTCAGGCTTCTCAGGCAGCGACACAGGTGGTTTGATTTCTTGTACAGGCATGGGGAAAGTCATAGGCTCTCCTGATACGGGCTTGGGTAGACCAGTAACTCCCAGCGAAGCAAGGATGTCTTCCTGTGTTTGCGGTTTGGCAGACTCTGATTCACGAACCCAGTCTGTAGGTTTAGAGTCTTCCCCGCTAGCCGACAAAGCTTGTTCAAGGTTGTCCATGACACTCCAGTCCGCTTCGTGCATCTCTGCATCTTCGACCTTTACACTCACCTCGAAAGGCTCATCTGACCGATCTCGCTGAGCAATACAATCTTCCACAGGGACCAGGTTGTGTCGCATTTCTTCGTCAGCGAAAACAACGAACGCAGGATCATCCTGGATGTACTCCCATTCGTCAGTTTGTCTGACATCCAGGAAGGCTTCGTGTGAATTATCTGCCGTGAAATAGATCGACACCGACTCGCCGTTGCCCAGCTTCTCAGGAGTGGGCTTTAGAGACTGCTCTTCGGCTTCCTCAAACGTCGCAGGCAACGCGCGAGTCATCTGTTTGGCGGGGTGCCAGGTAATCACACCTAAGCTGAGATTCGGGTCTACAGGCTCGTTGCTCTTGGGCCAGATGGCGCCGTCGAAATCAAAGTCCCAATCGTCCCATGCCAAACAGAGCTCTGGCTTGTTGCCTGTCGCATTATCATGCGGAGCGCTAGCCGGTGGATGAGATGATGTCGGCGGAGTGGAGACCAGATGGGCGGTAGTAGGCGTCGGTGTTGCATTAGGGTCCAACATCGGCTGGTCGTTCGTAGCTGGGCCGCTGTACGCATTGTACTGGCTCTGTGGTGGATAAGGCGCCTGAGCGTGTGCTGGTGGCCATCCCGGAGCCTGGCTATACGCTTGCTGATTGGGGTCTACCGCTGCAGTATGTGCCGCATATTGCTGATAAGAGGTCTGTGGAGCGCCATAGCCTTGAGTGCCAGGGTAGGCCGGTGCCTGCGGAGGGGCCTGATTTGGTTGATACGCTTGCTGGGGCCACTGGTAGTTTTGTCCTTGAGTGTATGATGGCGGATAGCTAGGTGGTTGTGGAGGGCCATAACTTTGAGGATGATATCCTTGTTGAGGAGGCGCAACAACATATCCTTGACCTGGATAGGCGGGCTGCGCTGGAGGCGCCTGTTGAAAGCCGGGCTGCGCTGGTGATTGAAATTGAGCAGGGTGCTGATGAGCATTGAAAGGACCTTGAGGCTGCGCCGGCCCACGGTACCCAGGAGGAGGTGGGTAACGCGTTATTATCGGATTGCCCTTCTTTTTAGGTGGCCTGACAACCCATCAACACATGTCATCGACGCATCCAAGTCATGTCGGAAGAACGCTCGACACCGACCATGCTGAGGACAAGGAAAAATTACGCTTACCTATTGTCTTGTGGTCGTTGCGGTGGCCCAGGATAGGACGATCCATGCTGGTACTGACCGTAGGGCGGCTGCTGTCCATACTGGTGAGGTGGATGTTGGCCATAGCTAGGTTGGCCGTTAGCATATGGTGGCGCCTGATATGGTGCAGCACCGGCTACAGGGCCGCTCCACGACATTCCTCTGCCGGCAGAACTTGTAATCGAGCAGCCAGGATCGAATGATGGAGAAGCACCTCAGCTGAGAAGTGCTGAGAACCGGAGTGATTGTTGCCAAGTGAGCTGTTGTTGGGGTCTTTGCGAGGAAAGAATCGGCGATGGGTGAGGTGTGCGTTCCTCAAATTTGGTCGAGCGCACGTGCCAAGAAGACAGGAAAGCACGACCTTTCATGGATTGATACCTTTCAACTTTCCATGGGGAACGGATGGGTAGAACAATATGTGCAATCGCGGACTGTGACTTGGAAATGAAATCAAGACTGGATGGAGCTGTTGAAGCTAGCAAGACTGCTGATGTGAATAGAAAACACCAGCTACAAAAAGCTCTGACGCAAACAGCGAGACTAAGATGACCGGACAGGAAAGGCAACGCAAGACTGGCCAAGCAAACAGTATGGGAACAGCTGTTGTACAGAGGGGCGTCGCTCAATGAGCGTTTGAAGTCGAAGGGATGGTGGTCGCAGCTCGATTCAATTTCTTAGTCACCCGAGCTTGGGCCAATGCGGGATGGTGACGGAGCGGCAACGAGGGAAGCGACAGCGCAATGTTCGCCTTTGCGCCATCTCCTGTAACTCACGTCCCGATGCGCCTCCGAGGATGATTGTACGGTATCGACACCTGCTAGCGACCACCTTAGCCTCGATACCCTGAGCTTGTCGTCTATGCCGCTCCTCTCTACACCAAATTTATAGATACTACCATGCCTGGTCTTCCGTGTACGTCACGCACGAGTACAGAAGTGCATGCTTACATATGCTGATTGTATACAGCTACCGTAGACCTCGACGAGTGCATCTCGCGGCTGTCGAAGAAAGAGCTGTTGGCCGAGTCTGTAATCGAGGCAATATGCGCCAAAACGAAGGAGCTCCTTATGAAGGAGAGCAACGTTGTGCACATTAGGGCGCCGGTGACGGTCGTCGGTGACATCCATGGCCAGTTCTTCGACATGATGGAGATCTTCAAGATCGGAGGACCATGCCCTGACACAAACTATCTTTTTCTAGGTAAATCACCAGCTTTGATCAGCGACGCGACCGGGAAAGCTGACAGACTCCAGGGGATTACGTTGACCGCGGTCTTTTTTCAGTCGAGACAATATCGCTTCTGGTCTGCCTCAAGCTGCGCTACCCACATCGAGTCCACCTTATCCGCGGCAACCACGAGTCTCGCGGCGTCACACAATCGTACGGCTTCTACACCGAGTGTTCGCGAAAGTATGGCAATGCGAATGTCTGGCACTACTTCACCGACATGTTCGACTTCCTGACGCTATCGGTCGTCATCAATGATCAGATCTTCTGCGTACATGGCGGTCTGTCACCTTCTATACATTCTATCGATCAGATAAAGATCATCGATCGCTTTCGAGAAATTCCACACGAAGGGCCGATGGCAGATTTGGTATGGAGCGATCCTGATCCTGAACGAGACGAGTTCTCGCTTAGTCCTCGAGGAGCTGGATACACCTTTGGCGCGCAAGTTGTGAAGAAGTTTCTAGAGGTCAATGCTATGTCGCATATTCTACGAGCGCACCAGCTCTGCCAGGAGGGCTTCCAGGTTCTCTACGATGACAGACTGAGCACTGTATGGAGTGCTCCCAACTACTGCTACCGTTGCGGAAACATGGCTAGCGTGCTGGAGGTTAGCGATACCGGCGAGCGCTTCTTCAACGTCTTCGATGCTAGCCCGGACAATGATCTGCACAGAGCTGAGCAGCAACAACAGCAGGGCAAGGAGGTGACAACGGAGTACTTCTTATGATACCCATTGTACGTACTTACGCGTTATGGTATCGAAATGGGACTTGCATGCGGCGTTCGGCGTTGCATACTTTCAAACGAGCAAGGCGTCTTGGGCCAACACAGTGGCACGAAGAAGCAGATATTGCATAGACAAATGCACACACAAGGAACGAGCAAGTACGTGTATGTGAGTTTTTTGTGATCTATTCTCTCTTCTCTTATGCATTGCGCTCTACCGTTAGCATCCCAAGTACTTTGTTTCGACCCATCGGTTCTCCATGTCATCTCCTATCCTCGCCACGACTATCTTGATCTCAGGGAACACGCTCAGTACACGGTTCATACCGACGCGACCAGCTGCATATGTGACGAACGCTATCCTCTCTTCCGGGACACCATGATCCACCAAGACTTGCACAGCCATCAATGCCGCCGCACCGGACGAGAATTGCGGATCCAATACCAGGACAAGACTGTGCTGCGCGATATTCGGAGGAAGTGCTCGGTAGTGAAGTTCAGGTTCTCCAGTTCGGTAGTTCGTCTGGATGAGAATCCGCCCTGTAACGCAGTCCGGTATTGTGCGTCGTAGACCAGTCTCAAAAGCGCTACCGCCACGGAGGACAACTACGGCACTGACCTCTCCTTCTTTCTTGAGTCCCATATAAAGGTTGTTTTGTGGTGTGTACACCTGCCTAGGTGTGAATGGCATGAAGTCCACTGCTGTTTCAATAAGCAGTGCGACCATCCTGTCAAAGTAGAACACGAAGTCCTCTTTGGAAGTACCCTGGTCCATGAGCATCGTATGCATGCCCTTGACTTGACTGGTCTGCTCCAACACTTTCGCATTGCCATGCAGTGGGCTATCCTCGGCAATTTGGCCGAGACGTCGAAGCTCCATTTGATGCTGTGCTGACTTGTGTTTGAGAGTTTTACGTACTTGATCAGCGACCATGGAAATGGCGACCTTGTTCTCGATGCCTCGAGGAACGATGAGATCAGCAATTTCCCGCTGCGGCGCAACGTACTTGTAGAAGTTCGGTTTGACAAAGCCAAACCACTGCTTGATACAGCCTTCAATGTCTCGACCGCGTTCTTTGACGTCTCGGACTAGACGTCGCGACAGACAGAGATCAGAGTCGGCTTCGGCAAAGATCTTGAGATCAAGCATGTCCAAGACTCGCTGATCATGAAGCGCAAAAATGCCCTCTAGGATCACGACATGCGGCGAGTAGATTGTGGTCGTCTGTTCGAGTCTTGAGTGCTTCGCAAAAGAGTACATAGGTACTTCTGCGACTTTGCTGGTCGATGATCAGCCGGACACCTTCAAACATGATGATGTCCATACCCAGCCTTGATATCTTTCAATCTTTCGACCAGAATATCGAAATCGATAGCCTCAGGCGAGTCGAAATCATACTCGTTTCTGTAAGCCATAGCTGATTGCTCTGGTGTCAACGGCTTGTAGAACGAATCCTATGTTCCCTCAGCATGTGCGCACGTGACCCACTGTAACAAGTTCTGACGCACCATTGAGAGGATCACCACCCACGGCAGGTTCATGGATGCCACGATAGCCATGGCCAAAGACGTCTTACCAGACCCCGAACTACCAGCTACTCCAATGATGTTGGCGTTGCCCCATGGTGGCTGATAGTGTGTTCGGCGGCCTTGTATAGACATGGTGATAGGTATGAATTTCGAGCTCTAAGTATGGAACGCGACTACCTCATGTCGTGCGAGGTATACAACAACGAAAGAATAAAGATATGCAAAGCCTCATGTAACGATACTGGACTGACGGATTTTGAGTAGACTGCTCGGTCCCGCCCGCTTACTGGGTGCCAGCGGCGCTAAGGAGAGCACAAGCCACAATGGGCACATTTTTGCCAAGCAGCGCTAGGAAGCGAGCTCGAGTTTCTCTTCACGAACCTCGTTTCCTCAACCCTTCTTGCACCAACAGCCCGCAAACTTTGCGTGTGCCCACGACACTCGACCGCGGTCGAGCAGCTTCCCACTCTTCCTGATGGACGTCGGATGAGGTGATAGAGCCTCTGCTTCATCATGGTACGCATACCCGAGCTATGAAAGCTGTGCCCCGCATACTGACCTGACGCGTAGAGCTCATCCACCGTTTCTGTCTCGGCTGCAACGCCAACACAACACTATTTCCAGAGGAAGATTGACGATGTCAAGCCCTCCAAGACGTAAGTGCCCATACACTTTTCATTCATACCCTCTTGTATGATGTGATAAAAAATAAGTTGGGAATCTCTCCGAAAATTCCGTGTAGAGCACAACATAACTTGTAGACTGATCTCAAGCAACGTTCGTTGCTTTGCTACATCACCCATGCCAGCATGAATTCGCAGAAATACTCGCTAACTGGACATGTAGTGACATCAATTTTGTCGTTATGGACTATCTGGTCAGCGAGGGATATCCCCGAGCTGCTGAAAAGTTCGCCAAAGAAGCCAACATCCAGCTACCTCTTGAGGAAGAGTCCATCCAGTCTCGCGTAGAAATACGACAGGCTATCCATGCTGGCGACATTGACGCTGCCGTCACCAAGATCAACGATCTGAACCCTCAGGTAAGCCATGAACAACACCTTATATCACCAGTTTTTGCAGGATTATAACCAGTTTCATGCACCACGCATAATCTTCCTTGATGATAACCAAACCTTCAGTCCTCAGTATGATTGCAAGCAAACACCTTGTCTATTCACAACATCTCCATGCTGTGCTTAGCTAACAACTGTAATAGATCCTTGACACCGACGCTGCTCTTCACTTTGCACTGCTTCGTCTGCAACTCATTGAGTTGATCCGGTCGTGCACATCATCAGCAACATCCGACGTAACACCTGCTCTGAGCTTCGCCTCATCACAACTCGCTCCTCGCGCGGCTACTAACCCGGACTTCTTGAAAGACCTCGAGCTCACCATGACACTGCTCATCTTCCTCCCGGCTACTGGCAAGCTGCAGAAGGAGCTCGGCGAGCTTCTTGAACCATCTCTCCGTCGCGATGTTGCTAGCAGGGTCAACGAAGCTATTCTTACGAGCATGGGGGCTCGCGGAGAGGCGCGAATGAGGAGCCTGGTGCGTCTACGCCAATGGGCCGAGGCAAAGGCTAGAGGAGCCAACAAGGACATCCCTCCTGTCATGCCCCTCGGATTGCAAGACGCTGAAGACAGGATGATTGGAAACAACGGTGAAGGCGCAGATGTCATGGTGCAGTAGCAGTAGATCGGTGCCAGGCAGATACACTGGAGCATGAATCTGCTTCCGGACTTATGACTCGATCGTCGAGATTACGATACTATGAAACAATAATGATCATGAATATTAAGCGGCAGATGCTGCTACTCGCACTCAACACCACCTGTCACTTCGCCCTGCAGTGATGTCTGCTTCAATCATGCCCGCTCAACCATTGCTCCTTTCAACGACGCTCCAGCTGATACACGGTCCCTCAACTACTTGACTTCTATACTCGACCTCGATGATTGGGTTGATGAGCAGCCATCACATACGCTTCGCCATGGGTGACCCTTGACACGATGTCCCCAACGTACCACGTCGTGCAGACACCAAGGGCGGATGCCATCAGCAGGACATCGAAGATGTAGGTGGGCCATTCGTGAGCCAGCAGACAGCCTTCCTCTGCGTTCTTGTTAGTCAAAGTCATCAACACAGCAACGTTTGTACATACCACCCATAGCGTACGCAGCAACGCGAAACACGTTTCGAACCGTAATCAGTCCACTGACAGCATACAGCATGAACAAGTACCTCTGCCAATTGAAGACATGCACTATGCCTTTCTATCCTCTCAATCTTCCTAGCCCTCATGTGGAAAGTTGCAGCGACAACCATGAAGAATACAACCACGAAGAGCTGTATAATCAGGCCAGCAAGGACAACGATCTTCCCTAGATCCCTCGTCACCTTCGAGGCATCAGTCTTCGCCAACATGCCGGCTCCCGCAGCTTGGACTAGGAAACACAGAATGTCACCGCCCAGGAAGATCTTCGTCAGCCATGTCGGCCGCACAATGGAGGCTTCTGTGGGTCCGGTTGCGAGAACGATGCGGCCGAGGAACATGTAGAACGAGGCGGCAAAGAGGATAGGTGCGAGTAGGACGAGGAGCTTCTGGGCGATGTAGGGATTCAAGGAGTTGGGGTGCGAGTGGCCGTATGCGCGGGCTAGGTAGCCTAGGACTTCGACTTGAGAATGTCAGATTGTGCATTGGTGGTGTTGGGGTCGTGCTTACAGGTAAGATCGATGACGAAGGGAAGGCAAAACCGCGTCTTCGATTTGAAGAGCTTGAGAATGTGGATGGCTGATAGGACGCCGAAGACTATTACGCTGATGATGGCTGTAGCTTTCGAGGGAACGTACGGAGAGACATCATTGCCCGCCATCGTTGTGTCTAAAGGCTTGTAAGAGGAGGTACAGTATACAAGGAACGAAAAAGTAACGGAGCTTCTAAGAAGTTATGGAGGAATTTGCAGATATGCGCAGAAATGCTGAAGCCGAGGATATGCCTTACTACTCGGGATGAGCCCAGGAAATGATGTCCTTTAAACTACATGCCATACGTTTGATACGGTGAAAGGGAGGCTTATACGGTGACAATGAGGCTTGGACATAGATGCTTGCTTTCACCGGTAGACGTAAAGACGATGGTTCCCGATGTCAGGCTTAACTGGAACTCGACGAGCCTAAGCCACGCGTGAAGTGGAATGAACAGCACACAAATTACCCGTTTCACCACAGTTTGGGCCCTCTTAGCCACATGAGTGGCTGTCAGGCTTAAATCGTTAGCTCGGAATCTGATGGTGCTCGAACCGTGTGCTTCGGCCTTGTGGGAACGGGAACGAGTAAACGAGAACGAGACCTAGACCATTTGGGGTTCGTTCTTGTTCACGCTTGTCTTATGATACTCAACTTTGGATGTGGGACAAGTTTGGAAGAGGAAGTTTCATGCGTGGAAGCGGTTCGTTCGGGCTGCAGGAATGCCTCTGAACACGGGTATCATACATCATACATTACTATATATCCCAACTTGGTCATAGCACCATTGTAGAACCTCGTTCCATCGGCCGTCGCAACCACTCAGTCGAGAAGACAGATCTTCAACGATCCTTCGACCAGCATACTTCATCCACCACACTTCAACGCAAACGTAAGCGTTTCCCAACAGGCCGGAATGACCATAGCTGCAGTTTCGCCCTAATCAACTTTGTGGGAGAGCTCAGCCTCGACCATAACCAGCCAACCAAAAGCCGATCGATCGTTGTTATCCGCATATGCCTTCTCAAGCTTCTCCAGCATACTGCGGAAGAACGGCGTCGCAGTATCGTCAAGGTCCATGTTCGCCAATACCGCATCGCTCAACGCCCGCACCTTGTCCGCCGTAATCAACCCCTCTCTTCGATCTTCTGAACGGTAGGGCTCATGAAGATACGGGCCAATTCACTGACTTCGGCCCAGCCACGACACTGTTCGACGACCTCGTTCAAGCCCAACATACAACTCCTGACGCACAGCATCTCAGGCATAGACTCTAGCTGTTCTCCCTGATGTCGCCGGGACCATCGACGCCAACAACGTGCAAATTGCATTGAGAGCCGTAACAAGGAAAAGGCGCTCACAAATATCCTGCGTGATCCTGACCAGTGACTGACCCCTGTTGAGCTCGGCTATACTCTGATTCTGGTAGTGGAGGGCTGCGGTGACATGCTCGTATGCGTCGATCGGTCCTGACGCTTCGCTTGCGCTGTGCAGAGAGATGAATGCGAGCAGGATGTCCATTAGGTAGGTTCACTCCAAAGCCTTGTTAACGGTATAGTCGCGGAAGGTTTCCATATTGCGAGATTCGGAGTTGAAACAGGTGACGGTGCTCCACTGGTACATGAGCTGTAGTTCCTTCATCCAGGTGGCATTGTAGGAGACAAGTTGCGAGGATGGCCCGCTATATGCATCGAACAGTGGGTACGACAAGAAGTTAAGTGTGCCGGTTTGACGTAGCACGGCGTCCATCTGCAGACAACATCAATCTCACATCATCTTGACTTCTTTTTTGTGAGAGCTCGAGTGTGACCAATTGGGGTAAAGTAGCAGCGGGTAAACTCCTAATGGGGACCTCGAGACGAGTGAAATGTTCTTCCTGAAGCAAAAAGGCCAGAGACGTGTTTGTGGTGGAAAGTTCATTGATCCAGTATATACAGGAAAGCTAGCTATCTACCCAGCATGGTATCTCCCCGGTCGCTCCTATCAAGAGTGACGGCTTTTGCCGCAATGCTGCCGCAACCAATTTACTTGGAGGTGTCAAGGACGTATCGTCCGGCGATGGCACCAGCGTGCATCTTATCGTACACCATTTGGAGCTCGGAGAGACCAACGACCTTGTATGGCGCCTTGATCAAGCCACGAGCGAAGAAGTCAATGGCCTCTGCGCTGTCCTTGCGGTTGCCGACGTAAGAACCTGAGATTTTGAGTTAGAATTTGCAAAAATTATGATAGAAAATCTCGACTTACCCTGGATCCTGACCATCTTGATGACGGATTCGAAGACGGGAGCCTTGAGGTAAGCACCGGCTGGGAGACCAATGCAGATGACGGTACCGCGAGGTCGGACGTACTCAGCAGCCTGCTGGAATGGCTTCTCGTTGACAGCGACGAGAATGACAGCGTGAGGACCGAGACCATCAGGTGTAGCCTTCTGTACATCGGCAACGACGTTCTTGGATGAAGCGAAGTCGACGAATGCCTCACCGCCCAGCTGCTCGGTGATCATCTTCTTCTTCTCGTCACCAGTGTCAATACCGATGATACGGCATCCCATTGCCTTAGCGTACTGGCAAGCAAGAGATCCGAGACCACCACCAGCACCGACGATAGCGACCCACTGACCGGGCTTGACACCAGACTCCTTCAGGCCCTTGTAGACGGTAATACCGGCGCAGAGAACAGGGGCAATGGCATCAAGAGCGCACTCCTTGGGGATGCGGGCAACGTGAGCAGCCTTCGCAATGCAGTATTGTTGGAAGGTGCCGTCGACTGTGTAACCAGAGAGGAGGGCCTTTGAGCAGAGGGGCTCGTCTGACTGTTGGCAGAAGTCGCAGGCAAGGCAAGATCCGTTGATCCACTTGACACCGGCATAGTCACCAATCTCGATATCGTTGACAAGGCTGCCCTTAGCAACAACGACACCAGCACCCTCGTGACCACCGACAAGAGGTAGCTTGGTGGGCTGGAAAACATGTTAGCTCATTCGATCGTAGGTCGGAGTAAACTGAGCTTACCAGGGGCCAATCGCCGTTCACGGCGTGGAGATCAGTGTGGCAGACACCAGAGTACTTGATGTTGACGAGAACCTCATCTGGGCCAGGCTCCTGTACGGGAATCTTCTTGTACTCAACGGGACCACCGGTCTTCTCAATGACCTGCGCCCATTGCTCCTTTGGGATTTCTGGCATTGTGATTGTGTGTGAAAGTTCAAAAACTTTGAGTATCAAGAGAAGTGTTGAGGGTAGTATTGAGTTGATTGATCAAAGGCTGATGAATCAGTTGACAGGGTGAGCTGAGGCCTTATATATCTGCATTCGAGCATTTTGGTGAGCTCGAGACTGTAACCCCACCTGCAGTATACCTCGAGAACCAGGGTCTCGAGAGCTCGAGCGCTTGCTTTCTTGGGAAACTACAGCTCAGGTCAGTAACAAATTCCTCTTTACCGGCCATTCCGAGTCTCCTGCTCGGCGAGCCGGAGCCATTTCATGACTGACCAAGGTCTCTCATTGGCTTGAAAAGGTCCTATTGTGAGGCGCAGTGCTTACCTAGGGGTACATTCTCAAGAACCGGACGACAAGCTGTCGGATGATGCTGCATCGGACGGGAGGCGAAACCCATAGCGTGAGGGCCGTGGACATTCATCAGTGGGCTGAACTACCCTTGATTGGTGTGGGCTAACGTGGCCTGACATTAGTGTGTACATCAGATCCAGGGTCAAAGGTGCATTTGTTGTGGTGTGAGGGGTGGGCAAAGAGCAACTCGAGGCGGGGTGGCTTGACATTAGGCAGTTTGCTGGTTTGGGAACGCGGGTATCTCCTGATGTTTTTTTACTCAGCTCAACACTTGTCGACGGCCGTGCAGTATGACGGAGGAATTGAGGAACAATTTTCTTGGAATCGAGATACTGATTCAATTAATCGTGATCTGCAAGAAAAACAAGTACACGCAACTCACCTCCCTCAGTCCTTGCCCATTCAGCCCGTGCACTTCCTAGCTTAACGTCCGTCAGCCTCGCGTTCTCATCCTCCAACCGCGTCGTTTGATGTAGCTCATGTGAGTAAGAGAATCCACCATCGCATCGGGAATCTGGAGAGCTACAACTGCCAACTGGGTCGGTCGAACGCACCTAAAACGTTATCCCCCAGCTGTCGTACAAGCCTGACAAGCCACATCCCACATGCACCTCTCATCACCCCAAAACAGTAAAACCATTCTCCAATAGCAATACTGCTTCAATATCTAGGCAGGTCCACTGCAGCTCCACTGCATGCGGCTCCTAGGCTACCGTGCGGAGATCCTTAATGCCGTGAGGTTGTATCTTTGACCCGTAAGACCGCACGACGATAGCGGGGTAGGTAGGTAGTTTCTATCAAGCAGCTTTGCACGAAGCAAAGGGCCGCTACGTGAAAATGGCATGCTCCATATTTACCCCAGATTTTAGAGGATCCATATGACTACAATGGTGGCAGACGGTGGCAGACGATCCGGACTCTGGAGATGGTTGATAAGAGTTCGACCTGCATGATCTTCTAAGATGTCTGGAATCTGCCACGCGCCTGGAAACTGCATCTTCAGATCGAATTTCAAATAGAACGCCATCGTGGTTGGATGGCCAAGGCATCATCGTTCGTTTCAGGATATGATCGCGGGTGCGGGGAAAGCCTAGGGCTAACATTGTGAGATGTTGCGGTTAGTGCGGGGCAGATAGAAGTTCGTGGCTTCAAGTTTTCACACTGGGAATAGCGTCGAGACTCCGTCTTAGCTGGGCGCCGATGTTGCTAGGTCGACAGAGAAGAAAGGAGCGTCGTGGCCTGAAGTCGCGTTAAGGCGAGGGACCAATTTGGGGGAGCGACAGCGCGCGGAATGGGAAGGTGGCCGGCTCCTTTTAGTAGCGCACTTTGGAGAAAACTTGATAGCCCACCTGAGGAGTCAGTTAGCCCTTCTGAGGGCCTTGATGGCATAATGTTCGCCATCGATACTAGGGCGAGCAATAACTCGTGATCACCTTCCGGTAAGCAAAAATGGCAGGAGTCGGAGGTTTGTAAGCACCCCGCAACCCTTCAATAAATATCTAAACACCAAAGTACCCATCTTCAGCGTGTCATAACTCCACCAAATCCTTATACAACTTAATTAGCAATGCCTCAAAATCATTGTGAAAGTAAGCCAAGCAGACCTATTAGACCTCACCTTGACACAATTGGCTGCACGCGATTCTTTGACGCATATGATAATCGTAACAATCAGGGATGGTGCATAATGGAGGATTTCCTTAAGAACTTTGGGATTGCACACAGAACAAGCTATTGGTTACTGCAAGAGAGGGATGAATTTGGTGATCCTCTAGCTCTTCAACGCGGTGATTCTTGTGTAGCAAAAAAGGAGCTTTGAGGCACGCCAGGATCAGGAGGACCAAGAGGGATCAGTGACAAGCAACTCACAGAAATGACCAAGGCACCACAACCAAAGCGCCGCAAGTGTAAGGGGCTGATCCTGAGAGTAGATGCCAGACAAGATCGGATGAATTTGGTGAGGTTTGCCGGCTAGCAGCCGGCAGCGGCTTTGTGCTGCCGGTCATGTGTCAGCGTTTGGCTGTACCAAGCTCCTGTTGAAGTCGTACTTTAAGCAAAGCTCGGAAGCACGGGTTCGATTGGGTCTCAGGGATGAGCGAGGTGTCTGGAACGGTAGGGGTAGACTATCTGAGAGGTACGCAATAGTCAAGTAATGGTCGGCTAGTCAAAGACCATGGCAACTGGTAGCAATGAGTAGTACAGAGTATACTGTCTGGCTTGAGAGCAGGTGAGATTCCAATAACAAATTTGATTGATTAGGCTGAAGATGATGCCATAAGGGCAGCGTGTCTACGTACTATATACTTGTAACGATTGTCCGTAGTCCTACAGCGTCTCAGGGTCTCGTGGGACTTGTGGGATTCCATGGTACGCTAGACTGCTTGTGTCGTTTGGCAAGGTTACATGGATTCGTGGGTTTACTGTGCAACAGAGGGTGACCTCTCCCGCGGCTGTCTCTGTATGTTATAACGTCCAACCTGCCCTGACAGTGCTTCCCCCTCAGTACGTGTTTGTAACAACATCCTCCAATCCCTGGATCTAGCTCCTTTCTCAGTACACAGGTCCAAGTACTGTGAGCAGATCCAAGAGCTCCCATCCCTCAATGATGCAGCACCTGTCAAGAAGGAGCACTTTGTTGTATCCTATAACAAAGCAAAAGAAGAAGCACTCTCAGAATGGGTTATCTGAGTTGGCTAGAAGGCTACTAGCATCCGCCCATACAACCCTATCAAGGTTCTGGTTTCATCTCAAGTACTCCTCTGTCAAAACCACAAACATCAGATGTACTTAGGACTATCTTTAGTACCCCATAGAGCTCACAGGCACTATAAAAGACCCAGCAAATACTACAACAATTAGATTCTCTTTCATGGAGTACCCAGGCAGTGCTTGGCAAGGCAGGCAGGGCTATTGCAATAGAAAATACTTGGGCAGCCCAGCTGGAAGCTGAGAACAAGCGACTACAGTATCAACTCAGTCAAATTCAGAATACTTGGCCAAGAAAGTGAGTCAAAATTGATCAAAACCAGCGGTTCAGTGACATTGAGGCTACTAAAGCTGCTATGGAGGCTGCTGCTGCTCAAGCTGCTAAAAATGCTAGCAAATCATATACAACAGACACGGCAAAGGCAGCAGCAGCAGCTAATACTACGCTTCAATTCATGTGTACTGAGTGGCAAATATAAGTACAATTATTGGCAGAACTCAGCTCCAAATGTGGTGTTGACGCGTTGGTTGGGTGGCCGAGAAGTACTCCCGGCCGATAATTATCCCGGCCAGTTTAAAAGTACGTTGGAATGATCTCCACATGCCGTTCTGAACCAAAAGTAGACACACTTTGTGTCACGGTTCAGGGTGCTCCTGCCTGTCGAACCTCACCTGCCATGAGAGTGACTGCCACGTCACACTAGCGTCGTTTACAGCTACTACATATACATACTGTCCGTAGCTTCACCCAATACAACCTCAGTTCAATCCTTCAATATTTCCACACATGCGTACTGATCACTCACGATCCAACGCTACATATTGTCATATGTTCGCTCCTTTCCTGTCTCGTCCATGTTCTGCTGAAGGCAAGAGACATACACGACTATGTGCAAGTAACTGCTTGATAGAAAGGGAAGAGCGCCGATGCCATGGATGACTCCGCCTGTGAGAGACACTCGTCTGCTCTGCTGAATTTGGAGCTATCTTTCCTTCCTCAACATTAAAATATTGGACTCTCGAAAGCAGGTGGCATTCATCACGATGATCAGAGAGCATCGTTTGCTCGGCAAAGGCTGTCTCGTCTTGTCAAACCTTTTAACAACAAACTCCATGTCTGCACACAACCAACGCCGCCCAAAAACAAGTCCATCTTCTAACGTGGGTACCATGAATGGTCTACCCACTGCTCATGTTCGTGCGACCAGCCTGGATTACACATACATATACTGGATCTTCCCTCTCTTCTCAACGTTTCAAATCTTCAGAATTGCTTATCTTGCACACCGATGTCTTTTCTGCCTCAAAACAAGAACGAAACTTTACATGACTGCCCGGCATTGGCGCGAACGAGGATGGACCTTGAACATGAAGACCTTGAATGAATGTCCCCCGGTACCTCCCTTCTCGCAGGTACACGAAGATTGCAATCTCTAGATTCAAATTAAGACTTCGCTTCGGTCATATTCGAAAGCCAGTGTTCCTTCTGCCGCACTTGCTTACTTATCAAAGTTCGCTCTGGCACCTTATGATGTTATTGTCCAACAAAGGTCTAGGAGGCAAGCTGATGTCTGAGACCGATGTCTTCAATCAGATTCGATCCGTATGATTGCTCTTTGAGAATGAGTCCAAGCTGTTTCAATGTCTGATGACAGCATTTCAGCCTGCAAACAAACCATCTTTCTCCTCACTCAGTTAAATCTCCTCAGTTCTACAATCTCCTCATCAGACCAAAAAGCTGGGAGATTTTATCGATGTGTTTCTTGTCTTCGAGATCCACCGCCAAGATGGAACATGTCTGCTCGCATCCGTTGTCCGAAACGCATTGCGCGCTTATCTCATGTCCAGAAAGGCTGCTCGATAAATCGTTCTTACAATCTGCCATGGGAGATACCGGGTGCGACACCTTTATTGTTGCAATAAGGTGACCAAATCCCCCATGTTTGTGAAGGACTGAAAGAGTGAAACCATGATGAGCTGCAGTGGAGTTTCACTCACGCCGAGGACTTCAAAACAGTGGTCAAATCTGCTCATGTTGCAGACTCACATAGGACGTCAACCCAATTAAACTGCTCATGTTGTAAACGAAGAAAACGTGTCATTTATGACCAAAGCGCTCGCTTCTCTGTGATTCGTCAAGCCCTTGTGCCGGAGCTGCAATCTCTCGAGGCTGTGCCAAAATAGCTTCATGCCCACCTCTTCCATGTTCGAGAGCCTCGTTCATTTTGTCGTGCTTTAAAGTCTGGCAAAGTTTCTCTCATCGCTCCATAACGTCTCAGTCTTTGCCTCTACTCATCCCACCCAACAAATACCACCGGTCCCCTGACTTTCGTCTCCCCCACCTTCTCCCCGATCCTTCCACTCCTAACATCCCGGTCCCAGACGACCACAGTACTATTCCCCTGATGACCCACCGCGAGCCTATCTCCCTTTTTATTCAGACTGAATTGTCTCGGCAAGTAGCCACCTGAAGGAGCAATCTGGACGAGAGAAAATGTGCCGTCATCTTGAATCCTGAACGTCGACAGCGAGTCACTCGGCTCCTTCTGATATAGGGGAGACAAGTTGAACGAGTGCTGCCGACTACTTACGATTACAAATCTTTGATCAGGCTGTCGTTTGGTCAACTCAAAGTGCTTTTTCGCCGGATCTCTAATGCACGCATGTAGGTAGAAGAACAACTTACAGAGACAGCGATCTCACTTGTCGGTGCCGTATTCGGTTCCAGAGTCTCCCCAAGCTCCCCCAGCGCCGTTGCCTCAAACACCTTCTCCCACACCAAACCGCTGGGCGTGTAACTGATGCGGTACGAGTACACCTTTTGACTCAGCTCGCCATTGAAAAGCAGATAACAGTTTCCCTCTTTGCCCCGCCCTGGTGCTTTCCAGAACACGCCATGCCTCGGGCCCGCGCCAGCTTCCGTCCTCAAGGGAGGCAATTCGGTGAGTGGTGCGACGGTCTCGTGGTGGTACGTGAAAACGCGAATAAGGTCAGCGCCAAGGTCAGGAATGAGGATGTATTTCCGAGTCGGGTCGAGGATGACGTGGTGCGAGTAGCTGCCGTTCTGGCGACTCGGTATCGGGCCTGTGGTGTTGGATGTTGGGTATAGGATCTGTGCTTGGGGTTCTAGTGAGCCGGTGGAGGGGAATGAGAAGGCTGCGATGGCAGATTTGTTGCTACGATCATCAGCGAATGGACAGGGGAGAACTGGACGAGAGAACCGTACTAGCTTGCGGTAACGTATCCTCTCTTCCCACCCCCGATATCAAAGTACTCAGCTGCTACGCCTGAGAATGGTGCATCGACACTGTCGATCTTGCTCAACGCGCCTTCGCTATCAATGCTGAATGAGTTGAGTGAGCCTTCTGTGGCGTTACTTTGGCCGCGGTCCAGACAGTACAGAAGCCGCTGCTTCGAATCAATGTTAAGCCATGAAGGGTTACTGCCACACTCTCTAATCGTTGATGTTACGGAGAGGTTGTAAGATTTGCCATTGCGAGTGAGTGCAAGGGTGCTTAAGTCACCGTTTGACTGTACGGCGAAGAGCGTGGCTGCTTGTGTTAGGTAAGGAAAAACAGATAAGATGAGGGAAGTGAAGCCAGGAGCGACCATCTTAGCAGTTGGTCCTGAATGTTGAGAATGCCAAGTTACATCTGACAAGGCACATAGCGACCGGTCACTGAACTCTTATGTCCATAATGCAACGCTTTAACCAAGCTTTACAATGCATGGCACTTACCGTCGTATTTCTCGGCTTCCGGAGGTGAAGTCTCCATTTTCCACCACCAAAGTTGCTTCGAGCGGGACTACCAAGTCGGGTATGAAGCTTGTGTTGCTCGTGTGTGCTGAATTAGGTACGTGGCATACAGCTCGCCAAGTTATCAAAGTCCAAGGAAGGTGTGCTCCGGAGATATTGCGGGGTACTTTTGAAGTACACTTGACTGCTCTCGGATAAGTTCTCCGTCCAAGAACAGGGAACATCCGGTGTAATCCCAATATGCCTTGGCGCAGGATTACGTGCGTGGTAACTTGGCGGGTTTCCTACCTTCTGTCATAATGAAGAGACTCTTCGAGATTGTGCGTGCTGGCTCCATCCTCCTATTGGTCAAACAGAATGAGCGAAGTGAATGTGAGGGCGGATCTAAAGTTCGAGTGAGTGTACAGGTAGTAAAGAACAGCAAGAGCTCGCCTCGAACGTGATAACACAGTACTGACTGTAACTGTGACATTATGTATCCTCCTTTTCAACACGCTACGTCCGGGGTATATGTACATTATGCAAGTCGAGATTTCGACACCATCTGCCTTCCTTCGAAGTGTTGAAATCGCTGATCGTAACATCGTGAGGAGCGCTTGCTCGCTTTTGTATGTCCACACATGGAATGGGGAAAACTCAAAGAGGTCCGAGGACGCCATCGCTCCGAAAAAGATGCAGAACTAGATTGGTAATACAGAAGTGAAGTGAACACAGCCCGCAGGCTGGAAGTGTATAGCAACAAGGATTCAGTAAAACTGATGCCCGCCGAAACCGTTTACTACGGCAATGGGTGGCTGGAGAAGCGTTGCCGGCTGTTGTTGCTGTATGAAGTTCGCCGGCACGTAATGGCTCTGGTAAGGATGTTGAGGCATGTTAAAGTCTGCGACAAGAAGTGGGTTGCCGAAGCCTGGTGGAGGTCTTGAGCGTATGACCGGAGGTTGCGTCAGTGGAGGCTGCATCTGCTGCTGGACGACGACTTGGGCCTGATGCGCTTGTTGCTGCTGGTAGGCTGCGTTCGCATCTTGAGCATGGCCGTTCGCCTGCTGCTGGTCTTGCGCATCCCAGCCCCACTTCGCCTTCAGCTCTGTGTTTACGAAACCAACCCGCCAGCCTGTCTCTTGACGAATCTTGTCGAAGATCTGGAGGACCTCCTCTTGTTCCCTTCGATCTGTAAGACACTCGCCAGCGATAGCGAGAGAACGCAGAGCCACACTTGCAACACCGCGGTCCTTGACGTGCGCACTGATACCGCAGATGAACTTCGAGTTTTGCTCGATCATGCTCCACATCTCTGGCTCGTTGGACCCATGAACTGGATTGATCTGTGCAAGCAGGACTAGACATGTGTGATAGAAAAGCCTAGCAACGATGGATGTCCGCTTGATCAACCACACTTCTGGGAAAGCGGAACCTGAAATCGTTTGGCCTGGGTACAGGTATGCCATAGGGTGCATGGTGCGGGGGATGCCCTCATTCCACCGATCCGTCATATCTTTCAGGCGTAGCCACTCGTTGTGGCGGTCTTGTAGCGTCTGTCTCGCGATGTCTGGGTTCCGTGGTATTGATGCGCGGTAGTTGCAGGTCTTCGCAACGATGTACAAGATCCTGTGAGTCCAAGTCTCCTCCTTCCCGGATTCGGTCTCTGGCGAGAAGTCCAGCTCAACACCCCAGTCGTCAGGATCCCAAGCTACCTGCCAGTTGAAGTGGAGGCAACTTAGGATTTCCATGCCAACGTTCAGCCAGAAGCAGGCAGCACCAACACCAATCGAGCGTGCGTTCCAGCGACATTCCTTGATCAACGCTCGAGCACCGGCGATGTGGTTCATGCGTTGCAACGCTCGTTCGCCCATGATCTCGTAGACGTTCAGGATGACTGCTGTGGTCGCACAAAGGATCGTGTCGCGGTCTGGGTCTTGTAAGGAGTGCAGTAGGTCCCGTGTCGCAATGTCGTAGTAGTGTAAGGCTTTCTCTTCGCTGTACTTTGGGTTCACGAGTGCCAGGTGACGAGCACCACATGCTAAGAACGCATTCAGCAGCATGGGCTCGTTCAGCGCGTGGAATGGGATTAGACGTGAGAAGTGCTTGTGCGCATCCATACTGTCCATCCAGATCCCAATCTCCTCAACGAACACTTGCATGTAGAGCACCTCTTCCTGTGACTTGAGGTAGTCGCGGGTTGGGACGGGCGCTGGGCTCGCGGCATGATCCATGGCGTACGGCGATCGGTTCGAGTTGGAGTAGCTGGAGTCTAGTCTTGTCAGTACGAACATCCAGCCTATGATGATATATGGGCTCCACTTACGGGCGCGTCCGTGGTGCTGCTGTGGGACCTGCTGATGATCGTAGCTGTAGTGCTGTGCCTGTTGATAAGACTCCTGAGCCATGCCTTGGATAGGCGGAAGGAGCTGGTGTGCAGCTGGCGGAGGTGCAAGACCACCAGGCAGGCCCATTGAGAAACCATTCCCGGTCACAGGTATGTATGTGTCAGTCTCTTCCGCAGGATACATCTCTCGTCCGCCCACATACTCGGCCGCGATGATTCTCGACTCATCCTGGAAGGCAATCTGATATTCGGCGCCCTTGGGGATCAAATAGGCGTTCTTTTCACATGTGGTGTCAAGGAAGTTGAGTTTCTTGCCCCAATTGCAATCGCGCTGAGACTTTGCGCAGTTGTTGCAACAGGGCTTGTTCTCGTCGCACTTCAAATGCCTTTCCCTGCACGTCAAGCATCCCGTGCGCGTCCTCTTAGGCTTGCCCTCTGGGGTGGCGTCGCTCTCCCTCTTCTTTGACGTCTTGTTGCCTGGCGAGTCGTTCGGAGGTGGAGGCGTGACAGCAACAGTACTGGCCATCTTGTCAAACCTTCCAAGTGCATTCAGCTGGACAGGAACAGTCGCCCCGCGATCAGCCCAGCACTTCTAGGACAAGGGTAGCGCAAGACTGCGCGCGCCGTGACGGTCCCCGCCTGGCTCTCCTATGTGTCGTGGGCAGTGTATTATCGCGGTGGAGAAGTTGGGTAGATCCCTCGAAGTCCTGGCGCTGGCTGACGCGCAAGGGAAACCGTGCGATAGTGGGAACTCGCAAAGGCGGCGGATGTGATGGCGATAATGGTTCCTGGTGGTAGTTTAAGCCCAGTGGACTGATGTGGGGTAAGAATAGAAAGGGCAAGTGCACAATAATAGGAGCGCACAAATGTTGTGAAGGCTGAGAGTTGAAGGGGGTCGGCAGCAATTGCTGTGCAGGCCGCGGGAGAACGAGGTTCTGCGCAAGGCGGTACGGCAGCTACGGGACCGGAGTGGGCGTACGACTAATGCTATATCCGGGCTGCGGCAGCGGCAGCGGTGGGAAGTACACCGAGAGTGCGCGTCGCAATGAGAAGATTTATCGAATCCTGCCCTCGCTGGCTGGCTGGCACAAGCCAAACGATGACGAGAGGAGGATCGTTGCTCGGCTTCGTTGAGTTCAAGGAAGGATCGACCTGCAGTGCAAGTGTGGCAGGTGCAGGCGAGGCCCTCCTGATCCCTGACGGTGACGTTTTCGAGGGCCACTGTTGCGCGCAACTCCTTGAACGCGTAGGTTCGTTGCTGTTTAATAACACGATTGCAATGCCAATGCTGCAGAAGAAAGTCAAGAACTGCATTGAGATGATGGGTAGGGAGTCCTATACAGATGGTCGTCACAAGCACACGCCAATTCGATGATGCGCGCCAGCATGCCCTGCTCCGGCAGTGATGTGCACGACTTGGCTGCGATTTGCAATGGGGTTCGGCGACTTCGTACCCTGATAAAGTTATTGATTATCACGTTCTCCGCACTTTGCCTTCGATGTCGTCCCTCCCACTGCAGAAACACCTCTTGGGCAGCGCGCAAAGTTCACTGTCTCGTGTCTCACAGCTTGATAGCGCTGATGCATGATGACCGCCTGCAGCTCCAGGTCGTCAATTCTTGTAAGAGGCCAAAAACAAGCTATCGCCTAAAATAGCTCTCTTCCCTGCAGCTGTCGGCAAGTCGCCCCGTCGTTGAAGGCAGAGAGTGAGATGAAGAACACAAGAACAGATTCATGAAGAACATGCAGATCTTGCTCCATTTGTCGCCTTCACTTGATGCGCGTAGGGTCCTTATCGAGCGCCGATGTTGCGCATTGGACTCATGATCAAATCCCTACAGTTGAGCAGTCTCAAGCAGGCAGCTGCAAACTCGAGTCGATGATTTTCAGCTGCGCCAAACATGGGCGCTGCACTTCAACGACGAGAAACGCTTCCCACGGCCCTCTGCGGACTCCCTCGGAAGGCGGGCAGTGCCTGCGCTGTCAACGCCGCGTTACTGCAAGGCGACAATCTTGAACGATTTGACAGGCGCCCGTCCCACAGTTCGGCGATCGTCTCGTTCCGAATTGCCTACTTCTGAGACTGCACACATCACCAATGGCAGCTGAACGCCAATCGTCAACTCACCCACCAGCTCACCCCAGCTATATTCTTCGTGGCCACGCCTCACAGATACACAGCGTTCAATTTGTGCGCCAGAACACTCGTCTCATCACGGGTGATGCAGATGGCTGGGTCATATACTGGAGGCTCGAGACCAAGCGTGCGCTAGCTGTGTGGAAGGCTCACGATGGTGCCATTCTTGGAACAGCTGAATGGAGGCATGACAAGATCATAACGTGAGTTCTGCATGTCTTCAACCATTTTATCATCTTCTGGGTCTCTCAGATCCTCACTTGCCCGTCGCCATACACTAATAAAGTTCCGTTGCTAACGTATGGACCGATCTTCAGTCATGGTCGCGACAACAATCTTAGAATATGGCAGATGCGCGCGTCAGATGAGTCTACATTATCGACTGCTTTGCCCGCAGAGGCTACCTCTGGCGATCGTCCAATGCCATGGCTTCTGCACACACTACCAGTGAACACCCTAAACTTCTGCGCCTTCTCTATGTGTTATGCACCTGTACAGATAGTGGCACCGGATAGCCAGGACACAAAAGGGAAGGCTCAAGTCACGTCACACAAATCGAATGCTTCGATTTTCGTTGCTGTGCCGGCTAGAGACGACAAAAAGGCCGAAGTGTATCAGTTCCCAGAAGAGAGGCTGAAGTACGTGGTGCCTCGCGCACAGTCAGAAGATACAGGTAAGTACTGTAACCCCCATCGAACTCGTAGGTATCGAATACAGCCTCAGTTAGTCGGCAATCGCGAGCACCCATTGCCTTTCCATGCTGGCAACTTTAAGAACCCTGCTGACGAACGCAGGAATGGTCATGGCCGTAAAGCTTGTACGAGACCCGACAACAAATAGGACGCTCGTAATCACCGGCTACGAAGGACGGCTCACAGCTGTGCATCTACTACCCAAAGATGATGGATCAGCCATAGGGGTGGCTCAGCTTGTATACCTCAGCCAACCTCATACGCAACCCATATTGTCATTAGATGTCTCTCCAGATGCTAAGACGTACTTCACTTCTGGCGCTGATGCTGTCGTTGCAGCTCACCGCATTCCGGACCTACCAACTAGAGAGGAAGATAAGAAGACACCACCACATATTCAGGCCGATGGAGATGATCCGCCAGTCTCTATACCCACCCAACATCCCGAACCAGCACCTCATGCTATCTCCAGCATCACCGTTCACGACAACATCACAGCCACTCTATCAGATGACCCACCGATCTCTGTCCCAGAAAATACTGTCGATGAACCTCTATCGTTTTCTAAGCGTCCCGTCGCCGCTTCTGCACATCGTCAGCAGTCGACTTTTAAAGCTGGCGGCGGCCTCTCCTCCCTCCTCTCCACCGCCTCGACCCACCCAAAGACCGCACAACGTGCACGTCCATGTCCCACATCTCCCGCACTCACCATTCAACCTCCGCACAAAATCAACAACACCAAGCACGCCGGCCAACAATCTCTATCCGTACGCTCAGATGGCCGACTCCTAGTCACCGGAGGCTGGGACTCGCGAGTACGAATCTACAGCGCGAAGACGCTTCGAGAAGTCGCGGTGCTGAAGTGGCACAAGGAGGGTGTGTACGCAGTAGCTTTTGGAGAGGTCTTGGATGCCGAGAATCTAAGACGTAGTAGTGCAGAAGAAGGAGTGGGTGAAACAGAGCATGGGGAGGTAGCGAAGAGGGAGACGGGGCTTAGCAAGCTGCAACGCCAGCGCAAATCGAAGATGCAGCTTCAGCACTGGGTAGCTGCCGGGGCGAAGGACGGCAAGGTCAGTCTTTGGGAGGTGTTCTGAGGGCAGCAATGAGTGCTGGCATGCCAGTACACACATGATGTCAAGAGGCGAAAACACAAGTTGAAAATACAAGCTCATTGCAAGTACAAATGCACCGTAAGCAATGCTGACAAAAGTGCTACGTGTTGTGGTTTACACTTGCCTTCTCTGCACTTACCTCCGCACACTCGCCCCCCCCCCCCCTGAATAGGATGATGTTGGATGACGGGCATACCTTTCCTTTGCCATCATTTTTTTTTTGCCTAGTCTGGGGACTTGAGGTTTGGCGGGTGGTTGAGGACGATGGTTCGAGTCTGTAATGAGGAGGAGATGTGAGTTGTTTTGTTGTGTGTTTTGCTGATTGGCACTTACCTTTTTTGTGTTGAGGAAGGAGACGAGGTGTTTTGGAAAAGGAGAGCACGACATCTCAAAGAAGTGACAGTACAGATAACCCCGACGATAACGAAGAGCAAGGATCAGTTGTATCGATGAGAAATGAGAACTGAAATGCATAACATTGTCCAAGTAATCTGGTAAAGTCATCGTTCTCAAACCTAGCATGAGGGAGATTGAAATGGCGACAAATCCAACATCTCGCTACGCCTTCAAGAAATGAACAAGCCCACAGAAGTAAAGGAAGCAAAAGGTATTAAACATATCTCAAAAGCCAAACTAAAAATCAGTCCTACCACCCGATCGCCTTCCCCTTCCCCTTGCCACCGCCCGGCCTCGGACTCAGCGCCGGAAATTGATCCTCCTCCATCTCCTTCCTGCTCTGCTCCTCCGCAAGACTCAACTGCATCGCAAACTCCAGGTCACTCAACTCATTGCCGTTACTCGTGTCAGCATTCGCTTTGCTCTTCTTAGCTGGCGCGTTCCAGGGCGAGCTCGAAGCGGACTTCTTGCCTTTAGCGTACTTGATTGGGATGTCGAAGGCCGAAGGCTTGGTGGGGTCGGAGTAGAAGGGGTCGGCGCCGTTGCTTTCTCCAAGGGAGAGGCGGATTGCTTCGGCAATGTCGGGGTCGAGCTCTTCTTCGTTCGCGCTCGGACCGTTGTGTGAGGAGGACTGGGCGTTGTTGCTGGACTCAGGCTTGACGGTGTCTTGTCGAGATAGTTCGATGAACTCGCTTTCGCGACGCTTCTTCTCTTCCGCCTCTGCATTCTCTTGAGACAAGATCAAAGCATAGGCAAGTGCTTCATCTTCGTCCTCAAGGAGCTCGGTACCGAAGCGAGCAGCTTGTCGCTCAGCCTGCTTGCGTCTCTGGATTTTGTCGCGCTCCAGCTCGAACTGCTCGTTCTCGATGTATCCCTTCAGATTCACTCGTCCGGTTCCAGCGAAGCGTTCATTGGCTTGGTTCGTGCCGCGCTCAGTACGACGGAGGCGGCGTTTGCTACTCTTGTACTGATCAGCCGCCGATGAGCTGAAGCTCCACCAACGCAGCTGATTGCCTAGTGAGACAGCGCCGCGAAGGACTGTTGGATCTGGGTCAAGACACACAGCACCAGCAGCAAACATGTTAATGCCGACACCTTGAACAGAGGCTTGCGCTTGCACTAGTCGTCTGCGAGCGCGAGATGCATGGCGTGAGTGCAATGTCGTAATGGGCGACATGCTGGACGCGAGCGGGTCCCATGCCTGCACCAGACCGTCGTTACCACCAGCGACAAGGTAGAGGGAGGTCAAAGCTAGTGACGAGATCTCAGGAGAGTCAGTGTAGATGATGCGTAGGGGTTCGATATTGTTGGAGTACTCGGATGAGCGTGAGACGGGTGCTCTCACATCCCAGATAAGCACAACTCCACTCTTAGTTCCAGCTGCGAGAAACCGCGCTCGCTGTCCGGGAATGTCTGCGGGCGACGCTGGCTGGCTTGCAACGGACATGGGTGATGCGTAGGGTGACGATGCTGTAGAAGCTGTCGAGAAGCCAAGTGCGGGATCTTCGGACAGCGTGAGCGTTGCAAAGGTTGAGTTGTCCAGCGCCGTCACAGTCAGTCGAGTGCTCTTGAAACCGCCGAATGAGAACTTGGAGGTTCGCCACTCTTCCACGAGGCTGGCCCGCTCCGGTGAGCTACTAGAAGACGTGTACGAGGAGCTACGGTTACGTAGAGGTGCTTGCGCAACATCCAATGTGCCAACACCAGGACCGCCGAATAGCGACGGAGCCAGAGGTGTTTGTGGCGTTGCTGTTCGAGTGGAAGTAGCGGTGCTCTTGTCCTTCTCGTTTGTCTTCCAGCGAGTGAAGCGTGTAATTTCAGCGCTATGGCCTTCGTCCAGACCACACTCGAAGACGACAATTGCTTCGCCTGCGTAGTTGCCATCGTCACCTGCGAAGTCGACTTCGAGGCGTCTGCGCATGTCCCAGCCAAGACAGGTCTTCCGGAAGTCCTTCGGTGGTTTTCGAAGGAACTGCTGGATCTCTCTCGTCTCTGCAGCGATCTGTTGCTTGCCTAAGCACATACCATCCCACGATGTACGAGGGGAGTAGCTGCCGTCAACCTCAGCGTCGCTGTAAGGATCCGGTCGTGCAACGCGCCTACTAGGCTCAACGAGATTCCAGTAGACGCTGCGTCCGGTGAGCCAGGCCAAGTATTCGGTAGGTTCTGCAATGTCGGTCGTGGTAGCTTGGCTGCGAGTCGGAAACTTGGTAAGGTAGAACAGCTCACCGAGGGCGTTGAGGGCTACTGCCCAGATGCGGTTCTGGGTCTGTCTCTTGGTAGAGTAATTGTCATCCACGACGATAGAGACAATTGGAACGCCAGGGCTGAGAATCCAACGGGCAGTCAGCTCACCACGCTGCAGACGTGAGGCCTTCACACCATCGGTACCGAGACTGCAGGCAGAAACCACACCGGCAGCAGAGCCCATCATCATTCCAATGGTCCCTTCTGAAAGAGTAGGGATGGTATTGGACTTCGCAATCCAGACACAGCAGATGGCTCCACCGTCAATGCCCAGCTTGGGAATTCCAAATTCAGATTTGGTGAAGTCCAGGGGCTCTGCAATAAAGCGACCGCGCATCTCGTCAGTCGCGCGATAGTAGCAGGAGCCTTCCGGACAGCCCTGACCGTATATCATGCCGTGAGGCTGCGACACGTCCATGACATTCGGACATCCCACAACCTCACCAGATCCAAGACCCCACTCGGCAGTTCCTGGGAAGCGTTCTGAGAACTGGCTGTAGAAGTTGGGGTCGCTTTGGCCCCAAGGATCCACTTTTGCAACTGTTGGGTCACTTGCAGTGACCATGCCAACATCGTCCGCGCCATGAATGAACCGCGGCTCCTTCTTGTTGAGACCGGTGCCAAACGAAGCATGAAGATGGTTAATCGTCGTGTACGTCTTGGCCTCGTAGGTCACTACTGGATGGATGCTTTGCACCAGACCAGCGCGCGACGGGGTCACAGTATCTTGCATGGGCTTGCCGCGGACCAAGGAGCGCAGCATCCTAGTACGCAAGATATACTCGCTCCTCCATGATGCCAATGCGGTAAGCCTTGTGAACTTCCTCTTCTCAGACCGCACGATGTCACCGCTGTCTTCCAAGTTCGCGTTGTGTGAGGCGTCTTCGAGAGCAGCTGGGCCCGGGAAGTAGCGGGCGAAGGCAACCTGCCATGCGTGCGGCGTCGTGACGAGGTCGTTGAAGCCTCGAGAGACGAGCGCAACAGCTGCGAGGTCGTTTGGCGACAGGTGGGCAATGGCATGGATCAAGACCTCGTTGGGCAGATGAGCGATTGGTGAGCGCTTGTCGTCAGGCTTCCGGTTGGACTTGATGACCTCAAAGAGAGGTCCTTCCGGGTTTTTCCGAGTGGACTTGGACAAGGCTTTCTCATATTCGTCGATTCTGTTTCTCGGTGGAGGCGTCGACAGTCTGAGACTCTTCAATCCCTCGGTCTCAGCATCGCCATCCGCGCCGGGCGTCTCTGAACGCGTCGCGTCGCGTGTGTTGCCACCGGACGGTGACTCAGACTCTCCCCGCGACCCACCTGAGTGAGGTTGTAGAGGAGGCTGCGGGTCATCGTCGCGGCGCTGTCCATGCTGAGAGGGAGAATAGGGGGTTCCGGAGGCGATTGGTGGAGTGGAGACGTTTTCGATTTCGTTAGTAGGCTCTGGCTGCATAAAACTGTTGGGGAGGTGGAGGGGTGCGGGCGAGCGACTGAGCTGCAGGACAGTACTCAGTCAGAGTCGGGCTATGCGTGCGCGGGGCGATTGATGGCTTGGGTGGTGTTGTTGTGAGAGGGGCAATGTTCACGAAGTTTTGGTGACTCGGTCGCCAAGGCCAGAATGCATCATGACGACTTGCAGAAAGAACGAACGTGGGGCAGTCGCGGACTTCACATTGGCAGGGTTGATCATGAGGCTCCACATCATTCAATCTCTCCATTCCATTCGCTTGTTACGTACTTGACTACCCTTAGATGTTGACTTCTTCGACGGCTTTGCGCGGTCCTCGGGTGATTGCCCAAACTCTAGGAGCATCTCCATCTCTTCCACGGAGATACCGACAGGTTCCTTGTTGCAGTATCCCTTGTTGCAGTATCCCTTGTGGAGGGCCAAACATTCTTATGAGGCTCCCTATCGCATGACCAGACATCACCGCGTCCACCACACTTGAGCTTCGGCTTAGCATCTCCACAGTGAGCGCATCACTTCTCGGTGCCTCTCTTCTTCCACCTCTCCTTGGCGCGGCGTGCGACTTGCTGAAGATACTCTACGTCTTCATCGGCGTAACAAGGTTGGGTGCCCTGTCGAAGAACGATGGCTCCGTAGCTTGGTGGCCTTGGGAAGACTTCCGCCATCTGTATTCCCCCTCGAACGACGTGTCCAACGCGAATGGCATCTTGCCCTGTATACCTGGGCCTCGACCTGCGTCGCCAAACTGCATCGATGACAGATGCAGCAGTGACATTGTCCATTCGCTTCCAGGAGGGCTGAATCCCATGATGGCGTGACTCAGGAGCGGCTCTTGGCTAGTCAGGAAGAACTTGCCCTTATTCATGATGTTGATGGCGGATCTGTTCTTGGGGTTGACTGGCTTATCGCTGACGCCTGTCCTATGACTGATCGTCGTAGTGTAGGTGCAAGTACCCATGTTGCCCCTAGGCTCGTGTCGAATGCGCAGCGCTGTATTTGGGGAAATGAGGAGGTCAAAGAAGCACTGCAAGAGGTAGAGACCAGAGAACAGAAGTCATTGTGTGTGATAAGGTAGAAGATCGTTTCATGTTCCTGTAAAGATAATAAGTGAAGTGGCAGAGGCACTCTCGACGGTCATGTTGGTTAGAGAATCGCGTTCCTTTTCGGTGCCTTCAACTTGGTGGAGAATGATCCAGTTACGATGGTTATCGATGTTGTCTCTTCAAGTCTTTGGTTCAACACGCATCATCTTGGGTTTGTTGGCAAGCCATGCGACTTCAACCAGCTCGGTGTTTCAGTAGCGGTGGTCGGTAGTGCATCGCTTGTAGTTCAGGAGGACTGCGATGTCGACGAGACCCATGGGTTTTGTCGTCACTGCCATGACTGGAGATTGGCATGTAGCGTGCGGTAGTGGGAGAAGGTTTTGCGAGTGGATGAGGATGAGGCGGTGTATTTAAGGCAGCGGTGCTACCTTCCGCTGAGGTTTGCACCTTCGCCTTGACTTAATAGTCCCCCATACTGTCGTTTGTCGTCAGGTGAGGGAAGCTACAGGGTAGGCAACAATCAAGCTGTACCGGCTTCTGTCGCCAGCGGTTGATTTACGGCGGGCTCACGTCTCTCGACGTCACCCTCAGATGCGCCTCTAACAATCTGTCATATTGATCACCGTCCGGTTCAACTACAGCGTTCGAGAATAGTGCATTCACTGTCTTAAATATGAAGCTTCCTGAGCGCGGTTATTGATTAATGAATGCGTAACCTGGTCGTAAGTTTATCGTGAAGGGGATGGTGCTGCTCAGGTCCCCTCCTGCTGTAAGCTGACCGGGGTACTTTTCGACCGGGGGTAGCCATCAACACCGATTTTGAAGCCGAGTCTTGCCAACAATAGAGTTTAGGTTCGCCACTGAGTACACATATATTGAAGCGCAGTAGCAGCAGCCTGATCATTAGCAACTTTAATATTTTCAATGTTGCTGAAGCACTCTTTTTGATCCACTCTGACTCACTTTCTTGATTGAGTATTCTAGAGTTGACTGAGTTGATACTGTAGTTGCTTGTTTTCAGCTTTAAGCTGAGCTGCCCGAGTATTTGCTTTATAATAGCCTTACCTGCCTTGCCAAGCACTAGCTGGGTACTCCGTGAAAGAGATTCTGATTGTTGAGGTATCTGCTAAGTTTTGTGGAGTACCGTAGATAGTCTTGAGTACATCTAAAGCCCGTGGTTTTGACGGAGGGGTACTAGGACGGCCTAATACTGAGATGATAAAAGCACCAGCTCAGGATTGTATGGGCAGAGTCCAGCAGCCTTCCAACCAGCTAGGATAGAATTAAGGACTTAAAAGACCTCACACCTTACACCCTCCATAACAGTCAGTTGCAAAAGACTAAAATTCTCGCAACTACAAAGAATCAACCTCTAAGTGTTGGGAGGACCGACTCTAAAATTGCAACAAAGCTGTTTGGAGAATCCAAGATCCTACCTATTGAATAGCAACGATATGCTCTCTCAGCAGCCCGGAGGATGTCAATCTATTGAGAACTTCAGGTAGCGCGTGCAGGATGTCTGCAGGCATTCGACACTGGCAATTTCGGACTAGTCTTCTCATGTCGAACTGGAGCAAGACTGTACAGTGCAGCGAGCAAAAACACGCAAACCCTCCCCATACCAGGGTCACAAGAGTGCAAAAAAGGGGTCCTGCCGCGACTCGAACGCGGGGCCTCTCGCACGTTTACTTAGGTACCCTAAGCGAGAACTTGATGGTTGTTAGATGTTTTTCGAGGTCGGACTCATTTGATTGTAACTTACTCATACCACTAGCTGGATTGTTGTCAGAAGGAGCTCGAAAGCTGAAGGATTGTGGATTAAACTTACACCACAGGACCAATTCATTGATGGCAATTTTCGTTTTAGGGACATATATAATCTCATATAAAAAAGGGGGATCGTTTTGCTCATAGCTAAAGTGGAGTCATGTTCATTGGTTGGAATGTGCGATGTGCACACTAGCGTATTTCGTACTCGGCTCCGACATCTGAACATCCTGTTCTAGTCCCGACAGTCTAATGAAAAGAATCGCAAACAAAGGTACCTGGAAGCATGTCAGCGACGTCGCCTTCTACTTGTGCTGAGGCCTACTTCGCATGTCCTTACTCAGACTTCCTTCGCTTGTCCTTCTTGCTCTTCTTGAGAACCTTTGCAGCAGCCTTGCTTGAACCCTCGCCGTTGTCGGAATCCTCATCGCGACCGCGCTTCAGGCCCACGGTTACCACTTGACTGTTCCTTGCCTGGTCTTCGAGATCCTCGTCCTGCGTGCGCTCAGCCTTCTTGCCCTTGCCCTTACTTTTCTCGGGTTTCGCAGCAGCTATGCCCGACTCTTCACCGTTGACAGATTCATCATCGTCCACCGATGCCGTTGAGTCCTTGCTCCAAACCGCGTCGTCGTCGGTGAAGTCGTCCAGAATCCCAACATCTCGCTCGAGATCCGGTTCCTCGACCTCGCGGATCACGTTCCCAGGTCGCTTCTCGTCTCCGGTCAATGTGATCACGTATCGAGACGCGGTTACCTTGCCGGGAAGGATTGCGGTCTTGGCCTTTTTGTCCTTTGAAGCGCGTATAAGCTCGCATGCGATCGTGAGAGCATTCGCAGACACGTTGCGTTCATTCTGACCCATCTCCGCCATGCTAGCGAAAGCCAGAAAGGTGCTAAGATGACAATAATGCTTGTACGTCGCACTAGCGCAGACGAATGCGATGAGTCTGAAGGTAGAGTTGTTATGCAGTGAAGCGCGGATGAGATCGACTTGACTGCCAGTGGAGAAATTGACCGTAAAGAAGCAGTTGATCAGCCAAAGCAGATCACCAGATTTGGCGGGCAGCTACTTCTTGGTCTTGCTGAGATAGAAGTTGTAGTCTTCGGCGCGCAGAGCCGATGCGGTGAAGAACATAGCACGCTTACTCCTCGACTCAGCGAAGAAGCTCTGCGGATAGTAGGAGTTCGTTGGGCCGTGTTCCTGGAAGCCGATGGGACAGCACTGCACTCGGGTGGGAGGCTATCAACAAGTACCTCGTTCACCATGATGCCAGTGACACCATCCCAGTGTCAAGGAAAAGTACAGTATTTGCTTGCTCACTGAGGGTGAGGACGAGACTTGCGATGGGAAGACTCTCCACCTTGGTATTCTCTTTTGAGAAGCGGCTTCCTGTCTCCGAGAGATAGACCGGCACTGCTGCGGATGTCGATACCTCCAGGCGTGCTGCATTATTGTGAGCGAGACATGAACGATCCATAAGTGGATGTAACTTGACGCCCATAATATCCTGCACCCAACGTGCTTCCCCGTACTTCATCTGCTCGGCCTTCTTGTCCTTTTCGTATTGGTTCAGCGTGAAGGACCTAAAATTCTACCTCGCGGCGTAGGCTGGCTAGATTGTTGTCAGATTGATGATCGAACCCAAAGGATGCGCCAGAATGAAAGTGGTAGACCTACAACGGAGCCATATGTCAGAACAATCAGCGGCTTGACTTGATTCATGTACACGCCCGTAAGACGACTGGCTTGAGGATAGTTGTCCTTGTGTTTAACAAGCCAAGGGGGATCAAATCAACGAAAGCAAGCATGTTCGCTTTGGCAAGCTGCTTGGTGAGATCGGGTTGAACGCGCTGGATAGTACATCCGCCTCCCAGTACCCAAAGTAGTTGTAGATCTGGGTGACCGCGTCTGCGCTGCAACCACCTGCCTCGAAGAACGTGCTATCCTCTTCCTCATGCGTATCTCTGATGTCAGATCCGAGCAACACCATGACAGTTGAGTCATCAGGTAGCTGCTGCAGTGTACCTTGACCCTCAATCATCCTCTGAGTCTCGTAGGTGAAGACATGGGTCTTCTGGTTACCCTTCCTTGTAGTCGGATGAGCCTCGATATATTCTCGAACCTCGCATACGTAAGCAGAGATCTTCTGCAGGGTGCGGATGGGGCATTTTGAGGTCTGTTGCAGCAGGGCAACTGTGTTGGTGTTCAAGGTATCGAACAAAGAGTGATCTTCACCCGCAAGAACGATGATGTCTTTGCCACCGACCTCCGTGTCGAGCACTCCGTCCCCGAAAAGCGCGATCAGAATCAGCTCTCAACGGTTGAGCGTCCCTGCGTCTAACCTGAATCTCTGCAGTTGCATGGGCGATGACGTGAACAGTTGCCGCAGTGAGAACCTCAGGGCAGTCCATGCCTACAGTGCGGTAGAAGTGACCCGTGAATGAAGTCAACGATTTCGAATACGTGTCTGAACTATGGCGGTGCTGGCATTTTCGTTGTTGTGTGGTGGAAAGGAGCAAGAGGTCGAGATCAATACGTTCGTTGTCTGCGCGCTTTGTGCCACGTGTGTCTGTGCATCGAGAAGCTACTGGAAGCGTTGCAAGTGAAGGTAAGCGAAAGGCAGCGTGTGTGACCAGAAAGGGCAGAACATCATTACCCACCCCACCATCGGTACCCGCATCCTAGCACAGAGACTACTAGGTATCAACGAAAGGTCTGAGGTGCTATGGAATCTGTCAAGCTGCCCGTTTTCGCTACAGACTTGCACTCTATCGCCACTAGCGAACGAAAAAGGCAACAGTCCTGATCTATGGCAAGGGTCCGCGAAGGTGTCGCGAAATTGAACAGACCCATTGCAAGCTAACGTGCAATCGAGCATTAACGCGTTGTGCAGAAGCGCAATCAAGAAGGAAACGTAACGACATTGCTGTGCAAGGTATGCGTTACGAGGAGTACATGGAGGACTAGTGCAATATCAAGCAGGCTAGCCTGCAAGATGCAAAGAGACGATTTTCACTTAACAATAACGAGCGCAATGCGGAACGAACTGGGCGCTTGGGTAAGAGCCAAAGGGAGGGAAAGCATAGCTCTACCCCGGAGAGAGCGCCGTCTTGTGTGTCTGTGTCAAGAGACATGTATAGACAAGAAGAGGGACTCCAATCATGTGAAGAAACTTGACGTCCGTTACGATGCAAAAAGACACAAAAAGCGTAGAAAAGGTGTCTGATCATATGTCCCGTGGAGGGCCAGCCGTATGGGTATGTCGTAACATCTACAAGAACGTGATCGTGTGGCAACGAAGCCAAATCAAAAAGAAAAAGGACGATAGAATCATGGTCGAATGCCCATACCAAGGCCAACTATCTCGAATATGATGGGGTCGATACTAACGGCCAGCCACCCAATGCCTAGGACCAGGTAAGTAGATATCACCAGTTCATCAACAAAAGCACTTACCGCTATACACAATCAACTTTGTAACCACTTCAACATCGTACCGCACACGCGGCTTTGTAAGCTTCATGAATATTTCGCGTTTCTCATTCTCCTCCTCGGTCTTCAACGACGCGTTGCCTGCAAGATCTATGTCGCTGTCTGGTGGAGTTTCCATCTTGCCATCTAAGCTTTGTATATTGCCGGTGCCCATCATTTTCTCATACGAGTGGACTTGTGAGGCCATTGGTGTAGGCAAAAGACCAGTACCTAGTAGACGCTGTCCCTGGCCGAGCGCTGGCGTTGCCGCTTGAGACGGCGGACTCGAGAACCATTCTAAGTCTTCGAGTACAGTGCCATCTGATGAGTTGACACTTTCTCTTCGCCGGCGGTTGCGGTGGGCAAGCGTCTCGTAGGCGTCGGAGGCTGACTGTGGACCAACCGACACTGATCGTTTGCGCGGGTGTGCCAGGTTCTTGAGCATCTGCGGAAGCTGCGAAGCGGGTGGGATGACATTGTCATCGTCGCGCATGTTGGGAATGGAAGTGTATGAGGAGGCGTTGAGGAAGAAAGCGCGTGGTAAGTTCATCCGACCTCGCTCGAGGAGTCTGAAAAGTGGCGGCAGTATCTTAAACAGCGTCGGCTTTGCTGTCGACCTCCATAGGAAGATGATGACAACACCGAGCAACGTACGGACGATAGCCTTGGGCAGTCCTATCTGGGCAAGCTCGAATGGCACCGTGGAAGGATAGGCATCGTTGATCGCGAACCCTGATTGTGCGTAATGCCAGGCCCCAAGGTTGATACCAACCACTACGCCAGAGAACGCTACACTGTCGTCAAAGCACGGGCAGTCATCAGCAGGCTCAGGATGTATGCGGACCAGCACGAAGATGACCAGGGTTGCTACGACAACATCCTGGTAAGCACCGCTGAAGATCCACGAATCTATCCACTCGCTGAAGATCAGCTGGAAGACGGTGATGAGGGCGCCGAGAACGCTTCCCACCAGGACATCGAGGAAGCCATGCATGCCACAATATAGCCGACCGATGATGATCGAGACGGCGTAGAGGTAGAAGAAGGCCTGCAGACCAATGTTGACCGTACGATTGTACTCGTCTGACTGCCGCAGCATGTATATGGCGTAGAAGGTAACGGAGACCGCGTTCGTCGAGTGCGAGGAGGGAAAGCCGTATTCAAGAGCTGCCGAGCCGGACATGGAGATGCGGGCGAGAGGAGGCGACAGGGGGCGAGGCAGACATAGCATGTCCTTGAGGAAGCCGCTCCAGTAGATGCCAGCGGCGAGCATAAACACGGTGCTGCACATGTCAGCTGTCGCACTAAAGCCAGGGTTTGGGTGACAGGTTCGCTGACGTACGCTCGCCCAAGGCCTGTATAGCCGCACCAAAACTGAATTGGCAGGAAGACCATGAAGAAGGTATGGGTCCCAAGGTTGGCCGTGTAGGCAAAGTACGTGTCGAGCGCTGGCGAGCGCATGCTCTCCTGCATCCAGGCGAGCCACGGTGTCTCCCAGCGCACTATGGGAATAAGGCGATTGCGCAGGTCATTGCGCCATTTGGGCAGTCGTCGAGCATCTGTTCAGCGCTCAGCTTGCGTCTCTTGCAATTGCACACAGCCAGCACGCACAGTGGTCGTGGTGTCGGTTTCCCGCATCGAGCCGCTTCTCCTTGTGCGCCGGAGCGGACATGGCAGCGACCTTTAGGCCGGATGCCACGCCCAGGGACGCATCATGCTGGGGACACATGGGGGCAGTCGGCGGGAGATTGTCTCGAGGCAGACAGGACGATCATGACCAGCGGGCGGGGTGGATGCGCGGTAGCATGCGATATGAGGCCGTGCATGGGGGTTGCACCTTGGAGCTGACAGGGGTGTGTCCACTGGACCGGGGGCGTCTACTGGACCGGGGTGTGCACTTAGCGCCTGCGTGGTTGCCCGGGGAGAATGACGGCAACCGAGTTTATAAACACGGCGGCCCATAAGCTTCGACCACTCGCTACCATACAGCTGCCCCAGCACCCCAACTCGCCGTCTGCATTGTTACCACTGTTCGCATTCCAAGGCCTGTCGAACCTTGACTCCACTCCACACCACACCTCCCGCCATGGCGACCGCACCCTCGCAAAACTACGACTACCTGCGCCGCAAGCAGAGCACAAAAGCACCAGGAGCTACGACGATCACACCGGTCCGCAAGCCCACACGCACACCCAGCGAACGCAACAGCAATGGCACAGTCAGCTCATACGGAACAACGCAGACAAACAACACCAACATCACCGAGCCGCCGCAGTTCTCGAAAAAGCTGGTCGTCGTCGGTGATGGCGGCTGCGGAAAGACGTGTCTGTTGATCAGCTACAGCTCCGGCAACTTCCCAGAGGTATGCCAGGCGCACAATGCCACCAACCTGCAATCCACTGACTGCGCCGCAGAAATATGTGCCGACAGTGTTTGAGAACTACATCACCCAGACCCCGCACCTGCCGACAGGCAAGATGGTCGAGCTCGCTCTGTGGGATACTGCTGGACAAGAGGAATACGACCGCCTGCGACCGCTTTCGTACCCGGAAACCGACATCATCTTTGTTTGTTTCGCTATCGACTGCCCTAACTCGCTCGAAAACGTCATGGACAAGGTCGGCTGCCCACTTCCAACTTTTAGCTGCACGCACTAACTTTTCCAAGTGGTACCCCGAAGTCCTGCACTTCTGCCCCACAACGCCGTTGATGCTTCTTGGTCTCAAGTCAGATCTCCGTAACAAGAAGAACTGCATTGAGCTCCTCAAGACACAAGGCCTTACACCGGTAACACCTGAGCAGGGCCGCGCCGTCGCCAAGAAGATGGGCGCCATGTACATGGAGTGCAGTAGTAAAGAGCAGGACGGCGTCGAGGACATCTTCGACACGGCTGTCACCATTGCTGTCGGCGACGAGTGGAAGACGCCGGCGGATGTCCGCAGAGAGACCGCCACACCATCCGCCTCTGGGCATCACCGGACTATCTCTACCATGTCCGATCTACCCAAGAAGAAGAAGAAGGGCAGCAAGGGGTGCACTATCCTCTAAGCACTCTCACTGTCACCGAAGGAGACGGCTATCTCGACACACGACGCTGGACGACACGATCAAGATGCTTAATGACCATCTCATCACGCCTTCGGTCCCTTCTTTTTTTTTTTTTTTTTTTTTTTTTTTTTTTTTTTCTTTTTTTTTGCATACTGGTAGCGTAGCTCGACCAGCTAACCCGCCAGTTGCCTGCTACCACTTCTGTAGAGCCCTACACGTATATGATTGACGGCGTTGTTGGCTGCTTGTGAGCGACAATTTGTACGACTGGGCTCCGACCTGAAACGTCTACGCGTGCATTTCACCATTCTGTATCTGTATTCGGTATTTAGTTGTGCGTGGGCGCATCGCCGCGCCTAGGGAATGAATTTTTAAGCATCTTAACCGTTTCCCCCGTCGAGTTCCATCAGTTGAGGCGACAGTCAGGACGATGAAACTGTTACACGACTGACGAACAGCACATGAACAGCAGTGGAGACCATCCTTGTTGTCTGACATTATACCTGCACAGCACATACTTGTGAGCAAGGTGATCCTAGGCTCGTGTACACATCACATTGCTCGACCCTGGTCTATCCATATCAAACACAGCGGCCAACTGCTGTTGGCCACAACGCAGCTTTCCCCGTTCAGCTTTGTGCGAAGCTGATGATATTAGCGATCGACCCCCACACCCAGACCTTCTGCTTCTCTAACAATCTTCCCATTCATCCTCTCCGGACGTCTGTTGTGCTGCTTCGTCGGTAGAGTCGACCTCATCCATCGAGTCTCCGCGTCCCATAAGCTCATCTGAAAGTCGAATCCGTCTCTTTCTCCGCCCCCGCGACTTCTTCCGTGTCTCTGCTCTATCAGACACCGTTGGGACGTCCTTAGCAACCACTTGCAACCCAGTGTCTTCATCAACCTTCGAGTTCTTCCTGACCTCCACGTCCGCACTCGCAGGCGCTGTATCACCATGACTCTGTCATCGAGTCAACGCGGCATCTTCTCACTTTTGATGCTCCGTCACTTCTGTGGCTTCCTCATGCTCAGTCTGCCCCTCCTGCGCACCCTCCTGGTTCTCATTCGGGTCTTTGGCCATGACGTTCTCGAAGTGACTCCACAGCGATTCCACAGGCGCGAACTCGGCGCCGACTTGGGTGACTTCTTCGAGGGAGCGGTTCAGTTTGTTCATGTTTTGGAGGACGAGCTCGAGACTCTGCGACGTAGATCAGTCTCACGCTTCATTGAGTGCACAGCGGTGTGCAGCGGTGTGTATGAGGAGGTGCGGGGCGGTGGATTTACCTGAGCAATCTCGCCCACCAGGATTTCACGCTGCTGCTCGAAGTAAGTCTTCTCAGGCGCAGGCTGCGCGCCGTTAGCGGCCGAGGCACGGTTTGTCGACATGTTGATCTGTTTTCGTCGAATGTTTGGATGCAGGAACGCGTTGCATGTCCACGGTGGGGTCCATCGCGCACTGGCCACACGCTAAACCATCGTCCATAAAATTCCGTTTGCTACCTCAAGCTCTCCTCATCAATCGACCACCACGATGAAACCACACAAGTGAAGGTAAGCCAGTCTGTGCAATTTGCACTCCCGGGGTCCTCCCCGAGGTTCCTATGATTAACACCATAATTAATCTGTCAATCCCCTGAATCCCACAAGATGGGACTTGATGACTCAAATTATTGTATTCACACTATGATCCAACCTTCTGCCTAATACCTCTGCAACATCACCCTCCTGCCAGGCAGCAAAGCTAACAGCTCTTGCTCAGATCGACATCATGGCGCCGGCCCTGGCACCAAAAGAAGTCTCCGAACCCTTCCCCATCTCCTGCGTTGCAGGACGACACCTCCTTTTCGACGTCGACGTGATCTCGCATGTCCGTCGCAACCACAATATTTGTGGCGTTCTGGTCGGCACGATACCGAACCTATCGCAGCAAAATGTCTTCCTAGGCATCCCGCTTGAGCTCATGTCTGAAGAGGCACGAGTGCTTGTGGAGGGAGGACATGCGTACATCGTTGACGATGTAGAAACACACCGTCAGGGATTCCAAGAGATGAGCAGAGCAGATAGGTTGAAGTACCTGGCGGAGATGGACCGTCAAGGTACTGAGGCCGCAAAAGAGAGTTTGGCGGCACAGGAGAAGAAGAAGGATATCGCGCTCAAGAAGAAGGGGTGGAGGAAGGAGGTCGTTGAGACCGAGACAGCTCCAAGTGTCGCGGATAGTACTGCGACAGTTGAGAGCACAGCGGACAGCACAGCCTCTGATGCGACGGTCCATGTCGAGCTACCCAGCCCTGCTGGCTCTGGTCTTGGCTTCATCATGAAGGGTTCAGGGTTTGTGGAGCCGCAGTCATCAGCCAACACAGCTTCAGTACCGTCGATACCATCAGAGTCATCAGGCACTGTCGCTTCTGACCTCGGCTCGTCGTTTGTTGACCTTGGCTCGATCATGAAAGGATCCTCGTTCCTGGACCCCTCATCAGTGTCAGCAAAGTCGGAAGCCGTTGCTGCACCTGTCAGCGATGCTGCGCCATCCTCTCCACACACTTCCGACCTCGGCTCGTCCTTCTCTGATCTTGGCTCGATCATGAAAGGCTCCTCCTTCCTGGAGCTTGCGCCGGTGGAGGTGAAGGTTGAGAAGGTCGAAGTGGAGGAGGCTATGCCGCTCTTGGTCAAGGAAGAAGAAGCTGGTCCCGAGGAAGTGAAGCTGGCGGAAGCCCAGCTCGAAGAAGCCATGCAGGAGGAGTTCAAGGCTGTAACCGCCGATGACCCGGAGGAGGTCGACTTGCGAGAAGCTGTGCCGCCAATGGGTGGAATAGAGGCCGAGCCAGCAGAGGATCCACAAGAGGTCGACCCATCCACCGCCTCGACCTCGCTCTTCGAGTCTGAGCCCGCCCCATCCGCTCCTCCAGTGAAGAGCACCTTGAAGAGTGTCTTTGCCCAACGCCAGTACATCACCCCCACCACATCCACACCTCCTCTACCAACCCCACCGCAAGACTCCTCCCGTCCCCTCCCAGTAGTCCCCAAGAGCTACCCACTCTTCCGCTTCCTGCACTCGCGCGGCTACTTCTTCATGCCCGGGCTGCGCTTCGGCTGCAACTACTCCGTCTACCCCGGCGATCCTCTGCGGTACCACAGCCACTTCCTCGCCACGGGACTGGGCTGGGATGAGAAGTTCGATTTGCTGGATATTGTGGGTGGAGGCCGTTTGGGTACGGGGACGAAGAAGGCGTATATGGTTGGTGGAGAGGATCCCAAGGCGCCGAAGGAGGATAACGTTCGCGCGTTCTCTGTGGAATGGGCGTCGATGTAAGAATATAGAGAGCGTTTATGGTGTGCGTGATGAAGCGAAGCATGACTCGTAATGTATACATGAATGAAATACATGAACATCCATAACTTCTCTGTCTATGTGTGCTTGTCGTGCCATCACTTTGCAATAATGCCATTGCTAAAATGCCATTGCTAATATTGCTAATCAATCCTCCCGGAAGCCTTCTGCAGCCAACTGTAAGACGGACGCGTAAGAAGATGAGTTTGCACAACACATGCCATTGTACCTCCTTTGCTAGATATCGTCACGCGTGATCCTGTCCCATCCCGTCCTAAACTCCAGTCGTGTCTGTCCCAATGCCTCTTCCGGATGCCACCAAACGCCAATCCATTCATTACCATTATCATTAGAGATACCGCTCAAATCCCGACCAAGGCGCCAATGATGCTACATCCGCCAGTGTAGGTAGTTTCTGCGCGCCCAATACCCCATGAACCTGTCGCGGTGGGCTCGGCTCTCTTCGAGGCGAGCGGCTAGTCACGCTGTCTGTTCGTCAATCTTCAACCTTTTGCTCTCGGTGGTAGTTTCGTCGTCGGCACCGGCCTTGCGCTTTTTACCGTTCACCTTCTCTTCAGGCTTCGTCTTGGTCTCGATTTCCTTGGGCGTCCAAAAGCGGTGACGCTCGTGATGCTTGTCCGCGATGTCTTCGTCAGAAATGTGTCTCTCCTCGCGCTCCGCTTCAGTCAAGCTAGGATGCGCACTGACGAGGTTAAGAGGCGCTTCGTCGCGGCGGAAAAACACTCGCTGGACAAACTTAACCCGCCCCCTCTTCCGCGAGAACGAGTACCTTATACTCGAAAACGGGAAATAACTCCCAAAGAAGCCGAAATCGCCCGCATTATCTGGGACCTCGAGCATCTCCCATCGTCCATCGTTGAGCAAGGAAGGGAGCTCGGTCTTCGCCCAGTCCTCGTAGATGTCGTTTGGTACGTTGGCAGTCAGTTTCTTGAGGTTGGTGAACTGTGTCGCGTACCGCGTCCAGAAGCGGCGCCACCCGGTCATCTCGCGGTCCATGAGCACCTTCTCTGCGGGCGACTGGCGACGATGTGCGCGTAAGTAGCCAGAGACGCCGGGCACGTCGACGGGGTACTGGATGGTGAGCTCATCGACCATGTGTGCAATGGGGGTGAGGTTGAAGCAGGCCTGGGTGGGGAGGAGGCGCTCTTCCTTGTCGTCGCCGGTGCCGGCGAAGGCTTTGTAGTCGCCGAAGTAGAGGGAGCCGTCGAGGCCGGAGGAGGGCGATGTGTTGGTGCGGTCGCCGATGGAGAGACGGATGGGGATGTTGAGGCTGCGGAGCGTGGTGACCATGGTTTGGATGCGGGTGAGGACTTCGGGTTTTGGGAGGAAGGTGCGGTTGGGCTCGAGGTTTGCGGGGAAGACGTCGCACATCATCGAGTCCCAGGCCAGAATCGGCTTCCAGTCGCACTTCTTGAGCAACCACCGTATGGCTTCTTGTACTTCCGCGTTGGAGCACGGGTCGACCGGCGGCGTTGCGTTGTTCTGTGCGTTGTGCTGTCCGAAGTGTTGGCGTCGCTGCATGACGTTGACAAGGTGGAAGGGATGCAGTGTGATGTTCTCGAGGTTGCGGATCGGTTTGATGTTGATCTTTGGGTACTTCTTGGAAATGGTCTGGAGGCTCTGGAGTAGGTCCTCGAAGGAAGCGCCGACGCCTTGGACCACGTGGTTACCGAGTGTCATGTGGTCGCGCTTGCAATTATCGAAGCTCTTGTCATCGAAAGCCTCCTCTTCATCTCGGTGATGGTGGCCCTGTGTGATTCGGTAGGGAATGGGTCCGATTACGTCTCGCTCGCGGCGGTCTTCCATCCAGCTGTACAGACCAATCTCGACGTCTGTGATCTGCGGCCAGTCGGTGGCATCGGTGGAGAAGAGCGAGCGATACGGGGCGTAGTCGTGCACCTTGAGCTTCGTCAGGCTGGACGGGCAGTTACTCTGCACGCCATCGACAAGACAGCACACGCGCTGATGGACCTCCCACTCGTTCCAGGTGCTGCGACTGGATTAGTTAGGTAGCAGTGACACGTTGAGAACCCCATCTTACTGAAACCCCGAGTACCGCTCCCGGATGGCGAGAGTCTTCAGTTTCTCGCACAGCGGGAAGATCTCCTTTGCAACAGAGCCACCGCCTCGCCGCCTCGACAGCCGGAATTTCTGCTTGAAGCGGTAGTCGTTGTACGAGTAGCTGTACTCGATGCGCGAGTGTGCAGTGTAGTCGGCCCAGTTCGCGACTTCCAGCTCCTCCAGCTTGCTGAACAGCACTGGACATGCTTCTGCCAGCATCTTCCACGTCCAAGTCTCCTCGGGCGTCCAGACGAAGTCCTTGATGGCCGAGATGTCGAGGGTGGTGAGCGCAGGCAGGTTCGCTTCTATCCAGCGGAAGTCGTCGATGCTCACCCAATGTGACAGGGCCAGCTTCTGCACGTAGCTCCTGTTCTCGTCGTTGACGCTCTCCTGGAAGCTCTGCCACCGCACCTGGCCACTGGTCCGGTACTTCCACTCGCCGAGCCTCAGGTCGCGCACGTCGCTCAGCTGTATCGGGTACTTGTAGAGCAGCTGGTTGACCGACTCGCTCTTAGACATGCCCTTGCAGAGCCTCTTCAGACTCCAGGCCTCGTCGCGGTCCAGGTAGTCCAGCACGCACTTGAAGATGTCGTCCGGCAGCTTGAACAGCGGGCTGTTCTGCACCGTCGTCTTGGGCTTGCGCAGGTTGAGGGGGTCGAAGGCCATGGGACTGCAGCCGCGGCTCGAGTCGGAGTCGGAGTCGTCGGCGCCGGGCGACGGCGGTGTCATGTCGAGTAAGGCAAAGAGCGAGAGCGACCTCGACATGGCGAGATGTGGGGTTGTTTGCGCCTACGAGGCGTGGGGGGGGGGGGATGTCGACGTGGGACGGTGTGGTGGTCGGTATCATGCATGCATTCACTCGAGCGGAACGGTGGCGGACAGAGGGGCGGGTATGTAGAGGAACAAGGCGACAGCCGTAGTCCGACCGCTGTATCTCAACAGCTGCACCTGCGCGGCGGTAAAGCGTCCGTGGTGTCGCAGGCTGAGCTGCCTGTGGAGAGGGCGGAGGTCCGCGCTAGCGCCGATCGCACATGCCTGCACTGAAGCTCTTTCACATAGCCCACCAGCACTTCCCATACACAGCGCCTCGCCTCGGCACACGTCGCCAACCCTCCGCCAGTCCACACTTCGCGCACCAACACCGTGCCGACTGCGCCCTCCGCCACTCACGCCCCAGTCCCAGCAGCCCGTCCTTACCGCCTCAAAATTTCTACGCCCGCCATGGCCGACGCGCAAGTCTTCGAAGAGACCTTCACCCTCACCGAGGTCAACAACGAGCGCTACGACCGCGTCTCGCGCATCTTCGGCACCTCGGCCGACAACTCGCTCACCATGACGCTCGACATCAACCACGAGCTCTTCCCCTGCCAGCAAGGCGAGCAGATCCAGATGGTCCTGGCTACAACGCTGAACCTGGACGGCACGAAGGAGGAGACGAGCTGGAGGAACGTCAGCAAGCAGGGCACTACGACGCTGGCGGATATGTACGACTATGTGTGCTACGGCAAGAACTACAGATTCGAGGACGGTGACGGTGACACTTTGTGAGTGGTCACATGCAAGGCATGAGGGGGGGGGGGGTTCGTGCTGACAATGCTGTAGGAAGTACTTTGCCAGCTTTGGCGGACTGCTGCTGTACATCGAGGGTCCCTTCAAGAAGCTCACCGGCCTGAAGATCGACAACATCTACATGCTGCTCAAGCACAGCTAGACGCGCACCAAACACAGCGAGACGCGCACCAAACACAGCGAGACACGCACCAAACACAGCGGCAGAGCTGCGGAGAAAAGCAAGCATGGGCGGCGTTATGTGGTGGTATTGGTATCATCTGGAGTGGTCTATTTACGGCGTCTGGATACCCTCGTCGATATCCTCAAATCTTTCACATCTTCTCACCCCCCCCCCAACCAAATCAGATCAAACCAACTAGAGTGTGGGAAACTCCAATCTCCTATGCAGCCTCGACACAATCTCAATGAAGTCCTTCTCAGTTGCCTCCGTCAGAATGCCGTGCCGCACCAGGAAATCCAGCACCACCAGCGAGCAATTCGGCTTGAACTCGCCCTTCGTCATGGCCTCCTGCACCTCCTCCACACTCCACAACTGAAACTCCTCAACCTCGTCGTCTCCCGGCTTAGGCACAACGTCTTCAGGCAGCTCCAGGTCGTAAATGTACTGCACCTCCGGCTGCAACAGCCCTGTCTCTCCTCCCGCCCTCTCATCCCTCACATACCAGTACGTCACCGTCCCGGCCGCCTTTGCCTTGTTCCTCACCAGGTCTTCTTGCAAACTCGCTTCCTCCGCACTCTCCCTAACCAGACTCTCAAATGGAGACTCTCCAGACGCAATTCCGCCCGCAACTGCATTATCCAGCATACCGCCATACGTCTGTTTGCTCTTCGCTCTTCTCGGCGTCCAAATTCTTATCTCCCCGCTCTCCTTGTCGCGCGTGTAAGCTGTGAGGTGCACGCCGTACGTCACAACCCCAAACAACGGAGAGGCGCTCCTCTCCACATCAAACAGCAGCTTCTTATCCCGCCCGTACACAGCATACAACTCGCCCCTCCACTTCTTCAAGACCTCAAAGTGCCCTGTTTCTCGTAAAGCGAGGAGCGTCGTCTCAACCGCTTTGCTTCTTGTTGCTGCATCCTCCCCAGCCGTAAGCGTTAACACGCGCTCCTCGTCGTCGAGCGCCCAGTTCGGTATTCCGCGGAACACTTCGGCGACGGACGGCAGCATGTAGCCCAGCGCGTAGTCATGGCCAGAAACTCGTAACTGGTAGTATGTGTTCACCCGGGTCAGGTAGGCGTGTGGATCGGCATCGGCGTAGGGGAAGGCGTCGCATTGCGAGACGAGGGCGAGGTTTGTGAAGGACATTTCGGGTGGATGTAGTGGTGTGACGGCAGTTTGGAGGTGCGATGTCATGGAGGGAGGTTGGTTGGAGGGGAGGGTTATGGGGAAGTTGAGGTTGGACATGGAGGTGGTGCTGTGTTTGGCTTCGTCATCGGGAGCGAGCGTTGGAGAAATAGTGGGGGCGGGGCAGGGAGGACTGACATCAACTTCCCATTGTAGGTTCCATGTGTAAGACCGTCTTGAAACCGTGATCGCTTTCGGAGTATACTGACTGAGCCCCTTGTTCCATGGTGGTCCAATGATTCTGTGAATCCTTTGTGTTAAGCATCAATACCGGTGTGGTCGTCCCCATGATGTTCAAATCCAACATCTCGAATCACAACAACACACCCCAACATCTGCCACCATGAGCGAAGCCACAGGAAGGATACCAGGCCAACCGCGCCAATCCGATCCATATGATGGAGCAAGAGCCGTCTTATCCGTACCCAAAGCCCACGTGAAAATTGTAAAGTCGTTGTTGGAGAGCCACAAGATATTCGATCGATACCATGGAATTTCTCCAGAACCGAACGACGCAAAACATGCAGCGTCAAACGGGCAGCGAATGCGCGTACCTACAACGATACCGTGCGTACAACTGGCCGACGGTTGGAGTACAACTGCGGAGAGGGCCCAACTACTCGTGGGGCTTCAGCTGCATGATATCTCTCCGGACATCACGTGCTCATCCTGGATCCCCCCAGAGACCAATAGTTACAGACCCGTCGCCGCGTCACATAACCCCCTCCGCAAAGCCGTTCGAGAAGCTCTCGAAGCCCTACCGTCAGGCACACTCGCCTCTCTGAACCTCACCATCGATGCTCTCGTCGTTAGGTTCCCCGACTCCTACTCAATATACAAGCCGCTCCTCCTCCTACCCAGCAACTCCCTTGGCTCGGACTTGTCCTTCATTGTTTTGCATCATGCAGGCATCTTCGAACGGGTGTGGGACCACATAGCCGATGCACTGCACTGCACGCACATCGCGCTCAACTCGCCGATTCCGCCTTCCAACACGCCTTCTTCCGCGCATGCTGGAGATGAAGACAATATCCTCCGCAGTCCCGTAAATCTGACTCCGATATACGGCACCTTCGGCCCCTCGCCAACGCTGCAAACACTGAGCGCCCCTAGCCAGAAAGATTTCGAGGACGCGCTCTGGGTGCACACAACGCAGAACTCCGTCCACCAGACCTGGGCACCCTTGTACACGATGTTCAGCCGTGGCAACGTCAAGGAAAAAGCGCGTCTCCTTTCCCTGCCCTCCATTACATCCCTCGCCCCCTCCTCATCCGCCTCTCAAACACAAGAGGGAGCAACGGCGGTGGACATGTACGCCGGCATCGGCTACTTCTCCTTCTCCTACCGTCGAGCCGGCCTCACTCGGGTGCTATGCTGGGAACTCAATCCCTGGAGCGTCGAAGGTCTGCGTCGCGGCGCTGCGCTAAACAATTGGAGTGGGCGCGTATTCACGCCCGCCGACATCCCTTCACCCTCCTCAACATCTGGTGAATGGGAAGCCTGGCGTACCAATATTATAAAGGGCAAGGAGGATTTCTGGATCTTCGCCATGAGTAACGAGACCGCGGATCGCATCGTACAATGTCTGAGGGACTATATACCCCCGGTCCGACATGTGAACCTCGGACTGCTGCCGGTGTCGAGATTGAGTTGGCCAAGCGCTGTGAGGGCAGTGGATAGGAGACTGGGAGGCTGGGTGCATGCGCATGAGAATGTTGGGGTGGTGGAGATGGATGAGCGGAAGGTGGAGGTTGAGACGGAGTTCCAGAGGTTGACTGACGAATGTGCTGATGAGAGGAGGTCGGTGGCTGGTGACGCAGAAGGATTGAAGAGGAAAGCGCAAGTGGAGCACGTGGAGAAAGTGAAGACGTATGCGCCGGGGGTTGTGCACGCTGTGATTGATGTGCACATTCCTGGTACACAAGCAGCTGAATGAGACGGCATGGATAAAGAGGCCACATGTCTATAATCGGTGGCGATGTTGCTTTGATTTTTACTACCTAATATTTGTTGTCCCTCGACACCACGCTCGCAGAAGGGAAAATCTACAATCACTACCGCCTCCAAAGGCTTCACTAACACAGGCGAGCGGGCGCGCACCACTGAGAGAAAGGGAAGACGCAAATGAAGAGATGCAGTGGTCGGTTGGGTATTTACATTAAAGCACGTATGTAGAAGCCTGCACAGTCCTGCTGCGGTGCAAGAAACTAGCGGTAATACTCCGTATACGCCGATTAATGCAAAGTGTTGTACAATGAAACAGGTGAAAGAGAAGAGGTATTCTAGGGGTTCGTGTCGTCTGGCTTCTTGCCGTCATTCAGCTTGGGGTCACCAGCGAAAGGTCCGATAGCGAAGTTGGGTGTTGTTCCTGTGTTTTGGCTGGGTGGGCCGCGATACTCATGCGCATCAGGTGCAAGAACGGGATCCGATGGCTTAGTTTGGGGGTGAACCTCGATACCCTGCTGTGCCTCCAGATCGTCCTTGTTCATGCTACGACTGAACTTGAGCGAACCAGCATCGCCAGTATCCTTGCCAATCGGCGACCATCCTCCAACGCTGCCAGCGACAATACCGGCCATGACAGCGGCGGGACCGAAAGCCGAGTTGGAGTGGGACCTTGTTCGGCGACGGCTGGATGGCGTGGGTGCTGGGGAGCCTTCGTGGTCGATGGTACCATTGTTGGGTGTGCTTGGGTGAGAGAGACTGGTCCTCGACCTGGAGAACATCTCCCTGGGGTGCGAAACCTTGTACTTGATGTTGCTAAGACGACCACCGCGGAACTTCCTGATGAAAGCGAGCTCATCACGGATTTCAAGAAGACCCTGGTTCCACTCGAAGTTATCGTCAGTAACGACAACCTCCGGGTTGCGCTTCCTCTTGAAGAAGTCTGGAATGCATTTGCGGATGAGCTCATCAGGGATGAGGCGAACAATCATGCCGACGGGGAGTGACAGGAAACCCAAAACTATCGAGTATCCCCATTGAGCACCGTTGAGCCTGGTAACGGAGAAAGCAACACCACCGATGAAGACGATCATGGTCTGTCCACCGATCATGATCAGCAGGATGCCGATGAAGAACCAGTTGTGTGTGATGCCTTCGAAGACATTGAAACGGTTATCGAGGCGGCGGTTGTTGAGAGCGTTGAAGATTTGCATCCACACGAAAGTGTTGAAAACAAGGGTCGGCAGTTGCTCCTTCTCGCGATCGCTTTCATATGAGAGTATAGATTCGCCAGCGAAGTAAAGGATGAAGGTAACCACGAGCTGATAGATAGCTTGGCCGATGATCATCTTCCACATCCTCAAGGTAATTAGAGAAGCAGACTTGGGGTCGGGTTTTCTGTTCAACAGGCTTCGTGTGGGTGGATCGGTCGCGAGAGCCAAAGCCGCAAAAGTGTCCATGATGAGGTTGACCCAGAGAAGCTGAACAGCGGTAAGCACAGAGCTTTGGTCCTCGCTGGACACGGCAGAGACGAAGGTAAGGACGACGGCAGTAATGTTGACTGTGATCTGGAACTGCAAGAACTTCTTGACAGCATCGTTGACCGCACGACCCCAGAGCAAGGCCTTCACGATCGAAGCGAAGTTGTCGTCCATAAGAATGATAGCGGAGGCTTCCTTAGCAACTTCAGTTCCAGCGATACCCATGGAGAAACCAACATCAGCTGTCTTGAGCGCTGGAGCATCGTTTGTACCGTCACCAGTAACTGCGACAGTTTCGCCCAGCTCTTTGAGACGCTTCACAAGCTTACGCTTGTCCTCGGGACTGGAGCGCGCGAGAACACAAAGTTTGGGGATAATAGCATCCATGTCCTTCTTTGACAGCTTACGAAAGGTAGGACCCTCCATAACCACGCCGCCAGGAACGAGGATACCACAATCTTCAGCAATAGCCTTGGCTGTCAGGACATTGTCACCCGTAACCATGCGGACATAGACACCAGCGTGTTGACAGTCTTTGACAGCTTCCTTGACACTGTCTCGCAGAGGGTCTTGAATACCGACAACAGCGAGGAAAGTCATCTTCTTGAAAACATCAGTGAACACGGCCTGGCTAGGGTCGTCTTCGTTGGGCTTGGAGTCCTTAGGTGGCCAGCTCTCGAAATCGCGGTAGATCAGGCCGATGGTGCGGAGTGAACGAGAGGCGTAAGCAGTGATGACATGTTCGAGCGCCTCGCGGTTATCGCCCGTCATCGGAGCTGTGATGAGCTCCTTTGAGGCGTCCGTAACGATCTTGTCGCAGTTGCACAGAAGGATCTCAGAGGCTCCTTTGACGTACATTCGGTATGTCCCATCGGAGAGCTTTGCAACGGCTGCTGAGCATTTTATAGCCGAGTCAAAGGGGACGACTTGAACGATGTTGGCGTTAGAGCGCTCCTCGGCCAGGTTACCCGTGCCAAGATGGTCGCGTGCAAAACCAAGGAGAGCAGTTTCAGTCTTCGAGCCAATGAATGGGTCTGGTCCGCCAGCCTCACCCTCGAAGGCAGTGGTGTTCTGTACAATGGATTGCTCGAGAAGCTCCTTCACGTCCTTGCTGATGGTAGCAGCGAATTCGGAAGCCGAAACGTCATTAGGACCTTCAACAGGAGACTCTGCGACGTTCTTGCCCTTGGTGCCATCATCGAGGGGGGTGGAGTCCTGGGAAGCCTTGAGCTTGTGGTCACCAAATCGAAGAGCAGTGCCAAGAGAGCCAGCAACCACGGTCATCTTGTTTTGGGTGAGAGTTCCAGTCTTGTCGGAGCAAATGGTTGTCGCGTTGCCCATAGTTTCGCAAGATCGAAGCAGTCGCACCAAGTTGTTGTCCTTCAACATGCGGGTTGTTGCAAAAGCCAGCGCAAGGGTTACAGCAAGGGGCAGACCTTCGGGAACAGCAACGACGATAACAGTGATGGCGACAATGAGGATATCGAGGAAGTTCTGGCCCTTCTCTGCAGGAGTGGCGTTGCTACCCTTCAGATGGACAAGGAATTCGATGAACAGAACGACAAACAGAAGCAACGCGGCAGCACTGCCGAGCTTGGCGATGTAGGTTGCAAGAACGTTCAGCTTCGACTGCAGGGGAGTGACCTCACTCTCTTCACGGAGAGACATCATCGTTTTGCCGTAACTCGAGTTGACACCGGTGGCGGTAACCAGGAATTGTCCAACACCCTCTGACACTTTGGCACCAGAGAGGATGAACGGATCAACCTTCTTCAGATTCTCGTGCCTTTCGATGGTGCGGAAAGCTTCGTCTCCAGGGGTCTTCTTCAGAAGATCAGATTCACCGGTAGCCGAGGACTCGTCGCATTTGATGCCGTGGCCCTGGATGAGAATACCGTCGACAGGAATCATGTCTCCAGGCTCAAGGTTGACGACATCTCCTACTAGGATGTCGTATACCAAGACTTGCTGGGTTCTTCCGGAGCGAACCACCTTGATCTGTCGGTCGTCCTTCTTCTTGTTCAGCTTCACGAATTGGCGTTCCTTCTGCCAGTCGTTGGCAGCACCAACGACAACGACGATGACAATGGCGACAATAATGGCTACACCTTCAATCCACTCGACCTTCGGCTTGCCATCATCGTGTTTGACACCAAAAGTTTGATACAAACCAAGTGCAAGTGATATGACAGCAGCGCCTGTTAAGAGAAGCAGCACCTTATCGTTATAGGCCATCCACGCTAATTGAAAGATGTTCTTTGGCTTCTTTTCCGGAAGCCGGTTGTCGCTGAACACACGTCTCCGATCAGCGAAAGCGTTCGGCCCTGATGCTTTAGACGCATCGTTAGGAACGGCTCCATTAGCAGATGACTTTGGCGGTGTTTGTGTCTGGCTGGGCGTAGTGGCCTCCTCGAACGTAACAGCGCCGTCAAGATGCTGTTCGTCGATGCTTAGACCAGCTTTTCTATCTGTTCGGAGACCCTTCTCTAATCCGTCCAATCCACCCAGAGCATGGAATGCGCCTAAGCTCTTGGGATTGTACAACTTAGCAAGCTGACCAGGCGAAAACGCGAATTTGTTGTTTTCGACTTCAAAGTCAGCTTCTGTACCTGGATCGGGCTTGAGAGCATCTTTGTCGTTAAGAACTTCTGTGGGACCCATTTCTCCTTTAAGCGTCTCGCCTTGAGACGACGGAACATAAGTACCAGTTGAGTTCGATTCGCCATTTTCGGCGTTCGAATCCATCGAATTTCCCCGAGAATGCGCGCCAGGTACTGACAGAAGGTTCCCGCCGTTATTCCATCTCGTACTTGGCGAAGAGACATTATGCGACGAAGTTGGCCTGCTTGCATTGCTTTCGAACGATCCTGCGCTGCGCAGCTCAGGCGAAGCATTATTATCCATATTAGAGTTGCGATTGTCGATATTGCCCAAAGGTACAGAATCGCCTGTGCTGTTTCCGCCAGCAGCGGATGTATCGATGGTGATGGTAGGAGCTCTGGCTCGTCGCGGAGCAGCGTCCGATGTATCGTGGTCCGCCATGGTGTGCCTAAAGTCAGCCCCGAGGCTGTGATAGTAGGCAGCAGGTGGGGTCGGCTATGCTGTTAGGCTAGCGAGAGGATACGAGTGGAAACAATGGGTTGAGTAAGCCTGAGATGAGTGCTAAAAGAAGCGCGTGCGTGAGGGTTTTGAGCGAGGACGAAGGGGCGAGAAGGCTGTATCTATCGATTGCGCATGGATGTTGCTGGTGGTTCAGGGAAAGAGCTAACGGGTCTGTCCCAAGCAAGCCGCAAACGAGGCTTGCAGTACGTCAGTACAAACATTCACTCGAGCGTTCAACCTCTGCGAGACTGCGCCACTGCTTTCCAAGCTGGAAAGAATACAACAGCCATGGTATGCTCAATCGGAGAGAGCGATGGTCCTACGCACCTAGAGCCCTTGGGAGAAGGCGAAAAGCTGCGTGGACAGCAAAGGTCGCGTTCGAGTGAGGCAGTGCAATGCTGCGCCTGCGAACCGTGACTATGAGGCTGCTGCCATAGGGTGAAAGGTAAATGGACTGGCGACCTCGTGAAGTATGGTATCAAGAAGCTGAGGAAACTTTGACAGCAGGCCTGCACAGGTGAATCGAGAATCCCTTGGATGGAGACGCACCAACACAAACCCCATCGCAATCAAGTGTTTGTCTAAAGGTGCCCAGCACTCTTGCACTGCCCTCTTGCCAAGGGACTAGTCCCACTCTGGCTGGCTGCCGAATAGGCCCCAGCTAACCATGGCTAGCCTCGAGTTAGCTGCCTTAGGCTCCTCACATTGGTCTAAACATCGAGGATCCAGACTTTTGTTTCAAGTCGAGCTTCTGTTGCTTCCTCAACTTCTTCATCATGTTGCTCCGTGCGTGCGATAGGGAAGCAACTACATACCATGCATCTACTATGGCAACTGCAGTCGCACACAGGGAGGCAAGGCACGTACCTAACGGAGACATCGCGCTGGCAACTTTGATGAGGCCAAGCAATGCTCGCCAGTCTCCTGGAAGCTTGTTCCTCGCTTTGCCTTTCTCATCGACAACGCGACAACAACAATGCGCCCTTGTACCGAATGGGTCAACGTTCAGCTTACTGATTTAAAAAGTAGAGATCGTACTGACCGTTGTTTGCCGCCAGCACTGCCTCGAGCGATGCTCGATCCCACCAACAAAACTTCTAGTTGCCGCTGGCGGTTGTTTCCCCTGTCACAGTCCAAACATCTGAGTCCTTGAGCCGAGCAAAAGTGCCTGGCGATCAAAGCACATCCAGAACACGCGAAGCCAAGGCAGACGTCACCCCCCGACGATTGCCAAGTGCGCTTGGAACGACCCACTCCGCGATGTGCTTCAATTGGACATGCCCCGTCTCGGCAGAGTTTCTGTGCTTGTTTGTGCGCGTCAGAGACGCCGAGGAGGCTCCAGCTCATCACCTCCCCTTGAGTGCTTTCAATTGCGTTAATTCACGCAACCGTGCCGCATTGTCGATATCACCTCGAAACGGCTTATTTGGCAAATACCGTCTGCGCAACTAATGTAGACTCCAAACTGTGGCACAATCGCCTCCCTACAAAGATTTTACGCATGTATGACGGGATTTGCGTAAGTTTCCAAGCTTAGAGCTACGGCTCTTGACACGACATCCTGATGCTTGCTACACACAAGACCTTCTGATGGATCCAGCTGATTTGTCGACCTTGGCAACTCCAATCGCACAACAAACATGACCGCGTGGACAGCAGCTTGCTTCTAGCTTCACCATTGATTGCATGCACCCCGCAAACGGCTCTCCGCCATGTGCACTACTGTCGCACCCCAGGGCATGCAACTTTCGAACCAGTTAAAGCAAAGCAGATCCGATTCGACCACAGGTCACTCGCAAGTGCGGAGATCAAAACCTTGCGTGTATCAGGTTGTGTGTAGAAGGAAGAGAACCCAATTTTCCGAGTAAATCCTCAACCTGACAGTTTTCGTGGCATGCAGGGTCCCGTAACTGTGGAAACCTGGGTGCAAATGCTACGCTCCACTCACCCACCCAATGAGAAAGAGGCCATAAAGCATTTATGGTGAACATCACGGCGTCATCGCATCTTGACAGAATGCGCCCTGAAAGAGAAATGGTTTTAGTAAACGGTAAAATTCGGCTTACAAACTCGCATGTAGAACATGATCTGGACAAAGTTGACATTCACGCCCTTGGGCTTCAGAGGGGAAAGTATATATATGAATATTCGTATTGATCGCGCCCTCCGGCCATACTTGGGAAATTCCCACCAAAATTTGCAATCATGATGAAGAGATCACATCAGCACAGTTTCTATAAAGATTCTGTGCCAACTTCATCTTGGAGCAGCATACAATATCTCTGAATCCATCCTGCGTCGCAGCTCTTCATTCTCGATTTCCACAGGTCAAAGCAGCCTCCTTTTCAAAAAACACCGAAGACAAACACGGCATATTATATCGCGATGTCGAGCGGTAACGCCAACGCTGAGCTTGCCAACAACGGATGGGCAGCTGTCCCACGAAGCCACTCGCAGGCACTGGAGAGTATCAACAAGAACGAGCATGCCAAACTGGACCTTGACAGCGTGAAGGTGCCTGATACCGGCGTAGCTAGGAAGGTTTTCGAGTATGCAAAGAATACGTTGCCCGAGAGGACTTTCAATCACAGCATGCGTGTCTGGAACTATGGTGAGTGCCGCACAAACCTCTCCGCTTCCTCTACAAGCGAATAGTTCCGAAGGGACTCAAACACTCATGTAAAGAAGACGACGTTGACGGTACCCAGGCAACGCGATCATACAAACACACTTCCCGCACCTCACACCTCTCGTCGAGACCTACTTCCTGACCTGTCTCTTCCACGACATTGGGACGACCTCTGATTATATGAAAGGCACTCACCTGTCCTTTGAGTACTGGGGTGCCATAAAAGCAAGGATGTTCCTGGGCGAACATGGCGCGCCCAGTGACCAAGCTGATGCGGTCTGTGAGGCCATCATTCGTCATGCTGAGCTGGGCGAGACTGGTATGATCACGAGCTTGGGATTACTGATTCAGTTGACGACTTCATTCGGTAAGTGAGGACTTCCTTTACAGCTACGATGCTTCTTTTCTTGGACCTTCTCCTGGGCATCTGGATTGAGACATCAATTTCCACCGCTCTTGGGCCTCACTGCGTCCCAAACACCTCAACTGGCTGTACACACCGCAATTTGGAGTACCTCTACACCAAGTTGAACCACTGTCCATCTCGACAGACGGTTCGGCCGCCATCTCAAGTACACCAGTACATGCTCTGCGAAAAACAATATCAAAGTCCTCCTGATTCTCTACGGAAGGCTGGGTCGATAGCCGCGCATGCGTCCGAAACCGGCAATTTTACACGCGCCATCCGCGCTGCATCTACACAGCCTACGATCTCGACCTCCAACGACAATCACTGCATCTCAACGAATGCATCAACGTGTTCCGAATTTGCGTGCTTGGTCGCCACCATGCGACGTTCGAATCGTCATGCACTCCGCTTGTGAAAGTCGTCCACAGTCGTTGCCGGCAATTGATTCTTTCGGCCATACGTCCCGTGAGGCTGTGCAGTCACAAGTCCACAGCAATGTCAAGCGCGCGAATGAAAATGTCTCACATCTCCTGGGGCGCAGGATCTGGTGTCTACCAATGATATGGCGTCGTTCATACCTCGTTCACGTTCCCTGTAGCCGCTCTGCATCCGCTCGTGCATAGGTTTGGGGGCCAGGAACCGGTGAACTGCAGGACGCCTTGAGTATGCCTTGGCGACTTCACCTCCATACATCCGGATACCAACCTCAACCCAAGTTATCAATCCCCGGACGCACTTTACTAGCATACCATGAGTCGATCTTGATACTTACTGACCTGCCACAACAGATAACGTGGGCGCTAACCCGCACCTCATCGACACCTCGACCATCGAGGCTGTGGTGGCCAAGTACCCGCGCAAGGGCTGGTCGTCGTGCTTTGCTGCTTGTATGACGAAGGAGATGGAATTGAAGCCATGGTGCCGTACTACTGCGCAGGAAGGGTTTGTGGAGAGCATTGTGGGGAATGAGTTGATGGAACCTTATGATAAGTGATCGCACACCGCGAGACTTGTCGATAGAATGTCCATGCCAACTGATCCAAGAAATATATTTTCAAGAGGTTCATGAATCAAGTATGTAAGGTAAAGTCTCTAATGTTATGCTTCAACTTTGACTCGTGTTGCTACTTAACGTCTCTCGCACTACTTCACACAATTCAGTGAGTCGCATCATTGGTGAAAGCCCAACACCGCCTCGTCTTACTCACCAGTCTTCAAATAAGTCCAATCTAGCTAGCTTCCCCAAAGCCCATGACCCTAGCGCATTTAGACGTTGAAGTAAATCCCCGACATCACGCAACGGACAAAACGAACACGCCTTGCTTCAGCCTTGTGACATCCATTCGCCCGGGGCCTCATCTTTGCTCCTTCTGGATATCTAATTCGTCACGAGTCAATAGTGACTGCTCGTTAAGCCGTGTCCGGTATTTCGTACTTCGGCCTGAGCTCCGCTCCGCACATGCATGATACGGTCACGTTATCTGCAGATCTTCCATTGCGACAGTTGTCTCAGGGATTGCTGCACGGTCTGACATTCTGCTTGAATTTCACACTCCTTCGCATCGTTCCAATTGCGGGAAAGTAGTCCTCCGGTAGAATTTTCAGATCAGAGACGCTCAAATTTGTTGCCAAAGATGGGACAGTGTGGCCTGATATTGTATGATTTCTATAAAATGCTACCCACGCCGTTACTCACACCCAAACACCAGCCATGCTAACCAAAACTCTGATCATCATCTGACAGGAAGCTGATTCTGCCACTCTGGGTCCACCTTGCTCTGCTTGAAGAAACTCTTCCCTTTCAGCCATTGCCTATATGCCTTGTACCGTTTCTTCGTGCCATCCTCTTCTTCGACGTCTAGTGGGTTCTCATTTACGTCCAGATATTCTTCAAACTCTTCGATATCTTCCTCTGCTGTCTGGAACCTGCCAGGCGTTGAGTATGTCTGCGGCAGAATCTCGTCGGTGAAAGAGGGGTAGAGGTGTGGATGGGGGTTGAGTGACTGCGGCCACGAGTACGTTGGAGCATGCGAGAAGGGTGTGCTGACAGAAGCTGATGTCATGGGTCGCGAGTAAGACTGAAAAGAGCGGACTGACATAACATCGGTGTCGTTACGAGGCAGACCAGAGGGAGTAATGCTGGACTCATCGATGTCCGTCGGCGCCTGTGGACTGCCTTCTGTCATACACAGGTATTCGTAGTATTCCATGGCAGCAGGATCGTCCGCACTTGGCATCTCGCTACTGACGACCAAAGGTAGGTTCAGTGGATGCTCAATGTACCTCGAATATTCATCTGCTTCTGGATTAGAGACAGTCGGGTTCATGCTGTTGTCGTAGAACTGCTCTAGAGTCCATTGGTTGATGAGTGCCTTGTCGGCAGGCTTGAAGCCGGGTCGCACCGTTGAGGCCAAGCCGGTTGATGTTGACATTGAGTTTGCCAACGACGGGAAAGAGCCTATTGTCGCAGGTGCCGAAGACGGCATCTCTGTCTCGAAATGCGGATCTCGAAGTATTGAGTGCGTGACAGAGTTTGTGTCGGGCATGCTGAGCTGTACGTGGTGGCGTCGCCGAGCCATGATACTGCCTTGTCGCGAGTCGGTCTCGCTCACAGGGTCGAGTATGGTAACGCCTTTTCGCGGTCCCTTCTTCACATTGTTTCGCTGAGTGGCTTGCTCGTGCTGTTTCTTGCGAGGCACGAAAGGGGACAGGTTCTCAACGCGCGACGGTGCAAGTCCGTCTCTGCTATCGCGTACGGCCCGATTTGGCGACGCCAATCGGAAGGCAAAGATCTTGAGAAACGAGGATATAGCCAATGGTCGGTAGTACTCGAGCCAGTAGTCATCGCGAAAACTGATGTTGGCCTGCAGTGATTTGCTCTGCATCATCGCAAGGCTGTTCGCGGATGGCAGTGTCCGTGGCTCCAGATTCGCAGGAGTGTACCAATTGTTGTAGTCACGTCGTGTTCTCTCCAGATAAGCGCGCGGGTCTGCATGGTGTAGGTAGTAATCAGTGGTCAAATCCCACAACATCGGCTGACCTTGGTGGAAGGTGTAGTTGCCAAGGAAGAGATTGTATGCCTCCTGACGCTGTGAGTCAAGGAATGAATTGTGATAGTATCGCTTGAAGCTTTCCACCATGTCGCGAGAACTACTCTGCCACTGGTTGATTTTCCGGTATGTGGCCATCGTATTAACGAGGTGTGACCCACCATACTGTATCGCAATGGTGTCTCCATGTCCGTGGAACATATGAGTGAACATTTCTACACAATCCGAATCATATTCAACCGTGTTTCCAGGAATAACGCCGAGCGCGTGCAGCTGGCGACCGAGAGCTCTCTTTCCAATCACAAACTGAGCAGCATTGGTGCGATCGAGACAATCGATGCAGTTGGTTCTGGCTACACCGTTTTGTACCTGCGGCGTGCCAGTGGTGTCATCTCCGTTCTGGAAGAAGCCTGTTTCGAGCATGACCTTTTCGGCGAGGCTCTCCAAAGTACCAATCACATCTTGACCCCGCGTTTTCGCGGCGCGTGACATGTCGAAAGCCTCGTATCGTATCTTCTTGTCCTTCGGTAAAGACTGATTGAGGTAGTCGATGCAGTACTTGTACTCATACAGTAGTTTAGACTCCCTCGGTGTTCGCTCTCGTGCTTTGATCAGATTCAAGGCAATGACAGGGGCGCCATAGCGTTCGAACAAATTGTCGAAGTGAAGAGCTGCAGCGCTGTAGAATGGATCTACGAGACTCAAGTCGATGTCCGGTTTTGGTGTGACACCTGTGTTGTCTTGTGTCCAGTAGAGTGGAATGCTGCCACGATGCTGAACATATGATGTGTACGTTGGGTTTGTGAACAGCCGTGGGCCAGGCGCATGGAAGGACGTGGTGAGCGCTTCGGAGACGATCTGTTCGGATTCCACATCGTTGGCAACATAGCCCAGATCGTTTGTACCTCGCTTCAAGAATCTAGCTCCTGCAAAGTGTCTTGATCGCCGGGCAATTATGGTAATGTATATCCTACGCCCGAAGACATCGAGCGACGACTGATCCACGTATCCGTGTATAACCGGATGACACCAATCGTAAACGTTCTTCAGCACAGAGCGAGCGGGATCTAGCAGGTAGTGATTCCATACGAACATATCCTGATAGTCGCGCTCGGGATTTTCGATGCCTTTGTTCAAGGCTGTCCGTTCGTGGATGATGTTTTGCTGAAGACTTCTTGTAATATTGTACGAATAGCTGAAGTAGAAAGACCGCGTCAGGTCCAAGTTTGCGAGACTTGCGAGGAACCTGGCTTCTTCCGGATTTCGGTCCTTCTGGAACCGTGCGGAGGATCCTGTGGTAAGAGGGATCATCTCGGTGCCATCAACCTGATAAATGTAGTGTCCACCAAGCATTGCCACTTGGGCTCTTTTGGAGATCAAAAGCATGTAGTAAGCATCGGTGAATCGTATGAAACCCAGCAGACCCCAAGTGCTGCATTTCAACTTCAGGCCCCCGGTACCCTTATTGCCGTCTTGAATCGTTCCCAGAAGCCTAAACATCTCTTTTCTGTCGTATACTATGTCGTCTTCAAAAATGTTCAGGTGACCCGGCGGTGCTGTTCGATCAATCTTGAGCACACGATACTGCTTCTCCATTATGTCTGCTCCGATAAGGTAGAACCGTGTGCTCGTCTCGTATAACGAGAATTTGTGCATCCTGCTGATGCCATTCTCGCCGACTTTCTGATACGAGACATCCTTTACTTTGTGTACGGTTGACGGGCTTGCAGATCTCTGGAAAGACATGCCCACAGTAGGGTCTTCCTCTTCGCCACCAAACCGGATAGACTCGGTTTCCACACGGAGTTGTCCTATCCCAGGCAGTTTGTCCAGGTCGGCCCCCGGTTTGAAGTTGTTTGATGGGGTGTCATTCTGTGATAGTAATTCAGGACTTGCAGCAACAGAAGTTGTCCTTTCGGACTCCTCTGGCTTTTCGTGAAGACTCTCATGTGAAGTTGTTGCTTTGGACGCCGCCGAGCTAGCACGCTCTCTCAACTCCGGCCTCGGTCTTGAGGGCTCCATGACTTCGATGCAGAAAGGTAAAGATGGCGACTGTGGTCCGAACAAGCCTGTGTTATGTGGTCATGGCTGCGTTTGTGCGAAGATTAATATCGGCGAGGGCGATGCACGTTGAACTCGGTCCAGACCAGCTGCACACTAGGAGCAGCCGCGAACGTGCTCGAGCAAGTTTGAAATGTGCTTCGTAGACGCGACTGCACATCTACGAGGTGGATGGCCTAGTGCGTCATTCGCTGCTTAGTCATGATTTTAGCGACCGCTGCGGCTGCAACTGGAGCCCAGACCAGAGGATGTCCACGACCTCGCATTGCACGTGGTACATTCTACGGCAGCCTTTATCGCACAAACATTAGGACGTTGTAATACAACTGATCGCTTCTATACCTCGATAGACGTTTCCACCAAGACTGCGCAAAGGCTGAGACAAACGCTCGACATCTCAATATGCGGGCCGGCAGGCATCAACACGCTGCGCCCTAGTGTTCGACTACATCAACCGCTACCATGGGACAAGGGTTCTCACTCACCACGCTCTCGGCTGGCACCGCCAACATCGATGTACCAGAGCTGGCTGACTTGCAATATGAAAAATCTCTAGGTGCTGCGCGGTTCATGAAAGCCGTGAGGGCACGACACAAAGATGGCCTTGTTGTGGCACGTGTGGTGATGAAGCCATACGCGCACTTCAATTTCGAGACATATGCAAGGCGATTACTGCGTGAGTGATAACAGGTGTATCTCTGCTGTGCCATGACTGATCTCAAGATAGATGAACGCAAGGTACTTGCAGAAGTTCCGAACGCTTTGGCATATCACCGTATCATCGAAACAGCTGCTTGTGGTTATCTCGTCCGTCAGTACATCCACAGCTCTCTGTACGACAGACTCAGCACACGTCCGTTTTTGGAGGAGATCGAGAAGAAATGGCTATCTTTCCAGTTGCTGTCTACGATACAGGACTGTCATGCCCAGAATATATATCATGGCGACATCAAGACGGAGAACATCCTGGTCACATCCTGGAACTGGCTTTACCTAACCGACTTCTCTTCCGCGTACAAGCCTGCGCATCTTCCAGAAGACAACCCCGCTGATTTCTCGTTCTATTTCGACCTGTCTGGGCGGCGGACATGCTATCTGGCCCCTGAACGATTTCTAGCACCTGGCCAGCAGCCGGAGGGAGAAGGCAGTGTGAACTGGGCGATGGACATATTCAGCCTGGGCTGTGTTATTGCAGAGCTATTCCTCGAGGCGCCAATCTTCTCTTTGAGCCAGCTTTTCAAGTACCGACAGGGCCAGTACAACCCAGAACACTCCCATCTTAGCAAGATTCAGGACCCTCACGTACGAGAACTCATCATGCACATGATACAGGTCGATCCAAACTCCAGGATGTCGGCCGAGGACTACCTCACGCATTGGAGAGGCAAGGTGTTCCCAGATTACTTTTACGGGTTCCTTCAACAGTACATGTTTTCAATCACAGACCCATCGTCTGGGCGGAAGCCAGTAACAACTACTTCAGAGCATCTTGGAGAGCCAGATGAGCGTATTGACCAGGTATACAACGATTACGACAAGATATCTCATCTTCTTTCAAGCAGCGAAGGGAAAGAACTTGTCAAACCACGACATTCACCGCCTAAGCCAAACGCGAAGTTGTTCCCACTGCATATCGACATCCCCAACTATCAACACCAAGCATCTCCGACGCGAAGTCTTACGCAAGATGACGGTAATCTAATCTTCCTCACTATTGTCGTTTCGTGTATGCGAGGGACAGCTCGTGCCTCTGCTCGTGTCCGAGGGCTAGAGCTCTTGTTAGCATTCTCGGAGCGCTTGACTGATGAGGCGAAATTGGATCGTGTCGTACCCTACGTTGCGCAGCTACTGACCGACAAGTCGGAGCAAGTGAGAATCACCGCGCTGAGATCTCTCACTCAAATTCTTGCAATGGTCCAGGTCGTATCTCCAATTAATGCTTACATCTTCCCGGAGTATGTTTTACCACGACTAGAAACATATCTTCCCGACTCTTTGTCGGCGGCAAATCCTCTGGTTCGTATGCAGTACGCCTTGTGTATAGGAACGCTCGCGACCACGGCTGCTAGATATCTCGACATGATTCAGGCATTGCGAGCGGATGGCGCCCTTCCAGCTACCGACCCTGAGGCTGAGGACAATTTGTCTACGTCCGCACACCGCAATCGCTTCGATGCCGATCGTCAGAACCTGCTTGAGGCGTTTGAAAAGCACACGAAAGCGCTCTTGACAGACTCTGCTGCTTCTGTACGCCGCGCCATGCTGCGGTCCGTTTCTGATCTGTGTGTGTTCTTTGGCAGTCCACGAGCGAACGATGTTGTATTGAGTCATCTCAACACGTATTTGAACGATCCGGACTGGATGCTGAAGTGTGGCTTCTTCGAAGCGATAGTCGGAGTTGCTGTGTTCGTCGGCGGTGCGAGTTTGGAAGGCTACATCCTTCCGCTCATGGTCCAAGCATTGACAGATCCGGAGGAGTTTGTGGTCGAAAAAGTCATACGTGCCCTGTCTTCGATGGCGGAGCTTGGTCTGTTCCAAAGATCCAAGACATGGGAGCTCGTCGACATCGTTGCACGGCTTACTATGCACCCAAACCTCTGGATAAGAGAATCAGCTGCACAATTCATATCGACTGCGTCAAAGTATCTCTCCGTCGCCGACACACACAGTATTTTGGTCAACTTGATCAGACCATACCTCAAGGTGGTGCCGTCTGATTTTTCGCAAACTCGTATCCTTGAGTCCCTCAAGAAACCAATGTCAAGGTTACTCATGGAGATGGCCTCAAATTGGGCCGTTCAAGCACAGAAAGGGCTCTTCTGGACTTCTGCAAGGCAGCAGCAGACCTTCACATTTGGGTCGACAGAAGAAACCCTTCCCGCCATCTCAGGCCGCGAGCTAGATGCAAAGGTGCTTCAGAGAATACAGATGAATGCCGAAGACGAGACTTGGCTGCAAAAGCTTCGTAATGCGGGTATGACAAGTGAAGATGACTTCAAGCTTGTTGCTTTGCGAGAGTTCATTTGGCGCGTGGTTCACCGGCGACGGTCCGATAGCTTCGCATCAACCCCAGCAAAGTTCAACAACATCGTAAAGCTGAAGGATCTGGGAGTCAACGCTCTCACTGTCATCTTCGACGAAAATGTGCAGCACGCTGTCAACAAGGATCGGATGGTCAGCAGTCAGCATGAAGGTGTCACTCAACCCCGGACCCTTCAGGACGCGCTGCTCGATGCGTCCACTACAGAGATTGACGCTCTCACCTCTCGCATGCCCCATGCACAGAGTCAAGCTGAGCGATTGGCACTGGAAGAGGGCGGTGGGCGACGTATAGCCATCCCGCTGCGGTCAAATCCTACGATCCATGGAAGAGGTTCGCCATCATCTGAGGCTGATTTACGAAGAAACTCGCTGCAGATACCCAGCAGTGCATCTCCTACGCATTCCCACATTGGCTCGTTTGGTACAGGGGACCACACGCATACGTTACAGCATCGCAACAGCGCATTGAGCTTGCTGAACAAGAAAGAAAACAAAGCGCTCCCAGAGATTGGTACGACGTCTGCGAACGCTTTTGGCAAGGTCGATGCAGCGCATGCGCGAGACACCTCCCGTTCTCGCCAACCGTTGTCGCCACTTGCCGTTGACAAACCCCTACGAAGCTCTTCCCAAGTGCGCTTTAGGAATGCGCACAACTACACCGGCAACGACCCTGCGATTCTGAAGCTTCTCGATTCGATGCTTCTCGAGCGCTTTCCTTCTGGCGAGATAGAGTTTGGACCCCGCATCCAGCTACCACTCAGAAAACCAACCATACGTTACAAAGACGCCCACCAGTCGGCAGCAGGCGTTCCTTGGAGACCAGAAGGCGCTCTGATCACGACCTTTGGTGAGCACACTGCTGCCGTAAACCGCATCTTGGTGTCTCCGGACCAAGGTTTCTTCATCAGCGGATCAGATGATGGTAGTGTCAAAATTTGGGACACCTCGCGTCTCGAGCGCAACATCACTCGACGGTCTCGACAGACGTACAAACTTGGTGACGACGTCAAGGTCACAAGTCTGGTCTTTGTGGAGGAAAGCTACTCCTTCGTGGCTACTGGCAGTGATGGCAGTGTCCACGTGGTGCGAGTCGACTATCTTCAAGGCCCAGAAGGGACTGCCAAGTTTGGCAGACCTCGACTTCTCCGCGAGTATCAACTGCCCAAAGCTGACCAGGCCGTATGGTCCGAGCACTATACCGAGGACAACAAATCTGTGCTAGTACTTGCCACGAATACCTCGAAAATCATCGCACTCGATCTGAGAACGATGGAAGAGCTGTTCGTCCTGAAAAACACGCTGAATCATGGGACGCCGACCTGCTTCTGTGTGGACAAGAAAGCGCATTGGCTGTTGCTAGGAACATCCCATGGTGTGCTCGATCTCTGGGATCTTCGATTCAAGCTACGCCTCAAGGCTTGGGTCTACAGCGGTGCCTCGCCCGTACATCGACTTCTCCTGGTACCAATGCCAGGACGAAAGCAAAAGCAACGGCTGTACATTGCTGGCGGTAGCGGAAAAGGCGAGGTGACGATGTGGGATTGGGAGAAGCACATCTGCGAGCGTGTGTATCGCATCGGTGGTGGCAAGGAGACAGGGCTGAAGAGCACTTTGCTCACCGATCTGGATGAAGAGAAGCCGGGTGGTATGCTCGGCCGCTTTGCTACCGCGCTGGAACCCACAGCAAATCAGAGCGCAGACCGTGGTATTCGTGCACTTGCTGTGCACACACAAGCAGTAGACGACAAGGGCGACGCAAAGCACACATTCATCCTCACTGCAGGTCCAGATTGGAAGATTCGATACTGGGACACCTACAAACCGGAAGCCTCCATGATAGTCAGTGGCCTGGAGGCTGATGAAGTCAAGCCCCAGTACGCTACAAGCCAGCCAGGCGTCGATACCACTGTGATCACAGAACTTTCATCGCAGCCCCCTTCTCAGTCACTCAGTGGAAGAGAGAGCAAGAGCTTGTCTTCGAGCAAGAAGGCAGCACCTAAACCATCGCGAACTGGCTTGATATCTCAACAGCAGCAGCAATTGCTCAAGTCTCATCTAGATAAGATCATGGATGTGGCTCTGGTTGAGCAGCCTTACGGCATGGTCATTACGGCTGATCGGTCCGGGGTCATCTACATGTTCATGTAATTCCGTACAGAGCGTATCGCAAGTTACATCTTTACTACAATTCTTCATCCTCAATCTGCTAAACATCCCAACCATCCCACACCCATCGCTCACCACTATTGTTAGTAATGCGACCTACTGACGTGCCGCTCCACGACCCTCGCCCTCCATCCCCCTTCCCGCCGATACACACTCCCACACCCTTGTACAAAGCAGCGCTCATGCCGCTCCTTCGTCCCATGCCACAAAGCATCCTCCATGCGCATACAGATTCCATGGGCCTCGCAACCCACAGGGTTTTTCCACTGGTGAAACTCTAGTTTCTCGTGGTTGGGAAACCAGGTATAGCATACTGGGCATTGTTCGCGCTCGAGATTCGCTTCGGCGGTGAGTGTTTGCGTGCCGGTGGGCGTGACGGAGTATGTCAGAGTCGCAATCACGTGAGAATCTTGCAGGGTTGCGAAGGATTGCGCGAGCGTGTGTGCCAGTGGGGTGTTCATCGCCGGTACATCGATGTTGTTGGTGTTGTAGAGCGCTAGGGCGTACGCATCGTTGTAGCCGTCATGGTGGTGTCGACGCCGCCTGGCTACAGTCCCTACTGTGCCGGCGCTGGTACGGAAGTGCGTGTCGCCAGGATACGTAGAGTCGCTGCTGTAGTTGTGGTATTGTTTGATGTGTGAGCGGCGAAAGGCTGATTCGTGGAGGGCGCAGTGGTGGCCGGGGCCGTGGAAGTGGGCGCTGCAGGTTGCGCAGTGTGGCATTTTGGTGGGTATCAGTGGGAGGGAAGGTATGGATCGTTCCAGACATGGTTTTGGCTGTCTTTAAGTTTTATTGCTCGGCTGGTGGCTGCAAGATACGCATGGCTGCGTGTGCAGGCCGTCAGACTGGCTTCTGGTCCTTCACCGGTCCTCACCGTGAGGCCAATGGCAGCCGAGGTGATCGCCACCGTCGACAAATGAAATTTGAACACAACAAATGAGTCGCTTAAAGCTGCGAACTGTTCGATTAGAGGAAGGAAGCGGTGTGTTAGGGGCGTTTCAATTCTTCGTGGATTTTAGTGCTCTTGTATGGAAGGCATAAGGCTGAGGACATTTGGGTATGATCGAACCCACAAAATGCTCAACAACTTGGTAATGTAGTTTTGCAGTTATTCTTGTTCCTTATTGGAGTCCAGTTTTAGAACATACAATTGTGATCCGGATACTGAGTTCAACCTCTCTCAATTGTCTCACTTCTCCAAGGCAGCCTTGACACTTGGCACCTCATCGTCCTTCTCCAGGATGTTTGGCAATGGCCCGATAGGTGTGATAGCAAAGGGGTTGATTTGCCCGTGGCTCTTAGTGTAGTGATTTTTGATGTGCTCGAACTCGGTTGTCTCACCGAAAGACTTGGGGTAGTCCCAGTACAGATGCCTCACCCATCGGTGGAGGTGAGGATAGCCTGACCGGACTTTGATTTGTTAGTCTTGTTCATGATGGGAAACGTGAGTATTGGTGACTTACTGTCGCGGATGTTGCACTTAAAGTGCTGTACGTAGACCGGGTCGAAACGAACGATGGTCGTGAAAAGACGGACATCTGCTTCTGTGACGTGCGGCGAGGAGAGCACGTACGGTGTCGATGACTCCGCGAGAATCTTCTCAACACGGTCAAGAGATTTAAAAAGCGTGGTAACGTTCTTCTTGTACGCTTCCTCGGTCCTGATTATATGAGTATACGACCTCTCAACATCAGCAGCAAGGAAAACTTACGTAGCAAATCCAGACTTGTACACGCCGTTGTTGATATCATTATACACCCAATCATTCATCTCTTCAATCTCCTTCTGCAAGTTCGTGGGAAACAGATCCACCTTCTTATACTCATCGGCAATGAGGTCGTCGAACTCAGTGTACAGCATACGAATGATTTCACTGCTCTCGTTGCTGACAATGCGCTTCTGCTTCTTGTCGTAGAGCGTCGGTACCGTAAACCTGCCCTCATATTCCGGGTTCTGCTCGAAGTAGATGTCACGGAGATGTGTGTACTCCTTGTGCAGGGGGTCAGGAAGTGCGTTCTCGCCGGGCAGTTTCTCATCCGGTGTGGCGAAGCGCCAGCCCTTCTCGGCCATGTGCCAGTGTACGCTGGTGAAACCGATGATGTCCTGAAGACCTTTCAGGTTGCGAACGATTAAGGTACGGTGCGCCCAGGGACAGGCGTAGGAGACATAGAGGTGGTAGCGATCCTTCTCTGCGGGAAACTCCGCGCCAGGCTTGTTCTCAATGAAAGAGCGGAAGACAGATTGCTGGCGCTTGAATTCTCCGCTCTTGTCCTTCGGGTCCACCCAGTTGAGAATTGAATCTTTCTTGTCCATGGCGAATGGAGTTGCTGTGCGAGAAAATGCGCGTGTTGATGTAGCTGTCTTGGTGACGTGGTTGGATACTGCTCTCAGTCGCGTGATTGCAGAGAACATGGAACGGTACTGGGGTATATCTGGTAATTGTATCTGTTCAAGATCTGGGAATCGATGTTTATATATTGTCGATGTCATTGAAGCTCGAGGCTCCACTAGCGCGACAAGCTACATCACGCCCCACTTCCATCATAGCTCTTGCCCCTCCGAGGCTTTACTCAGCATTGGAAAGCTTGACTAACCTCACATACCGGTGCTCTGACAAAGGAATTAGCAATGCATCCTTCTTCACACGCTTGCTGGAGACTAAGACTGGAATATGGGAGGTCTCAGAGAGTACACTGCGTCGCTTCTTGATATTCGAAGGTGATGACCAACTCTTGCTTGTCGAATTCCTGGGTATCTACCGCTTCTGTAGGCTCATCCATACATCGTACATAACCGAAGCTCCATTTCATTCACAGAAAAAATCCCCTTGCCCTATTCTCCCGCATCATCAAACTCCAACAGTCTCCTCATTTTCATAGCAGGGTGGCACCGACATTGCCCAACGTCTGCTTTGTAACTTCGTCTCTGACCTGTCCGACCTTCTTGGCGGAGTCCAGGATCGCACCTTCGATCGCCTTCAGCGCTTCGACCAACTCGCGGCGCTGGTCGCGTGGTGCGCTTCTGCTGCCTGTCAACTGCTGTGCCTTTTCCAGTGTACCGGCTTCCATCGTGCGCAGATGCCCTTCGATCTCACGAATTTGTCGCTGGTACATATCTAATGTGCGGCCGAGCTCGCCTGTGCGTCGGTTGAAGTATCCCATCAAATCGACAGGCTTGGTTGGGTCGTCTTCGTCAAGGGCGGCGGTGGCTGGTGGCTTTGCGCTCGATGCAGTGAGGTTCGTACCGTTCCTGTAGTGAAATTGCGCCGGCAGTCGCTGGTTCTCGATGGCTCGGAAGCTCAGAGTCGCGTCTGCAGCATCCTTCTTGACCAGATCTCGCAGGTAAGCGATATTGGCGGAATCGTTGTCCAGGCCCAACTCGACGGTAGAAAGGAAGGTCTCGATGTACGCCACGTCCGGCGCGATCGTCGCAATCTCAGCCTCGCTGTTAGGGAGAGTTTCGCGAATCTGGTTGCAATATCCAATCTTGCGCTGGATGCCCTCGTCGAATGCCTGTATCTGCTGTTGAAGTTCCGAAGCCAAATCGTTGAACCGCGTTGTCCCCCGTATACTCTCCAGCCCAATGTTGACCGCCTGTGTACTGCTGCCCATCTGACCACCGCCCAACGTTGAGCCACCGAGCGTGCCCGTTCTTTGTGGAGGGTTCATGCCGCCACCGAAGAGTGAGTTGTTCTGCTGTGGCTGAGCTTGTTGTGTGGAGCCAAAGAGTGAGGGTGTTGCGGTAGTCTGGTTTTGTTGTGTGTTGGTGTTGCCGAACAAGGAAGGTGTTGTGGAGGTTTGTTGCGTTGATGCGCCGCTGAAAGATGTCGTTAGCCTCAGTATTGCCAAAGCAAGCAGTGCACATACAACAGCGATGGCTTGGCCTGCTGGCCGCCTCCAAATAGCCCTCCCGATGGTGCAGCTCCAGCTTGCGACTGTGTCTGTGTGCTAGCTCCCAATGGGCCTCCGAAAAGACCACCGCTTGCTGGCGCCGACGATTGCGCGGTTGAGGAGCCAAAGAGGCCTCCGCTTGCGGGCGCAGTTGTAGCAGGCTTGTTCATGTTGCCGAAGAGACCTCCAGATGCTGGTTGCGATGTCGCGGGCTGTGTTGATCCGCCGAAAAGCGCTCCTGACTGGGCGGGTTGTGCTGCTATTGAACCGAAGAGACCGCCGCTGCTTTGGGGTTGAGAGGTTGCCGTGGCAGAGGCATTGTTTCCACTAGACATAGTCAGTGATTTGCGTGTAAAAGACGCCGCGGCCGTGGTCACTGCGCGCGTGGTATCCACTCAATACACATAACAATGCAAGTCGCCGTGCTAGGAGGACGGGGAAGCGCATGGAACAACTAGAAGGGGAAACAGGGTGCATACAAGAGACCACCGCCCGTGTTGATGCTCAGAGAATTTGAGCGTCCAAAGCCTGCCATCTTGTCTCGAGTCCAGACTGCTTGTCCTGCTTAAGGTCTTGCGGCAGGACGCAGTCAACAACAACGCTTCAATGAAGCAGATTATCGGCCGGAGTGAAGATCACGGACGGCTTCTTGAGGTTGTCGAGCGGTACAATGTCCGAATGAGGGCGAATGGGTGGTTGTTGGGCGGTATGTAGTGTCTGTTGATCAACTGCAAGCCGCGCGCGACTTTGCTGTAAGCTCCATGCACGGACGCATGCCTTTCACCAACAACGAGCTCGAGGACGCGACCTCTCTTGCATACCTGTCACCGAAACTTCCAAGACTGCGCACTTGAATCCCCAAAATCTCTGACTGGAGGCAGCCAGGTCTTTGCAGCTTTCAACTAAGCTTGTCGATATACAACCTCTGCACGCCGCAAATAAGTAGACGCATCAAACAATGGATGAAGAAGACGATGATCTCTACGGCCCTTCCGAGCCCACCACTGAGATCAAGAGGGAACCAAAGAAGGAGGCGGATGCGTCTAGTGGTGACGAACCCATGGACGAGGGCGCAGACTCTGGCGACGACGACGACAGCGACTCAGTATGTCATGAACAAACACGAGATATAATCCGGGCTGACAAGATCGCAGGATCTCGAATTCATTATCGACAAGCCAGCGACCGCGCCAAAACCAGCGGCGTACGTATATCATGACCTTTGTAGCGATCAACCATACTAACCGGTCCCCAGCGCATCACAACCGCAAGAATCCAAAGCCATAAAGATCGAAGCTCCACCCCAATCAACATCCACACCACAACCACCCTCAGCCCAACAAGCACGACCTGCGCCAGGAACCGCACCCCAAGTCTCCCAAATATCAGGCCAGGGCTACCCAGCGCTGCACACATCCAACGTCGACGTAAACGCGAACCCCACCTACCCCCCTCTGAACAAGCCGCTCCTCCAAGTCGACCTCGACGCCGATCTTGCCGAGGAACATAAACTCTGGCGCCGCCCGGGCGAAGACTACTCGGACTACTTCAACTACGGTTTCGACGAGTTCACATGGGAGACGTACAGGCTGAAGCAGCAGCAAATGGGCCAGACGATACAGCAGCAGAAACAAGAGATGGCGCAAATGCAGCAGATGATATCCGGAGGTATGCCAGGAATGCCGCCGATGCCTGGTGGCGGTGCGCCGGCTGGTGCGCCGCAGGGGCCTGGGGGTATGAATGGGATGGGTGGGATGCCGCCTGGTGGCATGGATGAGGGGCAGATGCAGATGATGATGCAGCAGATGGCGAGCAGTGGGATGGATCCGAGTCAAATGGATTTTGCGACGTTCATGCAAATGGCGGGTGGTGGCATGGGCGGACCTGGTGGGCCGGGAGGGTTTGGGGGCGGAGGGCAGCAGGGTGGTGGATTTCAGCCGGGACATCAGGGTGGTGGTGGCAGAGGTGGCAGAGGAAGGGGGAGAGGGTGGTGATCAAGACGAGAATCTCGACACCATTTGGCGTTTGATGTACAAGACTACGATACCAAGGAAGCTTCCTCACGAGATGAATGCAAAAGTTCACGCAACATGTTCAGATCTGCAGGGTTCGTCATGTCGATTGGATGTTTATTTCCAATTCCATTATCGACTCCAGTACTTAGATCATCCTGACCATGGTCTATAGCTTGCGCAGCTACATGGCGGAGCAGCTTCTGCCGTGTTGCCGGCTGACAGATGTCTCTTTCGTCCCCAATTCTATTCCTCCTCTTGGTTGTGGTAGCAGTCAGATTCACAGCTGCGGCTTTTGTAGTTTTATCACCTTTGTGATACAAATGTCTCGTCTTGCGCCGAGGCAGCCACTGCTCATGTCTCCATAGGCTCTCCACCTTCCAGAATGTGCGCTGGTATCCTGCCTTCGGCAAAGTCCTTCTCCAACCTCGCCATCTCTGCCAAGCTGCTCGCCGCCTGAATCGCTGCGCGCATCCTCCTCTTCTCGTCGTCGGTGTAGATGCGGTCCTTTTTGTATGAGGAATCAACGTCATTCGTGGCTGGCACAACGAAACCCTTCGACTTGATCCCCATGATCTTGCTAGCCAGTTCGGTCGGCTCTCCTGATGTGCCGAACAGCTCTTCTGCCTTCTTGCGCTCGACGTCTTTGACCTTAACAAAGTCCAGATAGCGCACGGTGGGGCATCGCCAGATCACCCAGTATCGGTAATTCTGTAGAAAGTCAGCGTCTTCCTGCATGTGCTGTGCCTTCCGGCGCAAATGTACACACCTCCTTGGATGTTACCGGGTTCCCAATCGCCGACAAGAACACGAGCTTTTTGAAACCAGCGAGCGGGTCGAGGTCGGCGAGCTCTGTGAGCCTATTCTTCGTGAGGACTAGTGTCTGCAGGTTCGGTATGCTCGTCGAGATGTTCGGCTGGATGTTCGAGATGCGGTTTTGCGCGAGGAAGAGTGTACGGAGGCGGGGTTGGAGAGGGAAGTTGCCGAGTTGCGCGATATCGTTGTCGGTGAGGTCGATTGCGTCGTTGTCCTGCGCCATTCATCAACACATGCTCGAATGTATGCTCGCAGCTCTGCGGACTTACTCGTGCTGCGCCCATGTTCTCAATAGCGGAAATTTTGTGGCCTAGATTTTACAGATATTGATATCAATTCAGCTCGCAAGTGTAGTATCTGTTCTTTTCAACGCACCTCGCAGATCGAGTTCACGCTCCGTGAGACAGTTGATGAAGGAGAGGGAGTTGTTGATTAGGTCCGTTGTTAACCTCATGTTGGCGGTGTTGACGCGTAATTTGACGGCGAGAAGGTGTTTGGGGTAGCTGATCGTAGCGCAGTGGGTTGCCTGCTTGTTTTGCGGGGTTTGGTGTACAAGTCGCAACCATTGACATAGAAATTCAAGGTAGGTTCACGGCTGCCAAGGTTCACTCTAGCGCAGTTTCCTTCAGCCCTACGGCGCCTCCATGCCTGCCCCATTATCTCTGCCCACGTCCAATTTCATTGCACTCATGCCGCTATCACATGACTGTTTTTCGCACGATGGCCCCAGATCACTGCAGCACCTCCATATGGTTTCGCTCGGACCATGTCTGACGCACAATGTCTGGGACATGGTACCTGCCATTGTTGACAAGAAGCACCGTCTCACTACGCAATCAACCAATCTGGGATGCAACAGCATTATAAATGTATTGTCCTGGTGCCCTGAGTGATGAGATCAGGGGCTCAAACCTCAACTCGCAGATCTGGCATACTCCTCTTACACATCCGGATGTGCTTGGCTTTTTTGCGCAAAACGCATATCGAGGCGCTTTCCTGAAGGATGAATTCATGCTGGTGGTGCTTCATGAGCTCAAACTTTTCCCACAAGTGCAGAAGAATGCAATATGCAATGATTCCATTGCAGGATCCCCAGTACCGAAATTTCGGCCCTCTGTTTATGAAGAGCACGGCTTCTTACTGAAGGACGACCCGGAAGATGAGAGCTTGCCAGCTGATATACACCGTCTATTCGCATACGAGAACTTTAATCGGAGCTTGCTGTTCGCTCGAGAGGCTTATGACGCCATGCTGCCTACCTTGGTCCTAGCTATAAAGTTATTGACGATGCCTGTAGCCCTGAAAATTACTTGTTCAGATCTTCGTAGATCCAGCAATACAAGTTTTCGAAGACCTTTCATGCCCATCTTCTCCACGCCATTGTGCGGTCGCAGCTCGCTCACGCCAGCACGTGGCTGTTGACCATAGACAGGACAGATGGGTTTGCACATGGTCGATGTACCATCTGAATTTCATTGTATTCCTCACCATCCGACTAAGGCGACGAACGCACCCGTCCGTCACCAGGTATCATCCTCCCCTCAATGTCCAAGAACAACCGAAAGCAACGCTAAAACGCAGCAAGAGAAGCAAAACTACCTATTGTACACAAATTCATCCGAGGTCTCCCTTCATTCGACTTCAGACAACCACCTTCTTACCCCCTCCTTCAAACTACTATCCGTGTACGTCCTCTGGTCCACCGTCCTAACACTCTTCTCCTCCCCCACATGTCCCTCCTTCCCGCCACTTCTCTCCGCCGTAACATTCTTCACTACAGTCTCCAACGCATCGAAAATCACTCCTTTACAATCCATTTGCGGCACTTCGACATGCGTTCCCCCAACAATACCTGTTACATCTGAATCCACTCCCGTATTCCTGCGCCCACGTCTTGAGCTCGACCGCGAGGACTGGTTCGAATTCGCGCGTGTGGTGTCGCCCGAGCGCGCGAGCACACGGTCGATGCCTTCGATGAGCACGGCGTCGAAGTCCATGATCGCTTCTTCGTCGAATTTCTCAGCAAGGTGGATCTCCGTCGGCATTGGAGCCACAGAAGACGAAGTGTAGGGGTTGCCGTATTGTGAGCGGCCGGGCGGCATACCTGCTACGCCGGGTGTCAGGGCGGTGGGTTGGTATGTTGGGGCGGGGATGAGGCGGACGAGGCGGCGGAGGGAGAGGCGTTTGATGGAGAAGGTGCGGGTGTCGGCGACGAGCGCGGAGCAGACGTCGATCCAGCGCTCCATGGGCCCTGTTTCGACGGAAGGTGTTGTGGCCAAGGTGATGGGTGTTGGTTCGGCAGACATAGCGCGCTTGATGTCCCGCTCGAGCGTGGCGTAGGGCTTGATGGCTTGGATGGCGAAGTCGGGGTGGAATTGGGAGAGCCAACCTGCTGCGTTGACGGGTTGTTCGGGTTCGTTGAACGGCATCGAGAGTATAGAGGACTCGCCGAAGCTGGAGCCGTGCTGGCTGCCAACTGAGCCTGCGCCGCCAAAGAGGGGAGACTGAAGGGGCGAGCCAAAGTCGGGGAGAGCGATGTCGACATCTATTACGCCGTCTTTCTCGTTCACAGAGAGTTTAAGTTGCGTCTCGAATGTCTTTGGGCGCTCAGGAATGGGGCGTGCTGCTGAGGCAGGGACGCCGCTTGAGGTGCCAACTGGATAGGCATCGGATGACATCTTTGCTGTGAAATTCGCGCTGGTGCCTGGGGTATCGTAAGGTTCTCCCTCCTCGAAGACGCCGTCGTCCATCGAGAGCTCCTGCACCATCTGTTCAAGTTGCGATCGTGGCCGTTCTTGCCCGCGAAACCCGACGCCGTCATCTGTGGTCTGGAGATAGCTACTGCCGTCTGTTGAGGAGTCGCGACTTCCACCACTCCAAAAGTTCATAAACCCGCTCCAACGGCTATTATTGCTCGAGTCATTGCTAGCCAGGCTGGTTTGTCCAGTCCCGCTTCTCTGCAAGGTGTTGATCAGGTTCGCTGATGCTAAGCTATCGCTGCTCTCTGGTCTATAGTCGGTGATTGGCCCGCCAGCTCTCGTTCTGGGTAGCGTGAAGTGTGCAATGGGGATCGCGCTCTGAGATGCAGCAGTTGATGGTGAGACGACAGCATTCTTGCCAGGAGCAGCACCCTCAGACATCGAGGGGATCACGAGGCTTGTGCGTATCGAGTGTGTTGAAGACCTCCGAGAGTGCGTTGGAGGTTTCATAGCATCTGAAGCTTCAACGACTGCTGATACAGAGCGTTGGTGCGAAGTACCGGCAGAGGCTGCGTCCGTCTTAGTGGATGTGGGCGGCTGTAATCGCATGTTGGTCATACTCTGCTGATCTCGTGGCCGCCTGTTGATTTGGCGCCGCAACGACTGTTTTCTCGATGGAGGCATATTGGTCGGCGGAGACTGCGAATATGCTCGGAGCGAAGCAGAGGTGCCCGGTCGCACTATATTGACGGCATCGCCGATCACAGGTGAGTTCGGAGGCAGAAAGGCGGCAAGGAGGAAGATCAATCTCCGTGCTGCCATCTTGTCTGGGGACACTATGACAGTGCGATTCGAAATCACGATGTTCTCTCCAACAGTAGCCTTCTGCTGTTCCCGATGGCGCTTGCGAGCCCATTTGGGGCCTAGTAGACTGAGCCATTCGGTGTGGTTTCCAAGGAAGGCCGTGAGCAGATTGAAGAAAAAGAAATTCTGCTCGCGCCGGCCAGCCCATCGTCCGAGCCACCTCGCTTCTTCTCGCCAGACTCCCCACTTGCCCTGACCTGTCATGGCTCGAGGTATGCGCATGCCACTGACCACCCGATTGCCAGTCAGCTCTGCCGCAGCTTGTATCTCCTTGTCCAGCATAAGTGCATTGGGCTGCAGCCGCAGAGGCGGTCTGCGTCCTAGCTGGGGAGGGCCTTCTCGAACGCTGGCTCGGGACGGCGCTCGGCGGTGTTGGGGCTGGTCAGGCGGTGACATTGCGACCGGCGTCTTGTAGTGGGCAGAGATGCGCTCTCGAACCACATGCTGTAAACTGGTGAGGGCGCGCATGATGACGTCCCAATGCTGGCCAACGACGTCAACGCGATCGTCGACATGGCTGCTTAATGCTGACGAGACGAGCGAATCGGCGCCAAGGTTCGAGTCGATAAACGCCCATCCTGCGCGCCGGTCTGAGTCGAGTGAGGAAGCAAGCAAGTCCTGACCAGGAGCGGAAGTCGACAGATGGCCTGGCGTCTTTGGTGCTGCTGCACGAGGGTGCGTCGACTGGGCTATCGGCAGGTGCAAGATGATGGTGATGGCATACATGGGCGTCTTTCGAGGCTGATTAAGATGTGTTGGTTTCTGCGGACCAGCTTTGGCGTTTGCCTGTGGAAACGGGAAGCCGCCGCCGCCCTGAGGCTGCGCGCTGGACGCATGTGTCGGTGTACGGACGTCGAAGCTGTCGTCTGGACTGGGGACAGAGAACATGCGTGTGATGAAGATGGTTCGGCGCTTTGGTTCTTTGGACACATTCTCGCTCGAGTCGGCACGTGGAAGGTCGGTGGGTAGGTTCGAGGGCGTGAAGGACTTGGCCAGGTTGCTCCTCCTGCGGAAGCCGTCGCCGCGTCCCAGTGAGCCTGACAGGTCGTGCATGCTAGGCCCCAGCACGGCAGGCTCTGGCTTGGTCTCGAGCGGCACAATGTGCATCTTGTTCGAGTTGCCGCGGTAGGTCATGCTCGTGCTGCCGAACATGCAGTCGAGGCAGGTGTTGACTAGGTCGGACGACTCTCTGGCGCGTGCCTGGGCCTGTGCCTGGATCTGGGCATGTTCGTCGATGTTCGGCATGGACGATATGGAGGAGCCGCGCGTGCGCGTGCGCGTGAAACTGCCCACGGTGGGCGACCTGGGCGTCGCTTCTGCGACGAGCGAAGTTCGGCGGGCGTGTAGGCCCCCAAAGGTCGGCCCTGCTGTGCTGGCGGACATGGCATTGGTGCCGTCGAAGGCTCGTGCGCGGGTGTGAGGCAGTGTGGGCGACTCGGCGCGCGGCGGGCCTGGCTTGCTGTCGAACAGCACCGTCTTGGCCATGTGTGCGAAGTCATCTTGGGCGATGATGATGCGGACGTCGCGCGGGAACTCGAGGTCGATCTCAGGGAGAGGCCCGTCGTGGCCGGTGCCGGGCGTCAGCGGTGCGGCGTGCAGCGGGTACGGCTGGCCATCGGGGTGGAAGAGGGTGCTGCTGTCCGGGTACAGCAGATGGCGGGTGTGCGACTCCTCGGTGGCAGAGTCGAGCGTCGTCGTGGGCGCGGGGCTGCTGGCGGGGTGGTTGCCTTTGCGGCTGCTGAAGAACTGGCCGATCATGTCTGGCAGCGGGGCGCACTCTCCAGTTCTTCAGTCCTCCATGCCCCTCAGCAGTGGTTCAGGAAGGCGTAGCTGGCGTGGTATTCGCGAGCGGAATGCCGTATGCAGCGCGGGCAACACATGGCAGAGGACGCTCGAGGGGCGCGCCGAGGGGCGGTCCAGGCGTGGGGCAGGCACTGAGGCGACAGACGCGCGCGAGGGGTCGCGTGCGTGAGGAAGAAGCAGAGTGTGGGTCGACGATCAAGCGTGGAGTGGAGACTGCTGCGATGCTGCTAGGCGAGCCTGGCGACGGACGGAGCGCTGCTTCAGTTATTGAGAAGAGCGGTGAACATGCATATCTCTGCCCACTCACAAACACACAAACAACCGTTCACACGGCCGAACGACAGCAGCGGAAGCCACTCACAGCTCGACCGGGACGACGGCTGCTCCCACCAGTTCCATTGTCAATCATCGGTCAGCATCGCTGGCTGTGCTGCCATCACAGCGCGGTCATTGTCCCACCTCGTCCATCAGCCTTCCTGCACCCTTACACTCCACGCTGCAGATCAGACCAGGATACCCCAGATCCCATATGCGCCAGCTCCTACATTGGCCACGCAAACAGACTGCAACTTCCTGGGACCGTGCTGTGGACGTCTCCACGAAAACTTGGGATGGCACATTGCACCGCAACTAATAAGCTCGAACGCTGCCCAGCAGCTCATGTACTACCAGATGCTCTAGGAGGTAGTCATGTGTTCGTCTGCCTAACGGCTGTCGTGGGATTCCAACGGCTGCTTATCAGCACGTGTGGCTTGCTGCATGCAGCCAACCCTAATCCAGCCGAGCCTCTACAACCTCGCCAAAGCGTGCCACTCGATGGTCTCGGTCGTGCCTCCTCCAGCCGCTTGGTAAATGCTTTCGTCGAGACCAGCGGAGGCTTTGTTAGTTGCTGCCGAGTTACCATAATCATGACTCTTCGAGAGTAAAAGAATCTTCGATCGTCAGAATATCGAAAGTGAACATCGCTGTATCGCCATACGCAGATTCGAAAGTAACAGACATCAGTGCCGAATCAACGGAAGATGACTTCTAGGTCCAATTTGCCGAAGACAGAACTCGAGTCCGTCAAAATCTTCCGAAAAACGTTCCTGATTGCGAAACTCTCCGACAGGACCATGCACCGCACGCTCGGAAAAATGCCCTTCTCAGCCTCCTTGTCACTCCAACAACAGCACCCTATATCAAAACGCGCGATGCACGTTTACCACGTGCGTAATTGCATTGAATGCTTCCTTGCTCGTCTTGATGGTCGATATCCGAGCACACTGTTTCCTCCCGATCAGACGCCTGTAGCACCCAGGAGTTGTGTAGCCGAGCACGTGAAGTGTTGTGTATGAGTTTGTGTTGGATGAGGCTTTTCGATAGATGTGTCGGCACACTAGGTGCAGCGAGTATCCACTTGGCCTGGCGCAAGGCTCCCACAACCCGGGTTTATCAAAGGCGACGATCGTGTTACAAACAAGGACGTAGATTCTGTTGCGCAGCTCAGGAGGCAGTCTGAGAAGTGGTGAGTCGGTCTGGCTCTTGCGAGCACTACAGTAGGTCGGTCGAGTCCGCAATAGCAAAAAGTGTAACGACTGACATCAGGTCGCGGCCAATAAGCTCGTCAGAAGCTGCAGCTGCAGCGTCACCTTGGACCATGTTGATCAATATCTTGGTGTTGAGGAATGGCAACCCTGGGTGTTGAGGGAAGAGGTAAAGCAACAAACGGTCAGAGGGAGTGAGCAATGTGGAAAGTGACGATTCTTGGCGCGGAAGCTGCTTTCACCTTGCCAACCCTTTAATAGATCTTGGAGGTGTTCAAGGTGCCATCATCTAAGCCTGCATCCATCATGCACCACCACCGGCATTCCCCTGACTATCCTGCCTCTTTGGCAAGCTTCCTGCTGCACTGAACTCAGCGATGCTTCCTCTCTTCCCCAGTGTCGACATACTCCCCTCACCGCCCTGTCTCCTTCCTGCAATGCCGGTAGTGGCGCTAAGTGCCATCTCACTTATACCGCCAATTCGTTCTACCGCAGCACCTCTCCCTATGATACCAGACCCCAGCGACCAGTCTCTGTTCGCAGGGCTAGCCTCGCGAATACTGATCGCTGGTGGTAGCCCCAGGCTCGGGATGTTGTTGTCAAGTACGGGGAGAATACGAGGGGATGGTGATGGCGTCTGCTTGAACGCCTCGTTGTAGAACTGTGAAAGCAGGGCAGGATCAGAACAGAAGGCCTCCAGTTCGTCCTTGACCTGCTCAGGTGTTTGCATGGCTGGTGTTGTTGGAGGCGGCTGGGCTGCAGCATGTTTCTCCAATGCTGTGTGCAGCAGGCTAGAATCCTGGACAGGTCTTGCCAAAGGACTCGAGAAGGGACTGCGATGGGGGTTGGCGCGCTCAACGGCAGGTGTCGACGGTAGTCTACTACTCTGACTACCATCAGTCGTGACCTTCTTATGTTCATGGAGATCGAGTGGTCTAATCCTACTCATATCTTTGGCACGGTTGTGTGCAAGGCGATTTGCGAGCACCATGAAGTGACCATCTTCTGTGATCTGGACAAGTAAACCCCCAGTACGGTGTATGAACTGCGTGTATTTATAGTCAGGGTTACCCCACGAGTAGGAGACGTCAATGTCAGAAGGAAACGCACTCGCAGCTTCCATGTCGAGTACAAAGTCGAGCTTCCTTAGCAACGCTTTGTGGTATGCGAATCTGTCGGTTCTTGAGTACTGTGGCGAGAAGTGCATCGAGTCCCACATCGCCTCCGTATGGTTTTGTGGAGGCTGCATCGCAAGTTTGATGTGGTATGGTGAACGGAACGGGTGATAGTCGGTGATGTTGGCAAGTTCGGCAATGGGAACTTCGACAAGCTTGAGGCCGTACTTCTCGACGCTAGTAGCCCAAGTAACGATTGCATCCTCGATGAGCTTCGCAGTAACGTTCATCCAGTCGATACGAATGTGGTAGCAGTTATCTGGGTTATGGACAAGGTCATAATGCAGCGAGATGATCTCTGGCCGGTATGAACGTTTTCTTGGGTCAACATCGTAGCGCATTGCGCGCGACAATGTGACCTTTCTTTTGGCGGCACCCGCTCGTGTGGGTGTCTTCTCGCCTCCTTTTGCTGAATCAGAAGCATTGGAAGACGATTCTGCTGTGCTTGGTCTGGACATCATGCCTTTGGTCGTAAGCGGCGAAGTTCTTGGTCCTTCAAACAAAGGTGTTGACGGAACAGACTTGTCAGCCTTACGCAAGCCGAACCAGCCGGCACGCGATTCTGGTCTCGGAGCCCGATACTCAGATGCAATCTGGAAGAAGAAGTTGCCGTCGCGAAAGTGGTGCCTTCGTTGAACATGCTGAAACAAACCTTTCTCCATCAGTTGATTGCCAAACTCAATTGCACTTTCGCGACTGTCGATATCCTTGAAGTTGTTCAACAACCAGTTGGTCAGGTCAAAGCCGATGAAACAATTGTAATGCAGCTTCCAGTGCCAGCGCCGATCGAGCATTTGTATGCCTTTCTCACCTTGCAGGTCCTCGGCGAGCTTCTTGAGGTTGATGGTCGATGTGAAGTATTTGTCTGCGTCTGAAACTATTGAACCCGGTAGCTCAGTATCCGAACAATTGTATAGAGTGTTGACAGGACCCGCTGCGACCACCGCCGAAGGATCGCGGGTATGATACTCGATAGCAAGAGGGTTAGGGTCTTTCTGTTTCGAAGAGGCTGTGCTCTGTGGAAATCGCTCCTCTGGAGGGAAGTAACGATATCTTTGCCATAACTGCGTGAGCTTCCTAATTCCCTCCAATCGAATCTCCTCTTCCGAATCTTCAGCGAGCATAGGCAGCGGACGCCGGCTCACGGAAGGTATCTCGACTGGAATCAGAACGAACCGTGCTCTCCAGAACCGTAAGACATCTGAGAACTCGTCTTGATATCCGGCAAGGAAGGTGTCGATGAAATTCCAGTTATACTCCTTACGAGGTGGGCGCAAAACGATGTCCCGTGGGTCGTACATTGGCTCGAAAGCAGTTCGGATATACGGTCTGTAAGGAAACGGCGTGTCGATGCCTGCTGAAGACTCCAACGCTGTGGTTGGCTTTCGATGGTAACGCTTCACCTCCACTTCACCACCAGCAATGCATACCAACTGATGGATACTAGTGCCGGCAGTCATGAATACCGTATCTCCATCCGAGGCCATATACTCGGGTGATAAGGTACTGGCCAACAACTTCTCTTGTCTACCAGAAAATTCTGCAACTGCAGAACCTGTGCAAATCTGAAATCCATGTGATAGCCGAAATGCAACAAGTTCGCGAATGAGTGTTTCTCTGCCTCTAGTAGCTTCCAACATTTCGTCGTCATCGTTTTGAGTGATTTTATATGGACTTTCGTTGTACTCTGATGAGAGCTGCTCTGCAGTTGGGAACCATTCGTGAGTCAGAGGCACAGCCGCAGGCGAACAAAGCGACCTCCATTTCACAGTCCCGGTTTGTAAAGTCCGAGGGAAAACATGGTGCCATCGGCGATACTGGTTCATGGTGTTTAGAACGTTCTTCTTTGGATTACAAGGATTCACCAGGACGGCCCATGGTGCAATTGCACTGGTCGGGGACAGCGTTTTCGGTGCGTCTTTGGCCCCTCCACTTGATGAGAGACCTAGGTTCGGCTTCGCGTCACCCTTGCCAGCGATGAGGAACGTCGATCCTGGATCTTTTTTGACCGAGTTTGGATGAGACGGTACTGAAGTGTGCCGTGTTCGCAGGTCTCTTACGGTTTCAACGGAGTGACCGCTTTGGTCAGGAGATGGCGAGCCCGTAGACGAGAGTCCAGCACGAGAAGATGAACGGATTGCAATCGGCTGAGAAGGCTTCTCGGTTGAGCTCAACCTGGTGCTTGCTAGCCGCTCTGCAATCGCACCCTTCTGGCTCTTCTCCACTGTAAGCATAGCAGGTTTCACATTGCCTTGGGTGATGTCTGTAGTGGCGTCTCCTAAGGTCGGTTTGGCTGGCGCGGCCTTGCCACCGAAACTAATCTGTCTCAAGAACCAGTTCGAAGGTCGAGGTTTGAGCAGCTCTTTCACTGGCGCTAGACTAGCAGAGACAGGGACTGGGGGCAAGCCAGCCCTCCTTGGTGGAGAGTGACCTCGGCTCGGTGCAGGCGACTGGTTCGGAGTAGTATGAACCAATTTTTGATTAACATTCGAATCGCCAGAGCGACCTCGACGATGCATGTTGGGGCGGGGGCTGTCAGCCGTGGCGTGTCCAAAGAGGTTCTGTCGCCGCAGCACATCAGCTCTTGGAACGCCTGACGGCCCACTCTCCGGATAGTGGTGGGTGTTACTGGAAGGAGAGTGTTCTTCTGTGCCTCTCAACCTGACATGTGGAGCGTGATGCATAGTCATATCTGGAGACAGTCGCGCATGCCGTCCCATTGCTGTCCGACTACTCCGATAAGAACTCGACAGGAAGGAGTCTTTTAGCGGCCCTGACGGTGCATTCGACTGCGGGTCTCCTTGCGTTCTTTCTTTGCTGCTCAGCCGCTGTTCATTCAAACCCGGTCTGTTTGCAAGAGAGAAGATACCGTTGTCGTACTCCTCCATCCACGCCTTGTACGTTGTCTTCTTCGGGTCCAGATAGTCTCGGTCACCTTTAGAGGAGAATGACCCGGTGGTATTGGTAGCAATGTTTAAAGCTACGCCTGTTATATGAGCTCTATCTTCTTCAGCCTCTTCAGGCCCGCGCGGGTAGCTGTGCTCTTCCTCCAGATAGGGCAACGAGATGTCACCAAGCTCATTCTCAATAACACCCATCATCTGCAACTCGTAAAGACGACATCTCAGAGCAAAGGTTCGACGTTTCTTATGATAACGTTTCATGACTCTGTCTGCAGTCCTTGCCTTGGTCGACTCGAGCATATCGTCTGACGGCCTGGACCAGAAGGAAATATCTACCCAATATGGCATTGCGAACTTCCAATCATGTGTTGCGTCTGGTGTTGGAGCAGTCAAACCGCTAATCTCAGAGAGAGAAGAGACAAGGTCTATGTGAGGTATCGAGCCGAAGTTGGGCTGGATTTGCTTCGGGGTTTTCTCATCAGACTCGGTTGTAACTTCCACTGACCCGTAAGTACCTTTCTTATGACCAGTTGCGGAGTCTGACACTAGCGAAGGGGTTCGATATTTGAAAAGTGGGACTGAGTGAAGAGGCATGGGTGATAAACACACTAGGTCGATGCCTATGCTAGAACCGATCAACGTGTCTGTTGTCAGCTTCAGCATGTTGTAATCGACCTCAAAAACGCCAGTCCCAGGAGTGATCACAATCACCGATATGCCAGTCCTGACCAAGTCCCGGTCAATGTGGTCTTGTGCGAATTGCGCTGCCGCTAGGTTGATGGCCTCGAGGATGTTCCCTTGGCTAGCAGACGATGGCTTGCCGGCAATGATGGTATTTGCCTCTGACAGTTGCGTTTCGTGTCCGTCGCCTGATGGATCGATGGCCTCTTTCATCGGCTTCGACACCAGCGATACTTCCCGGAGAAACGTCCGGAACTCGAGTTTCAACTGATGCAAAATCTTGATCCAGTCTCCACTAGCCATATCACTCACGACGACTCGATAGTAGTCCCTAAAGTTGCCTGCGTTCGGTTCTGCATTATCCTGGCTGGTCGTTTCGTCCGGACGATCAATCGCAACCTCTCCATCGTATTGCATGCGCGTAAACAGGATAATCGTGACGACATGCTTCGCGTTGATCCTCAACCATCTTTTGAACAAGTCAGGAAGGAAGCCGCTAACGACTTTGTTGAACATGATCTCGCCGGCTCCCTCGGCGTCAAAGTCCCACATCTCCCTGGACATCTGGATGAATAGGACAAATCGAGCAGATTCACTGCGGAAAATTGGTTTGGTCGTTGGCGAAAAGTACCCGGAATGAACAGACTGTCCATCAATGTAAATCTGCTTTACAGTGGCTTTGATTGTGCCCATGAACAGGACCTTTTGGCCACGATAAACTGTTCGTTTGCTGAGTTCTGCTATGGCCATACGCCACATGTCCGCTCGCGCTAGGTATTCGTCACGGAACACAAGCTCAACATGGTGGGCTTCATGTCTAGCTTCATCAGCCTGTAAGAATCAGCTACTGGACCACCTCGATGCAAGGCTACTTACCTCAGTAATGATGACCTGCGTACGATTCCGGAACCCAAAGACTTTAGCGATCTTCTCGGCTATTGAGATTTGCAAATTCGCGTGTTTCGACTTTAGATCCTGCGGAAGTGGCTTCAAGGCGAAGATGTAAATTTTCTCCGTGTCAACATCGTGACCGCCTGGGACGACAGATCCGTGCTCATCAATGGTCCTCGAGAAAGATCCTCTCCGACTCTTTCTTGATTGGGTGTCATTAGCGTCCTTGGACAAAGGCTCCGCTTTCACTTGAGCTGCGTCATGTGATGGGACCTTGGTGGTAGATGAGAAGTCTCGTACGGATGTACCCGTGTTGATGGCCACGATTTGTAGCAAAGTCCCCGGTGTAGTTGGGAGTTCAGGGAATTTGTCGCTGTTGAAGACAATGTCGTCCCTGGAGAAGTTCTCGTCATGAGTCCACAGGGTGCATATCTTCTGCACCTTGGTTTGTTTCAGTGATTTGGACATTTCGGCAGCTCTCGATGCACGCCGTCATGACGCGTCCAGGATTCCGTGCATCTGTGCAAGTGTCGCTGTCACGACCGACGTGAGGTCAAATGCCACACGTGTCAATAATGCGCGAGCGCGTAGATAACGAAAAGTTTCTGGATCTGAGGAGACCGACAATGGGCAATCGTTCTTAGCTGAGTACATCACCGGGGTGCAAGGAACGCGGGTCTTCCGTGGGAGCAGGCTCGCCTCACTACGTCCAAAACGGAAAGGCCAGATTCGCGACAGCCGCAACACGTCAGCTTTCAGCGAGGAACTATGTAGACGCAAACACACCAAAAGGACCACCAAAAGATGGACAAGCAGAAGGAGCACATCGTCTTTTTCCACCCGGATCTGGGCATTGGCGGCGCCGAGCGGCTTGTCATTGACGCTGCTGTGGGACTGCAGAACCGCGGACACAGGGTTACTGTCTTCACTTCCTACTGCGATCCAAATCACTGCTTCGATGAAGCGCGCGATGGTAAGCATGCTCTACTGCTGCGGCGCCCTCTTGCCCACGCTCATGCATATAGAAGGTAGCTGAGACTTGACCTTCATTGCAAAAGGTACCCTCGACGTTCGTGTGCGCGGTAATACCATCGTTCCGGCAACCTTCCTCGGCCGCTTCGCCATCCTCTGCGCCATTTTACGCCAGGTCCACCTTGTCCTCCAAATCGCACTATTCTCCGATGAGCTCGCCAAGCTTACGCCCACGTCCTTCTTCGTCGACCAACTCAGCGCTGGCATTCCCCTTCTGCGACTGCTGCAACTTCGTCCGCGTGTCATCTTCTACTGCCACTTTCCAGACAAGCTGCTCGCAAAGAAAGGTAGCCCATTGAAGTCTTTTTATCGCCTTCCATTCGACTGGCTAGAAAGCTGGAGCACAGGATGTAGCGATACCATTGTTGTGAACAGCAAATTCACAAAGAGCGTCTTCGCTGAGGCCTTCCCCGGCCTACAGCACCGAAAGCCTGGCGTTATATACCCGTGTGTCGATACTAGTGATGGCAGCTATCTTGACGAGTCCACGCCGCTGTGGAAGGACAAGAAGGTGCTACTTAGCATCAATCGGTTCGAAACAAAGAAGGACGTGGCGTTGGCAGTGAAGGCATTTGCAGGGCTATCACCTTCAGAGCGCCAGACTGCGCGTCTTGTTGTCGCAGGTGGCTATGATCCCCGAGTGCCAGAGAACGTTTCCACATACACCGAACTCTGCGATCTAGCCGATTCTCTGCACCTCAAGCATGCAACGGCGAAGAACGTCATTACTGCGCAAGCCATACCCGAAGACACCTCGATCGTCTTCCTTCACTCCGTTCCAAACGCTCTAAAGACTACGCTTCTGGCAACTTCGCGCCTCCTCGTATACACTCCACGCAACGAACATTTCGGTATCGTGCCGCTAGAGGCTATGCTCGCTGGCACCCCAGTTTTAGCTGCGAACGAAGGCGGGCCAACAGAAACAGTCATCAGCGGGCAGACAGGTTGGCTCAGAGACGTCAGCAAGTCCAACGACTGGACAGAAGTCATGCGCATTGCATTGGAAGACAGTGATGGCGAGCAGCGTCTGAAGGAGATGGGCAAGTGGGGCAGAGAGCGTGTCATCGCTGAGTTCTCTAAGGAGAAGATGGCTGAACGGCTTGAGACAGAGATACACGCTATGCTGAAGAAGCAGGAACGTCCACCGCTGACGCCTTCCGCTGCATTGCTGTTAGTCATTGCTTTGATGGGCGTGCTGGTGGCCGCAAGTGTTTGGCTGATCAACAAGAAGGATCTGTAGAGAAAAGAGAACGCTCGATTCGTCTCAAACGACGATGAGAGAGTAGGAAAGAAATCGAGTCTTCTCACCTCAACATGGGTATGTATTTGCGCAACTTACCGCCTGCACTGTGATACAGTACCCTTGTGTCGAATGTTGGTGATTGAAGCAAAAACATGCCATCAGCACCTTATCGGCCCCCGCAGTATCAAGCTACACTTGTCTCGAGGCTGACAAAAATAGAGGTCTATCCCAGATTCGAACAGGGGTTGCCGGAAGATTTTGATGACGAGTCAAAATCCGGAGTGATAACCACTACCTGTTGTTTCACTATTAGAATGTGGCACTCAAAGACTGGTACCTATAGTAACTTACACTAATAGACCAGATTGCTGCTTTTGATGACAAAGCCAAAAATATAAAGTCTATATATTCAGTAAAACAAGCTTGACATGAGTTGCGGCGGTGTGGCGACACCTGCAAGCTCTTGCGACCGACAAGAGTAACAATGCGGGGTAAGACTGCTCCTCAATATCTAGTCATTTCTTGCTGCGCCGCTGTCAGCTCGAAGCGCAACGCCAGCGGCCTTTGGTGACATCACCACTCCGGGATCTATCACTACCTTTCAGGATGCATATGTAAGGTTATTGCGCTCGACACAGAGATAATGTGACCCCTTCCTCTTCGACTTAACTGTTGCTTGCCAATTCTCAGACGTACGTCATGAGTGTCGGGATGCATGCCTGACAGTGAAAACGCCATATAATCGCCCTCTCGATGCCTTGAAATGAGCCACTACAAGATGGAAGTCGAAACAGTGCTGCGCATGGGCTCGATGCGTTTATCCCAAAGCTTTTTCGATGTTCCCAAGTACCAGGCGACGGAAGGCTTGATCTCGACAGACAGGCTATGTCTTCCTTTACCCAACGAATCAACCCTCGATGCCGCCCTCCGTCTTTACTCTACTACGCAGGCCCAAAGTTGGCTTTTTCCGTTGCTGATAATCATGCTATGACGTCCTTGGAAATTGCAGCCACAGTTCTGTGCGACATATCATGGTTTGGCTACGACCATCTGCCCTTCGATCAACGACACATCAACAAGCGCCGCGACATGGTGTCATCTGTTCCGCGGAAGCAGGCTTGAGGCTCAAGTGCTTGAGCATGTGAAACAAGGTACGCGAGGTTTTATCCCAGAAGATTTGCCAAGACCTACGTCAGGTAACTGTAATTGGCGGAGTGGACCCTGCGTTGTGGAGTGAGACTGGTACAAACATGTGAGATACAAAGTCTCATTCTGTCGCACTTGCACCCTCTAGCTACCACTTCGAACGCGCAATGACGATCTACATTAACCTCCTCTCCAACTTCAGGATCTCTTTCGACCTCAAAGACAACAATCCGGCCATCAGCGCGCTGTCGAATGGATCCGCGGGGGTAGACGATGCTGAGCAGGAAAGCGATGATAGAAAGATTGAAGTGCGAAGAATTTCCGCCTCTCCATCCAATTCTACGTTAGTCGGTGAAGACGGCTTCCTCGAACGGCCTCAATGGATTGCTGGTGTTGGGGATATAGTTGGACCTGGTGATTGGACCGACAAGCCACGATGGACTACTTCAGAACACGAGACTTTCAGATCTTTGAATACCTCCTCCCTTTACGCTAACAAACTTACTATGCGGGGATTGACCAAACCTCGTCGGACTCAACAGGTCCAGGAAAAGGACAGCAATAACCGCACCGCGCTTCAACGACACTGCGACTTCTGGGATATCGATGGTGATGGCCTCATCTACCCTTGGGACATTTACAGAGGCTTTCGAAGGCTGGGCTTTCACATCGCTCTCTGCCTCTGGGCTGCCGTGACCATGGCAATATGCGCATCCTACAACACTCATACCAGCTACATCCCTCATCCGCTCTTCGCCATTAACTTGAAGAACATCAACTCCAACAGACACGGCAGTAGTACCGGCACTTACGATATGGATGGTGAGCTGGACGAGCGTAGATTCGAAGCTATTTTCCAGAAGTATGCGCGAGGCAAGGACTATCTGACGCTATGGAGCACATACAACGTGTGGCGCAACCAGCGCTGTGGGCTCGATTTCTTTGGTTGGTTCGCTGGTGGTTTGGAGTGTGAGTGCCTTCAGCAGCATTTAGGAACGACCCAATTGCTTACAATGATTAGGGATCGCTATGTATATCTTGCTCTGGCCCGAAGATGGTGTAATGAGCAAGGCAGAAATTCGAGGTGTCTTTGATGGGTCAATCTTCTACACAATTGCAGAACAGCGTGCGGAAACACGAAAGCTTTAGAGCCGAAATCATATTCCTAGCGCCTTAATGAGCCTTTGAAATGCGAAACGTCATACTGTTTGCTGTCCGGACAACCTTGATTGATTGATTGATTGATTGGTTTAACGTCCTATTGTAACGACGCAGGCCAGTAGGGAAGATGTCGGAAGTAAGTGTGAGTCCACTACGAGG